TTCTTTTTTAACATTCGAATTGAACTGATAAGATGTTAAAAATAAATGAAACAGACATACTTCACACAATGGATGGGCCACTATTGTAAATGTGAAGTTGGGTGAAGTGTAATTTTCCCATTTTTCTCAATTATTTTGAAAATTGCTTAGAAAATCAAAAAAATAACTTTCTGAAAGTACAACCCCAGATAAAATTTCTTTTCAGAAAAGTTGCTACACTCGAAAATCAGAGCAAGAAAAATTATTCACAGATAACACAAAAAAAATTAATAACCGTTTGTAAAACCAACACATTACTCCATTCACTTAGAATCTAAAACACATACCGTAATAAACCGATGTATCGTAAGTTAAATTTCAGTGTTACTTTGTGGGCTCTGAGTTTCGAATAGGTACAAAGCATAAAAAATAAACGTACTATATCAATAATAGCGTGAGGATAAATCTGTGAGTTTGAAAACATTTAAATAATTGAATTAAAAGTGCATAAAATGAATTGATTTAAATTAATTTTTTTTTTTTTTGAAAAGTCGTTCAGGCGTTTAAAAACCCCGAGTTAAATCAGCTCGATTTAATATATTTCAGGGTCTTTTAAAATCATGTGGGTTGACGGGCCGAATAATTTGTTGTCGCGCACTATGCATAATAAATAACACTAAAACATTTGAATACGCAAGAAAAAAATCCCGTATCTGACTTTAAAAATTTCCGAACCTGTTATCAATGAGCGTTGTATAATATTTGAATGATTTATTGTTGCGCTGTATTATGTAAATACCTACCTACCATAAATTAGAGTGTTATTTTACTATTTTTTTTTTTTTTCCGTCATCTAGCATAATATATCACCAAGATACTTAAAAATATATAGTATAATATTGTACTGATAAGGACAGTTAACAATACAGCAGTACCTTTATAATATTATCCGATCAATACGATGAGCCCAATTATTGTTATTTTTATTACAAGGGCATTAACCTCTGTACCGATTATTTACAATATTTTCTTTAATTGTACAGCTTTACTTCATGTTTATGCAGTTCGCAATGGAAAAAAAATAACAAACCAACATTTTAGATTCGGAGCGTAGCGAAGGATCTACTCGTATTGGTTTACTATGATGTGTGTTTTAGATTCTGCGTGAAGCGAATAACGTATAGGTATTGGTTTTACAATGGTGTTTGTTTATTTTCTTTTTTTTTCCTGTCGACAACTCTTTTACCAACAATTTTGCTCCGATTTACAATTAGAGCACTTTTTCTGATAGGAAATTTGATTGGGTTGGTACTTTATGACGATCATTTTTGATTTTTCAAGCTGTTTAAATGTTATTTCGTAAAAATAAATTAAAGGATCCAACTAAAGCGTATAGCCTATCTATACATTTTCATGCAAATACAAACAATAATTCTAGTCATATTCTAGTTATGAGCTTGAATTCCGGGTTAATTCGGCAGTCTACATTTTGAAAAATTATCGTGTGCGTATATTAAACGAAATTATCGAATAATCTAATTATATTACCAACCGTTAATAAAGATTGAATACAAATGTTTAAAAAGAAACTGTTAATGTTGAAAATTAATTAATTTAAGGGTCTGAGTGGAGCGAGGAATGTATTGGTTTTACAACGATGTTTATCATTATTTTTATTTTTCTATGAACAACTTGTCCTCCAGAAATCTTACTCCGATGTATTACGTTTAGCGCCTTTTCTGAAATGTAATTTTTTTCTACTTAGTTAAAATATTATTAGGAGGTCAAAACCAGAAAAAACTGGTAGGTAAAACTGGAAAATTTACGAAAATAATGCTTATATTATTTTCAATTTTGTTTTTTTTTCTTTTATTGAAATTCAGTTAAAATCATTCGTAGAAACTTGGAATTCGGACAGAAACATTATATTTGCATTTTATAGACGTTTTGAATACATTTCTGTTCAGTAATCTAACAATTGTATCCACATAGTACATTAGCACTTACCTACCAAATAATAATGACGATAAAACTTCGCAAAATTAAAATATTTATAATTACTCAAGAATGTTTCAAATGTTTTCAAAATTTTGCAACGTCTAATATAATAAAAAGTAAATGTAAGTTTTCTGTCCATATTTTATACTAAATAACCGACTTTCTTTAAAACATGATCAAAAATGCAACAAAAAAGGTCGTTTGTCGTTTTTCTATTGGAACAATATGTATAACGGACAACATAAGCCTTATAAATTTAAAATAATGAAACCGTTGTGCCATGGTTTAAAAAAATAATCGTATTGTTCGTTTTTTGGTTTTTCCCAATTATTATTATAAAAAGTACTTCAGATATCAAAAAACGACTTTCTTTGTCAGTGACTATAAATATAAAAAAAGGGACGAAACCGATCTTTAGTCATCCCTCGCTACGCTCCGAATCTAACAAAATGTACACTGTTATAGGCTACTTATAATAGGTATACTTTAGGCTCTTATAGTTTTATGATGATAGTCGTGTTTTTTTCCGTTCAGAAATCTCTTTTTTTTAAGTATATAGAGATAATATACATACTTTAATACATCTCGTATGTATTACAGGAATTCTATAGACGAGTGCTTGAAACAGGCACTATAGATAATAATTTGCCCGCGTTTATCTGATTTTATGTTTTGCTGCCCTTAATAATTTTGAATGATTAAAGTAACGTCGGAAAATCACGAAATATAATTATGCGCTAAAATTGTAATTCTGATCCGTGTATCATTTTTCGTTTTTCGTGCCTGCGATGTCCATTAAAAAAAGTAATATTACAAAATCAATTTCATCGGTAATCTTACTGTCACCTTACATTTACAGCTTACACCCGTAATAGTGATAGAAAATATGTTATTTTGATATTAAATGATATTATCGGATTGCACTTCGCCTTTTTCGAAAGTCTTTATCGGAAACCAATTAGGACGTTTGCCGTCTGGAACATCGGGAGACAATTCGGATGTCAATGTTCAAGTATAGGAACCGATTCGGATGCAGCTTCCAGTTTAATCATTACTAAACAGAAAAGCCCTTATTTCACTGCAGGCGACCAAAACACGTATTTATGGGTTTGTAATTATGTGTATCACCACACCCGTAGCGCATCACGTGCATATTTATACTAACGTATTTAAGGCCGCATAGTTTATAACTGCGAAAATCAATTCGCACATAAAAAAAGGAATCTTTCATTAAACTATAATAGTCCACTGCCATAGAAATCGAATTTATTAGAAACGGTGATGGACCTCTCACATAATTGGCAATTCAATTTGAATCTTCAACCGCAACCACTTCAATTACCACGTTCCATCACAGGTGGTTCACATATAGATAGGTACGCTGACGCGAAATCAATATTTCACCCTTTTCATTATATTTCAGACGTTTTAATTTTTACTCGACGAACAAGAATTATTGACCTTGCACGTTAAAAGTATTGGAACGTCAAAAACGTAATTAACAATCAACTCAAATAGTAAGGTCTATATAATTGAATTCTCAATACGCTGTCATGTACGTATAAAAACATATTCATTCGATGTGTTAACAATTTGAACACAAATACGCAACAGCATTTTTACAATTTGAAAATAAATATTTTAGCGTATTTACTCGGCCACAACTTCGATGATATAATATTACGATTTTAATTTAATCGCGTTGTAGTCATTTTTCACAACATTATAATATACTATGTGTATTGATTTTATCGCCGAAGGGTAATCACAACAACTGTATCGTTCCCCCTTTCGTATTTTTTTTTTTTTTACTTTTCGTGAACGATGGTGCATTCGTATTAGACTGTGAATGCGTAAATGCGCAATGAATTATTAAAACGTTAATCGAGGCCGCTGCGCTTTATACTTGTATAAAATAATGTATTATGTTACTGGCTAAAATCAGAGCTGGACAAAATCATGGTTAAATTAGTGGCTGAACACAGGCTAAGCTTGATAATATTATTATTATTATTATTTTTATCTTTAGAGGTCCAACACGGCTACAAAGCAAACACATTTCTGTCTATCTCTGTCCTGGAGCCACTTCATTAAAATGTTTTCAAATATTTATATTTGTATTAATTTATATTTTATTATACTCGTTATAAGTATAGAGTGCAGATTTATGTGCGATAAAAAGTATCATAATGTACCATATAATATGAAGTAAAATTACAAATTACAAATTAAAAGTTTTAATATGTACACAAAAAATTAAACATATTGTGCAATGTGCATTATGGGATATTTATTATTGTTTTATTAAAAATAATTATTCAATGATATTTAAAGTTTTCATCCGTGGAAATGTCACATTTTTGTATCGACACATGTTTGTAAATTGAAAACGGTCATTCAACATCAAGCAAAATAATTGGAGCACGTTCCCCTTAACCCAATATTATTGGGTCTTGGTAGGTATCATCAAGTTGAGTCTCTTCGCCGAATAATACTTGATTATTTATTCATAACTGATACATAAATTATTGGTTGTTGTGCATAATTTGTGTCGAAATGATACACAACAAATGTTTGAAATTGTAGTCAAATACGCGAAAAAAAACTTTTAACTTAAATTATCAATACGATTCGTAAAGATTATAAGCAAATATCTAAAAATGCAAATGCAAAACATACAAATCCATTCTCCAATTATAATAATAGCAAGGATATTAGTGTTATTATTAATATTTTGAAGCAACTGTTAATTATTGTTTTGATAAATTTTCTTTACGAAACACACATTGTAATAACTGCCTATATAGGTACTTATATAGGTACCTATATAGGTACTTAACATGTTCGAGAATACAATATTATTAAGCTATAGGTATTAATCTTATCGACACATAATATTATAGCCTATAGGCGTACATATATTCAAGTGACATTACAATTGATAACCATGATTTTTTTTGCACAATAGAAGTTTGTAAGTTATAAGTTGATAATGGATTACCAGTATAATGTTATTTGTCGAGTATGAAGAGTGAACGCTAAATAATCTTAAAACTATTATATTTTCAATACAAATAACGAAAAAACTATATATATACATACGCATAACTTTTGAATATTATAATAATATTTATAGATCAGGCTATAGCTGTTATAAAAATTCAATGTTTCAACATGAACCACGCTCAATTAATATGTCATCTAAAACTTGTACGTATAAAACAAAATTAAAAACACACGCAATACTATTGCCCCTCGTTTCAACATAAATATACTTCAATAATTTAATTTTAATTCGTTTATAATTCGTATGTGTATGTAGATGTTTTGTACCATAATAATGTGCTTTCCCCAAATTATTATTGGTGGTTCGTTTATATTCTCTTCTACACTTTTGGAACAACTTCGAGAACCTTCGTCGTCCATAAACCTAAATATTGATCAGGAATCTTGGATAGGTGAGTATGTAAATGGATATTATAGAAGTGCATTACAGATTTTTCGAGTAAAGAGTTTAAAATTGCGTTAAATGCGTTAATAATTACATTCGAGTGCTTTTTTTTCAGTTGAAAATTCAGAGGTTTTCTTACAAAAATGTAAAAAGTGACGTAAGTAATTATACTACTCTAACATTATTTTTTTTGAATAAAACTGACTCTTCTAAAGTAATTAGATTTGTATAGTTACTTACCAGTCCTTTAATGGGTTATAGATAATTTATAATGTATACTTGTTAATTTATTTGTTACTACAAATATTGTTTACAATACTCGAAAAATTTAACTTAAATAGTAGGTAATTATATAAAATATGTATACAGTATCTATACAGAGTTATAAATTAACTGCAATGATTACAAAAATGCATTGTCAAACAAATTTAATGTAAAATATGGTTATGTACCATTTTGATATTTTATTATTACTTTTCAGCTAGTATTTCTGTGCTTTTATGTCCAGTCGGTTTTCTCGCGGTCGGACTGTTAACAGATAAATATGGGAGAAGAAAGACTCTTCAAATTATATACGTGCCGTTGATTTTAAGTTGGATAACGTTTATAATAGCTGATTCATACAGAATGCTCGTGACCGCGAGAATTTTAATGGGAATCCCTTTAAGTAAGTTTTTATTTTATACTTAAAGTTTTCAATTTGATAAGTAATTTTATGTAGCTATACATGTAAAAATTTGAATTGAAAAATCATAGTTTATTCATTTAGACCATAAAAAAAGGAATTTGTAATACATTGTATAACTTTAAATGGGGTTTGTTTTAGATTTCATAAATTATTGTATATGTCTGTTAACATTTGTTTTACTCGACATTTAGACATTTTACAATAAGATTAAAGTGAAAATTGTTAGCACAAAATATACAAAGTATTTAAAAAATCATTATTTTTAAACAACGCGGTGTAATCAATAACAAATATCTAATAGTTTTACTTAGATTCTTGTATTATCACCTTAAAATGTCATATCGTAATGTAATAATAATAATTGTCATAAATACCGGTCAATATAGGCGCCGCTACTTGTACGACGATGTACATAGTTGAATCATGTCCGGCTAATGTACGTTCATTGCACTTTTCTCTGGTCACCGTATGTTCGAGTACTGGTATGATGTTGGAATGCATACTGTCCATTTATTACCATTGGAAAACCATATCCGCTATAATGTGCGTGATGTGTGTTGTCAACCTACTTACACTATTCTCGGTGCCAGAGCCATCGATTTGGCTGAGGGCGAAAGGCAGAATCGAAGAGGCGGAAAAAGTCGATAAATGGTTTGACTTAAGGCATATAACTGTTGCGAACGCTGCCGAATCTTCAGCGAATACGGTCAACAAAGGCGACGGCCCTCATCTCGAAAACACGACCGACACTAAGGACAAGCCATATTGGTTATTGTTTATACATCCAACAGTTTGGAAACCTACGTTGATCCTGTTAATTTTCTATATCTGCCAGCAAGGCTCTGGTTTATATGTCCTGCTTTTCTACACAATGGACGTGCTCCGAGATTTTAGAGTCCCGTGGGATAGCAACACCGTGTCCATATTCTTGTCTGTTGCTCGTCTACTGGGCGGCATATCTTTCGGATTACTTCACTGGTGTAAAAAGAGAACAATGGTTGCAATTTCTGGCGGGTCTATGGCAGGATCTCTGATCATCGCTATAGCATATTCAAAAATGTTCATAAACGTCGAACACCCGCCATATATGGTGATATTAGTGTTCGCGTTCGTGGCATATATGTTTTTCGCTTTAATAGGACTATTAACAATGCCTTGGGTCTTAAGTAGTGAATTGTACCCGATTTCCGTTAAAGGTAAGTTTGATTAAAAACAACTAAGTAAAGTGAATACAATATTACGTACACAGTTTATACGCATCGATTGTAAGTAGACGATCCACTTTTAACGTAATATTATTCTTTATTTAAACAAATAGTACAACTACAGTTTAGCACGCTAAATGGATCATCGCTTAATACTGTCCAAAAAAAATATTATATTGTATAGGTATACATAATTATATAGCTACCTGTATAAATGCATTGTATATAACCTATATAGGTAACATATTTTAAAATAGCTATCAAATATGGGCTTCTGTCAAAAACGTACCTATCCCTTTTCCATCGAATTTCGTTTCCGCAAAAATCATAAAATTAGTCGATTCCCCTTTTCGCCAATTCACTTTTATGCCAAATGAAAAAATTAGTCAATATTTGAATATTAATGGACAATTGTGTACATTAAAATTTATTAATTAGACAAAAAATTATAAAGTTTCTTCTATTTACGAATGACCTAAATTGTGTTTATTATTTATTGAATACAAAGTGAAAATAATTGTTAATACTCATAACGAATGTCTACTAATCACAGTTTTTTAGACAAAAAATATCAAAAATATAATCACTTGTTTTATTATTTTATATGTTTAAATTGATTAATATTATTATTATGAATTTGATTTATGATACAATTATCGATTAATATTCAAATATTAGACTATTTTTTTTTATTTGGCGAAAATGCGAATTGGCGGAAAAGGGAAAGTTAAATTTTCGACGGAAATGGGTAACTCCCATCAAATATACGTCATAGAAAGTAGATACCTTACCTCACCAATCATTATTCAATGGCACCTTCAGTATTTACATGATATAAGAGATTCGATATATCTGTCCAATATCTATTTAGGTACCTCTTTAAAATTTAAATATGCATTTCCAATTGTAAAATTTACAATACGATTATAACAATATAATCTAATTTAAAATAAAATAATTTCTATCTTATGTACACTCTTAAAGTTTTATTGATTTACCTACTTATACAGTATTCCAATTCAAATAATAGAGATAAATATTTCTTGTGTCTATTATGACAGTTCAAGGGCAATTTCATGTTCAGGACATACAATTTAAATAAAATCACTTCGAAAATTCGAAATACTTTAACAATTATTTAACACGAATTAATGATTAAAAAATGGGGAATTAGTGAAATAGGTATTTCAAATGTTCATTGTGTATATGGTATGGTCCAAGTGGAAATATAGTTCATTTTAAACACTGACCGGTCAATATATTTTGACCGTATAAATTATAAAAAAATGTGTTTCTCACAAAGACTAGTCATTGTGTTGCAATGTCTGGCTATTGTAAACTAGTGTGGTCGTTGCGTATAATGTGTCATATTAAACGTATAAGCAATAATATGTAATATATTCTGTGGTATAAGTTTATTTTAGTAACTACTTGCCAAGTGTCATTAGTAAATAGTCAATAGACATTGTAATAGACAATATCGTTTTTGATGCACTGGGAAAAGTATAATTTTAATATGCGGGCAATCTGGACGCGTTATCGCAATTTTCGGTGCACGTTTGTACTGTGATATACGTTGGTGCTTTCGTTTTTGCATGTTCGTATTATTGTAAAAATGAAAATTAAACTCATTTTTAAAATTAAAAAGCATAATAGTGGTCAATATTTCAGTTATTTAATTTTAATCAAATGCCATAATGCCAGTACATGTACTATGTATTAATAAATAAGTATAACAAACCTAATATTTATATTGTTATTAATAATTCTCAAAAATACGCTGAAAATATCAAACATTTTTTACACGTGGCACTGACAGTATTAGTCAATGTATAGCGCATACAGTGTCTAGTCTATATAATTATCGACATGGCTTTAAAATCTCGAGTGTTGTGTACTATTCCCAGTCAGTCAGTGTTTACAATGATAATTTTTCTACTTGGGTCGTAACATATACATAATATATATACACGAGTATAATGTTGTTTATTTGTAAAAAAAAAAAACTGACAATCCCATCACATTTCGACAATTTTCCTATTGTTGATATTTTTAATTAGGTACCTATAAAAATATAATAAACCTAGTAATTTATTGTGAAAAATAAAATTGTTATTAACGTATTCGTATTTTTCTTATAGGTGTTATGAATGGATTAGCGTCATCGTTTGGATATGTTATATGTTTTTTTGTTTGCAAAATCTATCCATATATGATAAAATATTTTGGAGTGGAAATTGTATGGTCAATTTTTGCTTTATTTTGCTTATTAACCGTCTTATTTGCCATTTTCATAATGCCAGAAACAAAAGGAAAATCTTTAGAGGAAATCCTGTCGTATTTTGAATCACACAAAGATATAAAAAATAAAAATGTTCCTTAATGTTTTATTTTAATTAAAATATCAAAAAACAAAATCTAGTTTTATTATAATTATGCTTTAATATTAAAATAATGTAAGTAATTTAAAAAAACTGAACAAAAATTATAGTAACTACACTATATAATATTGAATAGCGAAATTGAATAATTGTATTTATTATTTATAGGGTATTTAGGGGGTTTTGAAATACAGTTTTGTAATACTGTAACTACCGCTTTGAAATGCGGTACATCAGTGAATATGACGTGTGCTAAATAATTTAAGGTAATTATATGTACAATAATAAACCGTAATGGCAAAATGTTTTGGATTTCTATAAACGCTATTGTTAGTATGAAAATAACTTTTAAGCCGGGGAATTTGTGATTGAATTATTGAGTGCATTATTAAGTGTTTTATAATGTCCAATCAATAACATTCGGTAGATATCACCTACCTTGAGAATCTATTCTAATGAAGAAGAAGTACATAAAGTTATTTGATGTATATTAAGTAAAATTGTAAGACTTTTAAAGACCCCCGTTATAAATGCTCAAGCAAATCTGTTCGGCTAAATAATTTTATCATCATTAAACCAAATAAAAACTAAAAAAAACTCCAAAAAGTCAAATATCTATAAATGATTCAAAACTGTTTAAAATTTTTTTTTTTTAAATATCACCTATATATTTACTAAGTAGATAAAATTGAATTTCAGTAAAGGTGCTACACTTATTCATTAGAACAAGTTTTCTAGGGTAAAAATGGTCTACAGTATAAAAAAATAAAATAAAGTATTATTGTAAAAAAATTAAAAAAAGAAAAAACATCGTCCGATGATTTTGGAAATTTTACCACGTCTAGGTAAATCCAATAGAAGTATTATTACCAAGTTTCAAGTCTCTCTCTGAATATATAATCGAATTACAGCAAAAATGCTTCCAAAAATTAAAATTCTTTAAAAGCTCAAAAGTGGCTTAAAAGTTTTGGCAGTAATACCGTAAAAAATTTAATCAAAAAGGCAACAAAAGAGGTGTTTGGTGATTTTTCGATTAAATCATTTTTTCTGGTAGAAAAAACGTCGTCCGTGTTTTTATAAAATAATGAAATCGTGAAATTGTACGTTTTTCTACGATTTTCCCCATTTAAGTGCTTTTATTTAAAAAATGGCGTCGAAAATCAAAAAAATGACCCGTGTAAAGTACAATATAGACAACTTGAACTCTCATAAAAGTTGCTACACGTAAAAATCGGAGCAAGTTTACAAGGACATAACATGTTCACAGACTAGAACAAAGAAGAAGAAAAAATAAACAGCATTGTAACACCATTAGCTACGCTCGGAATCTAAAATTTAAATAAATTCAAAATGGCCATTATGTAAAATATATTTTTACATAATTTTTGGTCGTTGGAACTTTCTTTTAGGTACGGTGTTTTATTTTCAACAATATTTTGAAGTTTTTTAAAATGTGAATATTATTGAGGTTCGTAGTCTATTATAATATTTGTTCAGTAGTCAAAGCACATCAAATGATAAAGATTTCCTTTGCCACGAGTTATTATCATAAAATAATATTGTCATAGCCTGTGTTCTATAGTTATTATGATAATGATGATTAATCATAATGATATTCATATTTGCAAAAACTTCAAAAAATGTTAGAAAATAAAAGACTTAAAAAAAGTTTTTGCCTACCAAAAATTATTTTAAAAAAAAATTAAAATATTCACCTAAAAGGTAGAACAAATAGAAGTTTCAAATTTGATTAGAGGACTGATGGTATGATACAATTTATATAATTGTATGTATTTGTGGAGGATTTATTTCTGATTTTTAGAAATAATTTCATTCAAGTATTTGACAAACTTTGTGTAATACGTTTAATAAACATTTCAATAAGATCAAAACTCTATGCAATTATCCTCTGTAAGTTCGAATTTTTTATTTATTTTAAATATAATATCTAAGTTCTACATCATAAGCAACGTAGCATTCAATTTATCGCCAGGCACTATTAGTCGGTTTTAGCGTGTCGGCTATTGTAATAATAATTTTATTTTGTTTAAATTCGAAACCATTTATTTTTAGCACCGTGTTAAAATTATTCTTATAATTCTGGTTAGAATTATAAATTAATTATGCCTTATATAGTTTTGGTTATAGGTTTTAGTGCATAGTTTATAATAACCTCGCCATAAATTATCATTCAACGATCATGTTAAATAGTGCACATATCTACTTTGGAAATCTAAATATTCATTAACTTTATGAAATGTTCGGAAGGTTTAAAAAAGTATATAAAATAAAAACTTGAGCATTTTATGATTCTAGAGATGTTGATATTTTTGGAAATAATACCGATCCTTCCAAATACCCTGTTAATTCTTATGAGCATGACGAACTTGTGAAACCAAAGAATAAAAAAAAAATAACATAAATTGATAGTTTTTTAGCCGTCGTGTTATTTTTTACTGAATAATAAACAGTTTTTATTTACTTTATAAATTGTTTAAACTTTTAAAAACTCTTGAACATGGCTGAATGTTAGCAAGTTAATAGTGCGAATCGAAATTAACCTCACGCGGAATAAATTGATTTTTATTCTGATTAGTGACACAATTACTCTTTAGTCGTTCTCGTTCTAATCAATCGAATCATTCAAATTATCACTAAAGCGAACGAAATACTGTAGAAATTTCGAATATCATTAAAATATACTTTTGTGTTATTTACCCAAAAAGAAAATAGGAAAAGATGGACCAAAACGTTAACTAAAATAATACTGATACACACAATAATAGCGAACTGGAATTTGTAATAAACACCAAAAAATTATAGCCATTAAGGTATACGTTATAATTATTAATAATTTTAAAAACTACAAATCACAAGTGATTATAGTTATTTTTTGATAAATAATTTGTATTTCTAATAATTAAAATCTCATGTTATGTTTTGTATTTTATCATAGGAATTGTTTTAATATAATTTGTTTCTTTACAAGATATTACAGAAGCGCGTATTAACTTAAAGTGAACTATAGAATTAGTTAAAGTTTGTCATCTGTCAAGACAGATTGCCTTAAAATATATGAAACATTGATGATGAAAATTGTCGTCTACTTTTTAACAGCAATACAGTAGTATTTTATTTTTTATCTTAACAAAATATAAACAAACTTTAATATAAACTAATAAATATAGGTAGTTATTTTTTTATTAAACAACAGATTTAGTTGACACTGAACTAAAAAACAAAGAAAATCCATAATTTTAAAGGTTTACCAACAGAAAAATATTATAAAATAACTGTTCTCATTCCCTATTTAAAGAATTTTACAGAGGAACTTGAAAATAGGTTTATGAACTACAGATCTATAATTGGAGGTAAGTAATGCATTATACATTTTTTAACACAACTTTTAGGACTTTCAGTGGACTTTCGGTAGAAAGTTCAAAACTCGACAACCAAGATATATTGGAATTCAATTGACTTATCGAATTGTATGCTGGTAGAAACTGGTAATCTGTTATTGACCAAATAAAAATACGGAGGAACAAACTTGATACTGGTAAATATTTGGCATTGATCAAATAAAACTATGGAGGAAGAAACTTGCTGCTAAAAACAATACAGCGTTTGATGGATTTATAAAATGTAATGAGGATATATATCCATTATCCTAGCGTACATTTTTTGTTTAAAACACTGTGCTCACTTCCTTTTTCCACATCTTATCCCGATGGAACGTTTTCTAGTTTGAAAAATATTAAATCCTATATACGGAACACAATGTCAGAAGAATTAAGAAAGTAATATATTCAAACATATATTTATATAATATTATATACCTATATATTTTTTAAAGTTGTATGTTTTCAATTTAGATTAGGCTAAATCATTTGTAAAATGTAACTCGCAACCGCAATTCGATTGCAGCACGACTGCAATTCAACCGTGCACTATATTTAACGCGTAAATTATTGAATATGTTCTCACTAAATGCAACGCGACTAAAAAGTGATTTGACTTGCACGAAAACGATTTAGAACCGATTGAAAGCAACTCGACATGTACCGGTTTTTCTCCAGTTAGATACCATCGTAACAATATCATAGTAATTTTACAAATAAATGGAAAATTTGTATCACGGCCTTTATTAGACTTTATTAGGCCTTTAGACCATTAGGTCTGGCGACTTGTGAACTTATAATGTGCCATTAGTGTCCGGGTCCCGGAACCCATTCGTGTGACGCGCTCTATTTGTGAAACTTGGTACCTAGTTGATAAAAAAATAAACAAAATTCGTTAACATAATATGCATATTATGCTGAATATAAAATCCTTATACTGAATATAAGGTCTATGAATATATGTTACCGTGAAGTCCCAACACAAGTCTCGATATTAAATTATTCTATACATTTTGTTTAACACCATATCATTTATACCTATTGTAAATAAATATTTACAGATTTTATAATTCAGAAATATATATTTATAATGAAAAAAATATATAAAGTAAATAAATATATCAATAAAAAAATGTATACATAAAAATAAAATAAAAAAATGAATCAAAGCGTCGCCTGGAGTATTATGATAAGTGTATTATACGACCGTCTTCGAATTAAAAATTCATCATCAGGTATATCACAGTCAAAATGTAAAACGGGACTGAATATAAAAAATTAAATGAAGGAATACATAGAAAAAAAAAATTATAAATTGGTCGTTTTACAAAGAAATAATTTATTATAATAATTAGAGAGATTATTTAAAAATTAGTTATTATTATACTATTTGAACATTTTATATGTTAATAAATATAAGTTATTCGGTTATTGGTGTGTGCTAATGGATTAAGAAAAATCAAGATCAAAATAAACAAATTAATACTATTGCTTCCACTTGAAAGTAAAAGGGCTATAGACGTAACAATAAATCTACTTGCAATTTTTCTTTTATATTTGGTGCACCTAAAAAACTTTACAGTGATAGTGGACGAAAATGTGTAAGCTATATTGTCTATTAATGAACTAAAGAATCCTTGGCCCCAATAGTTCAAGGCCGTTCACGTTTTTTCAAAGTAAAGGAGTAAAGTTAAATGTTATACAATTATATTAAATAATATAAGTATTATAATCATTATAACGATGTACCTAAATAGATATATTGTTTTTATATACGGACTCCACCGAAAATGTTTAGGCACGTAACCAGAACATTTTCATTTGGTAGGCAATCTTTGGTAACAATCTTTGGAAGGCCCCCCTCCCACTTATAGACATTTTTTATATTAAAAAAAGGTAGTAAGGTAAGCATATTATAACTATAAATATATAACCTAATAATACTTAAGTTTTTTTTTTTTTTGACAGATTTATTTTTTGATGATTACACCATTTACCGGATAATAAACACAACATAAAACAATAATGCTGGTATGGTAATCTGATAACAGGTACTAGGTAGTTATCATTTATCATTAATCAATTTAATAATCACTATAATATGCAAGTCGAGTAAGACGATATTTGGTGGTATAAATTAAACACATATGGGAAAGGGCCCCACTGAATATTTTTGGTGGGACGGCTTAAGGCTGGACACATCTAGAATGTGTACCTCTTCTTAGCTACGTGCCAGAAAATGTAATTTTTTTTAAGTAATTTTACGTACCTATCTGTCATGAGATTGTATATTATATAGTTAAGGTAATATTTATGTTCTGGTTTTATAATAACGATTTAAAATTAACAAAAGTAAGCTTTTATTTATTATTTATTATACTATTTACTACCGTTCATTGACACAAATTTCAGATTTCTTATAATATATAAGTAAGAAAAAATTAAAAATACTTTAAAATAATATGTCGGAAATTGATAATGTTTTAACGGAAAATTGGGAGGATGAATTTTTAAGTGGAAGAATGGAATTACCTCGAGTATGGGTAACGTTAGAAAATGGTTTTGAAATACAAGAATTACAATCCCACAGAGTTGATGAAGTAATTGAAATGATCAAGGTAATTAACAATCATTTTCCATTGTCCTACTCGTTTTTTTAATGAATTTTAATTTTAATATAAAGAGACAGACTCGTGACCTGCTTTTTTTTTTTTGCTCGAATCGGGTTTACAACGTTAACTCTCCTGCTTCAGTGCAATTATTTTAATAATACTACCGTTCTTGAAATCAGATGTGAACTATTCATAGTTTTACTAGAGTACCCACTGTTATTGAACAATACTGATGTTAATTAAAATTGTTAATGCATTTTTATTGTTCAGTGTGGTAATTGAGTGGTTTTTTTATAAAAATTTTCATTTAGACGGACAGTACAGTTACATAAAAAAAAAATAAAGTTTTCTTTATACCGAACAGTGCACATATAAATAACTACCACTATAACCAACATAGTTTATAATCTTATAACAAGACTTGTATAAATATATCATTTTTTAGAAACATTATATTTTTGAAGAGCCGATATTTGTTGGTAGTCAAATATACAAAGATAACGAATCTGTAGAGCAGTATTTGTATTTGGCTCGGCATTGGATCATGGACACTCTGTCAACAATTGCTGTGGATAAAAAAACGAACAGTATAGTTGGGTTTTTAATATGCCGATTTAATGAACTATTTAACAGAGATCCCGAAATGAGCAGGGAAAGGGTACTTTATTGACCTACTGAAATGTGTACGTTATTATTTTATAAGAGTTTTCATTTATTAAAAATTGTTTCTTCACAGATATATTCAGGTAAAACATGGAAAGAACTACAAAAATTTAAACATTATTTGACAAAACGAAGTAATCCGTATAAACACTATAAAGTGGATAACATTTTAGAAATATATTCGTGGTTTGTGCTTCCCCGTTACAGAAAAAAAGGTTTGTCAGTTAATACAAAATATGAATAGCGGAATTATTCATAATTGACAATTTGACAGGTTAATTTATATTTAATACGACTCACATGTAGCACAGAATATTTAATGAAAACGTCTACGTAGGTGTTTAAATTATTACTTATCATAAAAAAGTCGATATTTTTATATGCATCAATGATAAGCATCTCTATCCAATTAGTATCACAGTAATCAGTAACTAATAAAGAAAAAAATAAATCAATAAAAAAAAAAAAAAATAATTATTATAGAAATACACTACACTGTAAAAAATTATTTTATTATTTGTTTAACAAAAATATCTATAAAATATCTCGTAATAATGATTTTCTACAATCATTTCTGATGATCTCGGAATACCTATAACACTTTTTAGTAAATCACACAGAAGAAGCCTAGTTTGCATTAAGAACAATGAATACTAAAATTCATCGTACTTAACATGTGTTGAACTGTCAGTATAATAAGAAATTCAAGCGGTTCGAACATTATATTTTGCACATTTTTCAAATGCGATTGACTTCTGCGTGTAGGAATTGGTACGGAACTGTTGCGGAACGTCATGCACAGACAACTTCCCGAGTACAAATGGTTCGAGTTGGACGTGATAGTCGGTATGTTTACCAGCGATCAGAGCCAACGAATCGCCAAATCGCTGGAAATGAAAACGTTGTACGATTTCGTTTATGCCGGGTGGACGATCACCAACAAAAGCACCGGTAAAGACGAACGTTTCTTTAAAACTATGAAACCGGACAGCAACTCGGCCACAGTGATGTCGTTTCGGGCAAACGCCGCCGTCGAATCTCAGTGGCCATAGTGCGATCACCAAATAAATACACGGGATTTGAATTTTGGAAAAAATATACTAAACCGTACTGTAAAAAAATACATAATTACGCTCGAATTACAATAACTGTGTACGTGAAGTTGACCGCTCTCCCTCCTACGTCCCATATCAATTGATTTGATTGAAAATGTTGCCAAATAATTTATTGCAAACCAATAGGAAATAATTTGGTTTGGTTAATTGTAAACTATCCAATTCCCTATAAAATAAATTTATTCTTTGGGGGAGCCAACTTTACACAGGTTCCCCACTTAAGCTGATTAGCGCTGGAATATCGCCAAATGATGCAAATAATTGTAAATTTAGTTTTTCTAGTTGCAAAAAATGTTAAGAAATTTTTTTAATTTTTAAAGATTGTCTGTAATGTACAACATTTTCCAGACTATAATAATTAGGCAAAGCAATAATATGAAATAATGATAATAAATAAATCCTCGTGAACATGGCAGCACAACACTATTAGACATCGATCAAACACATCCAACTTTCAAAATTTGTTGGATTCTATTTTCGACAGGAGGCCAGTTTGAACATAGGTAAACATTGATTACGCAGTAGTCCGTCTACTATTCATACCTATCGATTCCGCTGAGTCTTTAGCGATATAAGTTGTAGTCAAATATGAATTCAGTCCACAACTAATAGCTGATTTCTACCATTTTTATGACTAAAGGACTCAGCGGAATCGATAGGCAGTGGAGGCTATAGCATCATGATCAATTATTGAGCGATGGCAACCCCAGACTAAAAATATGATACCAGCGCCTCTTGAGTCTTCTGAGCAGATTCCCAGGAATGTTTACCTAGTTAAATGCAAGGATGAATGGACGGCACATTTAAAAATTAAAAATTAAATAAATTATATAGCTAATAATTGTTTGGTGTTGATTATATTCTAATAAAACAATATTAAGATGTGTTTTATTTACATAATATTTATAGTTATAAAATAATTATATTCTGCATTGACTTGGTATAATTGTCCATTATAATTGGCCGGCTACCCCCGTAATCCACCAACCATAGCCCCACTGTTTTTTAGCCATGAGTACTCAACTGTCTCAACTGCAGTAATAAGCCGCCGCGATGTTTACACGTCGTCGCGACAACTAGTTTTACGTCTATGATAACCACTGATTGGAAATGGCCGTTGGTGTCACTACCGGTCACCGGCCAGTTTATAAAATAAAAATTAGACAAATAAATAAATTAAAAATTAGTATGATTTTTCTATTTATGTGTGATAAAAATTGTGTTTATCATTTATTGAATACACGATAAAAATAGTTGTTAATACTCGTAACGAATGTTCTTACCACAATTTTTTATTCAAAAAATATCAAAAAAAATCACTTTTTTTACTATAGTACAAGTTCAAATTCATTTTTATTTTATTTTGCCATCATAAGTTATGTATAACGTACCGTAATTTCGCCCAACGATAAATTTATCACTGATTATCGTATTTTCCCAACGTTATCGATTATGTTGCTAACCTTGCTTGTTATATCAGTTGATACAATTGTACAATACGTACGAAACTGACCGCTACGACGCAGTCTAGTCGATACTTTTTATACCTTTAAACTTTTTAAACTTTTAAACCAAGCCACGTTGTCAACAGTAAAATATATTTTTTTATAATACAATCGTCCGTAAAGAATCGATTATTAGACTAAATATTTTCATTTGGCGGAAAAGTGAATCGACTAAATTTATAATTTTGCAGAAACGCGAATGGGCGGAAAAAGGAATGGTACAGTTTTGGCTAAAACGGGCGAACACTCCCGTAAATTTCAACTATATTTGACCGATTTTAAGACATTTTTTTTTTTTATAAAGAACAATACAATATATGTTCCCCTTGAACAGCGAATGTTCCGTCGTGTTTATCCAATTATTTACATTTTTAAATCGAGAATACCAAATACTCGGCTGCATTTTAATCTTTCAGTGACCCTGTCATATAATAGCATAAATAACAAACATTACGTTGATAATATTATGTTAGGTGAGCCTAACGTTACACGTCTAATAAGTCGGCATTAACGTGGGCGACCGGTACTAAGCTCATTATTCCTTTTTTATTCGCACCAATTACCAAATGAAGAGAATATTAATTTATCTCACACGTGCGAGTGCCGTGTGCACCAACAGTCAATAACGTTTGTTCGAAATGTGATTGTTTAACATTAAAATACCAGTATTAAACATTACTTATTCGTAATTTTTAACATTTAGGATATAGATAACATTTTTAAAAGGTATCATTTTAAATAACGAGAATCAATCCGTTTTATTATACAATTGCGTACGAATGTTGAATAATATTTTAACAATACAACACTACGGCTATATATTTTATTCACTGTAAAAATGAAGAATGAAAAATCAAATTTTCAATTGAAACTTGTAATTATACCTAAACCATTATAACCTTAACTTGTATAAATAAAACATACAATATTATGTTTTGTCGATTTACATTGTTTACTTTTTCAATAATTATAGAAATTGAGTGTATCGTTGATGTGCTTTCAACAGTTGATCATTGGCTGTTCGTATGTATTTTCATCTATACTTTTGGCCCAGTTACGTGAACCCAAATCGGCAATTAAATTGAGCAGCGATGAAGCTTCGTGGATCGGTAAAGTCAATTTTTTTTTTTATTATTATTTTTTTACTCGATATATTTTAACAGTTGTCCGTCAGTTAATACCTAGGTACTCACTTAAAGTATATTCATTTTGAAAAAAAAATTATTTCTTTTCCCTAGTAAGGTATAATGTAGACAAGTCAATATATGTAGGCGATTTGAGAGAAGAATATTCTCGGGATACAACAAATTGCATATTGTTTAGTTGTAAACGGAAAGTTAAAACAATGATAACATATCCATTCCATTATCTAATCTTACTCGAAGGTACCTATTTATGTTAGGTATAATATGCCGTGACTGTATAGTAATTTTACTGGGTACATATCGAATATCACCATGATTTGAATACTAAATGCCATACTGACAGCTGATAAGATTGAGAATGATAAGATCAAATCATTAATTGGTTATCGGGAGAGACTAAATGGGTATTGATCAATGATCATTATAGTTAATGTTAAACATTTTTACAGTGGGATATTACAAACTCGATTTACTCAATTAATTAGTATTATTAATTCTGGTACTTTTACGTTATCTCGATAACGAAAACATTTACAAGACTGCCTACTAGCTATAATGTTCCGTGTTATCTCGATTACAGCAATTTATTTATTTTTTTTTTTTTTTTTTGTGTATGCCTGTGATCAATTTTTCTATTAGAAACACTGCTGAAATCAAAAAAAGACAAGAGACATTCTTTGTTGCGTATTCAATCTCGTTCGTGAATAAGGATATGATATTTTAATTTTCCCTGTAGTTTTATAATAACTGAACAAAATCATATGAGCAGTCTCGATCCGGGACGAATGATATAAAATAATAATAAGGAAGTACAGAGATTCGGCTGAACGGATTCAAAAACTAGTAAATATTTACGACAGAAATAATAATTTTTCCGGTGTATTTCAATTTTAATTTTTGTATATTTTCTGTAATTATTTGTTCGCTATTTATTTTTTTCAATTAAACGATTTTCTTTCGCTGTTTTTGTATTCAATATTTTGTGTTTTTGATTTTTTTGTTTTCGCTACTTTGGAGGTGAACCATATAACCGCCACATCACTTTAAATCAAAATATTCTCGCGGCCGACTTTTGGATACTGTTTCGTCAAAATAACAAAACAAAAAGCACAACAGTTCTCTTTTAAACATACAAACTGTCCGCAACGTGCACACACGCGGAAACGAATTGTCATTTATTGTAATTTTCTAGCCAGTATACCAATACTCGTATGTCCAATCGCTTTACCGATAATCGGATTATTAACGGACAAGTTTGGCAGACGCAAAACAATTCAGCTTTCCTACGTACCGTTGATTTTAAGCTGGCTGATACTCTCAACGGCCGATTCTTACAGAACCATTTTAATCGGAAGAATGATTTTGGGAATCGTTTTGGGTAGGTTACCTGAATAATAATAAAATTAATCTCCGAGTACAGGAATTTTTTTCACCGCCGTGGCCATGCCATGGCAATAGCGTGACTGCACATTCGGCCCGCATGTGTTTCGTTTGCATGTTTACAGGTTCGGGGTCGTGCGTATACGTGTACATAGCCGAAATATGTCCGGCCGAGCAGAGGCCGTTTTTCAGCGCGATGGTGAGCGTGTTCATGGGATTCGGAAACATAATGGAAAGTTCGTTGGCCGTGTTTTTCCACTGGCACACCGTGTCGATCGTGTTGGCCGCGGCGAGTTCGGTGGGTTGCGCACTGCTGTTTCTCGTGCCGGAACCGCCCGTCTGGCTGAGGAACCGAAACCAGATTGACGCGGCGGAAAGGTCCGAGCGGTGGTGGTTCGGCGCGGACTCCGGAGAAAAGACGAAGGTCATCGCCTTCGAATTGGTCAACACTGTCGTACTGCCGGCGGCGGCGGCGCCGCCGGAAGAGAACCCGGGCGCCGCCGCCGCCGCCGGCGATGGCCAATGGTGGTCGGTGTACGCGCGTCCGATTGTATGGAAGCCGGCGCTGATCACATTAGGATTTTTCATCTGTCAACAGTGCAGCGGCTTCTACGTGATGCTGTTCTATTCGGTGGACGTGCTCAGGGACTTCAAGGTGCCGTGGGACGGCGTCACCGTGAGCGTATACCTGTTCGGCACGCGCGTAATAAGCAGCGTCGTATACGCGTGCCTGCACCGGGTAAAGCGAAAAACGCTGGCCGTCGCCAGTTGCATCGGCATGGCCGCGTCACTGGCCACCATCATCGTGTACGCGAAATCGTTCGACGGCGCCGACCGGCCGCCGTTCGGCACCGTATTGACACTCGCGTTCGTCGTGTACGTGTTCTCCGGCCAGATCGGAATGCTGCCCATGCCCTGGATCTTGTGTGGCGAGGTGTTTCCGATGGCCGTTAAAGGTGCGTACGAGGTTATGGTGTTGGGTCAGTAACTAGATGTGCGCGCGTACGGGCACATTTCCAGGCGCCCGGCTCGAGCAATGAGACCGCATACGACCGCATATAGAGAATCGGTTCTCGACCTTTGTGCGCGTATTATACAACCCAATTACCTAAGATTTTAAACCGATTTTCCGGCTGCGTACGAATCGCGTCCCGAAACAAAAATAATTATTTTGTATAGATCACACTGTTATTCAAGTAGTATGCGTGTCGTTTGTTTAGTACTTAGTTCGTATTACCATTGCATTGTGCTTTTATAATATTCGTATAGTATTCGATCGCGTTCGCGTAAACGTTGACGTAATTTTAAATCTTCTTTTAATTAATAAAATTACATCGGTACTTCGGGTAAAAAACAGTGTTTTAAAAAATTTCGTATAGATCGACACAGATTTCGTTACCATAAAACATTAAAGAATAATATTCAACGTTGGAATAATTGCTGTAGAAAAACGTCTGTATTAAACAAAGTGATAAGAAGACGTCCTAGGATGATAGGGACGTGTGCGGCCACTGTTATAGGTAATTAAAAGTATACCTGAAAGCAACGATAAACCATTGCTTACGAAAAAAACGATTCTGAGCGGAGTTCAGTTGATAGTGATGCTTTATCAACCATATATATGCCGTATTATAGTAAAATAATTAAGTAGGCTTTATATATTTTCTTTCATAATATTTGTTTAACGTTGTACCGATTTCCCCGGTTTTCCTATGTTTTTTCAGTTTTCACATTTGCTGAGAAAACTTAGGAGAAAGTCGAAAAACTAGAGTACAATGTACTCTTGTTGAAAAAACACCTGGAAAAATCGAAAAAATTAACACTCTAAAGTACCTCCTCAGTCAAATTTCCCTTCAGAAAAAGCGCTATCAATGTAGCAAAATTGCTGGTAGAAAAGTTGTTCACAAGAAAAAAGAAGGCCGTAATATTTTTTAGCCAATGCCAACATTTCTTACACTTTCCTGTTTTTCCTCAGTTTTTTTTTTTTTTTGGTTTTCACATTTGTCGAAAAAACAAAATTCCTGGGAAAATCGAAAAATGAACTCTCTAATGTACCACTTCCTTCTGTTATTTTCAATACTTCGAAAGTTCTCTGACTGGTCCGTAGTGCCAAAAAAGTTGAGAACCACTGATATAAATGATTAATAAATAAACCTACATGAAAGCTAAGAGATGAATAAAAGTAAATTTATATTTATACAATATATACACGTTTTTTTTTTCTTTTTTTATAGGTACTATGAATGGTATTGTACAAACAGGAGGATTTGTTTTAATGTTTTCGGTTATAAAGATATATCCATTAATGGTATCGATCTTAGGAATACAAAATATTTGGACAATATTTACTTTTATATGTATATTGAGTGCTGTATTTTGTTTATTTATACTACCAGAAACAAAAGGAGTGCCTCTTGATGTGATTTTAACATACTTTGAGCCACACAAAAAGGCTATCAAAATAAATTTACCATAGTTTTAAATAGACAAATAGGAAATGCAATAAAATGTTACTTTGTCAATTAATTATAATTTTATGAATTAATTTAAAATCGGATTGACTCTTTCACTCCGGAACGTGCCTGTTTAATTTTCAGCGTTTGAATGCTAAAATTAAACATATATATTTCATGTTTCTATGGATACATCCACATGAGATTGCATGTTTTCATGCAATCTCATTTCATTGCAATGTTTTCACATTGCACTTTTTCTCAAATTGGAGCGACAATTCATTCTTGAAAAAATAATAATTTATATTTAATGCACGCTTTTTGTCAATGGAAATTATAAAATATAAAATACAATAATTTCATGTGAATTTCTTACTTATAAACATGTTTTGCATATATATTTTAAATATTTACAATTGAAATATCTATTTTATACACCGATATTATTATAATTTTGTCTTTTATCTTTTTTTTTTTTATTTTAAAATTGTATTTTGTAATGTTATGCTCACATAACATAATATTATAACTGTATAACTATTTATTATTTATATCATTACAAAAATGTAACTAAAAGATTCAAATATGGCCGAGTACTTGGTAGTTTACAAAAGGTAAATAATTTAATAAATGTAACGGATCGTTCGCTATTCGAGAGGGATGCAAGCTTATCTACAAGCAAAATAATTTAAATATGTGTCAAATATAACAGAACTGCGTGCCATCTGCTGCGGCCCTTTGAGGACACTGCCGCCTCAGTCATACTATTGTATATTGTCTTATTTTCAAAATTCGATTATTAATTATTTTTTATCGATATTGACGCGATTTCCATCTGTTCCGTCTTTTTAAGCATACAAATTCCAGTGGATTTCTATCATTCGAGAAGAATCAATATCCAATCCATTACCTTCATTTAGAAAATTTAAACACATAAAATTTACCGTNCTACGCTCCACCAACTTCTTTCGAGGATCTCTCTCGAATAGCTAGCTCCGACTTTTAGCAGCTATAATCACTCGTGTTCGATTTATTTATTAATTCACTTTGTAATTCAACCTTTTATTTTCCTAATTTAAAAATTAGCATTTTTTATCTGAGTGCACACAGGTGTTAAGTGTTAATTAATTAAATTAGTTTATCTTAATTAAATTGTGATTGCCGTCCAACGACTCCAGGTTCACGTGAGGTTATCCATAAGTATACACCCTAGCGTTCCAACACCGTGGGCAGGTAATATAATTATATTTTTCTTTAGTTATTGATTTCGTCACCATTCTCGGATTCACGACTCCGAAACCCTTTCAAACATAGGAAGGAAGGTAGTAATATACCTAGTAGGCTGAACTTTTATTATGATTAAAGATAAATCATTCTTTGTAGTACCAAAACTTAGATCGATTATTTCACACTATATAGGCACATTTTTATACCTACTCCTTTATATTTCATTCTTTGTAGGTATTTCTACGTGATTATCCTATCATTTCAAATATATTTGTCTTCTATTTCTATACTTAGTGTCCTAAGTCTACTACTATCCCCCTAACCACGACTCTCTTTATATTTTCCCCCGTTTAAACCTCTTTTAACTCCTCTTATTTGCTTCCCCTTTTTATTTTTCCTATTTTTTGTACTACTACAATTTTATATTTTAGTTAAAATCTATCATTTTTTTTTCTTTTTAAATAGTTTTCATACAATGTATATACTACACACACTGATTAAATTTTACTTAAATAGGTAATCACTATTCATTAATAAAAAAATAATGAAAAAAAAATTAGGTTTTTATGTCGGTAGAGTAATGAATGGTCACATAAGGGTATGCATCTGAGTAAGAGTATGGGCGATATTGTTACCGATGTTTTCACGTGCATTATTTTCCCATTCGATGTGGAATAAAAAAAACGGTTAGTGTGTATAGAAATAAAATGACGGACATACATTGCACGTTGGTGGGTCATTGCTATAGGTGAAAAGTTAGGAAGGTAGAAGAGGGGACATTTAATGTGTATCTGTATCCCATTGCTAAAGAAAAAACGATTCTGGGCCGAGTTTGTTTAATAGTGTTGCTTTGCCAACAATATACATGTAATATTATGGTAAATAAATTACATAGGCATTATATATTTTTTTATAATTATTTAATATTTTACAAATTATTTTCTGGTTCATAATAAAAATAAAAATACAAACATACGTCCCATTGTTTTAGTTGAGAAATTGGGAAGGTAGAGGCAAAATTTAATGTATATCTGTACGCAATGACTAACTACTGCTAAAACTACTAACTACTAACCAAACGATTCTGAGCAGAGTTTGGTTAATAGTGTTGTTTTGTCAACAATATGCATGTCACATTATGGTAAAATTATTACATATGCATTTTACATTTTCTTTAATATTTGTTAATATTTATTCTTTAATATTGTACCTATTTCTGTTTTTCCTACGTTTTTCTCGACACTTTTTCCCATTCATTATGAAAATTCCTAGGAAAATCATAAAATGATCTCAAAATACATTCTCAATCCGATTTCCTTTCAGAAAAAGTGCTACACTTATAAATCAGAACAATACTTCTGGTCGAATAGTTGTCCACAGAAAAAAAAACATCTTTGTAAAACCAATAAATTCCTCGCACCACTCAGAATTAGAAAACTCACCTTGTATATATATTGCCTAGAAAGAGTAGACTGTAATGCACAATTGGTGAAATTGGGATAAAACGCCCAAACATTTTGTGGCCTCGGTGGTTTTCAACCTGGAAATCATGACCCACAAAGGGGTCACTAGTGATAGTAGTTAGTGAGTTACCAAAAACCAAAGTAACATGTATACTGTGTATTGCTGTATTTAAGATCTATTAAACAATTTTTGCTTGGGGGATCATCTTATATGATACAAATTAGGGATTCACGTTTTGTAAAAGGTTGAAAAAGGTTGTGACCTTGCAAAGATTAAGTTTACAACGAAACACATAGAATTGAACGCAGACCAAAATGCTCCAAAATAGAATATTTATTAAAATAAAAACTTACAGAGCACAAGAGTCCATTTTTACAATAATAATTTAATAATCGTTGAGAAATATTTTTTTATAAAATAAATGCATCAGCCCATGACAGTATAGCTTGCTATCTTGTTATGGCTAGTGACGCGAACTATAATTTTCTGAGCAGACATATCACATATGTATAATATATTTTTATATAACAGAAATAATATGAATGTAACAAGTAACAGTAACTATTGCTTAAAACAATATAGTAACATATTAAACAATTTAGAGAATATAACATTATATCCTCATAATTGTACGAAATTGTACGTAATTCGATTTCGACAGAATTTCGCGTGCACAATTCAGTTACCGTTAAGTCAATATAAATAACTCAAAATGACGAACACTTACGTGAATTTATCATAAGCTACATAAGAACCATACGAGCAAGCCATTGTACAGTAGCCAATATTGGCTATCTCCCTTTATTTTTTATTAGATGACGAATTATTCCAATTATTTGTTATGGATTCAATTACTTGACAAACAGACCTATTCGTTATGTATCACTGAATGTCCTGTAATTCGTTTATTTTTTTTAATTTTAACATTACCCCTACGCGTATGGTGACGGCATATTCACGGGTGGTAATGCCTGAATCATTTGTAATTTTAGATTTAGAGCACAGTGAAGAAAGTATTTGTTTTAAATGATATTTATTTTGTTTTTTTTCTGTGAACAAATTTCCTACCAGAGATTTTGCAACGGTTTTCAATAGTAACACTTCTGGAAATGCGACTGGTGTGATCATTTAAGCAGGTTATTTTTTAATTTTCTTAGGAATTTTCATAATAAATGAGAAAACCCTAAAAATTTACGAATTTTATTATTTCCAAATCGAAAATATTACGGCTTTTCAAAAGATAACCTATAATAAAACTCCAATGATTAATCGTTGCGTACAGATAAACATAAATTTTATCCTCTACCATCCCAGCTTCTCACCTACAATAGTAGCCCGCCTGTTATGCGGAGTATGTCCGTTTGTTTTTCTAAACGAAAGTAAAATTTAGATTACCGTCGCGTAGGTATCTAACACGACTATAGGTAGATTATTATCTATAACCGTGATACCTACCCTAAGGTTATTTTTTCGATATTTAACGAATATTATACAAAATATGGTGCAAAGGCTCACGGATAGATAACGTTGTCATAGTATTCTAATTAAACAAAGATAAAACTGTGTAAAATTTGTTTAGTTTCTATAGTTAAAACTGAGAATATCCGGAAATTATACGTAATTCGATTTCCACAGCATTTCATGTGCACAATTCGGTTACCGATAAGTCAATACAAATAACTCAGAATGACGAAAAATATGAATCTTCTTAACGGCATAGCGTATCCGGATGTGTTATAAAGTGTGGTTTTATTCCGCTCATTCTGTTAGGTTGCACAATGATGAGGGCACAGTTTTATGAGTACTGGGCTGTGATCGTCTTCTCAATTAGGATTAGGTGCTAGGTATGTTAGGTAGGTTAGGCTTAATTAGTGTTGAAAGATCCTACAGCCCAGTGCTATGATTACTTATATCTGAGTGTGACCTACCTACAAGCGAATACATTGGTTTTCTCTAGACCATCGTTCGCAATTTGAAAAACTATCAAATCCTGGACAATTTCCAATTGACTAATATTAATAGAGGGAAATCTCTGAAAAGATATACACTTTTGGTCACCAGAAATTCGTTCGTTATTCGGAGGCTTCCGCTATTCTGAGTACATGAACTTTCTCAGGATGGACGAATGAGTTTATTCAGAACATTCAGTCTTCTTTAAATTTTATTTCAGAAATATTTCAAAAACTGTTTATATTTTTTATTTTAAAATTTACTTTTGTCTTACCTATGTAAAATTCATTACAGGTACACTTAAGTTTATATATACCAGCATTTTCAAAAAAGGGAGAATTTTTGTTCTATTATTGTTTATATGTTTGATTAAATTATGATCAGTGTTAAAAGCTATTTTTACATTATTTGTATTATTGTTCAGAATTTTAGCGAATTTGTTAAACATATTATTTTGATAATTAATACTAGAATAGTTAACATCATTATTTGGTAAGTTGTGTTTTTTTTTTTATAATATTTTGTTTATGCATTTTTTTTTTTAATAGTATTTAAATTGAAATTATTTCTATGGGCTTTATCATAGATAATGATGTTGATCTCGTGTTGACAATTATGTTTATTTAATGAAATACGTTCAGGCCTACAGAATATTAAATTAAAAAATTATATTTTTGTAGAATAAGAGTGATTAGAATCTAGAATTATGAGGTATTAGAGCATCAGTTTGTGTAGGTTTCCTATAAATATTAAAATCAAATTTACTTTTTACTATGGGAACTGTAAGATTTAATTAATTTGATCTATTATTTATTTGTATTTTAAGTGTAAATTAGATGTTTTTATTTATATTTATATACTTTATTTACTTATACAATTTAACTATAAAAATTTAAAAATTTTATAACAAATTAGTAATTTTAAATGTTGAGAGAATATTTCAGCTTATATAATTTTAGTAGTAATAGATTACGATATGGAAATATCAAAACGCCTCTATATTACTCTATGAAACACACCAACAAAATGTGTAGGTATCAAATCAATAATAAAATATACTGTATAACCATTCTTTTTTTATGGTAAAATCTGTGTTAAAAGTGTAAACTTTTTTTTAATCTGCCAAAACTATTGTTGATCATTTAGGGATATATTGAGTATTGAAATGAATACAATACATTTAGTTTAAAAACAATAAAATATAATCAGAAATTCAGAACAATATTAACATTTTAAGACTCATATGATATTTTATTTTAAAAAAAAATAACAGAAAATTTAAAAAATAATTGTTAAAATTCAAATTTCCAATAAGCTATGGATAGCAAGATTTTTTAACATATTCAAAATAATACGATTTGTTTATATTATCTATACATATAGTTAGTATAATTTTATCTCATTAGTATTTTGAAAAGCGCGAGGTATTAAAGGAATAAACAAAAATTATTAAATTAAATTTTGTACCATTTGAATACAAATAATTTTAACACACATTTGGCACAAAATTATAACATGACTCAGAAAAAAAAAATCAACAACGTTTAAACAATTATATAATATAGTTATGAAATTAATACATTTAAAAAATAAATGGTTGTAAATCATAAAAAAACATGACATTGTATAAACTTAATTAATAATACTGAATAGAAAAAAAAAAAACAGAAAAAACATTAACTAAAATACAAAATACTTCACTGCATACGCAACATAGATAGATGTATCTAATAATAATAATAATAGGTCATAACAATAATAATATGATAAACATAATCAATGATAATATTATAAATTAAAATAATTGCTAATTAGTATCTAAGTGATGACTAGGTTGTTTTGCTTATATAAAGATTCAATACTTTATCATTTTGATAATTTAATTAATTAGATTTTGGGATGGGCTTTTAAAATATGCTTTAAGTGTTTTAAAACAAAAAAAAAATTATAACTTTATAATTATATTATTATATCTAAGGATGTAATTAGAACTATAATATTTGATTTTGATCGATATAAAAGTAATTCTTAACATATATTTGAATTAATCATGTAAAATAGTTCAAGGGTGATTTTTGACAAGCCCCCAATATAATATAAATTAATTTCATATGTAATCTATAAATAATGAAAAACTACTATATAATTATTTAAATTTAAAATTGTACACTAATCAAATAATATAATTTGCATAAATTTGGTGAAGTATGGTTAATTTAATACCTATAATTTTCTCAGACTTTGGGAAATTTCTTCTGCACTCAAAGGTGGAAGTGTAAAATTTTAAAATAAGAAATGAAATTAACAAGCCCATAACCCTATGAACTTTACTCTCATATTACATAATTAAGTAATCAATTTCAGTGCATTAAGTGGTAATTATTTAACTAATGTAAAATGTGATAATAAAAAAAATAAGTTAGCCAATGCTTTTATTATATTTTCCTAAACATATTTAATTTTTACCAATAGATTGTGCAAAATCATATATAATATATACTTCTATCATTATATTATGTTATGTTATGTATATATAAACAAAAAATATTATAGTAGAAACATTTTTGTACCTATTAATTTATTATAATAATAAATTGTATAATACAAAGTTGATATACTTTGTAGATAAATTTATTAATCACTAACTGTATTAGATTATAATATAAAACCTAAGTTATTAGAAGTAATAGCTTTTATGATATTAATATTCGTGTTCAGGTTCTTTTTTTAAATCACAATTTTTTTTTAAGATGGTTTTTATCACCATATACAATTTATTGTTACTTATTATTAAATAATATAAATTTAATGTTAAAAATAATATTAAATTTTAAATTTCACTCAATAAATCACTAATTTATTTAAGCTTCTTAATATTAATACATGTAGCTGGTTTACAAAATGTCTATACAATCACATTTTAAATTGCTTTTATGAACTCCTGTCTTGGATTAAATTTGAAAGACATTTTTTAAATCAAATCTATTATTATATATTATGTGTATTTAATATAATTTATAAAAAAAATTTAATTTGGTATGAAAATAGTTTTAATTTTTTTTTTTTTTTTTATATTTAAATTTAAATTATATATTTCAATGTTTGCAGAACAGTGTTGTGGAAGGGGTGCACATTTAGTTACTACTTGGGGTCTTTTAGAGATCTAATATATTTCAATGGTGTAAAAATACAACAATTGATAATATTACAGTATTTAATATTATATTTTATCCGATTTTGTTTATTTAACATCATTATGTTTTTATAAACAAAACAATTTTCACTATAAAATAATTAATCCATTGTGTTGGTAGGCTAAAATCAAAATTAACATGTTCCAAAAAATAGGACAATAAGCTTATGACACAGTTTTATATGATTTTTGTTAATGAATCAGATTCTGTAGTCAGTTTGATTTAAAATGCACTGGAACATGTCTGAATTCAATCAGGAGAGTAGTGATTTATGAATAAACTAAATTTTATTGGATTATGTGAGTTTTGATACTGAAGCTTATTTAACCTAAATGATTATACATTATTCATATAAAATGTACAATATGACTTATAGTTATATATATATATATATAGATATAATTTATTTATATTCATAGTAAAAATTAAGTATTAATAATACAATTGATGATTCTACTAAGTCTTAACCACAAATACCCACATAAAAAAAATATATATCAAATTATTATTTGAATCAACTCTTTCTTAATATCATTGTCACTATTGCAAAACACAAACGAATAACCATTTTAAGTGTAATCAAAGTAAAGCTCAAAACCAAAATTATGAAAAACCATCAGTAGTTTTATTTATCTATGTCCAATATGTTAGATTTATACCTTAGTATAGGTCTAATAATTTCTTATTCGTGTATTGAAAATAGTCTCATTCTTTTACTAATCAATAAAAAATACTGAAATTCGATAAAAATATGTTTAAAGAGACATGTGTAGTACAAGTGTTACAGCAGTATTATTGAACTTGTGCTTGGAGATATGGAATCACTTAATTGCACATTTCTATGAACATATTAATCTTTTTCTTGGCAACTCAGGCAAATGTAAAAGAGAAAATAAATACCTGTTTAGGTATCATAATTAATATGGGTACACATATTTAAACCAATTGAAAATATGGTAAAAAAAATAGTTAAAGTTATATATTTATATATATTATATTTAATAAAACACATATGGAATTTTTATTGAATTGCAAATATTATTGAAATGTTATGTGACCAAAGATAATAGTTAAAGTTATATATTAATATATATTATATTTAATAAAGCACATATGTAGTTTTTACTGAATTGAAAGTATTATGGAAATTCGTAAGTCACAAAAATAGTTCACATTATAATTAAGATTAATATTAATATAATTTTATTTTAATATAAGTAGTTACTAAAATTTCATCTCATTTGTTATTAAATAAAATATAAGTTCTATATTGTACACGCCATTCCACTATACAACCCTGTTCAGGTAAAATTAAAAATAGATAAAAATTTGTAGCATGCTGTAGAACCATATTTAAAATAAATTTACTAATATTTTAAGTTACAAATCAGCACATTAAGTTATATTTTTCATTGATTATTTACTAAATGGTCCATTTCTTAACAATGTATTGCATAACTTTACTAAAGATTAAACATTTAAAAGGCCACTTGAATGAACACACTTAACTGTCTATAAGGGTAATGCTGAGAAAAATAAAGAATTATTTTTAAAAATAAAGTTATTAGTCTTTTATAAAACTAATATTTACAATATAATTTATAATATATATATATATATATATATTCTATACCTCTTTTCTATCTATATCTTAAATCAAGTTTGTAATTATAGCTAAAAATGATTGTTGTTCGATATATATGAGTAGGTAACTAAATCTAATTTAAATATATAATTTGTATTACAACTATTTAAGGCCCACTGTGAAATAAGTTTTATCCATATCAGACTAGAAATGTATTACTTTTAACAATTAAAGTACTTAAGAGATTCGATTATATCCAAATCTTTATAATGTTATTGAATTCTATAAAAGGCAACAATGTTTCCTTTAATAAATTTACTAATTTAAGATTACTAATATTACAATAATTTTCATAACAAAAATGTAGATAAATTAGAAGAATGTCATGTTAGAAGTTTTATTAAGATAGTAATAGGTAAAATACCAAATTAATACTTGGATCACAAATAGTTGTTGCCTAGTCAGTTAATAAATTATTACTTATAATAATAAAAATAAAAATGCATAGTAAAAATAATAACTATCATAATTGTCAGTAAACTTTATGAATGTCCAATGAACACATAGGTAGAACATTCATAGTTGAATATAATAATAAAAGGCGTTTTATTTTATGATCAATAGTGACTAGTTTGTTTATAATAAAATGCAAAATAATACTGTTTAATTAACAATAGAATTCTAATAATTTGGAGCTTAGGGAACTGAATCAAATCAAATTTAGCTTAACTATTATTAATGGGATCGAACAATATATTTAATTAATTTGGACTAGATAAAATATAAGAGGGAAGAATTGTATTAAAATATATATTAATACATATAATTAGAGGCACCACGTGAATAAATATCAAAGTAGTTACATACGTATCACATAATAATAATCCTGATTGAATGTATTGCAGACAGTTATTGTACATTTTCTTCAATTGATGGTTCTATAATTAAAATAAAAAAAACCGAAAATATATATATAATGTACATAATTATTATTTTAATATGATTAAAAAAAATATATAATAAAATAATATAATTATTTTACTCACCTTCAATAAATACATTATTTAACGAAAATAATATTATTATTTTGAAGAATCTGTATGAGTAAATTTGCTTGGATTGAAATCAAGATTCACAAATGAAAATCCTTGAAACTCTTCTTGGTTAATAGACATAGTCACATTAGCTGGTACAGGTGTCAATGCTGGATCTTCTTTAGTGAACTCTGTATCGAAGTTCATGGCATCTTTTTTATTTTTCTGATTAAAAAAAAATGTAATTTAATTACACCTTGATTTTATGAAATACAATAACGTTTTTTTAATGAACAAATAATGAAAAGTTAAAACAAAACTATTCAATTGTGGAAAATTTAAATTAAATAAATAATATAAGAGATAAAAGTTTTAAAAGATAATAAGGTGTAGGGGTGTAATAGGTGTAATAAGTAAGGTGAATAGGTAATTTTATTAAATTATAATAATTAATATAAAAAAATAAAAAATAAAATTTTATTATAAATATTTGATGGGAAAATAATATTCAATCATAGATGTAAGAAGCAAAGTTTTTTTCTTATTAGGTTTAAATTATTTTAAATTTTCTTCTTTAAATTTACTTTATGAAAAATCACTAAAATGTAATATTAATTTTAGTGACCTATCATAGTTTTAATGTTTGTTAATAAATTAAGCAGTAACACAATTAAATATTATGAGATATAATTTCTGTATCACTAATTGCTATTTTGATTTTATTAGTGAATTATGTTCAATTTAGGTAGTTCAGTGAATTAGTTACATAATAAGATAATCTTTATTGTTGCTGTAAAAGCGTATACCTATAATATTGATAACTATATTTTTTTATTTTATACATGGGAGATGCACAATATGTACATGATAATAATATAAATTAAAATTACAATTTTTGGTTTAAATGGTGGCTTGACACGTCGGTTTTCCAAAGCTTCCCAATCCAAATCTCGAAAAAATGCATGAACTTTTATAGCAGCTTCTGTGCCATCATTTGCTATACAACCAAGACGTTTGTTTCGATTTTTTGTCATAAACTAAATAAATAAGAAAAGCAATATAAATAATTAATATTAACACAATTTAATATTATATACAATATTGTATATATCATAATGTTAATATTAACCTATTATATTATATTACCTATTGCCTTAAGTACAATTTTTTTTTTTAATCTAACAACTTTTATAGATATAAAACTAATTAATACTTAATAATAATTTCCATTACATAATATTTTTCAATATTTAGATTCAATAATGCTAATCTACATTTTAACAAACTTCTGTACAGGTAATATAACTATTTTATTATTATAGAAATACTGGTGTTGCTGGAGAAATTCTATCCAGGATAGGTAAGTGTATCATTTTAAAATATATTACTATTATCATAGAAAATAGTAAACGAGATAACCAAGCATCTTTTTTATTTTATACAATAGTCATATACTATCATAATCTGCAGTCCAATTAAATTCTTTGAAACAAAATATTTTTAATATTTTTTTTTATACTAATAATTTAAAAGCTATACATTATAAAATGTATTATTAAAGCCAAATATTCCTAAATAATTATATATTAGCTTTGAATTCAAATCTATTCTTGTTCAGTTAAATAATATTTTCAATTATTAAAAACAAGTAGATATAAAGTATTTTGATTGAAAACATAATTGTTTTTTTATACTTAATCATAAAAATAATTTTAGAAATTATAAAATATAAAGCCTAAAATAAAAATTTAGAATACATTTAAAACAATTTTCAGAACCAGTGTTGGTTTGGCCCACCTGCATACCCCTGAGATTTATTCTTAAAATAAAGGCCCCATGGGATCATGCCAATAGCAGAAATCATATTAATTATTTTTTAATATATTTGTGTAAAAAAACGGAAATACTTCATACAATAGGTAGGCCACTGTTATAAATGAGAAGTTGGAAAGGTATAGAGGAAAATTTAATATATATCTGTATGCAACAATTAAAAATTGCTAATAAAATACCAATCTGAGCTGGGCTGGGTTAATAGTATTGCTCTTTCAGCAATATATATGTCATATTATAGTAAAATAAATATTTATTAAAACAATTTGAATGGACCAGTAACTAAAAATTATTTTTACTAAAATGATTTTCGTCAAAATTAAATTTGATATTAAAATTCTTATAATGTTATGATTATTAATATAAAAAGTCTATGTTATGTACTTTATGTGTAATTTATTTTATACAGTTAATAAAGTTGAAAAAAATAAATAAATTTTACCAAATAATTAACATATTTTGAAATTTGACCCTAATTGTGATATTTATACATTGGAAACTAAATTAACTTGATGATTAACTTAACTTGATATATGGTTTATATGAGCATTGATGTGATATACACCCGTTCAGTATTTCAACCGAATTTAGTAAATTAATGTAACATATTTAATACATACATGTGGTTTCGCTAAAGAATAAAATTTAAATGTATAACAATGTAATTTTTGTATTAAATCTAATTATTAACATTTCTAGGAGAATACAAACAAAGTGAGAAAATTGTTTTTTTTAGTTGATAGTTATTGACTTTGAATACTATAATTTGTTGTTTAGGAGCCCATTGAAAATATGATTGGGGGCCCAATCATGAGCCAGAACAACACTGGTCAGAACTATATCCTAAAACTTTTATTTTATAGAATATATAAATATATATATATATATATATATATACCCCTTTCAAAATAGATACTGCTTCTTTGCTGAGCCAAACTGGATAAAGTACATCATCATGTAATATTGACTCAAATAAGTCATCTTCATTATCAGCCTCAAATGGGGGCTGACCAGCCATCATTTCATACATTAGTACACCTAAGGCCCACCAATCAACACTTGCACCATAATGTAATTCTTGAAGAATCTGTTTAATTAAATATAGTAAAAATAAAAATTATATTCAAGCATTATTTAAATTGAATTCAAAATCAAAGTAATGAAACAATTGATCATTTTCATTTGTTACCTATGACTATATAACAATATATTACATACACATCTTTTCTTTTAATATAAATAATTCTTATTATAATTAAAGTTTTAATCAAATTATTATTTTAAATCGCTATGTTCTTTTATCATGTAATTTATACAAATTTAAAGTTAATTAAAAACATAATTAATAGAAAAAAACATTATTTCTTCAATTTGGATATAAATTTTAACAAACAGATTTTCATAATACAGGTAAACAACCAGAACTTTAATTAACACACAAACTCAATCCAAAGAATATATTATTAGTTATTTTGTATTCTTGAAGATAATTAATTGCAATGAAATAATTATAACAATTTAATGTTTTCTTACTTCTGGAGCAATATAGTCAGGGGTTCCACAAAAAGTAGTAGTCGTAACTCCATCAATTATACCTTCTTTACACATTCCAAAATCAGCAAGCTTACAATGTCCCTCATTGTCTAATAATATGTTGTCTAATTTTAAATCCCTGTAGACAATATTAATAGAAATTAGACAATTAAATAAATACATATTAAAATTTTATTATGAATAACTTAAAACAGTTTTACTTAAAAAAATTAGATAAGTAGCAAGCATACAATTCTTCAAGTTAATAAAAATACATGTACACACAAATGTATAGATTCATAATTGAATAAAACAATAAATTATGATACATGTTATTCTTTAAATTTTGTAATAGTAATGTATTAAATAGCATTTAAAAAATATTCACCTATAAACTACACCATGTCGATGGAGAAACTGCAAAGCAAGTGTAACTTCTGCAGCATAAAATCTAGCACGTGGTTCATCAAACTTTCTAGCTCTTTGTATTTGAAACATCAAATCCCCACCATTTACGTATTCCATAACAAAAAATAGTCGATCCTAACAATACATTAATATAAAATGAGTACTAAATAAAAATTTTAAAAATAATTCAAATAGATGTACTTTAGTTTGAAAACAAGAATGTAAAGCAGTTAAAAATGGATGTTTAGCAGCAAGTGCCAAAATACGTTTTTCAGTCATGGTACAATCAACATCATCATCTTGGACAATTACATCTTTCTTTAACACCTAAATGATAACAAATTTTTAAATTATTATCCTATGAAAATAAATAACATATCATACTTTAACAGCATAAACTTCATCAGTGCCTCGTTTTTCAGCTAACATAACTTTGCCAAAACTTCCCTTTCCCAAAACTTTTATGAAATTAAAATCTGTTGCACTCATTTTTCGATTACTCAGATTAAAACAGCTCATACTTTGATTCACTATAAATAAAAATAATGGTACATGCATATTACAGGTATTTATAATATAATGGTATAAGTATTAAGTAGGTATTATAATATGTTCAAATATTTTACATTTGGCTATTTTATCATTATTTCGTTTATCATTTGAGGAATGTTTATCATTTTTGACAACACTGACAACTGCATTGTTTGACGTTGATTGTTGACTGAGATCACGATGCAAACCTCCACTTGCTGTAATACTGCTCACACTAAAACTTCCATTTCCACTAGCCTGGTCCTATGATGATTAATTAAAATTACCAAAAAAAAAAAAATGTTATTTAAAAATAATAAACTACTATTATATTACATAATATTTAAAATAAATTTAATTAATATTATTAATAATTTGTATAAAATAATATAAATATCTTACAACGTTTTTGCTAAGATTTAAACCACAACTACGTAATGTATCCGCCATTTCTCGTGGATTAATACCACAGTTGTTTGCAACATTTTTTACACATCGTCTATGCACATTCAATGTACACACTATAACAAATACATTTCCAAATCATATTAATTTTGTAGTTTTTTCATTTAAACTGTTCAATAATTATTATATTTAATTAATTGAATTGAGAATAAATTTAAAACCTTCACATTGTAGGCCTTGTTTATAAATTCCATAAAGTAGAGAGCCACAATGATCACAAAATGTAAATATTTTGTATGTATGTGGTTTGAATCTATGAGGAATATTGACACTGAATCGTTGAGATTGATTTTCTTGACTTAACTATAAAATCAATAAGTATATACACATATTACAGAAAACATTTTATGCATTTCAACTAACCATATTGATGAAGATAATTCAAATAAATAAAATTCAACAAACCTCTTTTTTTACAAATCCTGGACAGATTGTAACTACTTCCATATGGCATCGTTTGTGGACAACACAAGTACAAACTGTAAACACATTTTCAGTTAACTATGACAGATTTTGTTGACACTATGCCAGATGATTAAATTAGTAGAAAGAATATTAAGTTGTTATATTTTATGTGATATTTTTTTTACTTTAAAAAAATAGCCTATTTCTGTAACTTTTAACCTCTTTTTTTATATCAAAATAACTTTTTTTTTTAAAAAAAAATGTATTTAAATAACTATAATATATAGCCAACCTGCCTATGTATAGGACATAGGTTTATATTAAATGGGCATTAATGTTTCTAAAAATTCATTGATTCAATTAATAATTGATAATAATAAAATATCTTGATTTTTAATTAATTTTGTTTATATTTGTCTTTAGATACAAGGGCCGTGTTCACGCCATCCCCCTCCTCCTCCATTGACTGAGGTGATGGTTTTATTAATGCATCTTTATAACTAATAAATATAAGTACCAAAACGTTTTCCTAAAATGATAACAAGAAAAAAAATTATGGAATAGTCATAAATTCATATAATATCTATTAGCTTTTATAGAATTATATAAATAGCATCAATTTCGTAATTCAAAGTTTTATTACTCTATGGTATTCGACATCTATAATGGTAATTGTAGTCGAAATCAAAGACAATACAAATTATTAAGAATTCTTAAGATTTTTAAGATCTCATAATTAAGAACACACAGTGACTACAATTACACTGTACACCCTCCCCCTCCACACCATGATGAATCCTCTCAGAATGCCACTGTTTAAAGATGCTACAGTTTGTTCAAATGAACTTGAATTTATAATTCATTGTAAATACAAAAACGTGTAGGTAAAATGATTGAAAAAAATATATATTTAATACTATTAATCCAATAGTATGACATAATAACATAACAACATAACTATAAATAAAAAAAAAGAAAGTAAGTTTTTAACAATAACTACCATTTGGTAAATACGGAAAACTAATTTTAACAATGCATACACATAATTTTAAAATATGCATATCTTTTTAATATATCTATTAAATTATAAATTAAAAATCAATAAATTAGAAAACAATTAAGGATGACATCAAATATAATACTATATTTATTATATTAGAATTAAGTTTCTTTAAGTATTTTAAGTATAGAATTTAATTTTATTAAAATATTGTATTAAAATAATTTCAACAAGTTTTATTAAAACTATTTAAAGTTTAAAAATTTTGTATATATAAGCTGTGTTTGAATAAATTCATGTTCTAAACAATTTTAAAGCCTCTAGGATTATTATTTGTTGGTGTATTAATAAATACTATCCGGACTAGTTTTATTGTAATTTATTTTTCTGTAAAACTACTCAACATTTGGCACATTTTAAATACTTTTACTTTTCCTTTCTGCTTTATCTCAATCCATCATGGTTTTTCATGGACTAAGTTATAGGTTTACACTTCTTAAAATTGTGAAATAGTACTAAAAATCTTTGGAAACAGTTTTAGGTATGTACCTAGATGTAAGATTTTTTAAGAAATAATATTGTTTATTAATATGTAAAATTATATAAATTTGTTATGGCTCTACTGCTACACTTTCCTAACCTAACCCTCCCCACAAAAATTATACGAACCGATACATTATATTATTTCATCCATTTATTAAACTTAAATTAAATTAATTCATGAATTTGTGAAACTAAAAAATGAGTTAAATTAGTGACAAAAAAGTTTTGAAAAATATTTCTGATATCACTAGTATTTTGATCAATAATTATTAATCTTTATTATTTATAGTATTACTGTATTAGGTACTGTCTGAAATAGATATTGTATATTACCTTGACACTGGTAGCCTTGTTTACCAAATCCCCTAGAAAAAATAAAATAAAATAGAATTAATTTTAAAGAATAGTTATTTTAAACTGATATTTGTATTCAAATTAAACAATGCAAAAATTATTTGTATTCACTAATTAAAGTTGTGTATATTTTGTTTACATTGACTGATTTCTTTACCATACTAATGTATAACAAAGTGAATAATAAACCATTATCAATTTTAATGTCCTCAACAAATTCCTATAAATAAAAAAATTATCTGTTAAAAATTTAAAATTAATCAAATACTGTATAAAATTGTTTACTGTGACATCTGTGATTTATTTCAGAATCTATCTAATTATTTATTATTTATTGATGAAACAATAATGATTTTACCTAACCTACTTAAATCTATCAATTCTGTGTTAATAATTCAAAGTTATTAAACCAAATAAATAACGCATTAAAAAATTAAATAATCAAACTGCAGGTCCACTGTCTTCTTGTTATTTTTATTTTTATTTTTTTCAAACTTTTATCAATATTTGGAAAAAATTTATTTCCTGTCTATATAATATTATAATCATATACTGCGATGTATAATACGCTTAGTACAAAAGAAGGAAAACTGATAAATATTTTATACATGTACAGGAGTATAATCAGAAGTCTAATTAACTAACTTTGTATAGTACATACACTATGAAAATAATAAACAGCAACTGTAATCAAATGATTTTTGATGTAGACCCATAAAAGTTTAAGTAAAAAAAAAAATACAAAACAATTAAGAAAAATGTCTATAATTAAAAATAATAATAATGCAATAAACAATTTAGAAACAATAAAATAATAAAGTAAAGACAAAATTATTAAAACTGTTAATAAATATATAAATAAAAATTTGATATACAAATATAAAAATAAATAAATGCATAATAATACACCAGGTAATGCATTTTTATTTTTATAAATACATTTTTTATTTATATATTTATTTATTATATTTAAAAAACAAACAAAAAAATGCTTTGGGGACTGATATAATATTTAGTAAATATTCTTTAGAGTTTCCATAATAACTTAACACAAGTAAATCAAGTATAAATTAAAAAATTAGACACCATATTTTAAACAGTCTCCTAGAATCCTATATAAAATACAATGTATAGGAAACCTAATGATTAATATTTGTAAGGTTAAAATATCTAATAATGTTATATACATTAGTAATGTAATTGTATTTAATATCATATTATATACAATTGCAAATCTTTATTCTACATGTTTATATGTTTATATTATATGTTATATGTATATTATATATTATGTTATATGTTATATGGAAGGAAAAATGTATTGGTTTTACAATAATGTTTATTATTTTATTTTTATTTATATTCTTTTTTTATGTGAACACTTTTTATACCAGAAAACATACTTCAATTATCAAGTATAGCACCTTTTTTGAAAGAAAATTTTCTCTGGGTGGTACTCTAGAGAGTTCATTTTTTTAAATTCTCATTAATATTCGAGATAATAAGGAACACCTCAGTATTTAGATTAAAAAAGATTGAAAGATTAAAAATAAGGTTATCATTGGCAACCATTTTTATTTATTTTTTGTTATAATTAAGTGTTTATTATTTTAATCTTTTTTAAATAATCATTATTGTCATGGAAATGCACACTGTTTTAAGCATTTTACCATANATAGATTACATTAAATTCCCGTCTGTAGCATACCTTCTCAACTTCCTACCTACAACAGTAGCTGCACCCATGTGCGAAGTATGTCCGTCCTTTTTTTTTTTCTAGTATTAATAACTGTATAGGGAATATTTAAAACCGCATTGAATATATTATCGTAGTATGTATGGTATTCATTTTATTAATCGTGTGACTATATTATTTCGTGCCGTTGCTGTATTAAAATCCACTTTTAACCAAATAAATATTTTAATGCTCAGAGGAAATATAATCGTAACGCAGTTATGAACATTGAAGTTGAAATTTGAAATACTGCACTTAAATTACATACTGCAGGTTATCAACATCCGCTTTGCAGTATTCTTTTAACTATTGATTCGAAGGCAATGTTAAATAAGACCGGGGACAGAGCATCACCCTGCCTCACCCCTGTATTTACTGTTAACTCTGAGATTACTGAGTTGAACTTCACTTTGCACCTTGAGTTTAACATACATGCTTTCACCATCCTAACGAGTTTTGCTGGTATTCTTAGTTGGTCATTATGTTCCATAGCTTACTTCTTACTATCGAGTCGCAGGCTTATTTAAAGTTTACAAATAGCAGGTACATTCTTGACTCTTTCGTTATTTGTTTGATAATATGAATTTGGTCAGAGGTGGATTTTCCAGCTATAAAACCTGCTTGGTATTCTCCTACTATCTCTTTAGTATACGGTTTTAGCATATTTAAAATTATGTTTAACTTTAATATGATGTATTAAGTAGGGATACACCCCTATAGTTTTTGCAGTCCATTACATGTCCTTTTTTATATATTGGATACAGTATTGAGACCTGCCATGATTTTGGTATTGTTTCTTCTATCCATATTTTATTTATCAGCTGTTTTAGGTTCATCATTAAAGTACTTCCTCCTTTCATTAAGAGTTCTGACATTATTGAGTCTTCTCCAGGTGCCTTTCCTCCATATAGCATTTCGACCGCAGTTTTAATCTTTTCCAATGAGGGTTCTTCTAGGTATTGCTCTACTGTGACTAAATTATTACCACTCCTTTCTGTTTGGGCTGACACACTCAACATTTTCTTGAAAACCTTTTTGAATTCTTTTGTCACTTCTTCTTTATCGATAATTAAAATTCCCTCATCATCTTTCATCATTGTTGATCTTGGTTTAAATCCATTTTTCACCTTGTTTGCCTTTTCAAAGAATAATTTTGTATTATTTTTGTAGCTATTTTCGATGGTTTCTATTCTGGCTTTCTCCCATATTCTTTTGTTTTTCCTGACTATCTGACTGATTTGCTTTTCTTTGTTTTAAGGCTAAGTCTCATTTATTGGCTTCACTTGGATCTCTTAGCATTATTGTTCTTGCATTGTCTCTTTCTATCATGGCAGTCCTACATTCTTCATTAAACCATTTATTTATATGTCATTTTCCTTGAAACCCCAGAACTTCCTCTGTAATTTTCTTGACTTGACTTGCATAACAAGTTAGTCATTATTTATTTATTTATTTATTTTTTTTTTATTATTAGAAATACATGTAGGTAGCCATTATATTTTGGTTGAAAAAAAAATAACTATTAATATTGCCATGATCTGTCAAGTACATCAAATAAATTATGAAAGTAACATTTTTAGTATTAAAATAAATTGTAACTATCATAATAAATTACCTTCAAAATACTTCAAAATATTTTAAAATTTTAAATAAACTTAAGTGCTCTTTGTTAAAAATACAAAAATATGTACCTATTTAATAAACACACTTACAGACTTCAGTCCTAAATAATATTGAATATAAACATATTGTAAACAACAATTCCAACATATGATTGAATTGTATATAATACAAAAACTATTTTAAAATCAAGACTAAATTTACAGCTAGAAATGTTTTTTGAAATCTTAATGAATATTTTAACTATAATAAGTATTACTGTTATGGTCACTTTTAAGTACTGCACCAAAAATTGATAAAACATTTTTTATTGCATTTGTAATCTAGTTAGTAAGTAAGTAAGTAAGTTGGTTAGTATTTTTTTGATTTTCAAACAGGTTTCATAGTAATTGGGAAAACTGAAAAAAAATGGAAAATGAAAACTGACTAATTTATGGCATTATGATTTTTTTATTTTAAATTTGTACACTATATGTTTTATACAAAATCAAATTTTGATGAAAATGGTAAAGATAAGGAAATTTCAAAACACACCAAACAAGGATAATTTAACTTAAAAATTAGAATCATATTTCATTAGCACTGGTTTATCAATGCTTACAAATATTAAATAAATAATTTTATGTATTCTACCTTCTCAATTTCCCACCAACAACTACAGTAGTGCATCCATCAGTAGTATCAGCTCTTTTTTTTTCTGACTAATTTTTGTAGCCTAACTATGGCGACTGCAAATACATATAAAATTCTGAGTGTTGTGAGGAATGTATTGGTTTTCCCTAAAAACCTGGAATGCTAGAAAATACACGAGGTTCATTATAAGTTGAACTTAGTGGCCAAAAAAATTGTGTAATGTATTTATTTTTATTTTTATTAGTTTAAGATTTATTTTTAACGAAATTCATAAAAATCTTGCTTTTTAAAATACATATGACAGAACTTCCCTCAAAATCGTTTTTCGTTAGCAATGACTTATAGTTGTTTACAGATATTAATTAAATAACTTTATGTATCCTAACTTCTCACTAACAATAGCGATCAGTAACCCACTCATCAGCAAAATCTTAATTTTAACACTAGGTACCTACCTACAACATATAATAAACCCAGTGTTACATTTTTTTACTTTTAGTTAATTTTTTATTTCTATTAAACAATAGCTACTTACCATATAAAATTTCTGCAATGTGAACAAAATGTTGGTTGCCTGAGAAATGTTGCCATAAATTTATGTCCGTTTACTTGATGGACTCTTCTTCTCATGGCACCACGTCTTCGATTTAATAACCCTTGTCGTTCCTTGAATTCCGATGGCCGAGAAGGTAAGTCTGTTACATTTATATTAAAAAAAATGACAAGATATATATTTCAATTTTTAAAAACTAAATTAATGCTCTAATAATCATAAATATAATACATAAATAATACAAATTTGAGTTGAAATTAATAATTTTACCTTTTGAATTCCATTTTAAATCTATTCGAAGATGCAATTTTCCTTGTGGTTCTAAATGTACCTAAAAAGAAAAATTGTAATAAATAAAATATGTATTGATATAAATCAGATATTTTATATTACACTATTTACACTGTAACTAATATTGATATATTATATATATTTTATTACTTTTACTAGTAATTGTATTTCTATACTATATTAAAAAATAATATAACAAGCAAAAAATAAAAATTAGTTTTTTCTTGTTAAAAGCTGTTATATTATTTGACAGATAATAAATATATAAGGCTAGGTAAATAATTATAGTGTTAACCTCTTAATAAAAAAAAAAATTGGCATTCAACTATACAAAAATAAAAAATATGTATTGAATAATATTTCTAAAGTGTTTTCTTATTATTGATATAATTTATAAAATTATTCATAATGGGCATCGAAACAGTGGGAAAACCGCGAGTGAATAGGTTTGTTCGATTTTGAAACCTGATGAATGCGTACACGACTGGATAAAGGAAATACTTGCAAAAGACATTTTATTAAAATTAAAAAGACGGTTTTATTCATTTTTATCAGATTTGTTTGTAGGTACTTATATAAAAAAATTACAAAATAAATTTTAAAAAAAAACTGCACGAGATAAAATATTTCTATACATAATACATAATTAAAGTACGTACAGTGCTACTGCGCAGTTATATTTATATTTCCATCATTTTACCTAAGGGATTTATATTTTTTAATAATTAAAAATATTTATCGAAAATACCGATACTTACTATTACAATGTAAGAAAAAAAAATTGTCTAACGGCAAGTCGCTAACCGTTAATAAATATGTTCCAATAGAAAATAATTTATAATTTTTTCAGTTTACTCAGACAGTAAACTTAATATTAAAACATTGGTTTTTCCGATAATGTGTTATTTTTGATGTTCGCGACATCACTTACAAGTTTTAAGATATTTAAAGTTTAGATAGTCGACGTATTATTAATTTGCTCATAACAGTGATTTACTGATAATTATTATTATTATTTTTTTTTAATCTTAAAACAAAATATTAAGTGATATTATGTTGATGGGTAACAACTAATTTACAAAGCAAATAAATAAATTGAAAATCAAATATTATAATATGGATTCTGTGATTACCCATTTAAACAATAAGAAAATAATACGATTGTATTTACTGCAGTAAAACCTGTCTAAGAAGGAACTATTGATAGGACAGAAACATTGTTTAAAAACGGAAATTCGAACGCGGTCCCGAAATTGAATTTCACGCGTATTTTACTTCTGTAAAACGGAAATCCGTAATGAACGGAAATTTTCTTAGGTACCTCGGAGTTCCTTGCATAGACAGTTATCACCACTTATATATTCAAATTAAGTCGCAGGGTTAATATAGTAAAAATATTTCATAGAATTTATGCACAGAATTTAAAATGCGATCTTTAATATATAATATACTTTTGATTTCCTCAATTATAAATAATTCAATTGTTACTTGTTTTTAATCCCTTATGTACGTATAATATATATTACACATACATATACACGTGTAATGTATATATATTTTTCAAATAAAAAATTAATTGTTTAATTTTATTCTGTACAGATTATTGGGCTAAACCTAATTACACCACACATATTTCGAACAGCCTTGACAAATCTTATGACATTATAATTTCGTGAATAAGTTCATTTATTTTTTATACCCACTGGCCACTACTAACTACATACAACGAAAAGACATTGCCGACCGCAGAATATTCGTATATTATATAAGCTGTGTTCTGTCGTTTTAGTATATTTAATTGTAACATTGCAATACTACATTATTAATCTACCCACTCCAATATACAGCGTAAGTTGTACGTCAGCATATGCAGTAGCCTGCATGGATCGGTGGAATGTCCGATTAATATCTCTCTCGTTTACCACTGCTGCAGTGGTCATTTTTATTTTGAAGTTCGTTATTTGTTTATTAATTTCCTCCACTATGATATTGGATCAGTATTACTGTTTATTTTCTAAAAATAACAACTCATAAAAAAATTGATACCTATCGTATTACGTCATATTATAAGATTATTGATTAATAATAAGTAGGTATATAATACATACCTATAAGCAAGTAAATATACATTTTAATTCTCGAATATTATTATGTTATATAATATAGATTCAGAATATATAATTTTTAATATTCTAAAATTAAAAACGTAAGTTTAGATACCTATATATACATATAATGTGATATTTTAGAGACATGCTTTTACATTTCTACGCAATTTTGGACGGTAACCCATAATACACTTATCGATATTATTTTTAGAACTCTCATCAGTCATATTTTAAAACATCATCTTGACTGACATAATCTAATTTCATTTCAATACTTCGATTTCGAAACATCTCAACGAACAGTCATTTTAATAGTATTAAAATAGGTACCTATATGCTTTCTTTAATATTTCAAAAAGAAAAAAACATCACGGTTTATACTGAAATACTTCCAGTAAGTTTTCAATTATTATTATTGGTATTTTATTGATTTATTTTTTTTACATTCAGTTAATACAATATGACACCTTAAGTTAGAAAAAAAAAATGTATTTTAAAATAAATAATATTAAATTGATATAGGTACAATAAATAAATAAAATAAATATCATTTAAGACATATTAAAATAATTAATAACTATAAAAACTATTTTCAATTCTTTATTTTGAAATTATAACCTGTTCTACGAAATGCTTACAAAAAAACATGTATACAGTTAGTGCATTATCGTTCAGTGTGATTTTTAAATATTGTTGAATATTTTTACATCAAACCTGTAAAACCTTATATTTAAAATGTCCAGACTAAAAAATTAACAAGATATATAAATAAATATTAATATATATTTACAATTTAATTCCATAAAAATAGATAATAAACTGAATTAACCAGCACTGTAAACGCATTTATATAATATTATGAATTATATTGAATCGATTCTCATCTAAATCGAGATTTTTTTTTATTTGTACTAATATTATTGTATTTACTTGATATTTAAATAATAAATGGTAAACATTTTAAATGCTAATCAAATAAGTAGATGTTATTTAGTACCTAGGTATATATTTTTAATTTTTATTTTCAAATTTAAATAAATAAAGTATTTAATACCTCGTAAAAATAAACATAAATCGTACCTATTTACTCATTGAAAATCTACTTGGGTATCTATAGTATGTATTTATTATACTTATAAATACAATTTTAATAAAAATATTATCTACGCTAATCTATAATACGTATCCTACGCATGTAGATAAGCTCACTAAATGATAGATGATTATTTCTGTTAATAATAATATAAAACACACATTTCCAGTAAATTTATTATTTTTTAACTACTCGTATTTTAAAACATAATAGATATTATATTATATTCTCACGTGTTGTAAAATTAACCAAAACCCATAAATATTTTAAACTACATTAAGTTAACATTATCTAACAGTATAGACATTTTAGGTTCATAATAACTCCGATTTAAAATTCTATTACAGAATAATCTTACGAATATATTATAGAAAATAATTATGTCGTATATAGGTAGCTAATAATAATAATTATACGTAAGCGTTATTTTCTAGAATAAAATATCGGGTTTAATGAATGACGTCAAAATCAATTATGGATGCTGATAACCTGCAGTATGTAATTTAAGTGCAGTATTTCAAATTTCAACTTCAATGTTCATAACTGCGTTACGATTATATTTCCTCTGAGCATTAAAATATTTATTTGGTTAAAAGTGGATTTTAATACAGCAACGGCACGAAATAATATAGTCACACGATTAATAAAATGAATACCATACATACTACGATAATATATTCAATGCGGTTTTAAATATTCCCTATACAGTTATTAATACTAGAAAAAAAAAAAGGACGGACATACTTCGCACATGGGTGCAGCTACTGTTGTAGGTAGGAAGTTGAGAAGGTATGCTACAGACGGGAATTTAATGTAATCTATAAGTAACGATGAACCATTGCTAACGAAAAAATGATTCTGAACCGAGTTCAGTTGATAATGTTGCTTTGTCAACAATACAATATATGGTATTATGTCATATTATGGTAAAATGCTTAAAACAGTGTGCATTTCCATGACAATAATGATTATTTAAAAAAGATTAAAATAATAAACACTTAATTATAACAAAAAATAAATAAAAATGGTTGCCAATGATAACCTTATTTTTAATCTTTCAATCTTTTTTAATCTAAATACTGAGGTGTTCCTTATTATCTCGAATATTAATGAGAATTTAAAAAAATGAACTCTCTAGAGTACCACCCAGAGAAAATTTTCTTTCAAAAAAGGTGCTATACTTGATAATTGAAGTATGTTTTCTGGTATAAAAAGTGTTCACATAAAAAAAGAATATAAATAAAAATAAAATAATAAACATTATTGTAAAACCAATATATTCCTCGTTTCACTCAGAATCTAAAAGAATTACAATGCCTTTAATACAATCAATATGAAGCGAAATAATACATTTAAATAAAAATAAAAAACCTGAAATATTTAATATTACGAAGGCCGCGTATTTATTTATGAGTAAACAATATAGCATAATATTAATAATATACCATTTTTACTAATTCCGTTTGCTAAGTAATGCAATTAATAATATGCCAATAGTAATTAGAATAGCGTAGTATACAAAAATATAATCACCATCGAGTTTGATCTAATTTTTAAGAAACCTTTTAATTCTACGCGTTGTCTACACATAAACTGATTAGGGAATTTATAATTTAAAACCGTCCAGACTACCTACCAATGTAACATGAACGAAAACTACATGAGTTCCACTCATAACTATATTATAAAAGGGATGCGATTCAAATAGAATCGACTAATAATTGCTAGGTTGTCATTTATAGCAAGCTACCAATAAAATTATAAATTATTTTGACTGCGAAGAAGCTTTTAGTAATAATAATGTATAATATAATAATAATAATTTGTCTGATGCTCTGATGTCTGAAAATATTCTGTATGTATACAGCGCTGCAAGAATTTATTATTAAAGTAGATACCTAAAGTACCTACCTAACCATATTTATAAAGATTATACATAAAACTTATATTAAGTATAGTTTTCTTCGAAGGAGAGCAATTTTTAAATTTTTGAAACATCTATTTCAAACTTCTAAAATTATTAAAATTATGGAGACCATAAATATTAATACATTAAATTTGAATGTTATGTAGATAATATTATGCATACAAGGTTGAAGTCGTACATTATGTATAATGTAAATAATATAATACAAGTAGCTACAGCTGATTAAAAATGAACAACAATCTAAAGGTGAACTTTTAATGAACCATAAGTTTTAAATGCAAGGACTAAAGTTTTGATCCAGACATTTTAAACTTATGCACTGAACATTTTCAAATTCTTGAAGTTATGAATTACTCAATATTTATGAAATATAAATAAAGTATTAAGTTGATAATAATATAAATCATAACATGATCAGCTTGCCATATACGAGTATCTATGAGAATTTCTACTAAATTAATAACGAACATTCATTAAAACTTTGTAATATAAAATTATATTTTATAAACACAACACCTGAAGTTTTAATACTAATGAAAAACAATTTCAAAATTAACAAATGATAAATAGAAATATATTCAGTCGATACTTGAAGACATTATGTAAGTAGATATATGTAGCAGTCCCTATTTTTTAGTGAACCCCGACACAAAGTGTGAAGTCCGAAATTGGAAGTATGCACTACGGATTCGAGAAGTGTGTACCTACTAAATACTAATAAATAAGACTACTGACCAAGTAGTAGGTAGTATCTATACACTATACAAATTTTTAAAAAATAATTATTTTTATGATAACAGTAATAAATTATTATCATTTACATTTTACATGATATGTATTTCTTAACTTTTAATATTGTAAAAAGTGAAAATTCCGGACATAAATCTATCGTAATTATTCGTGAAGGAATTTCCTCATTATATAATATACATCATTTATCATTATCTGTTCCCTGTAGCTGATTACTGATATGTTATCACAAGCATCAAATACAAGTTGATAAATAATTTGCTTGTTTTTATCCAATCAACGATCAAGACAAAGTTCAGTTGTAAATATTTTTTTAATGGGTAGATTTATAGAATGTGTTATTAAATGACAGGGTATATTAATTGTTATGACGTTATGGTATACTAAATGTGAATTTGAAAATACCTATGAAGGTGTTTTTTAGGAAGTCAGTTTAAGCAAAACAGCTGATGAGGACTCAAATATATCTATTAAATTTAAAATTATATATCCCACATTAAAATAATTTGTAAATAGTTTTCCGATTTATACCAAACATAAGTATATTTTCTTAATTTATAAAATAATTATAGCAGTAATAATAAGGTGCAATTTAATTATAATAAAAAAAATGAATGAAAGAAAGTTGATATTGTAATAAAAATTACATTCATATGGAAGAGCCAAGATGGTTAAAGAGGATGTGAGGGGCTTTGCCCCCACAGCTCTGTATCATATCATGGTACAATAAAATATGTGTAGTACGAATTTTTATGAAAAATATTGGCTTATATGTAGTGTATTAGAGATGTTCCGGATACCCGGCAATTACTCAATATCATATTTAAGATTCGGCCCTTATCTGGTACCCATCGAAATACTAAATTTTTAACCGGCCCATACTCGATACCCGGCGTAATACCTACATTTTTACACGACTGTAATACCTACTTCCTTTTTACTCAACCTCATATCTGGTAAGTGGCAAACGCTAGTAAAATCTGTACATAAATATATAATATACATACCTATAATATTAATATAACGGGAAAAAACTAAAACTCCCAAGTAATAAATTATAATTTATTTTGATACATTTTGGACTAATAACCAATTTACAATAGCCAGCTTAGTACATTATCAATTATTAATAATTTCTAAATCAATAATTGACAGTTGATAATGTTTATAGTACCTTGATTCGTTTTTTCGTAAGCAATGGTTTATCGTTTTTTATAGGTATATATTAAATTACTTATAACCATAGCTGCACCCGTCCCCATTATCCTAGGACAGTTTTTTTAAACTGAACATTTTAGGTTATAACAACATTGTATTTTGTTTTCTTATGAAGTATAAACATAAAAAGAGCTGATACTGAGGATGGAAGCGATCACTGTTGTAAGTGAGAAGTTGGGAAGGTAAGATACAAAAGGTTATTTAATTTATATCTGTGAGCAACGATAAACCATTGCTTGATGAAAGACAAATCGAAGAGCAGTTCGATATTATAATTTGAAGTGCTGTAATTTTTATTGCTATTTTCGATTAAATTTGATTTCAAACGCTTATAAGAAAATAAATGGTCCGATGATTTTGGAAATTTTACGTCTAGGCAAGTCCAATATAAGTATTATTACCAAATTTTTATGTCTCTGAGTGTGTTTATAATCGAATTACAGTAAAAAAAACTACCAAAAATTAAAATTCCTTTAAAGCTCAAAAGTGGCTCAAATTTTTTGGTGATGATACCGTAAGAAAGTAAATCAAAAAGGCAACAAAAAAGGTATCTAGTGATTTTTCGATTAAATAATTTTTCTGGTAGAAAACGTCGCTTGTGTTTTTATAAAATAATAAAATAAAATTGTACGTTTTCCTGAGTTTTTTTTTACTTAAGTGCTTTTATTTAAAAAATGGAGTTGAAAATCAAAAAATTATCTTATTCAAGTACCATAAAGACAACTTGAGCTTTCAGAAAAGTTAATACACATAAAAATCAGAGTAAGTTACTAGAAAAAAAAAACGTCCAAAGACTAGAACAAAAAAAAAAAAATAAACAGTATTGTAAAACCAATAGCTCCCCTATTTTATATTATTATCATTTTTATGTTATACAACACATAATAAAAAACTATAGCTTTTAATAATATAGTCTAAATGTCTACTTATTCAATATTATTAGATATCCATCTAAAGGGTGTAAACTTTAAGAATATTACAGTCACCCTTATTTTTGTAGGTAAAGCCATTACCTACTTTTGATTTTTAAATGAAAACCTATATTAAAAAGCCCACAAATAGATGAAATATTAGTTAAAATAAATTATATTGTTAAAATTTTTATTAGATAAATAAGAAATTAATAAGTATTACCTATAATTTATTTGAATTCATTTATTATTAGTTTGTCCCCAACAAGTATCATATAAAATTCCTCGACTTAAGAGAAAGCAGTGCCATGTATGTTCCCAAAATATCTATCAAGACCATTAAAATATAGAAGACCACCTTTATTGAGAATAAATTCTGATAATATTAAAAAAAAATAATCTTATTAATCAAGACAATATAATGACTGTTCAAAATAATACCCTACTATTGTCATTTTCTATGATTCAAGAAAATATTAACGGTGTAGTTATTTCTAAAAGCTGGAGTAGACAAGTTATTGAAGAACAGCTCATAATATGTTTTCCTATTACTCTATTAAAATAGAAAAACAGCCAACTGAAATAACTATTCAATTTATATTTAAAAAAGTGTGTAGGTATAATAAAAAAAAGGTTTCAAAGTTAGGCATTATTTAACCTTGTACATACTACATACATTTTTATTTTTTTTATTTTACTACATTCATAATGTTATAACATGTTATATTAATTTATGCGTACCTATTGTTATATTTTCACACAAATTAAGATATATTCTGGTGCAGAATAAGTAAGTGTGGTTAACAACTGTTTCAAATAAAACAATTACTAATGAGAACAGCATTTTCTGATTAAATTTCACAATTTTAATTTCTGGTACCTATAGTTTTGAATAAAAAAATTAATTAATGCTTCAATATGATAGTTTGTGTTTTGTTGACATTTTTTTCAATTATATAACTACTAGTTTTTTCTGATAATTAATATTTACCTTTATTTTATCATACCATACCTGATGCCTACATTAATAAAATAGTTCATTTAATCCTGGTCTGGATAAATTATTTTAGATATTAATAATTACATATTTAACTAATTATTAGATTCAACATATTTTGCTACACACTAAAAAAAATATATTTAATTTATATATATTTATATTTTATTTTTAAGAAAGAATTGATTATAATAATTACTCCCGTTTTATTTGAATAAGTGAAAATATATTAATTGTATAACTGTAATTTATTGTACAACATGATATAATTAATTATACTTATATAAGACAACTTCAAGTTAGCAAATTTAGAATCATTACTTGTTCGTTTACGCTTCTTCATTAGCGGCAGTAGGGCACACGCACTGTAGCAAACTTAGCGAATTATTATTAATATTGCGACAATAAGTGAATCACACTGGTCGAGCAATAGCCAGTCCTTAAGAGTATATATATCCATGGTACTGTTCACCAATCAGTATTCAGTAGAAAATTATCAGAATAATTGTTCAATTGCATATAAACACAGATAAGATTTGTTTACAAAGAATATTCCTTGGCATATAGCAGACTAAATGATAATGATAATGGTAAGACGACATCAGGTATAGTTATATATCTGTAGGGGTATCGCCTTATTATTGTACAAATATTCAATATTAATAATGAATGATTATAATGAATATATCCAATCCTTGGTTTAAATATTTTTTTTTTTTGGTGAAGGTAACAAATTTATTTTATTATTAAACAATTGTTAAATCATTTATTGCTGTATAATTAATTTAAACTTGTGATGATGATCTATTGAATGATCTCATATTATTTTTTTGATGGAATTTCGGATTTGAACTATACAAAATGAAGGATAATAACTTCACTCCATATCACTTAACAATCTAGTTTATTATCAATATCTGCGGTATAGTCTATACTCTACATAATGACATATACATAATGTATAATGTCTATATAATATATATATTATTTAGACATAAAATAATGAGCTGTGCTTAGAAAAAGAAACACGATGTCGAGATGGAGCGAGTAAGACAGCAATACTTTTGTGGACTAGCATGAAAACAAATATATTATAAGTTCAATAAAGTTATGGGACTGTTTTAATTATTTATCAAACCAAAGTCGGGCCTCCAACATATTGATACGATAAGAGACTATTTGTCGAATCGATAAAAGTCATTTCTGTAACAGTCAAACATTTTATCGAACAGTTTACGCTGTTATACGATTCGATAACTAGAAGTCTACGTCATTTCGATACGGTAAATTTGACGCGAGACAATTGGGCATAACACATTTCAACGCTTTTTTTTTTTTTAATTATTATTATCGATTTGTTTTTCAAAATAAATATATATATATATATATGTAACAATATTTTAGATATTTTTAAAAATTGTATAGAGATATTATATTATTAGAATATTCAACATTTTAACATTGGAATCCACGTAGAGGACTAGATCAATTATTTATATAATATAATCTAATTTCTATAGAGGCCAGCATTATGCCCGCTATGTTTATTGATGTAGCAATAGATAAAAACAATTAGAATCGATTTTTTTTTTTTTTTTGACAGTGAAGGTGCACTAGGCGCCGTTTATTATCATAGCATTTAGCCATACTTGTTATTATTGCCGCATTTATTAGAATCTCGTATTTTAACATTTAATATCTTTCATTGTTTCGGAAAGTGTTTTCTGAGAAAAAAGGTACCTAATGTTGTTTATAATACAGCTTAAATCTGGATTGAACTTGACTACTAACAGACATTAGTTAAAACTTTATAACAGTAACTGGAATTTGAAATAAATATACTAGAATACATATTGCACGTATTATATTTGCTAAACAAATATTCTTAAAATATCTGAGAATACTTACGTTAAAATTAATATATGTATTTTAGAAACTTACCTTAATCCTTGATTTATTTATACTTACGCCACTAAATTGTAATTTTGTTATAGATTTTTAATAGACTATTAAAAATAAGATTTTCATTGGTTAACAGAAAAAATTAGTGATAACGATACAACTAAAGTTTGCATTCACGTCATATTTAGCCATATAGGGTAACTAATGAAAAATATCAATAGGACTCAAAAGACTTGTTAGGAAACTAGTGGATTTTATTTTTCAGTTTAAACGAATAAAAAGTAATGTGTACACAACTTTGTCATTTGTGGTTTACCATCATTTGCTTTAATTGCTATTTCATTTTTAATTTTAATTAAAACATAATTAATTAAAATTAAAATTTTAATATATATGTATGTTAGGCAAGGATACAAATTAAAAACAAATTTACTTTGAATGTATACCTACCTAAATGAACGATGCCGATTATCGAATGATTCAATTAATTGAAAATCCAATTTGCAGAATACAAAATGTTTATAGGTTTAAACATTGATACTGATTTAAGTAAACTCAATTTTAAAAATTGTGTTTATTGTATGAAGTTAAAACAGTATATTATGGTTCTTTATACAAAAATATATGAGATTTATTTTGTGCATACATTATATTCGCAATTAAAGCAAAATTGTACATTTTTAACGATATTATCACTAGGTACGTATCTATATAAAACTTTTAGACGAACAGTATCAAATAATGATGAACATTTAAATAGAAACAAAACATTAACGCAATTAAACTTTTTGATATAATTTACCATTAATCTTAAAAATAACATTTTTAGTTTACACAATAGTAAAAATAGAAAATAAATTAAAAGTTTAGATTTTAATAATTGCAGTGCAAGGAAATTATTATAATATAGTTTTAGAGTGATAAGATATTCTTGGAAAATTAATTTTTTTTTTTGTGCCAGTAAATAATCATTAATTTCATGCAATATATTTTCATAATTCTGCAGATAGGAAATTAAAACCGAATGATCATTAGAAAAATAATTCGTCGAATTTCTCATAATAGTTGACGAAAAAAAAACAACACTCAAAAAGCTATAGAAATAATTATTCAAATATAGGTACAATAGAGAAATATTCAAATTTAAATTCCAAGATCCGCTCAAAGTTATTTTCTGATTAGGTACTCTAATAATTGTCGCGTTAATAGTGAATTGAGCGAAACAAGATAAATACTTTACAGTTGTCCCCACCACCGTATCTTGTTTTTCTCTTCTCTACGAATTGTTTTCGATATATAACTTGAATTATACAAAATCCTACTTAAAATAATATTTATACATTCCCAAAACGACACATTTTTTAATAATTATATAACTTGAGTATGCAAATGAAATTTAATGAATATCTATATAGTTCATACGACTACCAATACCTACTACGTTTATCAACATGAACGCCAACGATATTAAAATAAATGAAACTTTTAACTAAAAACATTTTATCTTTACGATAACATTAAACTCTACTTCAAAATTGTAATTATTTTTACAGATAATTAACCAGATCCCCGGAAATCCATTTGTAGAGTTAAAATTTAATTGGCAAAAATATTTTACACTAAAAAGTTAATGTTAGTCTTTAATAAATAATCTTTTACAATATGTACAAACTATGTTTTGTCTAAAACTGCAAGCTGTTAATGTGTAATTACTTTTTTGAGATTTTAATACGGTCATTTTAAATTTTAATTATGGCTATATGTAGTAAAAGTTTCAAATCCGAAATTCTATTTAAGTATTTTTTTTTTTTTTTTTTTAATATAATCAGTATCGAGTATAATATATACACATCACTTAATTTTAAGTATTATATTTTCTTTTCTAATGGCTTTTCAACGGTTATATGTAGAATGGGATTATAAGAAGTAAAAAAAGACTCTCCCCAAAATTATTAAAACAAAAGTAATGCATTGAGACCATTTTTCGTGTTATCCCATTCTAGTATTATAAATTTACAAGCTTACTGGTACTTAGGTATACCATAATATACGTTTATATAATATATAAATATAAAGTCGAAACGAATTTCGGATATTTCTTGAAGTACAAAATAAATGCATTAAATATAGCTGTATATTGTTTACTTAGAAAAATGTATAAAGTAAAAATTATGATTATTATATGAACCGGCCAAGAACAAATACAAAACCTACTTGCAAATAATATTACCTGACTATAAACGGTATTATCGATTTAAAACATAGAGAGGGTCGTAACGTATAATACTGCAGATAATAAAGAAGGAATAATTGATGTGTCCAACTTGAAATGAGCAACCCTTTGGTAAGTATAAAAAATATATTGTACCTATGCAATTTAATCCGTGTTTTTTTTTTAATAAAAAAAAAGAGCTGATACTAGGAACGGATGCGACCACTATTTTTGGTGGAAAGTTAGGATACAAAACGTTGTTAAATTTATACCTGTAACGAACGATAAACTATTACTAACGAAAAACGATTCGGAGTGAAGTCGATTATACATGTTTTGAAAAACCGTAATATTTACAATATTTGGTAAGATTTGGTTTTAAAACTGATAAAATAATAAAAATAAATTACATTAAATTTTTTTTACCACTTAGTACGACTTAATTTCTTACAAAATTTTCAAAAATGTCTGTTTAGTTTTAGTTCTGTTCTGTTTTAATTCAATTTTGTCTACCAAACAAAAATTACGTAAAAACTCGCAAAATTAAAATATTGGTAAATAGCACTAAAATGGCTCAAATGTTTTAAAAAATGTTACCACGTCTAGAAAAAGCAAATTTAAGTTTTAAGTCAAAATTTTATTCCCTATGAATATTTTTAACTGAATTAAATTTAAAAAAAAATATTTAAAACAATAAAATAATTATTTTCATAAATTTTTCCCGTTCATTCTAAATATTTTTCGGTTTTGCTTCATTATTAAAAAAATTTACAAAGAAAATCAACAAACGACTTTCTTGAAAACCTATAACTGTATTAAAAAATCAACAAAATCGATCACACATCATTTTTCGATTGGAACAATATTTCTGGTAGAGAACATACGTTACAAAAATTAAAAACAGAGAATTCGGTAATGTCACGTGCTGCGGTGTGCTGTAAATATTGACCGTTTTACCCATAATTTTCTCAATTATTTCGAAAACTCCTTGGAATATCAAAAAATGACGTCTCTAATGCACCAACTAAACAATCTTTCAGAAAAAGTACTATACTACTATACTCTATAAATCAGAGCAATATTTTTTTTCAAAAAGTTGTTTACAGACACACACACACATAAGCGTGCGCAGGTCCTCTTAGCAGGGGAGGCAACGATCATCAAAACCAAATCTTACTTAAAAATCATACGCATGAATAGTTCAAATATTCTTGGAAGGGAGCTTAAGCTCCCGTTAATATAGTAGTGATTTTGTATACTTAGTATTTTACTTGATGAGCACTTTATTTTAGGAGGCTTAGTTGAGTTTTTTTGGGGGGGAGGAACGGTTGAAATCCTCTCTAAAGCACTCCTCTGTTTGTGTCAATGCACGAAGTTAAGATTATTACGTTAGAGTTAAGTATTTTAAAAAAAAAAAATGTACGATAATATGTTTTTCAAAATATTTTGACGGAAAATTTCGCAGGAGAAGCAGCCGCCTCTCTCGTTTCCCCCGTGCGCATGCTTACGGACACACATACACACACACAAAATCATACATTATAGAAAAACCAATAGATCCCACGCTACCCTCCGAATCTAAAAGCAATATAATACAAAATTTGTTATTATCACATTTTTTCTACATTGTCTTACAGTGGACTATTCAAAAGTACGTGTCTAAAGGGCTATGCTCTCGCTTAAATGTATTTCTACTCAAGCCTTTCTTTGAAACTAAATAACCATTAGCATATAATCATCCGTTATCATCAGACTCAATAAAATTGTAATTAAATGTTGACAAATTCTGCATAAAGCAAGACGGCAATCGTGATTTTGTACTTTAAGAAAAATTTTTTATGTTTACACAATATAACATTTTTGGATTCTTCGAAAAATAAAATTTGAATATAAATTGATTTTAAAGGATGGAGTAAATATTTGAAGTAATAGAAAATTGGAATAAACGAGATTTTATAATTTCCTTTAACTGTCTTTATTCATTTTGACATACAGTTATCATTATTTTAATTTTAAACTGCAAATAATTTTTGACAGGTATGTTTGACGAAGGTACCTATACAATAACAACGAAGCGTTATAAAATCACTATTTATTAAGAACTAGTTGACAAATTCATTCAACAATCACAACTTTAATCATTTTCTCAATAAAATAGTTTTTATTTTCGTATACTTTCGTATTACTATATATTCTGTAGTCAAAAACTAGTATAAATGAAGCCATTTTACTTTCAATCAAGTCAATAAACGCCATTACGATTCTATTTATCCGTATTTTAAATGTGAATTTAATTAATTTTATAAGGAAAGTTTAGTTTTTCTAGAAAACCCTGAAGTATATTTTAATTAAATTTTCAAAAATATATTCACCTACATATTTTTTTTTTTTTTTTAATTAGATACCTATTTGATTACTATGCTTTCTTATATAATAATATCAAATCAAATATAAAATACCAAGTATATAATATTTATAATTAATATTCATTAATCATATATATATATGTTTATTAGAATCAAAATTGTACTATTGTACAATATATTAATAGTAGTATTTTTTATCAAAAGCAAGGAGATCAAAAGATTGATTTTAATTTTCCATTACTTCAAATTAAAAAAAAGTTATTCACGTTTTAATATTTGATAATTTTAAGTTTTGCAAATTTGAATAACTATTTTCTTGGTAATGGTATAGAACAATGGTTCTCGACCTTTTTTATTCTACGTCCCCCTAGTAAATTTTCAAAAATGCCACACACCCCATTCCTTAAATTAGATTAGATTATTTAGAGTTTAGATGGCCTTTTTTTTTAAATTAAATTTAAATAAATTTAAAAAAAAAATACATATATTACATTGTACATTGTGCAACTAAAATTAATTTGTTTTTAATTTTACTGATTGTAAAATGGCATAATTATTTTAACAACGAAATTCTCATTATTTCATCATCACTGATGAAACCCCCGTGCAGTATATAAATTCCCCTCTAAGGGGAATAACCCCCCACCGCCGGCTTTGAACCACTGATATAGAACTAAAACAAACGTTACATAGTGCACTTTTCTTTTTTTAATTATACAAATTCATTTTTTTAAATAATAAGTCTGTAACCCGAGTAGTTTTTGCCACGCGAAAAGGTTTCTCTGTAAACATTAATGTTAATTACTGGATTACACAATAAATACTTGTTGTAATGACATAAGACTACTTGTAAATTCATTTGAAGGTGAATTTCAATATATTTAGTACATATGGCCTTCTGCTCAGAATCGTTTTTCGTTAGCAATGATTAATATTTGCGTACAGATATCCATTCCCTCTACCTTCCCAACTTCTCACCTATAACAGTGGCCTGCCCATCGTGTGAAGTATACCCGTTTGTTTTTTGTGATTATTACTATATATATATTTTTTTTTTTAAATTTACTACGAAAAGCCTTTGTTCAGCAAAATATCAAATCTGTACTACGAAATATGTAGTGAAATATTTAAGTAGTGTAATAAAATATTCAAGTATACAAATCCATTGTTTTTTTTTCTCCCTTTTATTTTATCGTGAGTATATATAAGTAATAATACATATTTTTTAAACGAATTAAAACAATAAAATTGTAGTTTTCGAAAAAAAAAAATTAAACGATGACCATTACTCATTTATAGTCACCGTTCCATATTTTAAAAAAACTACAAGAGATACGGATATATTGAAATAAAAAAAATATTAACAGTGTGGGACTATATTTTATAATATTATTATCACTAGAAAACGGTATTTTTTTTAATAATACCAATTTTATTTTGCACATTATGAATACTTTTACATATTACAATATCATACTACCAATACGGGTAACGTGGATCGAATATTTTCTATTTTACGCATAGTATTTGAATCCCACGTTCGAATTGAATTAATCAATCAATTATTTAAATCAAAAAAAAATCTTAAACCTCTGTATCTATACATGTATATTATAATTTAAAAAAAAGAAAACATATTATCTAATATATATATTTTAAATTTAATAGTTGTTTAAATACGAAAGATTGAAATTTGTTAATAGCACCTTAATTCATGACATAAATGTATTAATTATAAAATGTATATAATATAATATACCTAACTAAAAGTGAATAACAAACAAAAGGCAAATTTAAATAGTTAGCAATTATTACAACACAAAAAATACGAATGACTTACACTACAAACAAACAAAAGGAGATAATACTGGAACATAGGGATGAGTTATTGGTGAGAAGTATGAAAAATATGATACAAATTACAAAAATTTATTTATACGTAACGATAAACCATTGCTAACAAAAAACGTTTATGAGTAAAATTCAATTGTACTTGTTTTGAAATGCCATCCATCATTTTTACGATTTTATCAAAATTTGATATTAAATTGATTGTAAACAAACTACTAAATTATGCTAAACTTTCATGTTTTAAAATAAAAATTTCAAATGTCTATAAATAGGACGAAAATTGCAAATTTAACCATGTCTGGAAAAGGCTAATATAAGTATTCTGTGAAAATTTCAGGTTTCTATGATTATTTTTACCGAATTATAACAAAAAAAAGAGCTGATACTATGGACGCGTGTGCAACTGTTGTGGGCGGGAAATTGAGAAGGTAGGACTAAAACAAAGGTAGGATATAACAAAGTTATTTAATTAAGCAACGGATAAACGATTAAAAATGAAGTTCGGTTATACCGTATTAGCGTCATTTCACACTTTTTTTTTGTAGGACGCAAAACCTATATAATAAAAATCAACATCAACTTGAAATCCATTCACGTAATACACGTTAAGCACGAAATCAATAATTTACACACTTAGCTTTATTTTTCAATAATCATATATTCAAATGTATACAATTCAAAAACGTACTTTAAATTAAATTCAATATTGATTATTAATTTAATATTTAACTAAAATACCAAAAAATTACCTACTTAATAAGTGTATCTATTATCAGAATAAACGATACATTAAATATAGTATAATAAACATAATGAATTAAAACAAAATCATATAGGTAATTATTATTATTATATAAATCATAATTTAATTACGAACAGGTATCTATATCCAGAAAAACAATAAAAAAACTCAACAATATTATAAAATGCATAAACATGCACATTTATATAGTTCATTAATAAATAGGTATCGGAAGATAATAGGGGGAAATTTAATGTATATCTGTAAGCAGTGATAAACCATAGCTAACGAAAAAACGATTTGGAGCCAAAGTTCGGTTATACATTTTTTAATGCCTCTTAGAAAATCAAAAAATAACCTCTTTAATCCACCAACTAGAGATAACCGAGTAAATATACTTTAAAATATAAATTCGGATCAAGAATTATGATATGAAACAAAATTGATCAAACACATTGAAAATAATAAAATCATTAACGTTGTAAATATTTGTCCGTATATTTGTTGTAATGTTAGTCTTATAAGTTTTTTTCGGGTTTTTCCCAATTATTGAGAAAACTGTTTGAAATAAAAAAAAAACCAAAACTGTCCGTATAAAATCTGTACAGAATTATTAATCGTTGAATAATTATTTTACTTTAACATGGATAGAATATTTTAGAAGAAAAATACAAACATATTATTTATTCTCAAAAACCGATGTAGGTAATGATGTTTACCTCCAAACACTGAATCATAGGACCTTCGGCACCCTCCGCATTGCGGGTATTTCGGATGCCAAGTCCGTCAATGACCCAGATTTTCTCCGTAGAACAAACCATACAGCATATTAAGAGGACCTGATGTCCGCACGTGCTATCTCCGTCTAACGAACGTAAGATCACGAATTTGCGTTCAGCAAAGACAACTTTGTGCTGTTAATTTAATATTAGAGTAAATTGGTCCATTATAAAAATATTATCTGTGCAATTAAGTCGTTTTATTTCTTCAATATTTTAATTTTTAAGCATTGCAGAGAATACGATCTATAAATATGTGAAATATCATAATCAAAAAATTTGAAATTTAAAAATGTACATTACATCTCGCTTAAAAATTAAAATATTGAAACAAACCGATATAGTTGTGCAGACCATGTACTTTTCTCGTTAAAATTGATAATTCACTCTAATAGGTCTATCAAAACTAAAAGCACAAAGATGTCCTTCCTGAACGCAAATTTTCCATATCATGCCTGTAAGACGAAAACAGCACATATGGGTATTTCGTTCTTTTGACATGATATTAACTGTTTAATAAGTTAAAATAAATTATGACGTTTAAATTCAAATTTTAACCGATTTTGCGAAAATCGACTAGGCTACAGTGTCGTTAACTAAAATTAGTATAATTTTCTATACAGCGATATCATTTCACTCATCATTGGTAAACAGGTTCATATTTATGCAAGGCTAGTACCTTATAATAAACAAATATAATAGCTATTACCATAATTTAAAAGTCCGTTAAATCTAAACCGGCTATATCTACAACAATATGATAGGTATCTAATCATATATGTTGGTTCATAATTTTGTTTTCGTGCATTTTGTCCCGGGGAACGACGGAAATGCGTGTTTCCAATAATAATGTCTGTAATAATATTATACTCGACCGTTAACAGATATGTTCAAAATTTAAATATCGTGCGCAAAAATAATATTACACTATTATTACTATTATAGACTATACCCTGAAACCCGATCAGTTTTTTCTACCGCCCGGTCTTCAATTCGTTATTGTTATTTTTCATTTTAATATAATACGAATACCCTTTATTTGCCCATAACTATGAGAAAAGTAAAACTATTGGCAAACTGGCAACTATCCACAGTGATAAATTCATACCTGCCTAGTAAAAATGTTAAAGTAGACACATAAACTGAAGCCCATGACTAACACATTGAAGATGATCAATGGCTGTATCTGAATTGGATCCCAGTGGATTTTAAATAGGTACTATACTGGTTAGGTCCGAACGTTTAAAAACAATACAAAACATTTCCCTTTTTATTTTTATAGACTTAGGACTTTTTTCTGCCATTCTATTCTTTAAACATTTTTCTTTTTTGTAAAATAAAAGTTTTTTCTACACCTACTTCTCATTTTAATTTAAGTATCTATTCGGATACTTTTTTAAAACTTGTATAAACTGGTAAATATTAGGATGGATGTATTGTGTATTTTCGACGATTTTCTATAAGATACGGAACAATATTTTTCCATGACAATAATTGATATAAGCTATTTGTACTTATATGTATTATTTTTGTAGATCGCCAACATCATCAATGTATCGAATCGATACATTGATGTGAACAAAAGTTTAGTTCACACATTTACGCTTAAGTAATTTATCCAACCCACCATCCTTGGGTTTTTTGCATTTTTAGGATTTTGTAGGTTTATCGGAAAGTATTTTAGCGAGGGTTTTGTTAATTTTCAAAGGATATTTTAGTGTTTTAGACTACTAAGGTTTGCTCTTCTTTACAACTCGACAAATCGAAAAAAGCAAACAATAATAATTTTGGAAAATGTATAAAAATGTGATATTATTAACTTTATTAGGTACTCGACCCTCGGATGGTTTGGTTTTTGAATGTTTTTCCGCAAACCATTTTTTTTTTTCTACTTCAGGCTGCAAACAATGTTAACCGCTTACGCGTACACGTCATGCCGCTTGGATAAAATATTAGAGTTTCCTCCGACTTGTTTTATGACTGCAATACGAGCGACCACCGCGGTACCGTATAGGTAATATAATAGTAATAATAATGTGTTGTCCAGCACCGAAAATCGCGTGCCTATCTACGGCTGAAACGTGTGAACAACTCTAGTGGTACCCGAGACGCACGAATCGCCTGCCCGCTTTCAAGTGCAGTAATATTGCTCGGCGCTTCATGGTTTTACCGTTATAAAACCGTTCCGTTTCCAATGTGCGGGGCGGTCAATTTTTAAGGGGGGTGGAAGGGGTCATGCTGCCTGCGGTGTTTGCGTTGGCCAGCGGTCAATAATAATCGTACGCCGAACGCAGTCTTTTGTTGTTCGCGCGTACAGTGAATTTATCGAAATATCGTTATTGGTCTAATAATTATTATTCGGTACTGCAGAGACCTTCCCGAAACGCGTCGTTCACTTATATTATTTTACTTTCCGCAATGATTATTGTGATCAGGGTTGGCTATTGCCAAATTTTTGTTTTTGGAGTTAACGATAGATCCGTCTAATGGGCCCCGCAGTAAATAATAGTCAAACCGTATAGGCGTATGTGCGCGTTACTACGTACGTAATACGGTGTACATAATATAAACGCTAATTTCACCTCACCCGTCGCCATAATTATTTTGTTTTAAAGGGCACTAAGAGCAATTGACCTTTAGACCATAAAATATGAAAACCGTAATAAAAACCGTTCAATACGGCTAATTTGAATAATTACAATAATTTTTGCGGGTATACAATTTTGCCCACTGTAAATATAATATAATGAACTTCGAAAGCAATTTACTGCACTTATACTTAAATAAAAATATAGTCGGAAACCGTCTTAATTGTCAGCTATTATGAAGTAACTTTAAATTATGTAATAAAAGCAGATTAAAAGGCTAGTTGTGTAATTTTAACCATTTATTATTATTATTATTATTTTACATTGGATTTTAGCCAAAGCCATGAAAGACTTCTTTGTTTTCGCAATCTAATTTTTATTATAATATTATGAATTTTAGTGTTTTAATATCAATTTAGAATTTTTTTTAAACAAAATCTCCAATAACATTATGTTTGAATTATGGTTAAATTAGTAGGTGGTATAATATTTAATTATTATTTCTATTAAATAGTACCTAGGTACTTATACTGGCTATACTTGGACTATCTATTGTTGGTATAAAGACATTAAAAAAAAAAAAAAAAAAAAAAATAGTTTTTTGAAATCAGTTCAACAATTATTATTCTTCAGTCATATTGGTGTTATTTTTAAAAAATGTTTGCATCGTATTAAAACTTAAAGTTTTACTCTTGTGTTAGGTACTTTTGGAAATAATCTCGAAGTTTTAATAAAAAAAAATGTCCAAACGAAAAAATAGGTAGATACTTTAAGATTTTAGTATTTGATATAGGTAGGAAGAATAGTGTTTGTGGAACAATCAGAAAATTTGCTAAGAAAATCAGACTGTTATTTTATAGTTTTATTTTTAAAGGTTTTCAACAGTTTTCTATGTTTAGTATTCTTGTTTTTTTTAAATTACATATTGGTTTAAAAATAGAGTACATAAATAGGTAATCAACAATAAAAATATAATTTTTTTTTTAAATTTGTTTAACTGTTTAACAAAAATTATCTAAAATAAAATAGATGCATATTCAAAGACAAAAACATAAAATATGAAGGTGGTTTAAAATACTATTAGGTTACCCTCTGATAAACTATTTTTAAGCTATAATATATATATATTATTAATAAAAATACCCTCTTGAAAAATCACTATGGAAAGATTATGAACATGTAGATTTTGTAATTAAATAAGAAATTGCTATAAGAATATTCTTAAGTGTACTTAAACATGTCAAACGTCAATTTAAAAGTAGACACATATTATATTATTACCCATTAGGGAGTAAACTATTATTAATAGTATAAATTGGCCAGTAACGCAATTAGTTTAAACTTCTAAAGAAAATTAATTTAACAGAGTATTAATTAGATTCTAGTCTTCAAATAATATTATTTTATCAAACAGAAATTACTTTGAACTAGGTACGTAAATAACAATGAACTTTACTAAATATGTACTCTTGTGAGCCCTGAGTATAAATATATTATATTAACCCAGTCATTTGTAAGATGTCTCTTGTGACACGGGCTTTTTAAAATTTATCCGATACACTCTTGACGTTTTTATTGAAAAATAGCCAAGTTTCTATCTTAAGTACACTAAATACAAGTAATTCTTCAAAGATTTGAATAGGTACCCATTGTCAGTCTGTCAAACATTTCCATATGACTGTTAAAGAGTGCTGTAGTCAAAATTACACTATAGGCTAAGAATTGTTAAGAAGAAATAAATTCTAAGGAAAATCACATTTTGATAGCTCATCAATTATAATAATAGGTAGGTATATTATTATTGTTTATTCATGAATTTGTTCCTAACATTAATGTAGGTGCCACTGATAAATGCCATAACTGAGGGAGGTCTTGCCAATATTTTTAATTTTTTCATCATTTGTTTATACATAATTCTTGCATTGTTACACATACTTCAGTACCTAGGTATATATAAATTATTTTTGTGTTTTAAATGAATAAAAAAAAGTCCATGGTTCTTTAACATTAAAAAGTTATAAATATTTTGATAATTCCTACAAAAATAAACTCAACAATATAATTTTAAAAGTAAAAACTATAGAGAGAGGTCAAATTTCAATTAACGTAAGATTTATTATTTAATTATCAATTTAAATCCTATAATATTAATTAATATAGGATAATTATTTTATAAATTTACTTAGTTGTTTTATAGGTTGGTAACTGTTATTATTATTATTTCTTTTCATATTTTAATTTGTTTTAATGTTTATATTTAATAAATAGTCATGTTTAATAATTATAAGTGATATAAATATGTTTGAAATACCTACACAAATATAATTACACACCTATAATTGTTAATTAAAAATAAAACATTCATATTAACACTTACACCGACCACTATCCGACAGCTACCTATCTATGTAGAATTATGTAATATTTACATAAATTAACAATAACAATATTATTGATATATAAGATATACGGTTAATAATAATTACCCAGTCTAATTTTTCAGTTATTCAATAACATTAGAGAAATCTCAATTATAATAATGTGCCTAATAAATTACTAAAAATATATATTTTGTTTTAATTTGCATGTAGATATCTGTAATAATGCATACGCAATAATAAATGATATTAAATTTGATTAGGCATCAATTCATATTATCATAGATGATTTTTCAAATAAAACAGTTAAAAATTAGAATAATAAATAGATGTAAATAGGTACATAATAGTTTGTTTATTATAGATTTTAGGACTGCAATATAGCTCAATGGAATAAAATCAATATAGGAATAACAAGATTAGATGTAAAAACTAGCCTCCATACCTACATAGGTATTTATTGTAAACAATTATACATACCCAGAATTCTTGGTCCTCTGAATTTTCACGTTGAATTAATTCACTGAAAGACAGTTTGCAATTTGCTACGAATAGATCTTCAATGACAGCATCGTGGAATACAGTAAGGCCCAACCGATTAGCCTGATGAACGTTTTGAGTGAAATACTCGTTCCAAACCGGATCATAAGTTTTTGGTACAGTGGACGATCTGAGTAAAATATTGTCATCTACGTCGATACTGACGTAAGCGTCGAGTAGCGGATCTTCGGGTTTCGGCAGAAACGATGTCATGTTCTTCAGACGAGTTTGCAAATCAGTCGGCCGTAGACCAGAAGCTTCACAGAGTTTGATGCGCATCGTCCCGGTAAACGTTTGGTCCATTGGACGTTGGTCCACTTTCGGACGATTTCCAACGGGGTCTTCTTTTTTGTCGATAACAGTGATCATGATTTTTAGTGCGTAGAAGCGGGTGTTATTTTGAAATAAATTCGTACAATCAAATAATATTAGGCACCACCGGCCATAATATTATTGAATCTTGAGGGCGTTATTGAATCCTACAGTCGATAGAAAAACCACGACGTGTCCAAAGGGACAGGTAACTGGTAGGACGTATCGAACGAAACTCAAATGATGATAATAACTAACATGGAAATGAACTGCCGCGGGTGCCCATTTTCATAATGTGCTCCGATCACATCTTTCATTTTCGCCACTAACTCGCGTCACGGGCGCTGCCGCCTATCGATATATTTTCGCGTAGTTCCCGCCTGCCCTGCTGTCGCAGCCAACCAACAATTGACGACACTATCGCGATTCGCGACTGTTCCGATGCCGACACCAAAGGGTACACGCACGCCGGCAACTAACCGACAAGCAAGTGGGTCCCGTGTCCCGACGAGTACCGACTGCGGGCGCGGGGTTACGAGTTTTTTCGTCTCGCCGCCACCTACCGGTCGGGTGGGGGGAAAACGACGGTCGGCAACCGTCGGTCCGCAGCCGACGCGTCGGCGGCGGTGTGCCGATATCGATGTTTGCGATTTCGATTGCGCACGGCCGCGGTGACGATTTTACACTCCAGCCGCTGCCGTACCCCGTAAAGGGTTTTTGTGTAGCGGTGGGAGTCGCTGAGTCGCGCACAATTAATATTGTAGCCTCGTGGACTCGGGCGCGCGCGCGCGCGACGGACGCCTCAGTAGTGACAACTGCCGCGCGAGACGCTCGTTCACAGCGCTGAAAATTTGATAATGCTAACATTATAATAATCACATGAACAGCTGACGGTCTCAGACGGTGGGCGGCGTCAGTGGTTGGCGCCACCAATTCGCGCGCAGAACGGCGCCAATTTCATTACGCATTATGTATATAATATTATAACATGACGTAAGACACATGTCACATACGAGAACGGTGAAATTCCCGAGTGAATAAACCGCGTAAACATTTTCACGACCCCAACTACGCGTTTTTATTGCAGACGTTTGGCGCGGTGTGCTTGAAAATATCAATATTACGTTATTAATATTTGAGTGCCGGATTTTTATGCTCCGAAATAACGTGAAATATAATAACATGATATTATGTTCCAGAGAATGTGTGTTTATTCCCCACGAAACATGCTAAAATATTCAGTTGCTGTGCAAACGCCCACAAGACGCAATCACTAAATCCTAACAAAACGACACCGAAACCCTTTATATTATAATCAACTTCGAGCAAGATAGAAACTAGATGTTTATAGAAGTTTTAACCCTTTTTCGGGCGATTCGGAACTAATCGAAAATACCCATACGTTAATACCTATCTATATAGTTTCAGACTTCCAGTATCACAGATGACTGATTTCATCAGCTAGGTTGACAGTCCGCATAAAACTTGTGTCACATCAATATGGAGAGTATATTGACGTAAGAACCTAGGCGGAACTAGACATTTACATTGGACTGGGCCACTTTTCCTGATCGACTAAGACATATTATATTTAAATGAAGGGGAGGAAGGAATGAAAAAATAATTGATGCTGTTTTTTTTTTCTAACTTTTTCATTTAAATTTAAATACCTATTACTAAAATACAAACAAATAAATACACCGTTTAATAAATATGTAATACATAATAATATTGTATAAATCAAGAGAATACCTTCTAGTTACTACAAAAAGATTTTGGAGTATTTATAAATTAGACAACAATCATATTGAACTACTTTTTTTTTTTTAATTCTTTAATTACTTTATTGAAGTCGATATGTTTCGCCAAGGTTTGCTCAGTATATGGAAGCATTAAATTAACCATAGGTATTATGTATTATAGTGGTACGAAGCTTAATTTTAACGGGTGTATACCTGTGAACGTTGTGGTATTACGGAGAATTTTAGGCCACATTGAATTATAAACTACCTATACTTACTTATAAAAATATATAAATTAAAAATTGCTCTTTTTTAAGTATCTACATGTCAGACAATGTGACACAATTTTTAAACTCGAAATCTTCCTCCTTGGCAAAATCCTAAATATACTAGTACAGTATTAATACCTGTACTTGATACTTTTCAATCGATTATTGATAGTGAGTGCAAAATTAGTCAAATTGCAATAGCAAGGACCATAAATGAACCATAAAATAATTCAAGTTTGGAATATAGTAAAAGCAGTGGAGAAAAGGTCAAGCGAAAAAATAATTGCAGAAAAATCAATACAGTTTTATGCTTACAGGATCATCAAGATTTAAGGATCCCAACCAACATAAAATGTTTATTATAAAGCTGTCACCGGAGATAACGCATTTTTAGTACTTACAACCATCAAAGTATTATTGTTGTTTTTGATTAATAATAATTTTATTCCGTTGATATAATAAAATAGGTGGGACAGTAAATAGTGCGGTAATAAATAAAATCGGTATAATACGATTGAGAACGCTATTTTTAGTAGTAAGATTGAGAACGCTCAATTGATTTTTTTTTTTTTTTTTTTGCAACGTTGCCATATTTAATAATTTTTGTTGAAAATTTGTGTAGGTACATACGATATTTGTTACTGGTTTGATTTTGCATACAATTGTAAATAATATAATTATGTTATGAGACATCTGTGGGTAAAAGTTAAAACGATATTTATAGCACACCGTGACATGGAATTTATAACTGAAATTGTTGGATATTGCAGTTATTAGAATAGTATTATGTTACTTATCTAACTATTTTAACTGTTATCAAGCAGGTCGGTCGACCTAATGCAAGCTAGGCTAAAAAACAAAGCAAGCTATAACCTTACAATATGTAAATAGTAAATAGCATCAATCGTACAACGCTTTTATGCAACAACTAATTGGAGTTAAACGACGTTCTGAGCGGGCGCGGGGAAAATGAAGCTATCAATATTTTCATTAATCCTAATAAATCACTGTACCACCAGTTGTAAAATAAGATAACAGTAGACATTCTCCGTTTATCCCAACCGAAGCTATAAAAGCGCAGAAGTGGTCGATTCAACATATACCTATTTAAACAAATTCTTGAAACTGAGGCCGAGAAAAAATTACTTGGTGGAATGCTATGAATTATTGAGTACAGCCTTCTTTTGTCTTTCACTAGGGAATGAAATAAAAATCGCACACATGCTGTTATCGTCGATGCTTTACTTTTATCAGATCTATCGAATACATCCCTATTGTACGATTTAAATACCTAATGAAACTAATAGTCACTTGAGCAGTTACTGATTCAAAAGGTTTTACTCTATATCCTTTATTCTTTGTTTACTCTTTACCTAGTAAAGATAAAATCTATGTTGTTGCACGCTGCAAACAGAGCATATTTATTATTGTTACTGGATGTTGGCGGTTGTAAATAATCGAAAGTTAATTAATCTTAAGGTAGATTTAAAAGAGGTATTGGTTGTAGGTAATCTTATAGGTTCTCCGTATTATTATTTTTATTTTTTTGACAATTATGGGCTAATATTATTTGCTTTGTATTTTGTGAATGGAACGTGTTATTCTCGTGTGATCTACAATTGGGGATTCACGATAGGATTTTAATATAATTTGACGGGCAAAGAACCAAAGAAGTATTTTCTAACTGTTTGTTTTACATTTTCTCTTTTTTTCCTATTTTTAGTTCAAACGAGTAAGGAAAAATCGTTTAACCTTATAATAAATTTAACTGGGCCATAAGTAATTATTATGATATCCAGAACTGTTCAGTTTTATCTATTCACAGAAATACTATATTTTGCTTTCTACAAAAATATAAAAAAAGTATGAAAGAACGTTCTGGGTATCAGCTTGCGATTCGTTTGATTAGTAATTGTGGAGCTACTAATTACTATAATAGTAATGGACAGAAAATATTATTCGGTGATTTGAAATGTTTGTAATGGAATGTATCATTTATAATATTACAAATTATATTAATTTTTTTTTAATATTAAGTGGAATTTGATCTATTTGAATACTATTATTCGCTTTTATAATACTTGAATTAAATTGATCATTATTTTGTTAGTTTTTTTTATATATACTAAGTAAATAGTCAAATTATTATTGTCATATTTCAAATGAATCATATTAATACGGTTCCAAGAAAGAGCATTAGCCTTTCTATTTTTTTTTTTACTTTTTTGTGTACAATATCAAAGTTTAAATCTAGTATAGATAACTCAAAAGTTAATAGAGCTATTCTAACTTTTAATTATTGTTAGACTTTTTTTATAATGAACCTTTTGACCAATTACCATAATAAATATATATCCCACTTCGTCCCCATTTTTAGAGACATGAGAATTAATTTGATGAGGTAGATACTATAATTACTTACCATAAACTATAAAACGTAGGTGCCTACCTATAACGTTTTATAGTTTATTCCTTTACCACATAAAAGTTATATAAAAATAAACTAAAATCAAAATTATGTTTTACAATGTTTTTAATAGTAAAAGATACTAATTAGTTATTAATGAAAAAAAAGTATCTAAACATTCGTCTATTGCCCTTTTTTTCTTCTTATCATCCGGGCAGAAGTGAGTAGCTACTGAGTCTGTTTAAGTCATGGTACCTATCTATATCCGTGTTATAAGTATTTTGACGTCACCGTCAAGATAAGGCATCGCTAAAAAAGAGATAATAATATATTATTCACCACGAGAGAATGGAACGAAAACAAATAAAAGTACAGAACTTGAGTGACTATACTTAGGTACATAATATTATATACCTACGTATAAACACAGGCACTCTTGTGTCTTACTATTTAGTCGTCAATGACGACTCGTTATTAATAAGTGGTGGGAATTAAGATATTTTTTAACTTATTAAAAGATTGTTCATGTCAGAAGCGGTAAAATGGGAGGGGTTGGAGGGGACATATCCTCATCATAAAGATATGTTTCATAAATATTTATAATAATGCACATTTACTTACAATATATTTGTATTGATATTTTTAATTGATTGTCTGGTTCATGTTATTTTTGGATGTTAGTGTATAGATACCTGCCTACGCTATTTTGATAAGTTTTTGTAATATTAGCACTTTCCTTATGTGACATATCTTTTTGAGATTTCAGATTGGAATTATGCTGCTTGAACAACTACTTGAACAGGAAAAGACCATGTAGTAGACAGAAACAACTACAATGGTTAGATGTAGTCAAAAGAGGGGGGACCTAAACCATACATATAATAGAGAGGAATGAAGGAGTTTGGTTTTGGTAGCAAAGGGTTTAAATGGTCTATAATCTGGTTCTCTTCTTTTCTCAATAGAACTATCGATACTCCAGATTTACTATCAACCATATCTTTCCGGGTCCCCGCATACCTCATTAGAACCCATTTCTTCTTCCACCTGCCTCAACATTGCACCTCTTATGAGCTTAACAATCCCCTCCACCGTACTATGCGTCAACTAAATACTGCTTAGTGCAGGTCCTGTTCTACCCTAGATTTAAGTTACCCCACTTTGATTACCTCTTTCTCCTAGTTTTAGTTCAAGTCTAAGTTCATTTTGTAGATACACAATTGCCAGTTTTGGCGATAGATTATAAAAATAAATAATGTTAAAAAAAAATGATTGTGTTGATATCTGAAGTCGGTTTTGTGTTGTCTTGAGATATTATATGAACATATTTGATTTAAAGGGACATTATCACTGACCAAGTTAAAGAATTGAAACTTAGTTATTTGTAAAACTTGAAAAATCAAAATTTGAAATATTATAACTTGGAAAGGTAAATCTATATGACAAGCAAAACGAGACACCTTTGTTCTATTCATTTTATTAGGTATTATAGTGAATTAACCTATTATGCAACTTAAAGATAAGAAAATTATCTGTACAATAGTAATCATATTTTTGCAATAATTATTTTAATTTTTTAAAAGAGATATGAGTAGTTATGTGAAATATTCAAATATCAAACATGAAATTACAGTAGTCAAGAGAACATACAAGATTATATTAGGTACCTATAGTCTTAAAAATATTTTGGTAGTGGAGATAACTTGATTATGCACTTATATTTGTGATAATGTTCAATTATAATGCCTTCATTACACTTGGAAATTCAAATATCAAACAAATATTTCTTATGCATATTGCACAGATATTATTCTATTTTTAAAGGTCGTAATCGCTCAATTTACTCTAAAATTAAAACTAACAGTACAAAACTGTTTCCTTTAAATGCAAATTTTGCTATGTTCAACATTTGTAAGATGGAGATAGCGCATGGAAATACAGTAGTCTCTTTACATGACTACTCAACTGCTGCCATCAGTTATTGTTCATAACATGAAATAATAAGTGATATAATTTACCTACAATAGTAAAAAATAATTCACTTCTTCCTTGCAAAGAGGTATGGGCTTTATTTTCTTATTTTTGGTAAAGATGCTTTTTTTTATTTATCAAAATATTTGCATGGATCATAGTTAACAGCTATAATATATAATAATATATTATTGATTACAATTGTCTAGTAGTATTTGTAAAAATATTAAACAATAATTACTGCAGGAATTTAAGAGCTGGAAATAAAATTATAATTTGAAATACTTTAACCAGCTGATTGGGGGTTGTGGCTTCTATAGTCATCCAGCTAAAAATCAATCAATCAAGGATCAGTAAAATAAACAGAAATAATTTTCCTTTTTCAATACATTAATACTTGATAATTATTTTATATAGTAAATAAATATATAAATCAAAATTGTATGCATAAAAGTAAAAAATAATAAATAAAAGAATGAATGCGTTGCTTGGAGTATTATTATAAGTGTATTTCTGTTTGAACCTCTAAATAAAATGAACGTGTCATCAACATATCTAAAATATGTTTTTATATACATAAAAAATAAATATTTTAAAGAAAATATGTATTTCATATGTATGTAATTTTATTTACCATAATATGACATACATATTATAATAAAATAGTAAAGTAAAAGTAAAATTATTAAAATGGTTAATACTCATAAATAAATAAAATTAATTAATAAGTCTGGAGTATTATGATAAGTGTATTATACAATTAGTTTCAAATTAAAAATTCATCATCAGGTATATCATGGTCAAAATGTAAAAATCAACTGAATATAAAAAATTAAATGATTTAAAACAAAAATAAAAAATTTAAAAATTGGTCATTTTGCATAGAATATTGAAATTATTTATTTTAATAGGAAAGATTATTTAAAATAATTTATTATTAGATATTAGATATAGATATGTTAAAAAATATAAATTATTTGGTTATTATTTATTGTCTAAAATGTATTGATATAAGATATTACTTTTAAAATCAGTTTGAACATTTAAAATATTATTAAAATTATTATTTTTTATTTCATTGTGCATGTGTAATTTTTTTAAAACCGGTTTAATGTAAATGTTTTTTGGGGTATTTAATATGTCTAAGTCTGTAAATTAATATCAAAACTTATATTATGGTTATTATTTAAAACATGTTTAGCGAAATTTGAATTCGGGGAAGTCTTTTTTAAAATTTTATTCCACAAATGTTCTTTATATCTTATTTTAAAATTCTTATTTTTCTTACCAATATATAATTTATTACAATTAAATTAAATTTATTAAGTTATTATTCTCAAGAAACATCATTTTATAAATTTTAATATTCTATAGGCTTAACCCTTAGATTACCAACGGGACACATGTGTCCCATAGAGGATAATATGTGTGCCATTAAGTTTCTTTACTATAAATATTAATATTGGCTGTTGTCCCACTGGTTTAGAAGTTGAAAAATTAAATTTTGTTCATAATGCATGATCGTTTTATATATTATTTTTGGGATTGAGTCTATTATATAATATATATCATGTATATATGTACAATAATACTTGATAATAATTTTTATCTAATTTATATGTTTGCATTATTTTATCTAACCGATTAAAATGTACACTCACACTTTATATGACATTTAAATAACCTATCTAACATGTTTAAAAAAAATAACAACTTTTTAACACTAATAATATTAGCCTAATCAAACATATAAACAATAGAACTAAAAACTTCACAAAGTATCCCCTTTATTTTGAAAATGCTGGTATATATAAATTTAAATTTAATTGTAATAAATTATATATAGGTAAGAAAAATAGAAATTTTAAAATAAGATATAAAGAACACATTTGTGAAATAAAATTTTAAAAAAAACTGCCCCTAATACAAATTTCGCTAAACATGTTTTAAAAAATAACAACCATAATATAAGTTTTGTTATTAATTTACAGACTTAGACATATTAAATACCCAAAATAACATTTACATTAAACCGGTTTTAGAAGAATTACACATGCACAATGAAATAAAAAATAATAATTTTTATGTTTTAAATGTTCAAACTGATTTTAAAAGTAATATCTTATATCAATACATTTTAGATAATAAATAATAACCAAATAATTTATATTTTTTAACATATCTATATCTAATAATAAAGAATTTTAAATAATCTTTCCTATTAAAATAAATAATTTTGATATTCTATGCAAAATGACCAATTTGTAATTTTTTTATTTATGTTTTAAATCATCTAATTTTTACATTTTTAATTTGAAACTAGTTGTATAATACACTTATCATAATACTCCAGGCTTATTCATTTATTGATTTTATTTTTATTCATACATTTTTTATTTACATATTAATTTACTTTATTTATTTATGAGTATTAACAAATTAAATAATTTTGTTTTTACTTTATTATTTTATAGTAATTTATTATCAAGTATTACAATAATAAAATATAATAAATTTTTTTTGAAAAAATGAATAATAATTTATATTTTGTTTTATTGAAGTAAACATTTAATAAAAAATGTATATATTATGAAACTAAATTGTATAGAACATAAAAACAATAAAAATATAAATAGTAAGTAAAAGCAAATCAAATCATTTAAATAAATAAGAATTGATTTGTTAGCTTATATTCTAAAATTAAAATACGTTAGTTGTTAATAAATACATTACAAGTTAATAAATAATATCATGGTTTTTCATTTAGTTAATATGTAATAGGTATTCTAAAAATATATATTAGTTTCAACAACACATTATTTATGGCGTAAATATCAAGTTTGATAAATTTTATATCAAAAGTGATTAGATGATTGTATAATCATAAATATAAACTAAAACTAAAACTTGATACTACATAATAAAAAACAAGATCCATGGGTTTGAAATAGATTTAATATCTTATAACTCTGATTGATGTGATTCTAGTTCACGTAATCTTTGAGATGCACGACCTAAGTCAGCAGTTAGTTGTCGATTAGCATTAGAATAATATTCAAGTACATCTAATAAACATCGCTCATCTTGTTGATCATAACTATAAGAAAACAAAATATTTATTATAATTACATAATATGTTACTAGGTAACTATTCCATTAAATATATCAAATACAGGCTTATATCCCATCCAGTTTATATAAAAAAAAAAAAAATATTTTATTTTTGTCACTTATAAATAGGCTATTAATTATATAAAAGTTCCATAAATAGTTCAATAGTCTCAGTGCTTATTTCAAAAAATTTAAATTAATGATGAAAAATTCCTATGTAAGAAAAAAATAAATAGAAATCAAGATGTTAGTTATAAACATAATATTTGTATAATATTTAAAAATGTGCTTGTTGTAAACAAATAAAAAGATACTTTAGAGTGACCAAAATTACAAAATTAAAATAATATATACCCAAACAATATTTTACTAAAATCAAGAATAACTAGATTACATAAAGGTAATTTTACAATAATACAAAACGTACTTTGAAAATTCTCTAGAACTTAACAGTTCATTTGTAGTGGCATTTGAATTTAAATTCGGTGGTGTCCATCTATCAAAATTTCCTTCTTGCCACCCGCATACATCAGGTGGAGGTTTTTCTAAGTTAAACTTTCTAATTGAATCTAAATGTTAATTACAATAATTACATAATTATTTATCATTTACTAAATAAACTAAACATCCAATTTGTTAGAGATATTTTATTTTAAACTTACTGGCATATAATAAAGAAAACAGTGTAACAATTACAAATTCAACAACAAGTAAAATTGCTATTCCATTTTTTGGAGACATTATAAAATTAGCTTCACAATATGGTTGGAAATTTGATTTATCTTCTTGAGCATAAATAGTTATAAAAATTGCCAATAATACAGTCCCTGTGTAATCAATTATATACATTTTACAATCATTATTAATATCTAAGCATATAAATAGACTTGTTTTAGTCTTACATAAGGATACTAATTGAAATGGAATAGCTGCCAGACGACAAAGTCTTCCATGAGCACGCAAATGTCCACGAGATCTTAACATTTTATTGTGTATATGTCTAGTAATATAATCAAGTATCTAAAAGAAATAAAAAAATAAAAAGTTTGTAAAAAATATAGCAATAGTAATACTATTTAAAACTTACTAAAAATATAAACCATACACAACAATGTATGTAAACTAATATATATAAAGGTTCACAATTATCTTTAGAAGAAATAATTGTTGATGAATTCTTATGTATTGTAATAGAATAATGATCTGTATTTAATAAATTCCATTCAAAATTATCATCTTCTTTTCCATTTGAGTTTTCTTCAAAAATTAAAAAATTTGATACTAAATACAAAGAAACTAAAGCCATACAACCCTATAAAAATAACAAAACATAAATTACACATAATTCTTAATAATAAAATATTTTAAAAAGTAGAATATTAAATATGTATTATGTTTATCTTTGGTTTTAATATATTTTTGAAATAATTAATCTATACTTTGTATTCAATCTAAAGTGTCTTTCTATAATAGTTTTGTTTATTAGATAAAAAGTGAATACTTTTTCAAAATTAATATATATATTAACATATTTTTTATGTTGAATTTACACAATAGTGTAAACAGTAACCTTTTTAAAACTAATAAACCTAATAAATAAATATTATAATGATATAATACTTAATTTTAAATTAGAATTTTTATGTGATTAACTGGCAATTCAAATATAATAATAACAATAATAATAATTTATTTCACCAATAACAGAAATGATTAAAATTTTTTATAAAAGAGTACACAAAAGTATTAGGCTATTCACTAAAGCCTATATGGCTGTGATGTGAATAGGAGTTATAATTATAATATTAATAGACACAAAATATAAAGTAAAAATAATTAGCAATTTATAAAATGTGAATGTGAATGTGAATTTAATTTAATTTATATCATAATTTTAATTGAAAGATTATCAAAATCAATAGTATCTATGCACCCTTCAAATAATAAATAATTATTACCAAAAGAATGAAAATTAATTTTTAAAGTAATACAAATTTTACAGAATACAAAAATAATATAAAATCAATTTAAATTTGTTTGAGGTTTTGGAGCAATAATACTTATTAAATTATTAAATATTATATTAGGGTTAAGCGCAGAAATTTCAATAATATCTTTGTGATTAGACATAAATAGATATGCATGTTTAAGGTATAATGCATTTAAATTATTAAGGCTATAATCTTTGTAGATACTATTACTAGGATATAGTCTTGGCTTGGAAAAAATGTATTTTAATATAGAATTAATGGTAGCATTTAATAAAACAATAAAGTAAAACAAAATTATAAAATGGTAATTAAATATTTTAAATAATCTCTCCATTAAAATAAATTTTTTCTATGTAAAACGATTAATTTGTGTAATGTTTTTCGTAATGTATTCTTTCATTTTTTTTTTCAAGTTCACTCTCATTTTACTTTTTAACTTTGTAATTTTATCTGATAATAAATTTTTAGTTCAAAACCCGTTGCATAATACACATTTCGTAATACTCCAGACAACACATTTATTCATTTTTTTTATTTATTTATTTATTTATATAGGTAGTATTTAATTTATTAGTACTTGTATTATAAGAGTCTCCCCTGAAAAGTAGACCGCAAATAAATATAGACTGAATCAAGCTAGTGGATGTTATGATTCTAAATTTAGGTGATTAATTATTCCTCAGAATACAATGAAATATAAACAAATTTTTGAAAAATATAGTTTATATGATTAATATGGATATTTCATTGGAGTTGATTATCAATATAAACTTCTAGATATTTAATAGAACAGTTAACTTTTTTAAAATAAATTTTTGATCATTTTTAAGATTTGAAGATACACTATTATCTACAACTTTATACTTTGTATCATCCAAAATTAAAGTGTTGATACTGCAATGTGAATAGCAGTGTTTTTAAATGTTTAATTGCAAAGAGTTATTATTAAACCATTTTTAACTAATGATGAACTTTCATTACCTTTGTCATTTATTTATTTATAATAACAGACTTGCGCCCACATATCAACATAATTACAAGTTATTCAGATTCATTAAATTACAAGAAAAATTACAAGTTAAGCATAAAATATATATTTTGGTTTGAAGAGGAGAAAAATGTTGGTTTAAGATACCAAAAATATTTAGAGCAAAAGAAGAAATGGTTGGAATTGGCAGTAGACATAGGGCGGTTAATTGGTCATAAATCTTATCTAAAGAGTTATCATTGAATAACAAGACTGCATCATCCACAAAATAGATTATTTTACCATTAATGTTAAGATTTAATAATCCATTTATATGTATCAAAAATAATATAGGACCTAATACGGGTGGTGTGCCTTACGGGACTTCAAAAGGAATTTCAATTTCATCACTTATTACCATATTAATATAATCATTTACTGGATGTTTGCAAAATTAAACTTTAATTTAAAAACTTATCTACATTATCTACTTTCTACTTTTAAGTGGGTTATGTCTATGAACTTTCTGAAAACATTAATTTTAAACATTTTATGTCAGCATTTCTGAACAAACCTTATTTATTAATATCCATCTAAACGAATTATAAATTATTTATTGGATATAATATCATTTAAAAAGAAATACAAAATTTAACGAGCCGCCTATCAAAGTTATCTAATCCATCTATTTAAATGGTAATTATTTTTATTAAAACTTATTACCAAAGTGTACTCTTACCGTGCATAATATATGAATGAAGGTTATCCATAGTTGTGAACTTTTTATATTTGTGTCTGAGAGAGAATACCAAAAATAGGATTTTTTTTTTTTTTTTAAATGAAAATCGGATATTAATGTAGTATGATCATTGATTTCTAATAAATGTTCACTACTATTCATACTGTCACAGTCTACGGCCAAAGACGATGGGATACAGCATCTTTGATTAGCACAAACATTTGTGGATGGCGTATTATCGTTGATTCCAATATCCATTGTTCATTGCCTATAACAGATAATAAATTCATATGATTGCATAGTATTAATTAGACACTTCAACAATAATATGTTACCTATGTTTTTGAATATTTAAAAAATATTACAAACACTCATAATTTACAAAATTAAATTTTAAAACTACCAATATATATTTTATTGAGATTTAATAGTATAAAAACAATAATATTTAAATACAAAATTCATAATTTTTTTTTCTTCTAAATTCAAGAATAATTTAATAAAGAATAATTGCCAACATTTCTTATCAGTGCCTTACAAAATTATCTATAATTTATTAAATTGCATTCTTAGATAAAAATAATACAATATGTATAATATTAATCAATAATATTATGATTGTCCATAATAATTTTTTGTAAATTGTTTTATTAGACAAATTACGTATTATTTAATTGAATAAAATGTATTAATTTTTTGATTAAAATTTTCTCAAGGTTAATGTTGAGTGAATTATTAATGTTTTTATTTACGTCTAATGTTGGTTACCATAATAAACATGATAACTTTTTTTACCTGGTTCTAAACTTCCACAAGTTAGTATAATATTGTCATTCAATTAGCTTTTATTCTTATAAAAATAAACGCAAACTACGGCGATCATTTAATCCAAAAAGACTTTCTTGAAAAGTTAAAATTTAAGATCAAGGCATGATTACGGGGAGGGGGGATGCGATTTTTAAAATTCATATGACATAGGTACATTTATAACATAGCTCAATTATGAAACAAGCCGAGAGTATATAAAAGTATCTAAAAACGAATAAGTTATTTGTATTTGCAAGAATTTGTAATAGAAGATTTTAAAAATAAAATTACCTAACCCACTTTTAGGTCACTAAGTTGTTTATTGATTCAATATCTAATTCGTAGTAACTCCTGATGATTTCTCTCATTTTTCTTTTAATCGCCCTCCTACTTATATTTTTTTTATTTATCATCCGTACGTTTATCAATTTCTTCATAGATCATTATTATCATTTTCGTACAGTGTCTTTTGATAAGGTATTGTTGGCTAATCAGGATCAATAATGAACTCATTAATTAATAAACCAAACATTTTGATTCAAACTTGGCCTTTTTACGATTACAAGATTTCCATTTTTCGGTTAATTTTGAATAAATTATGCATATACTGCGTATAATATGCATTGTTTTAAATTATTTATCATCAGAGTGCCCACTTTTATTTAATGAAAATGTTAAAATATTTTTGTCATAATATGGATTAAAAATATTAGAAGTGTTTTCGCGATTAACCAGGTTATATTCATTACCAGTCGTGTTTAAACAAGTTTGGTTATTGGTTAAAGACCCGCGAAAACGATGCGTTTGTGGTTATTACTATAGAGTAGTAGAGGCGTTGTTGTAATAGTTCGAAATCAAATCGTCGGTCATTGACCAAATAAAGAAGCAGTCTACGACAATTAATCCGTTAGATCGCAGTGTACATCAATAACATTGTATTTTTACATTTTTACTTGATGAATTTTTTATTTCGTATTTGTATTAAACTATTAAATATTTAGTGTTTATTATTTTGAGTTTTTTTATAATTTTTAATTTAAATTTATAAAGTTTATTTTAACATTTTTAAAATGTCAAGTTGTTTTGTGTGTGGAAAAACAACGAATAATGCAACCAAAGATGAAAATATTAAGTGAGTATTAAATTATTTGGTGGGTACAAAAACTAGACCAAGTATACTTGATTTACAGATTTCCAAAAAAAGATCTCTCTATTAGAGACAAATGGTATAACTTTGTTATTGATAATTGTTTAAATATAAAAAAATTAACAGTATTCAAGAAGTGACAAGTGGTTATGGTTTGTTATTTAATTTTAATAATTGTTTATAGAATTTATGAGATGGATAGAGATAAAAAATTTAACTCAAAAATATCTTTTTCTTAAGATTTAAGTTCAATAAATTCTTGAAACATTAACTTAGTTACAGTCATATTTTAAGAAACTTCTATACTTATACTATACTATTATACCATATACTTTTACTTTTCCCTCCTAAACTTAGCTACGGCCTACTATTACTAGTATTAGTTGATAAATCTCAAGCATAAGATTTACTCTATGATCTCAAGGCAAGGGAGGCATTAATCACCAATACGGTTACTCTATGGTTATTACACATTTATTAGAGATAGTAAAAAATATATAGATAAATGCCAAATGGTTTTGTGTTGTCAATTTTATTTATAGCCATTAGCCTTATAGGTGTTCTATTTATAGCATTATTATTTTTGAGTATATATTTTTGTCATCAGACAAGGTGAAATTTCCGAACATTTCACTTCCAGACGACATTATGATTTAATAAAAGTTTAATATACAACTGTTAATTATATAAAAATTGACTATAAAAAAAACCACGGTTTAACTTCCATCTCACTACCATGTTATCATATTTTCTATATCAATAACTAAACAAAATAACTATTAATTTCGTTTTGTTATGACTTTTTAGTAATTTATAACTAAAGTATTAACCAAAATCAGTTACATTTGGTTATTCCTAAAAACACATCTATTAAAATCATAAAATATTTATGAAAAAATGTGTATTTTACATATTATATTTAAAAAAGTTTTAAATAAAAATTTATTATCAATGATGATTATTTTTTAATTATTGCTGTTATTCTTTTTAAAACAATTAGATACAATATACATTTTTAAATGTGAATTTAGTTAGGTCTTAAAATTAATTTGATTTTTCTCTAACTACATAAAGTAACACATGGCCACCACTCCTCTAATGTTCAAAGCAAGGTTTTGGTAAAAAAAGTTGTTCAGACAGAAAAAATAAAATTACACATCATGTACGTAAACCCACCAACAAATAATTATATTTCCTTAAACAGATATTAAGAGTATCTATTGTTTAATCTTATTTTGATCATTTAAAATTATTAATTTCTTATGCTAAATATACAATAATATTTTCACATCATCTTAATATTGACAATAAAATATAAAATATACTTATAAAAAAAATTATAATACAATAATACAAAATGTTTAGAGCTGACAGAGCCAATGCATTATTATTTAGTAAGTACTTATAGATAATTTTTAAATGGGAAAACGTACTTTGTAAATCATCCACATTTGTACAGATCAAGTTGGATTTTGATTAGCAAAATTAACATTTCATAATTCCTAAATAATTGAAATAATGATACTTTTTTTTATTTATCATGGGCAAATGCTCAATTAAAAAGTATTTATTTTATTAATAATTAAATCAGAGTACAATATGATTTATAAAGAGTTTTTTTTTAAAGAAAAAATTTAATTTGTTATCATATGGCTTTATGAGGCAATGCCGGTGTTTTTGAGCAAAACAGTTTTCTAATTCTTTTAATATTTTGCTAAGGTTTATGAGAGGCTAGTAAAATAATATATCAGAGTTCTTGTTCATACAAAGAAAATATAAACTTGTACAAGTGTACATTTAGAAGAGTTGTTGTTTATTATAGATTTCAGTTGTTTTTTTTTTTTTTGTAATTTGTTGGCAATATTTGATGTTCCATTTACACTACTTAAGTGCAATGGTGATTATACAATCATTTGGTCTTGTAAATAGAAACTAGGAAATTCTATTTGTACAACTAAAATGTTTACACTTACTCTGGTACATAGGATTAGTATACAATTTATATTTGTAGTCACATGACTCAATTAGCTGAACAAATTGTTTATTGTAAAATAATACCCCTGTTGATATAATAATAATATTAGTATTCACTTTCATGAAACATTCTGAGTGCTCAATTTGAACATAATGGTTCAAAAATAATTGCTGTGAAACTAAAATATTTATTTTGATTATAATTGAAGACTAATTCTATAAAATAATAAGAATAATATTGTGGGGCTCAGAACAATTTTTGAAAGTGTGAAAAATGTTATAACATGGACACACAATTTATTTTAGTCTAAAATAATATGAAGTAGATTTCAGTGATGTATAACCAATATGATAACAAGTTATAATACACAGGCAACATTGAAACATATGTATTTTTGGAAATGGAGCATTGAATAAATTAATTTTCCTATAATTTATTCTGTATAATAAAATAGGTGGCTCTGATACCCTTAATAAAATTGAGCATTAGTAATTTAATTTTGTTTTCTGTAGAAATAAAATATTTTAATATTTTATTTAAAAAACCCACGTGGTAGTTTAAGAACACCCAAAAAGGAATTGTATGGTGATCCTAGGTACACATTTTCACCTATCACTTCAAAATCGCATATATTTGTAACATTTTCTCCTGTACTATACCAACTGGATTTTATGGTACCTTTTTCATTAACTTCTATAATTGAAACTGGTTCATCAAAGATTTTCTTCATAAATGATAGTGATTCAAAATGTCCTATCTGAAACAATAATATTTACATATATTTTAAATACCTATTTATATTTACTTAATTGTGAGAATATATGTACACAATTTTAATCTTACAACAGTTACAACTAAATACTGGGTTTATACAGGTGATAATAATAATAATAATCAGTAACTAAAGCGAAAACTATCAGTGATAAATTAATAATCTGTAACTAATAACTATTAATTTAAAGTAAAGTGAATTGTGAAAAAAATGTGTAAAACTGAATTATAAATAATGAAATCCTAATAATTCAAATACAAATATAACTTCATAAAATTGAAGAAAAATAAAATATTTAAATTTAAAATAATAATAAACAAAAACTACCATACTGGCCAATGATAATGAAAAATAATCATAATTTAATATTATAGTTATTGTTCTTTTTGTAGTGTCACTGATATACACCACCACCCTCACCTCATACACCCGGTATGATTTTTAAATTGATTAATTTATAGATACTTCTGCATTTGTAATAATGCCCACCCTATATAAGAAATCCAACAAAATATATTATTATGTAACATTTTAAAAAGAAAAATTACAAATACTAAACTATAGATATCTTTACCAATATTCCAAAACATAAGCTTGTACTGACCAATTGTGCTATAGAACAGGGGCATACGTTTTGTCTTATAAAAATTATAATTTGATAATAAATGAAATATGGAGTAAAGAATTTAAAATATATAATTATATCTGTACAGATCTACTGGTAGTTTAAATTTTTATATAAAGTACAGTAAACATTTTCCTAGTGAACAATTAAATAATAATAGTACCCAATCATTTCAGATTTCAGATTTATATTTTTAGGAAATTGAAAAGGGCATTTAGATTTTAATTTACTTATGCACAATTTTAATAAATGGACATCAAATGTTAAAGGAGTTCTTTACTTAGTGCTTAATTTTAGTAGTACACTAGAGGCAACATACTTAGAATAAAAAATATATTATTTTAAAAGGTTTTTCGAAAAATTAATTATATACAATTAATAAATAAAGGATTTTTATGATTATTTTTTGTATTTACCCAATGAATAGATTTTTTAAAGTATATGCTAGGATAAAATGATTCTAACATTTCAATTGTATGTTCAGTGATACTAAGAAATTTTAAAATCATCATCCTTAAAGTAGGATATTGGCCAATATTTTCTAAAAATGGTTTTCTTGACATGACTAATGGAAAATAAAATGATCCTTCAGCATTTTTTTTAATGTTATCTGGCATCCCTGGTAAGCCATCAATAAAAATTTCATTATGTCCTGCATACTGGCCTTTTAAATGATATCTAATAATTGAAAACCAGTTACATATTTTTATATATAATTATTAAATATAATATGAAATTTTAATAATCTTATATACATACTTAATAATACGATATTTGAACGTTTCTGCTATCAGTAAAAATGATTCATCATTGGATAATTCCACACCATTAGGGAACTGCATTTTATCCATTAAAACAGTATTCTGTTTTGTTTTAGGATCATATTTTAATAACCTCAAAATATAAACATATATAAGTATATGAATTTACATAATATATTTTATTTATTATACAAGAACATCTATAAAATATAAATATAACATTTTTCATGAATAATTATAGAACAATTTATACATATAATTCTAAAAGTTTCTAATGTAAAATACAATTTATTTGAAAAAACTGATATCCACTAACCTTCCACTGCCATCAGCCAATAATGTGTAAACACCATCATGTAGTTTAAAATTTGTGTCTGAGTCTGTCCAGTATATAGTACCATCTGAAGCTATAGTAACAGAATTTGGAAATTTAGGACGAACACCTTCAATTGGTTGATCCATAGATACAATTTGCTCTTTTGCACCTATTAAATTAATAAAATTAGAATAAAAATACTGTTTATTTAATTATAGAAATAGTACAATTATTTGAATGCTTTTATTATATTAGTACAAAATATGGACCGACAAAGGAATAATTTGTTAAGCTTTTCTAAACTTTATATGCTAATTTATAATATTATAATTTATGAATAGTTCAATATTTTTATACTAACATTTGCTGAAGATTAGACAGCTCCAGAAAATGTAGTTAAAGTTATCAATTAAAATAATAAAAATAGTATACATATTATATAACATTAAATTACTTCAGTTCTGTCAAGAAAAAAATTATAAATATAAAACATTACTGAGAAAATGTAAAAAAAAATGAAATTGTTTTATATTATAAATATCCAACCTAGTAGTGATAAATCAAAGTTCAAGAGGAAACAAAACTTGTTTTGAGATATGTATTATTATAGATAATTACCTTCATTTTATCAAAATTAAATCAGAACTTTTAGTAATATAATAAAATAAAAGATTTTTCATGTAAATTATGCTAAATAAATAAATATAAAAAAAATTGCATTATAAAAAAAAAATGATGATAAATAATTCAAAGACATACAGTGGTATAATAAGGTAAACAGTATTATTATTAAAAAAAAAAATTTAGTTATTTATTTTTGATGTTAAATTGTATATTAACAATTTTTTTTTAAAAAAAACAATGACAGTTTATTTAGTAAAACATTAAATTCTTTCATTGTATCTTGTTTTTTTGTCGCAACCTACCAGTTGGTTGTACTCCCTTTATATATAATCACTATTATCTCAACATAATAATATCAAATAGTTTAATTAAGCTTATTGTAATATTATGTAATCATGTATACTTTATTAATTTTAATTTTCTATGATAATAAATTATTAAATAATGACTAATCAAACAAGAAAGTATTGTTAAAACATACCATAATGAACTGGAGAATGAATATTTACTTTAAAAATACCATAATATGCATCTACTACATATAAAAATCCTTTGTTGTCCATTTTTAAGCCAAGTGGACGGCCACAAATATGCTCTTCATATAATCCATCTAAAATCATATTTCAAGAGAGTTAATAATTATTAAGTGTTTTAACAGTGTTTAATAGGAATTTGGAGATTCACATTACATGTTAACAGTAAAAATTATTTACTGGCATGCATTCACTATGCATTTATTGTTCTAGAATATAAGACATATTGGAAAAGAGGATTTTTTCTCGCGTCAGTTGTGAAGTGGCCACTGTGATAAGATTTTTGTGTGCTAAAGGATTTTCAGCTGCTGAAATTCATCAAGAGTTGTACCTAGTTTATAGGCCTACAATAATGAATAGAGGAAAGGTTAGACAATGGTGTTGTGGTTTAAAAAATGGATGAACAAATGTGTATGCCGAAAAGCAGAGTGGCAGGACTAATAAACAGACTGACTGCGATCTGATTATTGATTGACATTTAGTGCCCTGACTGAATTATTTCATCTTGGACATACCACTGTTAAGACAATTGTCGCAGAAAATTTCAACTGATTTAATTCTCAAACAGAGTTCCTATACAGAGGGGTTAAAGAAGCTGATGCAACAGTACAGAAAATGCTTAGAAGTAAATGACGACTATGTAGAGAAGTGAAGTAGGTTTGTAAGAAACTAAATATGCTAATAAAATCTGTTTCTTATGATTATAATTTGTTTTTATGACCAAATGGCTCTTACTTTTCAAATTCCTCATAATGAATAATTTATAAATTTATAAGGTAAATTACTAAAGATTGTTTCAACTGTGAAACTAACATAATTCTATGAATAACAGCTTTTAGGAAGACTATTATTATAATAATTATCAGAATTAAAAATTATTTATTGGGTATTATATTTTGTTCTTTATAAAAAAAAAATGAGTGTCTTGAGAGAAATAAATGTTGGTAATCAATAATATTAAAATAAAACAGATTAATGTATAGACAATCTATAATCGTATATATTTTAATGGTATAATATTAACATTACTTGAGTAGGTAATCCTCACTAAGTACATGATTTAATTGATAAAATAATTAATTTTTTCTACAAGAAATAATATTATTTACAAATAAAACAATAAGTAATATACGCACCGCATACTTTTCCAAACTTCACCACAGGAACAATTTGATTATCAACTATTTTCACAACATGGCCATAATGGAGAGTTAAATATAATGTATTATTATGATATAATAGCCCTTCTGGTCCTTTAATTTGATTTTCATAGAGTTTGGATATTCCAAACAATTTTTGATTCAACTGTAATGGCCCAATTAAAGATCTTTGTGGTTGTACACTGTTTTGGCAATATAAATTATTAAAATATTAAAATATTGATGTATGCATATTTAATAATAAAACAAAGTTGAATCAGTTAAAATCCCATATTAAAATTTTTCATTGTTTTTGTTTTAAAAAAATCAAAATATAAGTACCTACCTACTTAATACATTTATTTACTTTTTTTATATTAGCTTCTAAACAGTGATTATGATAGCTCAACACTTATTTAGAAAAACAAAATTAAGTCAAAGAAAAAGAAAAAAGGAACCTAAATATTAAATCATAAAACCAGCTACCAATACTAAATTAATTACCTTAATTCAAATTTAATTACATTTATTTTTATTATAACTATTTATATTACAATATATAGACAGGTACCTATTATTTTTGGTAAGTTCTCAGAAAAAAACAATATTCTGAAAAAGTTCCAGCTTAAGACATCGTTAAATGGGGGGAGGGGGATGCATAACAAAAACATTTTTTTCCTCAATACACATTTTATTAGGATTATTTTACTCCTATACCATGGTTATTATTGATATTGACATACTGCATAACGTATAATATAATAATTTCCGTGTTTCTCGACAACTTAGATTATCCATGATTAATTAGTTAATCATGACTCATGTGATTATCAATCAGATGAATAATCCTATGGATTTCGGTGTTTCTCATCATATTTGATTAATTTGATTGCTTCTCGATGAATTTGATGTTCGATCTACAAAATTAAATGGTGCACTAGAGGCTAGACGATAGAAATGTGTTATCATAATTTGTGTTGTTATCACCATTTAGCCATACCGTTTTTTTCCGTTTTACAATAATTAGCAATATTATTTATGTTTATGTGTTTGTTTATTTAATTATTTTGTTTCAATGATAATAGCAACAAACACTTTTTAATTTATTTTTGTTATTGCGGTTTTCCATGTAATTTATTGCAATACATTTAATACAAACATTACATGAAAAATCTCTCATATTGAATATAATTTATTTAATTTTTAACAAATAATTATTTTTTTGATATTCTGAAAATCATGATAGATGAGCATTCTGCGTTTTAATCACAGATATATAAAACGAATGTTTTATATATTTGTGGTTTTAATATAAATCTGTGTTCCTTGACTTTCATCTGATTGATAATCGAGTTTATCGAGGAACACACGGATTATTTTCTTTAGATGCGACATAGAAATTATTAATTACCTATTATTATAATATTGTGTTAAACGTAAAATACTATATTTTTTTATGTTAAACAAATCATATTTTTAATGACTATTGTAAATCAATAAAATCGTACAAATCTTATTTTATAATTGTTCAACAATACTTTTCTGTGTACTTTTTGTTATATTCGTGCGAGAACTTACTTGTATTTTGTAAAGGTGACATTGGGAGGCCCAGGCAGCAGTGTAAAGAGTCCGACGAGTGCCAACAAATTAATACTCGTGCCCCGGAGTAATTTTATGGTTTGTCCCTGCAAAGGAGAAATAATTCATTAATACGCTCGTGTTTTCTTTAATTTGGTAAGTAGGTATTTTAAAATGTATTGTAATTTTTTGGAAAATATTCGGTTAGACAGTTCTTACCATTTTCGACGATAGTCACCTGGCTCCGGTCGTACAGTTTCTGGGAGGTAGTTATGAACAATGTAGTCTGCTGTAGCTTAATTTATTCTATATGTGTTAAGGTCAGGTCAATGACCTTATGGATATTAACGATAAGAACGTCTAATGTATGGTTAGATAAACACTTGTATAATATTACGGTTGTTAGGTTGCATACTACCTATTCCCGGTAATTATTTCTTTCCAATAGTTTTTTTTTATGAACCTAACCCTCAACTTGACATTGTACCTACGCCGTTGACCGTTTGTGCAATTGCAATGACTTTCAATATAGATACCTATCCATGTATATTATTTATTTTACAATATTTTTTTTGTTTTTAATTGTACAACTTTTCTATCAGCAATTTCGCTCCGATAATTAATTATAGCACTGTTTCTAAAAGGAAATCTGACTAGGGTGGTAATTTAGGGAAGACATTTTTTGATTTTTCCAGGAATTTTTCCAAAAAATTTGAAAAACTAGTAAATAGGTATAATATTTAACAAATATTATTATAGAAAATATTTTAAATTATATTAAAAAATTGTATGTTATTATTTTACCATAATGTGACATATATATTGTTGATAAAGCAACGCCATCAACCGAACTGCTTTCGGAATAGTTTTTTCGTTAGCAATGGTTAATCGTTACAGATATACATTAAATTTCCCCTCTACCTTCCTCATCTACAACAGTGGCCCCACCTATTGTGCGAAGTATGTCCATATCTTTTAGATTCGGAACGTAGTGAGGGATCTATTGGTTTGTGGATGTATGGTGTGTGTTTTTGTATATTTTTTTTCATGTGTCTGTGAACAAGTTTTCTATTAAAAACTTACTTCGAAGGACTATAGTACTTTTTCTGAAAAATAATTTTTTCTCCTCGGTGCACTAGGCACGTCATTTTTTTATTTTTCAATGTTTTTTCGAAATAATCGGGAAAACTCCGAAAGAAAGCTAGATAAAGCGGTAAATATTACTCTGTATAATAACACTATTAAATAATATTAACCTGAACATAAGCTTAAATTTCCAGACGAATTTAATAAATCAGTTCAACGTCTATCATCAGTAATATGCCACAGAATAATTCTCTTGCAAACCAAAAACTTCTAATTGAAATTAAAAGAATCTACTACCGCCTGCCTACTAAGATCTCTTATACCTAGTTTAAAAGAACAGCCCAAAAATATATCCTGTGGATGAAAATAATTATAATAACTCATGCATAATTTTCAGAAAACAAATGATAATATTTATATCTGTGTAGTATCACAACGATAACAATTAATAAAATACCATTGCTCATAACCGATATTGCGGAAATTTGTACACCGTTGCACTTATAGCGTTATATTGTCCAAAAAACTGTCCATTGCAGTAGAATCATGAATCATGTGGAACATAATTTTTACAGTCATCAAGTATAAATATTAAAATATTAATTTTGTCAAAAAAAAAAAAAATGTTTACTAGTTTACCTATATATTATCAGTTCAAATTATGTTATTATTCAAGCATCGAGATTAGCATCTTTATCAATAAAAGATAAGACGCACGTAGTGCTCGTGCGATTATCTTTGTTCTCGGGTCAAGAAACTGCTAGAGCGCGCGCATGTGAAACATAAAAACCTGTACTAAATGTGCTCCCAATGTGCACCAAAAATCTTGCTCCAAAATATCAAGTATAGCAATTTTTCTGAAAGGGAATTTTCCTGAGGTGGTACTTTAGGTTGGTTATTTTTAATCTTCCCAGAAGTTTTCCCAACAAATAGAAAAATGGGAAAATGTACAAAATGTAGGTATTATTAAAAAAATATTATGGCCTTTTTTTTCTGTGGATAACTTTTGTACCAGCAATTTTGCTCGATTTAAAATGGTCGCACTTTTTCTAAAAGAAAATCTGACTTGGAGTGTGGGGTGGTACTCTAGGGAGGTCATTTTTTGATTTTCCCAGGAGTTTTACCATTAAATGGGAAAAATCAGGAAAAACGGCAAAATAGGTACATTATTAAACAAATATTATTAATGCAAATATGACATGTACGAGGGCTAATCAAAAAGTATCGAGACTGATAATATTACTCGGAAACCGAGCTTTGAAGAGCAAAACGATTTGTAAATCTAGCTTCTATGACATACTGAGCACATCTATTCGTATAAAATCTCTATAAACTTCTTCGTTTTGATTTGACGATATTTTTCTAAAATTTGTTTTTCACGTTTGGCGATTTCGTAATGAATCCAAAAGAAGCGGAACTTGCTNACTGGAAAAAAATGCAGACAAATTTTCTAAAATCTCCAAATCTGTCAAGTTACTCTTCTTTGGGGTTTATTACAAAATCGCTAAACTCGAAAAATATATTTTACAAAAATATCAGTGAAATCAAACCGAAGAATTTTATAGAAAAGCAATAAAAACAAATATACTCAGAAAAAGTCATAGAAGCAAATGATACCAATCCTACTGCTCTTCGATGCTCCTTTCCGAATGATACTATCAGTCTTGATACTTTTTGATTAGCCCTCGTATATTGTTGAAAAAACAACACTATAAATCGAACTCCGCTCAGAATTGATATTTCATCATTAGTCATTGCTTACAGATATACATTTAATTACCTATAACAGTGGCTCAATCCATTTCCATTATACTTGAGCAGCTTTTTAAGTTGATTTTTAATCGGTTAGCATTGTGATTTAGATATTTTGCAACACTTGCTATTGTAGGTAACAGCAAATTTGTAAATCGTAGTAAGTAAATATATTTATGAAGTTTGATACAATTGATAAATAGTATTGATACAATTTATACAATTTGGAAACCCAAATTATAATGAAATAAAATCATTACCGAGTACCGACGACTCTAGAGTTATTAACGTTTTTATTGTTCAATACCTATATATATATATATTTATAATAATAATATGAACATAAATAAACATGCACGCATTTCTTTTGCTTTTATTTATTATAATAGTTTATATACGACTTATTAATATTTAAAATGTGGATAAATATAAGCACTAAAATATAAAACAATCATGTTAGTAATTATATAATATAATAATACAAGTATTAACATAAAAACACGGAATAAACTTAAACATATTGAACATATTAATATTATAATAATATATAATGTATTAATTTTCACAACATAGCAGGTACAAGTAGTAGTAGTAGGTAAACAAGTGAATTGCCGTTAGTAATAATGCAAAAATAAGAAAATTAATTATTGAGTACTATGGTTATCTACACTGTATAGATAACCGTTGTAGAGTACGATTACGATTATTCATAATAGCAACTTTTGTCGACTTGGTAAAAGTCATTTTTTCGGTCAGATGTCCGGTAAATGATCGAAATGTTTTTGCGCGACTTTTAATGGTCGTGTTAACTCAGGGCTTTGATTGTTACTCGAAATTTGTGGAAACAGTGTCGATGCAATGTTCACGTAATGTCCATTCTGTGGAAAATCGGCGTGTAATAATATTTTATTATAAAATGATTAGTATCTACCTGGATATTTTAGATTCTGAGTGGAGCGAAAAAGCTTATGGTTTTACAAAGATATTTATTATTATTATTTTTTTTATCTGTGGACAACTTTTCTACCAGAAATCTTAATCCGATTTTTAACTGTAGCACATTTTCTGAAAAGAAATCGGTGTGGGGAGATACTACAGGGAAGTAATTTTTCGATTTTGCTAAGCGTTTTCCCAGCAAATGGGAAAAACGGGAAAATCGGTACAATATTAAACAAATTGATGACAAAGCATCACTATCAGCTGAACTTCGCTCAGGATCGTTTTTTTGTTAGCAATAGTTTATCGTTGCATAGAGATATACATTAAATTTCTTTTTGTATCCTACCTTCCCAACTTTCCACCCAAAACAGTGGCTGCACGCGTCCCCATTATCTTAGGAAACCTTTTTTGTATTACATTATATTTGGTATTATTATTTTGATATTTGTACATTATTGGAAACCGATTTTATGATTTATGGTCACATCCCCGTCGGATGTTTCCCCGTCCAATTAACCTCAAACAAACCCATAAACAATAAATAAATGAATTCTAACGAATTGTATAATATAGATATAATTATTACAAGGTTAGTTAATTTGTCTTTAATAAAAGTATTTATTATCTATTGATATCATTGAGTGAGTCGCGGCCGGTTTAGCTGTATTTAGCCTATGCGAAAACATATTATCTATAACAATACCGAAATAATTTAGATAAAAGCAGTGGAGTAGGTACATACTAGTGTAATGGTAGTTAGGCCCTCCGCACACGAGGCGATTGCAACGCGACACGATTCTTGCGCGATTTATGCGATACGAGCGATCTGTGCAATTACGGAGACGCACACGATGCGATTGTCGTGCGATTATTATTATCGTTGTTTATGTGTTATTCGGTTATCATCAGTCGTTTACTGACGTTTGCGCAGTTCTTTGGTTACCTTTTTTAAAAATGTCAAGTTCGTCCAGTGACGAAGAAGCGATTGATACGTACTATTTGTACAAAAAGTTGGTTTGTGGAAAAAAGCAAGAAAAGAATCTTCGAAGGAAGTTTTAGAAAAATTATAGAGTTTTGGATGTTTTTAAATTTCATCAACAAATTTAATATTGAATGTCTCCATAGTTAAAATTATGTATAAATAAATAATATAATATAACGAAAATAAAAATATAATTACGCGCGATCCGTGCGACGCGACTGCCAAGCGATCAGCACTGCCGGTCGCACGTGTCGTCCGTCGCTCGCGTCACAGTCGCGTCGCGATCGCGTCGTTATCGAATTGCGTCGTTAGTGGATCCCCATTCACTTTGCTAGGATATCGCAAGTGGCAAAAATCGCGTCGCGTGTGAATCGCCTCGTGTGCGGAGGGCTTTAGTTATTAACAGTCTTTTGACAACCATTGTTCTTATAATAATATATTTGTCCGCTGATAATCTTATGCGGTCTTGTGTATTAAATATTTTATTATAATTTTATTTTTTAAAGTTGTATTTACTTTTTTATTTCTAAGTCAATTATTTATTATGGCCTTAAGTTTGAGGTTAATTGGACGGGGATACGTCCGACAAGGATAATAATCGGACGGGGAAACGGTGACAGGGATGTGACCTACTACCGATTTTCTAGTAACACTTTTTTTTAGGTATAGGTACTTCTTAAAAAAAGCAAAAAAAAATAAAAATAATAATAACTTAATCATCATTGTAGTTTTTGGGGTGTTCCATATGAGCACTCGTAGGTTATTTTAAATTGCAATTTGAAATTGAAAAAAAAAAAACTAATAAATAAGTTAGGATGGCTTAAAAATAGGCCAATATATTAGTTCTATAGATACATTTTTGTACAACACAATTTTTTAACGAACATTTTATTTACTATAGTAATACCTACATAAATGATGGCACAATGGGCAGTTGCCTAAATATTTTTAAAAAAGACTGATTGCAAAACTCTTTATGGAATATTGAACCATTACTTGTGATTATCATTTTAAATATTATACGTTTAACAAATTATATATTTGCAATCAATTTTAATACTTTCGTACTTACATTATTATTTGGTATACATTAAACATAGTAGGTACAAAAAATAATGTAGTAGTATTAGGTAGGTACAAAATGTAAACTATAGTCTATAATTTAATTATACCTAATAATACTGTCCCATTACTGATTATTTTATTAAAAATATCGAATTAAATAATAGGCTTTGTTAATTCAGATACCTTAGATTTTTCTCGGAATGTTTTAAGTTTTTCAAACTCGGTCAAGTCGCCTTCTGGATATTTAAATGAGAAATTATCGAAAAGCGGGTGTCGTAAAAGTTGATCGCACGTCCACCGTCTTAATGGATCTTTTTCTAAACACATCTATAATTTAAAATATATATATATATATTTAGGTTAGGATTGTTAGGATGGATATATTAATATATTATATATGTACTCATTGAATTACGTACATATTAATATATTATATTTTATGCCAACTTAAAAAAAAATGTCGATTAATTTTTAAATTATTATGTATAATACCTTTAAAAAGTCCAGTAAATGTGGAATCGTTAACGCTTGTTTAGGAAGTTTCTTGTCCAAAGGTTCAACGATTTCGGGTTGTGGTAAACTTATACCTCGAAAAAATTCATTCATTTTAAAAATGTGCATGTGTCTCGCAATTAAATCACCTAAAATACAGATAATTAAATGATTTTATGCTAAGAGAAACATAAAAGTATATTCTGAAAATAATTCTTTCTTTTTTTCTCCTTCTTTAAATCAAAAGTAGAATACAAAGTACAATGTATTAAATTAAAAATAAGTCGATCTCCATATTCAGAAATTATTTATTTATATATCTATAGATTCGAGTTGCCATACAGCTTATTTTATAAGGAGTAAAACGTTGGAAATAAATATGCATAATGAATTCAATTTACGTAGGCATCTCAACATTGTACTATGTCGTTATTTCATTATTTATTTGCAGGAAAAACTATGGGTACAAATTGTAATATTTTCTAAATCAGTTTTCTTTTTTTTTTAAGTGAAAAAATTCATCAAGATAAATTCAGTACGGCATGTCGTGAACTATTTTTTGATTTATGTGATTATGATTGTTTAATCCAGTTAAACTTTTGAAAACTTAAAACGAGATTTTCATCATAAATTGTACTCAGTGGTAAAAAAAAAAGTCGAGTGTAATATAGTAGTTTTTTTTTTATACAGTTTATTAAGTTAAAATTCTGAAAAAATTTGTAAATATTACGGTATTTTAAAATAAGTTTAACGGAACTTCGCTCAGAATCAGTGGCGGGTCTACGGGGGNGGGGGGGGGGGGGGGGAATAAATCTCCCTCGCGGGTTAAAATATGTTTTTGCTTAAATCAACCATTGCTGCTCATAATTGGTATCTTGATTAAGGCTATACTGGTTATAATGTTTTCAACTTCACAGCTATTGGTTTTACAATGCTGTTTATTTCTTTTTTTTTTCCTTTTCTTTATTCTAGTCTGTGGAAACGTTTTTTCCTAGTAAACTTGCTCCGATTTTTATGTGTAGCAAATTTTCTGAAAGCTTAAGTTGTCTAGATGGTATTTTAGAGAGGTTATTTTTTAAGGCACTTAAGTGGGAAAAAACGTAGGAAAACGTAAAATTTCACGATCCTATAACCGCCACTGCTCAGAATCGTATTTCGTTAGCTAGGATTCAAGGTTGCGTATACAGATATAAATTAAATAATGTTTTGTAGTTTACCTTCTCAAATTATCACCAAAAACCAGTAACACGACCCGTCTACACTAATATTAGCTCTTTTTTAACATTTATAATTAAATATTGTGCTATTAATTTGATACGACTTTCGACTAAATTAAAACTATTATGGACTAGTATATACTATTTTAAAATTTTACCTAATGTAGATCGAATTAAATACAATTGATCAACGTCGGATTTTCCCGGCCAAAGAGCTTCCCCTCTCACGAGTTCGGCACCAACGCATCCTAAACATGTTTAAAATAATATTTAAATAAGTGTTTAGGCAACTAAAAAAAATGTGTAGGTCAAAAATATAAATTACATAAAACACCTTCATATTATATTGGATAGTTTTACTAGGTATTTGAAGTACGATTTGAAATCAAAATAACCCTAAATTGTATTCCTAAATTTACAAACGTTATCGATATAAAATTAAAAATAATCAACTGCACGCAATAATATCACCGTGAAATTGATAAATCTAAATATTTAATGCTTATTCATATTATACAATTTAAATTTATTATTGTTAAAATATGTTTAAATTGTGTGCGTATCTCAAAATCTTAAAGTATACTTAATTAGAAAAAAACAATTTTTTCTTTTTGAATATTTATTATGTTCACTTTAACTGTTGAATATATTCAAAAATGTGTTTAAATCATATTAAACATTCGATTTTTGTTAAAACATCGTTAGCTTTTAAATTTACTTTTAAAATTATATTTTGACCGAATAATAATGTAATCATTTATTTAGAACTTATCGTTTTTTTTATCTTTAAATAAAATATCAAAAATGAATTTACTTACCGATTGCCCAGACATCTACCGATGGGCCATATAGCGTGTCGCCCACTAATAATTCCGGAGATCTGTACCATCTAGTTGCAACGTAATCGGTATAATTTTCACCCGGATCTGTGAAGTTAATATTATATTAATTAATTTTTTTTTATATAAGTGATAAATTAAGAAACAATGATTTATTCGAAATTAATTTTAGCTATTTTTAAAATTTAAATTGCGATCTAACTCATTAATCTAGCGAATCCGAAATCACAAAGTTTCACCACTCCTTGGGAAGTGAGTAATATATTTTCCGGTTTTATGTCTCTGTGTATACAGTTATGACGATGACAGTACGCGACGGCCTGTAATGTTTGCCAAATAATCTGCTTGGTAAATATTTCTGGGCAGCCATATGGATGTCTTTCGAGCTCGTGGAGTACTGTGTGCTCACAGAACTCGAATACCAAATGAAGTTTTCGTTTGCGCCGAAACACTTCGAGCAAATTCACCAAATTTGGATGTTTTAACGTCTAAAATATTTATAAATTACAGCTTAATTAAATTTATAGTGTAAAGTTATGAATTATCCATTATAAATATTATTTAAAGATCTTCAAATGTCTCGTTTTCCACTTTCTCTGGAGTACCTCGAGACGCTATGCTCTCTCCTCTTCTTTTCTGTATCTTTATATAACCTACCTAGTCTGTAATTAAACATGTTTTGTTCTTATTTTCGTCGATGATATGAAAGTGAAAAACAAGACTGTAGTTTTGTGTTTTTTCCCTATCCGACTGTCATCTCTTACAGTCAGGTTTAAATCGGATGTTTACGTGAGGTAATTCCCTTAGCCTCTATCAAAACATGTCCAAATGCTCGGTCATGCATTTTTCCCGTATTCAATATTCATATCCCTATTAAATGTAGGCATTTATTGCATTAATAACTTAGCGATTTTCCGAACTCTCTGTTCTTAATCTTGGCTTTTCCTTGTCTTCTACTCTTTCCTCCCTTAAACACATTGAAGTAGCTTACTGGCATCAGCTGAAAGAAGTTTTTCTACAATGAAAAGGATAAAAACTTATTTACGGACATCTGTGTCAACTGTACGCCTTCATAATTTAGCATTAATTTTAATTAAGAGGGAATTCAGTTTCGAGTTAATCGAGGATCCTACAAAGATTGTTGAAGAGTTTGCTAAATTGAAAAAATAGAAAACTTTGGTTCACCAAATAATTATATTTTATGTACTTATTATTAAAACAAAACTATTGTTTCATTTGTATTAATATATTATTCAGTTAAAACTTAATTGAAAACTTAATTTTGCTTATTAATATCTTTAAATATTATAAACAAGTAAAACAGAAGGAATTGTGTTGTATTATATTATATGATCATTTTTTCTAATTAAATTTTAAGAAGGTTATAAAATGTTTCCAAAAAAAGAAATAACGTGTACTTATAACCGGACCAGTCCTACATTTGGATTCTGGGCATGCCTCTGGTCTCCTCTTTTTCTCAGTTTATCCCGTATTATTTAATAAATAAATAAATTAGATACTTCTAAAACATAATCGTTATTAATAATTACTATAGCTGACATTTCTAATGTAATCGAAAACATGTTAATAACTTAAAAATACTTATTTGACTTTTTTTAAACTTATTTGAAAATATAACTTACCTTTAGCATACGTATTTCACGAAGAGCGATTTTTCTAATTAGTGGATCGTCCTCAGACTCGACAAATTTTTTTATAGCTACTATTTGACCATTTTCTCGATTTCTACATTTGAACACCATTCCATAACTCCCTTCACCCAATTTACCTAGACGCTCGTAGCGTTCCATCAATTTCAACTTGGAGCTGGGTCCATGTCTGAAATAAGCCAAATGTATGTATTTATAATCAAAATATCTGTAAAATAATTATTATTTTTAAACCAATTTCAAGTCATTGCAATTTAGAAACATTACCTGTGTATTGTTCATTACCGTAATTTTTCTTAATTGTAGTTAAATATTTAATTTCACTATAGTTTTGTAATCGAATGTGTAAAAATAAAATATATTATTTTTAATGATTTGTGCATATTAGAAGGATGTCAGCGTGAGCATTTTTATATTTAAAACATGTGTCAAAAAACCGTTTTATTTAAAAATCAATATTATTTGGTGTAAAACAGCATATGATGGAAATTAAAGAACTCAACTTCATTTAGAAAATGAAATATCTATTCAGTGACAAGGGTAGTGTTCTGAAAGTTAAAATATTCACAAATAAAAAAAGATCTGATACTGGGGACGGGTTAGGTTAGGTTCTGTTGTAGGTGGATAGTGGGGAAGGTGGAATACGAAATGTTATTTCATTTATACCTGTAACCAACGATAAACCATTGATAATGAAAAACAATTTGGAGAAAAGTTTGATTATACATGTTTTGAAAAGTTTTAACATTTACGATTTTCGTCAAAATTTGATTTTAACTCTTATAAAAAACAAAATACTACATTATACTCAAGTTTGTTTGTCCATTATATACGATTTTTAATGAACCTCCTGGTTCCTGTCAAATTTTCAAGCATATCTGTATAGTCCAATAATTTTATATCCACAGAGTACACTAAAATTAAAATTAATATTAACTAATATTATTCGGTTACATAAAATAAATAAACATGAATGAATAAAATAAATAAATAAAATAGTAAAAAATAATAATACAAAATTATTAACCTAACTTACCAAATAAAAATTACGTAAAAAACTCGAAAAAATAAATGTCTATAAGTAAGTCAAAAATGGCTCAAATGTTTTGATAATTTGATCACGTCTAAAAAAGGCAAATATAAGTTTTTTATCAAAATTTCTTGATTTTATGAATGCTTTAAATTTAATTATATTAATAAAAAAAATCTAATAAAATATTTATTTTCATTAATTTTCCCGTTCTTTCTACGTATATTTCGGTTTTGCCCAATTATTAAAAAACTACAAAGATAATAAAACAACTACATTCTTGCTCACCGACAAAATAAAAAATAAAAGATTTCTTTGGTGATTTCTGGTAGGAAACATAAGCTGTAAAGTAGTAAGTTATACACCGGTTCTCAGTATCAGCTCTTTTGTTGCTTTTCTTTATGTTTTTATATTTAGTAATTTTAAATTAGTTTATTTAAAAAATTGTTTTTTAAAAAAAAACCTACTCAAAAGTTTAAATATAATGTACAGTTTGCAATTATCTAAGCTCTTATAAGGTTTGAATCACGGTTATAGGACAACTATTTTACTGATTATAATTGAAATGTATATGTCTGATAATTATTGTGTAATGTCAGGGCTATTGAATTAAATCATTAAAATTTTGCATGAACTAGTTCATGGAATTTTGTGAACATTTAAACTAGGCCACACCCTTCCAGCTCTAAATTTTTGTTGGTTCAGTGATCTCATTAAAATATTAGATTAATTTTTTCTACTATTATATTACGGAGATATTGATAATAACTAATATTAATTATACATTTAGCATCAAAGCAACAATTTAGATTTTGACATGAACAATAATAATAATAATAAAAAAAACTTAAAATATGTTACTATTATAATTGTTTAGTAATTATATAGTATTAATAACATAACAATGTTATTATTATTGTTAATTATTGTTTGAGCTAATGTTTTAAATAAATGTAATTTACCTATGTATTATACATAGGTATAGAAAAATATTTTAAATTACCTTCCTATGTGCGAACGGACAGAAAATGTGCTCGTTTTCTAATTATTGCTTATAATTATTAATTAGTGAAAAAGTTGAATTAAAAATATTTTTTACCTTCGTGGAAGCAGCGGTAAGTTATAACCATACAGCCACAGACCTTTATCGGGCAAACATTCGCCCATATATAAGTATGAATTACGACACCAACAGCAACAGCAACCTCACAACAAAACTAAGGCCGAATCAATATTATTGATTTTTTTGGTCGCACTATTATACGGTTTTGTTTTTATTTCAGTAGGTGAAATAGTTGTTACGTATAATAAATTATTACTTTACGTGTATACATATATTTATACCTGTACAATATATATGTATATATATGTATATATGTATATATCTACATTATTCCTAATACAGTAACATGTTGACCTAAAATATTTTTGAATATACTAATTCCTTTGCAGTTTATATCTAATTTAATACGGGTGTTAAACGAATATATATTTTTAATTTAAATACAGCAATGTGTCCAAGAAAATTAATTTCATAATACCTACCTTACTTAAAACTTGCTAACTAGGTATCATATTAGCTATCACAGCGCACATTTATTAATATGTTAATAGAAATATGTCAATGTTTCTATATCTATTAAAATTAATGATTAGTACTTATTTGTCTTCATTTATATGAATTAAACGTAAACAAACATTTATACATTTTCAATTGATTTCAATTAACTTTCAATTGATTTTTATTATTTTTAAATGAAAACACTTGTCGATTGACTTAAGAATAGGTTTCTAGAATTTAAAACAAAAATGTTTATATAAATTAATACATTATAGTTAAGAAACTGTAACGAGAAAATAATATAGGTATTAAAAAATTACGTTTATACAATAATATGATTGTAGTATGTTCGGGTGTTTCTATCAATTTTATTGAGAGTATATAACAACTTGTGTCATACATGCATGAGGTATTTCCTATCTTTCTTATGGTTTATACCAGTGGTTTTCAACATTTTATTAATCGAGACCTATTTTTTTTTTCATGTAAGATCCCTTCGAAAATTGTTTAATAGAATTTTAATAATGCAATATTTATAGTACACATGATACTTATGGTTTTTGGCGACCTCCTAACTATCACTCGCGTCCTTAAAGTCGAAAACCACTAGTTTATACTATAAAGAAATATTAACTATGCAAACATTAAATTACCTACTATAGTAAAACACTCAAAATGAAAAAAAAAGTATTATAAATCGTAAGAAAATTGTAAATTTTTTGTTATAATTACTGAGATAAATAAAATTTGTTTTTACTATTACGAATTGAACGGATAATGAGAATACCTAAATATATCATGACGATTTATTTTTAAAGACTATTTGAGAGTATACGCATTGTACCAAGGCTTTTTTGCGGGCTCCAGTGTAAATATTTAAATAAATATTCTTTAATTAAATAATATAGGTATTATACTACAGTTATAAATTATAAATTTCAAACATTTATCACTGAAATTAAATAAGGCATTTTAGATTATTAGTGTAACGAAGAACGTATTTTTATTTTATTTTCCAGGTAAAATGGAAATTTGCGTGGACAGTATCGAATCCGGTGTAAACGCTGCTATTGGCGGAGCTCATCGGTTGGAGCTGTGCAGTTCATTAATCGAAGGAGGACTTACTCCATCGTTGGGTCTTTTCAAAACTTTAAAATCTATGGTTACGATTCCTATTTTTGTCATGCTCAGACCAAGAGGTGGTTACGATTTCCAATTTTCAGATTCAGAAAGAAAAGTCGTACTGCAAGATTTGACTTTATTCAAAGAAGCTGGGGCCGATGGTTTTGTATTTGGTGCATTAAATGCGTGTGGTGGTATTGATGTTGCTTTTTGCGAATCTGTTATTTTAGCATCTAGTCCATTGCCCGTAACATTTCATCGTGCATTTGACGTGGCCACAGAAAATCCAATAATCATGGCTCAAAAAATTGCTGAGTTGGGTTTTACACGTTTACTGACCAGCGGCAGGAGATCTGAGGCGATAAATGGAATATTGTTGATTAAAACCTTAATCGAAAAAATGAAAGGTCGTTTAATTATTATACCCGGAGCTGGTATTAAAATTGAAAATCTTAAAGCCATTCTATCTACTACATCAGCTCATGAATTCCATGGATCGGCAAAAATTTTGAAACAATTTGCATATCCAATTGACAATTTATTTTTGAATAATGAAACTAACCCAGTATATATTACGCACTGTGAAACCGTAAAACAATTACTTAAAATTTATAATGACTATTATAAACAATATGAGTAAAAATATGATTATGGTTATTAATATATATACATGGTTGTATATCTAATAGTTTTACTATGATGTATATTTTTTTTTATTCCTTTTTTTTACGTCTGTGAGGGTGAGAAACTTTTCTACCAGTTATATTGCTTCAATCGTTTTTTTTTTTTTATTATCTAATTAGTTTTGATAATAATTGGGAAAAACCGGAAAAAGACGAAAAACTAATTTTTTTTGTATTGTTGATGTCGATCGTAAGAAAGTAATTTTTTGATTTTCCTTGTAGTTTTTGTAATAATGGAGCAAAACCGAAAAAACAGAAAACAGGAAAATTTAAAAAAATAACGCCTTTATTATTATAAATTTAAAAAATATATATATATTGCTTATTCTAGATGTGGTAAAATTGTAAAAAACATTTGAGTTATTTTTGAGCTATTTATTGATTTATTTTTATTTAGTATAGTTGAGTCGCGATAATTCGAAGTAGAAGGCGGATAAAAATTCACTTTAAGATAAGGGAACACGGGGTAAAGTCGATACAGAAGCAAAACTGATATTATTTATAACGCATTATTCTATGGATGAAAATAATCAGTTTTAGATTTATTACTTTGGTTATCATGAAACATGTTTTTTTACCACTTTTAACATCAACTGCAACGTTTTTTTTTAAATTTTTATTCGATAACGAACATTTTGAAGGCAATTATTATTATATTTGCATGTTTTGTATTTAATATTAAACTATGATAGAACTTTACTACAATTATCATACACGTCTAGTATGAATCTACAACTCGTAAAGATTGTTTTGCAATCACTAACCTAATTTTATCTAAAACTATTGTGTAAGTAATCAACAATTTAGGTTAAGTTAGGTACCTGCCATACCATGCATCGGTAATGCCCCGGTTTCGGGGTAAGACCGATAAGATATTAAAAAAAAAGTTAATAACTTGTTAAAAAAAAAAAATATGAATGATATTCACTGTATTGTAATTAAATATTGTAAATAAGAAATAACTTAATGAATCGAACTTAATCGATTTACCCCGTGTTCCCCTATTATTCGAGGTACCTACCTAACTCGAATTTATCAAAATTAAATCAAAACTTCGAGTTATGTAATGAAATATAATTTTGAAGTTTTACGATAAAAAAGGTTATGATAAATATATGTACAACATTGTACATAAATGTTATACAATAACCTAAATAGATACAATGGTATTATAAGTATATACATATGTATTATTTATTAGATAATCGAAAAAAAAATTGGTGTAGTAATGATCTTTAGGGAGGTAAATTTTTGATTTTCTCAAGAGATCTCTAATCAAATGCGAAAACCCGAGAAAAAACGGGGGGAAACGGGAAAATGTACGAAATATATTTGTATAATATGTAATTTACTTCGACCAAACTATTTATCACAATTTTAAATTTGAGTTAACAAGACTTATAATACATTGAGTGTTATGAGAATTTCTTGGGGAATAACAAAAAAATCGAGTTATCATATTTTTCGAGTTATCACGGCTCAAGTTTATAAAATTTTTATCCACGGATAACAATCACGTAAAAACTCGTAATATTAATATGTCTATAAATAGCTCAAAAACAGGTAAAATGTTTTAAACATTTTACTTCGTCTAGAACTTACAATTATACATTTTCTTTACAAATTTCAAGTCTCTACAAATATTTCAAACTGAATTACAACAAAAAAACAATATTTAAAATAATAAAAACATTCTTTTTGTAAATTATCCCGTTCTTTCTACATTTCTTTTTCGCCTTTGCTTAATTATTGAAAAAACTACACATAAAATGTATAAATAACTTTCTTACTTACCATATAGATTACAAATTTAACAACAATGATCACATATCATTTTTTATTGGAACATTATTTTTGGTACAAAACATAAAGTCTTTCATCTTTTTTTTGGTGTTTACTAATTATAATGAAAAAACTAAAAATTACCTTTACTAAGTACCACCCAGATAAAATTTCCATTTAGAAAAGCCGCTAGACTTGAATATTGGAGCAGAATTTCTGGTAGAAAAGTTCATAAAAAAAAAAAATTATAATAAATTAATTAATATCAGTGTAAAACTAATACATTCCTTGCTTCGCCCAGAATCTAAAATATTGTTTGATTATTAATTTTATTTTATTTGATTACCTATTTATATTGTACATTTTTATATTGGTAACTATATAATATTGTGTAATGTTAATTTTTTAAAATAAAATATCATTTAAATTAAATAATTATTTGTGCATTAAACTTTAAATATTATAATATAATATTATTTAAGTTGTTTAAGTTCAAAATAATAAATTTAAGTACATAAATAAAACCTTATATTCCTGTATTTATAGTTTTAAATTATATTATACGTAATGTAATTCCAATTCATTTTTTTGAGAGTGTATATTACAGTATTGTAATACCCAATTTTATTATCTGTTTTACGGATTGTATTTATTAAAGGGAAAAAGATACCAATTATATGGAAATAAATTAAAACTAAAACAAAACATTCGAAATTTTTAAAAATAAAGTACTATGTATCATAAGAAAATTATGTAAAATTCAGTTATAATAATTACTGAAATAAACATAATTTGTATTATAATTTTGTTTTAGTGACATAATGTATTTAATATTTATGTTGTGACATAAAAACTATAGAGTAGGTATAAATAGTTCAGTCAGTTTCATTTCATCACTCCTCTTTATCATATTTGTCTGATGAAAATATGATCATTTTTAAAATATTGAATAATTATCAAGGCCAAGTCAAAATCCTCTGTGTTGGTTTGTATTTTAAAACTTAAAACAGACTTTATTACTCTTTATTCAAACTTTAAACCCAATAATTAATTATTTAATAGGTAGGGATCACCTATTAAATTATTAGAATACCTTAATATTTAATATAGATAACTATAATATAATAACTATTAATTAATCTAGATACTTAATCCCTATACATGTATTCAATATTCGTATTAAAATAATAAATTTATGAACCAAAATTTATTTAATAACTTTAATTTTACAAAACCAACATTCCAGGTACTCATGAAATACAGATATTTTTTAAATTATCAATACTAGGTACTTAAAATAGTTATTTCTTCATACACCATTATAGATTTTTAAACTATTTTGAATTCTGCTTTTGATGAATATATATTGTAAGAATAATGATTTGGTTTTATTTTAATTTTATTACTAGATAGTAGGTACCTATATATTGTTACTAGCCGAATTACCTGGCTTCACCTGTGTGTAGTTTTCGCTCTCTCTAAATTTATTTTACTTAATTTAATCAATTTCTAAATAGTAGTAGTAGCTGAATAGTAAATAAAAAAAATAATAAGAATAATAATATTTAAAAAAGGTTTTTATGATTCTATAATTATAATTTGTATAGTTTAACTTTTTTTAAGAATATTTATAATGATTCTATACTGAGTTACTCAATTCTAAAATGACTTAAGTCAAAACCTCTTGGTATATCACATTCAGAGTTTTATTTTGTGGTGCATAAAGGTATAAATGGTCAGGTCTTCCAACTCTAGAAAATGCTACAATTCTACAATTCTCACAATTTTTCATGTGAGGACTTTTCCAAATCTACAACAAAATAAATTAAAATCTAACATTGCAAAACAAATTTTTACTGGAAACTGAACTGAACTGAAAAATCGTTAGGATATAATAGTATTTTCAGTAAAAGTATTTTTTCTCCCTTAGCACATTCGGTCAAAATTTCAGCTTCAATTACATTTTTTGTAGGAGAGGTGACACCGAGCCTAGTCCCATTACATAACTTAGAAGAATTTAAATTTCAAATTTGATTATTATTCGCATACTAGCCTATAGGGTTTTTTTTTTATTTTATTTGTCGGTGTTCTCGGCCAGTGTTTATTTATGATAGAGTGCGTAAACGATTATAACGATTAATAAAATGAAATTGTAAATAATAGATCATTCGTAGTATTTGGTACAACTTTGTAAAAGAAAAAATCGTGTAAATTATTTAAATGACACGTTAAAAAACGGTAAACTTTAAATACATCCCTCCACCCTTCCTCTCAGACAACTACAAATGAAAGTATGTTAACTTCTTTGTTATAAGAGTACGAAAGTGTACAACCTTAACCTCCTCACTCCAAAATATTTGTTCATATCCATATGATATGGGATATAGATATAAATATTTGATGGCTCCTTTAAGTGGTGATTTTTCGAAGAGCTTTTTCAGCAAATGTGGAAAAACATTAAAAGAAAATATATGCCTATTTAATTATTTTACTATAATACGACATATATATTGTTGACAAAGCAACGCTATCACCTGAACTCCACTAGGAATCGTTTTTAATAAGCAATGGGTTTTCGTTAAAATACAAATACCTACAAATTAATTTTCCCTTTATAACCTACTTTCCCAACATTTTATCAACAATAGTGGCTACACCAATCATGCAAGTATGTCTGTCTTTTTTAACTACCTATATCATCAAAAATTCCTATACATTTTATCATTTCTATAAAATTATCTCTGTTAAAACTACCTTCATCTTCTCTTTGGACATAGAAATCTCAACCTAGTTGGTTAAAATTCTTAATGATATAATAATTGCTTTCATTGCCTGTTGTCAAACAGAAGATATCTTCTGGTAACCAGGAAATTAAACATTATTTATGTTCCTCAGTATTATGATACTTAATAAACCTGTTAGAAGACATTGTATTCTTTGTCATTTTATAAACCCAAAATTTATAAAAGTTTAGTCAGAATTGCTTTAAAAATAAAATAATCTACAAAGAAAACAGTAAGCTGAATCATCCATTTTACTATACTCTAACCAATTGAAATGATTATACCAACTTAAAATAAAACTTCTCAATCTTTTTGTTTTACCACTACCCTATAGTTTTTTGATAACATTTTAATTTTGGTTGAGTGTAATATAATATTTTTAACGTTATAGGAATTATTATACAATTGAAAGTAACGGGAACTGAATTTGTTTTGATATTTATTTATTGCTATTGTTTATAAACATTAAAAACATAATTAATGCTACAAATATTTGAAACAATATAAAATAAAAAATACACATACCTAAATTTATTAACATAAAAAATTGTGTAGTGGACTAAATGACAAATCTTGCACACAAATTATTTAAGGAACTCAGCTAGCTATATCTGAAGAAAGATTGAAAGTTATGTAAACAGTTTTAAACACAGAGAAAAATGAAATACTAAATATAGATATTAAAACTTAATAAAACCTCAATAAATATAAATATAAATATTACATGACTACAAAATACAAACCTATTTGTATTATCAAAGGCATCCTTTTCTTCAACGTTATTGAAAAACTAAAAAATAGATACAATATTAAGTAAAAATTATCAAAGAAAATATAGACCTAATGCTTTGTAATTATTTTACCATATTATGACATATATATATTATTGACAAAGTAACACAATTAACCGAGCTCCGCTTAAAGTCGGTTTTTTGTTAACCATTGTTAATCGGCACGTATAAATATACCTACATTAAATTTTCTCACTATTACCTTCGCAACTCCTTACCTATAACAGTGACCCACCCACGTGCGAAGTATGTCCGTCTTTTATTGTACAAAATCTAAAACGAATTCAATAACTTTTACAACGCCGATCTGATGAAGACGAAGACCTTTTGCAACCTTAGGGTTCGTTGTCAATCCTTGATGACATGCAACTATGCTCGACGTTGATCGAAAACTTGTAGTTTTGTTGATGGCAATATCTTACAGTGTCAACGGACAACACTGACAATAAAAAATGATGTATTCCCGGAACCGTCCCGGACTTTACTAAAGTTGGTTATTTTGGTCATTTACCCAGCTGATGCATAAATATGACGGCCCAGAGGTTTTCAAATAAGTAACCTGATGGCGAACGAGGCTTGCTAATTCGTTCGTTTAAAATAAATCGTGTTAATAATTTTTCATTCTAAGGTAAGAAGGTCATTTCTTGTATGGCCAATACTAATTTAACTTTATGAAAATGATTTTAAGTAACTTTTTTTAAAAATATTTAAGAAATTGTTTAAGCTTTATTTTAACAATATTTTCAATGTATATTTTTACTGCTTATATCTGAAATGACTATACACTTTGGATTTTCAAATAGTAACTCCCCATTTTGAACACAGATTTAAATAGAGGATATTTTTCTATACATTTTGAGTGATATAATAATAATATCAGATTTACTATTAATGAGTTATAAATTTAGACTGGATGAGTTGGGAAGGGTTATGCATTTATCATTTAAAAATGAATATGAAATTAATTATTCTATTAAATTCTACTCTGTTATATAAAATATCTAATTATTATTTGTTAACTAGATGAAATTACAGAATTAATAATAGATTAACTCACACTTGAATTAGTATTAAAATAAAACAGGAAGCATATAAAATTAAAATGAATATAGGAACTGAATTTATAGTTATAAAATGTTATTAATTATTACAACATTATAAAATGAAGTTAGTTTAACAATTAAGTTGAATTAAGTATGTATGATAATTATTGTTGGTTTTTAATATAATTATTTAGTATAAATATAATTTGCTGGAATGTGGTAAAGTATCTAATTACCATTATTTTAACTATTAGTGAATAGTTATTGTATGCATAATACATTAATGAATAATAATTATAATTTAGATATGTAATAGTAATATGAGGAATCCTAAACAAGGTTTGGGCGAATTTTCCCATTTGAAATGTGTGTAGGAACAAAAAGAATGAAAAATACAATTATTTAATTAAAATAATAGAATTAAATGTGATTGGATGAAGTGAAGAGAAACGTTAGGTATATGACAAGTGAGTACTAATGAGACTCAAAGTTAAGTTCTACAAGAGTGTGATGAGTTTGGCTATGTTGTATGGTTTGGGATGTTGGGTGGTACACAAAAAAGGAGGAAAGAAGTGGAGAGGAAGACTGAAAAAGAGCTGATGGGATGCTATTGAGAATAATATAAGAATAGTTAGAGTATGGAAGATGGGAGATTTGTTCATTTAGGAAATTTAGGAGGAAGTTGGTTGACCAGAAATAGCTAAGATGAATGCCAAAGTAAAAAAGATCTATGTTATATATGTGCTCTGTATTTAAAAAACTAAAATATATGAAACAATATTGAAATAGGCAATAGTAATAGTCAGAATCTAAGTATTGTTCATAAACAACAGTATTTTCAAATTATTTGAAATAGACAGATGTACTTTTTGGTAATTAATTCTTATGAAATACTTGAAAAAAAAAAATTGTTCATAATAATTTGTTAATTACATTTTATATAATAATATGTATCTACTAATTTCTTGGAATTAACCATTTTCAGTGTATGGTAAATATGCAAGTGGATCAAAACTGGCGTTTTCTTCATTAATATGAAAAATTGATTTTGATTATTAGATTTCACATGCAACTCAATTCTATGCCAATTATTATAGCCATTGACAATTTTAGCATGTATTTCAAAATCAACATTTAACACCTAATTTACCTAAATCTGTTGTATAAATAATTATTTAAAATATTACTTTTGAACATTCAATCAAATGCCATAAACAATAGACAACATCTCTCCAGAAGTGTTGCAATAAACTATGAAGTGACTTTTTATCACAACAACATATTGAAAATCTTATTATTACAATGTGTAAATTATTTTAGGTAAATAAACATATGGTAAAGATCTACTGTCTATCTTGAATTTATGATATAGAATGTTGAAGTGTTACCTGTTATCTACTTTACTGTATGAAATGAAATTTTAGACACTTAAAAGAATAGATGTTATAAAAATCTAAGCATTTGAGATGTGTTGTTTACATCAAATTCTCAAAATATCTTGGGTTGACAAAGTTACAAAATTAGAATTTGAAGAAGATTAGGCAAATAACTAGATGATGAATAGTATTAAATATAGGAAACTGCAATATTTATATTTTCACATATGCTGAGGGATCAGTTCTTATATTATGAGAAAAAATTCATTGGATGAGAAGATGGGGGAGACCTAAACTGAGCTAGTTGCAAAATCTATGGAAGTGGTTCAAACAGCTGGTTTCAATGGTGCCAAGTACAAGCATCATATTATATCCATGGTAATTTCCAACCTTCGATAAAAGAGAAATAATAAGAAGAAACTTACATTCTTTTTTTTCTAAACAATATATACTACATTTAATAATTGCAGAAATTAGCTTTTATAGTTTGTGTTCTTAAGAAGATTTATTTCAATTTATTATTTTATGTGTGTTTTGAATTTTGTTAGAAAGTCTACCATAAGAATTATAATTAATAATAATAATATGTAAATAGAAATTAAAATTCATACTCTTTTATTATGCATTTACAAATAAACAATATTTTTATTTTTAATTTATTAATATATAATATATATTTTACAAATAATGCAAGTAGGGTCAATATCAAAAAAATAAAATAAAACTATTTTGAATAATTCAAAACATCATATGTAAAATCAATAATTATTGTAAAACTACATATTATATATATATATATATACATTTTTTTTTTTTTTGACATTAATCCATGCAACAAGAAATAGATAAATATTTGTAATAACGGAATGCATAATAATTATAATAATAATTTTAATAAAAAAATACAATATGAGCTGTTTGTTTGAGTCATTGTGGGTAGCTGCTGGCCATTTGTATATGCTTGTTGGTTTTTGGTCTTCTGACCTACCACTTTTTTAAAACTCTAATGACATTGATATTACATCATAAGAAGTGGATTGGTGTACTGTGGTTGCTGTTGTTGCATATTGTGTTGGCTGTATGTCTGAAATTGTTGTTGCTGCTGCTGTTGCTGAACATAGTTGCTTTGCCGTTGGTTATCATTGATGTTATGTTGATGGTGATGTGGATCGTGATTTAGTAGACTTATGCTTCCAATTGTATCATCTGTAGTATAGTCGATCTGCACATAGATTTGTCGGACTCCTACAGCTCCGAACACTTGTTGCGCGTACCTCACCAAACGGTTGGAAAATTGATCACGATCATACACAATTTTGGCAGTATTTTGGTCTTGTTGTTGGTTCAATTGGGTGCCGAAAGGCAAAGGTGACGGTGACTGTGATACCATCGATGTGCTGAAATCATTCCCACCGACACCACTAGTACTACCGAGGCCTGCATTCCCGGATCTCACCTCAATCTTAATGCTACCCGCATAAGAATCCGCGCACAAAGTCCAGAATCGAGGTTCCTGGATACCCAGCACGGCTGGATGGAATCGGCGTATCCGTTCATAACACGAGTCTAGTACGCGTCGCTCATCATCAAGTTCGACAGGCGTGCGCATCATTAGTATACGAGCGGAATCTCGGAGTAAACCCCAAACGGAGGCAGCAACTAGGACAGCGATGAATATTGAGCACACTGGATCAGCACGCATCCAGCCGAAGGCCCACATCAAAAGAGCAGATATTACTACTCCTACACTGCCCAAAGTGTCGGCCAAAATGTGCAGTAGCACACCTTTCATCAGGTGATTTTGATTCTGGTTGCCAGTCTGCGATGGCATAGTGTTGTTTTGACTACCTCCGCCTATCGAAATGGACACTTGATGGTCGTGATGATGCCGATTGTAGGAGTCTTCAATTCCTGTACCATGATGATGACCGTCATTGTGATGGCTGTGATCGTGACCGCCACCGCCAGAACCACCGTGGCTGTGCCCGTGGCCACCAGAACCGCCGTGACTATGTCCGTGACCACCAGAACCACCATGACTGTGTCCGTGGCCACCATGCTGAAATACGTATATGCCAACAAGGTTGACGAGTAGCCCTAGGACGCTGACTACGAACAAACGATCGTGATGCACTTCGGGCGGTTCAATGGCACGTTCAACTGCTTCTGTCAATATGAAAAACGCTATGAACAACAAGAACAGCGCATTCACGAATCCGGCCAGAACTTCGGCGCGCTTGTAGCCGTACGCGTAAGAATCGTCAGCTGGCCATCGGCTAACCACCTGTGCCGCCAGGCCGGCCACTAAACCGGTACAGTCAAAGAACATGTGAAACGAATCCGATATCAGGCCCAAGCTGTTGGTCAGTATACCATAAGTGAGTTCGACGAAAGCGAAAAAAAAGTTTAAGGCCAGGAAACCCATTAAATTTCGGGCGTTCGAATCCGAAACTACTGCACGCAAACCTTCCTTGACTTTGGCCATGAGGCTGTTAGCATTAGTTATTCCGACTGAGCCACTTGTCATTTTGGCCGCCACACTCGACTTTCTCTGTGACGTGGAGGACGATAATGGAATCATTGTACTTAGTTTAGAAGTTGATGCCCTCGATTAAATATGTACCAATAAAATATAATAGTAGCAGTAGTTGTTCTGGTATGTCGTTAGTTTTAAACGTCGGGAAGAAATATTCTGGAATAAAAAAAAAAAAATTAATTAAATATAAATATTTAGCATTATTTTTCTATCGGTATATACACAATATGCATAAAAAAAGTTCTAGGATAATGGGGACTAGTGAAGCCACTGTTATAGTTAATTTAATGTATACCTGTAAGCAACGATAAACCATTGCTTACGAAAAAACGATTCTGAGCGGAGTTCATATGAAAATTATGCTTTGTCCACAATATACACATATCATTTTATAGTAAAATAATTAAATAGGCTTTATATATTTTCTTTATAATATTTGTTTAATGCTGTACCGTTTTTCTCGGGTTTTCACATTTTCTAGGAAGATTCTTAAGAAAATCGAAAAATGACCTCCTTAAAGTACCTCCCCAGTAAAATTTATTTTTAGAAACATTGCTATCATTATAAGTTGGAGCAAAATTCTTGTTAGAAAAGTTGTACACAGGAAAAAAAATCGTAAATTTTAGTAATATATTTTGTACATATTCCCCTGTTTCTTTTGAATAAAATTCGATTTTCCAAAGGGTTTTCAAAATAATTGGACAAACCGGAAACAAAATTATAGGTAAACTGTAAATATTTACGGTGCTCAACGGCGATAATCTATTAGCAGTACCAATTTTAATTTTTTAAATGTTCGCGAACTTGTTCTACTAAAAATATTGCTTTAACCGAAAAGTACCGAGAAATTTTTTTTGGACTTTTGGATCTAGTTGATCGTGAAGTAAGTTGTTTTTGGTTTTCTAGGTAGTATTTATAATAAATCCGAAAAACCGGGGAAAAAGACGTATAATGAAAACTGACAAATTGATTGCTTTACGATTTCATTATTTTAAATTTGTACGCTTTTTTGTTTTCCACTAGAAATATTGCTCCATTTTTTTTTTTTTTTTTTTTTTTCGAAAGACAAAACCACTTAAATGCATAAATTATCCAAAATATACACCTTATTAAATATCTATGGTTATTTAACAGCTGTGTCCCAAAAAACGAAAAAGTTAAATATAATATGTATTTTAACGCGGAAAAATGTATCTACACAATAAACAAATTTTTAAACTTTCGATTCAACACACGAAAAATACAATTGTACTAGGTTATTTTAAACAATGACACACACATCCAGGGGAGTATTTATAAAAATGTCTTTTGGAAATAGAGGTTTTAGATAAAATTATGACGGGTTCTAACTTCCATGTCCTTTGATCAGTATTTATGAAAATTTGAATTTTAAACGCTTATATAAAAATACGTTCAACTGATACGCACTATGATGAACCTGTATTCGATTTTCAAACATTTTTGCTCAGCCAAAATAACTTGACACGCATAAAATCAAAAAGAAAAATTTTAATAATTTAAAATGTATAGAAAATAATAGCTCAAAAATCGCCAGAACACATGGGAAATTTGAAGTATTCGGTGCAATTCAGGGCTCGTACGATTATTTTTAACCAAATTACACGAATAAACAAAATTTACTATCAAAAAAAACCACCCCTGATTTTTATGATCACAGCAAGATTTCTGGTAAAAACAAAAAAAAAAATATAGTGAAACCTAATGGACATACACATACTATTATACGCTACGCTCAGAATCTAAAATATTGCAATTTTCTGCAGCCAGTCGCTAGTACATGTTATTTTTCGTAGCCCGGTTTAATTATTATTTCATAACCCGGTTAATTACGTAGGTACCTAATAAATTATCATAGAAATTATTATCACGTCCGCGTCCCCGTGTTGTTTTATGTTGTCGTATTTATCAATATTAGCGAGATTTTCTTTTCTTTCACTATTTAAACGTATGCAAATCAAAATTCGTGTTATTTTATCGACGAGAACAAAGTTTTTAAAAATATTATAATTTTATAATTGAGGCGTGGATTTAAATGCTCTAAAAAAAAAAAAGGAAAAAAGATTGACATACTCGCACACGGTTGCAGCCAATGTCAGTAGCAAATTTTCGACATTTTCTGTCGTTTTTTTCATCTATTAAATAAAGATTTAATAGATGCCTCTGTTTTGGACGACATTTGATTGAAATTATATGAGTGTCTGAGGAGGGTCCAGACCTCCTGGACCATCCTCCCTCCCCATAAATCCGTCAATGGCCATTGTTGTAGGTGAGAAGTTGGAAAAAAATATTATCGAGATTAATGTATTCGTAAATGCAAACGACATGTTCTATCTTTATCAATTTATGTATAAATATTAATATTATATATTTACATGGCCCCAAATGGTTGATCGTCGAGCAGCCACCATGGTACACAGCCACACAGGTCAAAACTATAATAGGTAATGAAAATAGAAAATGTATGATAATGTAAAATATTTATTTTATATGGAATTTAACCCAAGTGTTTGTTTAAGTTTTATTTATTCGTGTAAATTATTATGAAAAATAAAATATGTGCTAATAATAGGGAACCGAAAAAAAAAAATAAAATAAAATGCTATACAAATTGAAAAATAAAAGTCTCGTTTCTTTAAATCTTTGACGTATGAAACGAATTTCGTGATTGGAACATAACACTCAAGATTCAAAAACACCCGGGAAAAAATGCAATTCGCGTTTAACTCCACGCCGTAATTGTCTACGAAATATTTGATAGGTACCAATATTAAAATTAATTGGATTAATTGGACAGATTGCGATTATAACGGATAAGCCTATAAGTACAATATGGGTATTGTCTACGACGATAATAATATTTAAAAAAGACAGATATCGTTTACCGACCTTCGATTTATTTGCGTTCATATTTGTGTAACACATCGAAATATCAAACAACGAAATCATATGTGTTTTTTTCATAATTTTTTCGTGCGTGTTCGCGCCGCGTGCCGTAAAATATTGTTCGTCGTCGTCACTGATTGTTCCGGTTATTATTTGTGTCGTTATCGCCAATGCACCCAAAGTATACGTACCTATTAACCTACGTGCGTACTCGCCGACGAGTTATTACAACTCACCGCCGACGTGCATAATGTCTAATAATAATGCAATTACGCCACTGGACATGTCGAATTGTACATGTCGATATCGTTAATTAATAATTACCAACGTGTTGAATAACCGCCGGTTTTTTAGTAAGTGTATCCGGGACATTCTGATAACGGAACGAACGGTGACACTCCATGATATCAGAAATATTACGTTTCGCAGCTGCGTAGACACAATAACCACATCTCGGGGCCGGCATTTAAAATACGGTACACGCGACGTTATCGTCTCCGGGGTGTCAACTCGGAAACGACGGTTTTATTCGAGTTGCGGGACCGTTCGACAAGGACGGTGAATGGGCGATAAGTCGGTTATAAGTGGGCATAGTGTGTAATAACTTGTAATTAGCAATTAATTATAATATAACTCGGCGAGCGGACGGTACAAACCTCGGGCGCAAGTATACGATTATTTGACAGCGGTCGATATGGCAACTGCCACGGCGGTGATCGATGTGGCGGTCGCGACGTCTGGAACGTCGGTGTTCATAATATCTGCCGGTATATTGTGGGCGAGACTCGAGAACGACAGTTGTCGTTGTCGCGGTTTTCGTAAACGACGGAACGGAGTGCCGCGGCGTACGTTCTGCGTGATGTAATTTTGTCGCCGTCGTCCGGCTGTATACCTCGTGGCGCGTAGCGGCAGGCGGCGCGCTGCGGATCAGAATAATTAATTATCTAGTTGTAGACGTACCTAGTGCAACAACGGCAGCGGCCTACGCGGAAAGACGCGAAAACCGTGTCGGAAAGCAGCCGTCGCGTACTATACGCGTGCCCGGGCGCGTCGAACTCGACAGGGTAAATAACACAGCCGCGTACCTATGTCGAGCGGCGGCGGCGAAAAAATAAATACCAGCGGCGCGACTTACTAGCTAATGCGGTTGTTGAAAAAACGGCGCGCCGTGTGTATACGTGGATGCGGACATGCGGGATGCGGCACGGCGACGGCAGACGGACGGACGGAGTGTCGAACGGTTGTTGCGACGGCGGCGGTGATAACGACGCGACTGATAAGAGATTTATCGTCGGCCGCAGTTTTTTATCACGTAAACACGGCGACGTAGCGTTATCGCTCGTAGTCACCCGACTCCTCGTCGATCTTGCCGACGACGGTAAATTCCCGTCGGCCCGCCGCCGTAGCAGCAGCGGCCGTCAGCAGCAAGCAGCAGCTCTCTTGCCTCGTCCGACTTCTAGCAGCAGACGACCACAGCAGTAGTTGCGTTCGGCTCCGGGCGTACGTTACTCGTGCACTCGCTGTGGCCGTGAGTGACGTGTCGTACGCGCGTCTGTGTGTTTGTGTGTGTACCGTATGTACGTATGTAGCTTCGTAATATTATTTTACTTATGTATTATTAACATTATTATTGTAACAACAACAGAATCGAGTTGTTCAACAACGATATTATATTGTATTATGTTGTATTATCTAGTATCTTGAGGAAAGCAGCGCGCATCCATCCCCGCCACCGTCGACGGACGTTGCGTACGAACACGGCGTATTGCGCGCCGTACAGACACTTGGATCGTATATAAAAATATACCATTATTTTTAAGTGTACGATCTAAGCGGACGATAGTAGGTGTCGTCACCATTGCCGAGTGTACCCATCTACGAATACGGCCTATCGGACGCGCACCGAACACAAAGACGTCCGTCCGTCCGCCACCGCGTTGCGTCGGCCTAGCGGCGGATGAGGAACACTGGCCGTCGTCACCGTGCACATTAATCATCGGTTTTCAAGGTAATCGCGCGGTCCGTCCACTTGGCGGGACGGCATTAAGGTAGGTAAATCGGCCGTACAGGGAATCGTCGTCCGGTCGACGAGACAGATGCAGTTGCCGGACGGACGACGTTGCACAATATCCGTATAGGTACCTACCCTACCCCTATCGCCCGTCCGCGGACCGGGAATCGATCGCAGGGTGACAGTGTGTCACCCCGTCCGCGTCGTCGGCAACACGCACAGATGTTCACATACGGAAGGCGCGGCTGAAATGGCAACTGGGAAAACAATCGCGGCGGCCACGGCGGCTCCGGCAATATTTACCGTCAAAATATCGTTCGTCGAATATTCGTCGTTTACCGAGTAAATATAAATACCATATTATAATCTACTACGTGTTATTTATGTTACCCGGGGGCCAGGGCCGGACGTTTCGTCCCGGGGCGCGTCTCGGACGAGGAAACAATATTCCAGGGCGTCCGCGTGTTTTTAGCTCCAACCCAAGTGCACTAATAACAACGACGTGTTTATAATTGTATCGATAGGAAAAAAAAAAAACGCTACTGTTTTTGCTCTTGCGGGATGTGAAATATTATGATCGTTATTAACATATGGCTCTGCTATTTGAATAATAATATAGACACCTCCTAACCTGTATAGGTTTAATATCTTTTATTGGGTAAACGTGAAGAACGTCGCTGAAAATATATGTTTTCAAAATGAATACATCCCGTGTGTGTACACGTGTAGGTATTTAGGCACCGACTACTTGTGTTACTTTTCGGCGTACTCCAAAAATGCGCGTTTAAATCTTATTGTCATTACTTATTATCAATTGACCACTCAATTAGTGCGCATTGTTTATTACGTAGTATTACAATTTTTATTATTTGTTTACGACGATCGCGTGTCCCGATCCGCAACGACTACGATTCCGGACAACGGGACGGATATTATTATTGATCGTTCAAAAGATGCGAATGCCGCGGCGAATATTCGGTTGTCGCCGCCGCGCCGTCGTCAAAACGGCGCCGTTGAGATCGCCGCATAATAATTCAATGTCGGGTTTTTGTTTTCAATCTTCGAATCGTTTCGAAACAGAAACCCACGCGGGCACTTTGGATACCTATTCGTAAATTTGGTTGTACAGATACGTCCTGACTATTCCTCGGTGTTCGTCGCCGTTGCTAACGAAAAAACGATTCTGAGTGCAGCTCAGTTAATAATAGTGATGCTTTGTCAACTATGTATTTGTCATATTATGGTAAACTAATTAAACAGGCATTATATATTCTCTTTAATAATATTTGTTTAATATTGTACCGATTTTCCCATGATTTTCACATTTGCTGGGAAAATCGAAAAATTACCTCTCTAATGTACCTCCCCAGTCAGATTTCCTTTTAGAAAAAGTCCTATTATTGTAAATCTGAGCAATATTGCTGGTATAAAAGTTGTTTACAGCAAAAAAAATCGTGATATTTTACTAGTGTATTTTGTACATTTTTCCGTTTTTCACGATTTTTCCCATTTATTGGGAAAACTCCTAGGAAAATCAAAAAATTACCTCCTCAAATTATTATGGAGATAAAATTTTTTTTCAGAAAATAAGCTATACTTGATACATCGGAATATGATTTTTGGTAGAAAAGTTTGCACAACAAATCGAGGAGTGGTATTTTGCGATTAAAATAGTCCGAGTGAGCGATTGCTTGAGTTTCTAGGTACATCCAAAACGCATTTGTTTTTCCTTGTAAAAGAGAAACACGGGTTCGAACTCGAATATTGTTAATTATTTATGTCAAAATAAACGGTAATTTTTACTTTAAGCTTTACGTACTACTCATTCGAACGTGAATTGGACGTTGCGATTAAAACGCAGACGTGCCATTTAATAGAAAACTTCTGGTGATTAGTTATTAAATGTTGGTCAGGAGAGGGGTTGTGTGGCGTAACCTTCTACGAGATATTCCTCCTTCCCTTAAAATATTCTCAATTACGCCACTGGTTTGCTGTGTCATACGTTTTGTAAGATGGAAACGGCACATTCATTCAAGTTGGTATCACGCCCTCTTAAAAAAATATAACTAGTTAGATAACAATATTTATATCCATCTTGATGGGAAAATGGTAATCGTTGTCGATTGTTTCAATATCCGCGGAAAACAAATAACTATATACCACTGTCATAGTTCGGTTCAGGATATCCGTAATCATTGACATCATATTTTTATTAAATACCTACAAATATTGTTTGAAATTTACGTAGTTACATATTATGGCCATATTGTAAAATAATTTATCATTTTGTTATATACCTATTACCTGTAATAAACACTGCCGAGTGGTAATGGGAAAGGGGTGTTGCTACACCTACAACCCCCTCCCTCCCCGTTATTCCATCAATGTTTACGTTCCGTTAAACTATTTCACATAAACAAAAAATTGATATCTATAACTATTATATTCAGTGTTGAAACTAAGCATTATTGCATCAAGGGATAAGACGTATACTATACGCCTTATATCGCCTTCTTCAGACCCCTGAATATGTGTACAATTCAAAACTATTGCTCTCTTAGTCCTGTTAAAATGCTGATAAAATTAAATTTAAGAAGTACCTATCTATCAGTAATTTCATTGTTAAGTTTTGAGTGTGGCTCGATCGTACGGTCAAAAAGATAAAACGTGCTTAATCTTACGATAACTAATATTTCATGCACTCGGTATACCGCTTCCAATGCTTATTATAATATAATAATATATAGTTGTAAATCTCAAATGGTATATTTTTTAACTTTATCTAAAATATACGATCAAATTACTCGTATTAACGAATACAATTATTATTAATTTACTGAAAATCAATAGTTTTTTTTCTGAACCACGATAATATATAATTAAATTAAGATTTACCGACTATTAATACATACACATTTACCTAAACGCACCGCCAACACTGTAATTTTAGGTAAACAAAGGTACTTATAAATAGTTAAGCACCAATCAAAATATTCAACACCACGACGAATTTAATGTCTGCATCAGCTCTGCTTCTAGTTCTACTTGACTAGATTTCTAATAATTTGCATATAATATATTATAATAACATATTATGTTATTATAATATTTTAATTTTAGAGCAAATTCCAATTGTTTTAAACGAAGTATGAACATAATATTATACTAGAAATTATTCGCAAAATAAAATAAACCCAAAAAAGGCTGATAGTAATATCTGCTAATAGTTGTGACATCGTTTTAGAATGGAAGTTGGTAGGGAGGATGTATAAAGTATTTTAATTTATATCTATAATAACCGTGAACAATCATTACTAACGGAAAAAGATTCCGAGCAGAGTATTATTAGTGGTATTTTTTCTTGGGTTGCCAAGATAACACAGTATAAATCAACAAAAGTAACTGAACATTGAAGTAACTGCCAGTTTTTTCCATTTATTAAAAAAAATTGAAAAAAGCCGGGCAAGTTGTGGGTGCAGCCACTGTTGTAGGTGAAAAGTTGGGAAGGTAGTAGAGAGGAAATTTAATGTTTATCTGTAAGCAATGATAAAATATTGCTAAAAAAAAAACGATTCTAAGCGGAGTTCAATCAATAGTGTTACTTTGTCAATGATATATATATATGCCATAGTATAGTAAAATAATTATATAGGTATTATATATTTTCTTTAACATTGCACTTATTTTCCTGTTTTTCCTACGGTTTTCCCATGTTTTTCTCCATTTAATGAATCAAAAAAATTACCTCCTTAAAGTACCTCTCCAGTCAGATTTCCTTTCAGAAAAAATGCTATTATAAATTGGAACAAAATTACTGTTAGAAAAGTTATCCACAGCAAAAGAAATCGTAATATTTTACTAATATATTTCGTACATATTCCCGTTTTTTTTTCGGTTTTTCACATTTGATGAGGAAATTGAAAAATGTCCTCACTAAAGTACCACCCCAGGAAAATTTCCTTTCAGAAAAGGGTTTACAGCGTATACATCGGAGTAAGCTTTCTAGTAGAAAGTATTCATATAAAAAAAAAAAATAAACATCCTTGTAAAACCATAAACTTCTTCGCTACACTCAGAATTTAAAATACGCGAATACACCACTGAAAATTATATATCTGGGGATAAATTTTGCCTTTCCTTGTCCCTCGCCCCATATTTCTGGTCCTGCATACGTATTTTTCTTTGCTCGTCAACTTGACCTTTTTTCGCCGTATCTATATAAAGCGCGGGGACTGTCTTATTCCGACCCCGATGAAGTCGGTGCCTAAATTCTCCCCTATAGGCTCGGTTCTGTAGCGCGTATTCCTATAAATAAAAATTGTTATTTTTCCGTGTGGACATTTTCTAAATTGATGAAAATATTCATATATTAATATGGGTCTTAAGCGGATCCAGGACAAAATAACAAGGGAGAAGGGGGGAATTCGTACAAGGTACATATTTATGATGAGCTCAACAACGAATCAAACCATAAGTATTACGAGGCTGAGAGTATTTATTGGACAGTGAACAAAAGAGGGGAAATCGCCCCTATCGACTCATCAACCCCCTCCCCCCCCGGGTTCGCCTTGGCTCTGAGTGTTGTGTGTTTAGCATTATAGATATTATAAATAGGTACGTGTGTAAAACTCGAATCGATTTCTCTCGCGATTTGCTCGCACGATGTTATTTTTTCGAGAAACTATAACTGATAAAACATAGGTAGATATTGTGTTAACCGTTTGAAATGGTTTTCGATTTATTGTTGCTGCGTTGTGCGGAGCATCTATAGATTCCTCCTGATTTACGCGTATTGTTCACCTTCACCTATAATAATATTTTCAACAGAGACGACTGCGCCTCAAGTGTATAGGTTATACACCGCGTTTCGCTTAATGAAATATTATTGTATACACGGTAACGCGAAATACTTCCGGCTGAATGGACTTTGAATCGAAATTATTATGGGGGAAGGGTGTTCGTTAGCAACATAATGTATTATGTTGTACGGGGTACCGAAATATAGACATCTCCAAACATAAATGGGTATACTTTAACGCCACATTCTAATATAGATTTTCCGAGTGACCTTCTCTAAATGCGGTGGTTAAAATTTCGGCGAATCGGCTCGAAATATATTATTGTACAATTACAACTAATAATTCTTGCGAAAAAGAAATGAAAACCGCCAGATTCAAAATCCGTCCGTCTGAAATATTCGCGTTACGGTTCGAGCGAAACACACTGTATACGATATAATAATACATAATTACGTTACTACGGTACTCGTTTACAAAATATGCACGCGTGCTATTCTATAGGTACCTACCCAAACAAAATAAATCATTTTAAATTCCGTGAGCCTGTTTTACACGTATGCGGTTCCATTCGGTTCGGTTCGTTTTCAATTGCAACCGAAAACGAATGAAACCCTTCACACATACACGGATCATATTAGGTTTTGTGTTTTCTTCAGTACGCAGGCTCAGTCGTCTGTATAGTGGTCATTATGGAGAAGTCAAGTTGTTGCCATGTTGTTTCTCTACGTATAGAATAATTAAGAGAATAAAAAAACGAAGCAGGATTACTAGAATTCATTTACTTTTATGTCTTACTTTCGATACAAATTAATTATAACGTAAACACTAACAAATTCAATTTGATTTAGATTGGTCTAATCTAATTTTTTTCCCTCGGTTTCCTTTATTTTTGCTATGGCTTATTCTTAAGATGGTCATAGGTATCTTAATTCAATGTGTTATTATATGATCGTCTTTACAAATAATTATTTTCTAATAAACCCTTTAGAAGGGGGGGAGACTATAATATCTGAAGCCGCCATATATTGTGTAGAAAAACATGTCCTGCGGAAAAAACTCCCACATCTCGTAGAATAGTTACATGGATTCATTTTTTTCATTCGAAAGATGAAAACTTTTTGTGGGTAGCAATTGAACTCAAAAAAATTCAAATTTCTATAAACTGTGTTACTTGCAATTTGCGCACGAAATTCCAATGCTTGTTTTTTTTTTTAACCTTTTTTCGGTCATTAAATACAGATTAATTAAAACTCGGTGTTTAATGTGACCTCTGAAAAATGTTGCTATTTAAAATTTTATAAAAAAAAAAAAAAAAATTGACATTGGAACGTTTTGTAGAGCATGAGAGTTTTTCCCGCGAAATACTTTTCATCAGTAAAAACTTACTCCTAAATGGGTGAATAGGGCAGTAGATTATAGGACAATTTTTAACATTAAAATTTTCAAATTTAACATTTAATTTGAGAAAATCTGGAAAACCAGCTCTGACCGTCATTAGACTGGCCTATCTAATACATTGAAATACAAATTTCGGGAGAATTTTGATGATTTTTCGGAGCTAAGACCCCCTCCCTCCGAGCGTACGCGGTGTGATACCTACTTATATTTGCATAGGCCGACTACTAACGGACAATAAACCCATAAATTTACACATAAAATTATTCGCGTAATCTTTTCAGTGGTATTTGAACGAATCACGCTGTTGCTGCGGGTATACTTCTAAACTTAATCATCACCAATATCGTCATCGTCGGTTGTCGTTATGTTTGCGTCGGTGCGACGCTGCATTTCAAACGTGCTGGCCGGTCTGTCGGGCAGTAACAGAGGCGCAAATGGAGGAAATAACATTGTTCTGCTTACCGGCGTCAGGAAATTAACGAGAACGGGCAATGCGACTGGCGTCGGCGGTGGTTTAAAAGCCGCACTGACCACGGCCCTTCTGTTCATTATGGGTACCCTTTATTGTCTGTACGGCACGGGCAATAGCACGACGCGCACAGTCACGCCCCTTGGCTACGGCCAACAGTCGTTAGGTACGTATAAAGGATTTTTTTTTTTTTTCGTGTTTTCTAATCAGAGAAAATCATAATGACGTTTAGTTTATATTGACTTATAAAATATAATATAGAAGTACGTTTTCCGCAGGAGTTAGTGATGCGGTCGGCGTCCAGGCGGATTTGGTCGCGGTCGCTGCGATGGTTCACGAAGGAACCGCGCAAGCGGTCGGTGGATGCAACAACAGCAAAAAACACCGGAAAAAACCGCGGCCTAAATTAAAACCGTCTAATGGTGGCCACGGCGTATTAACGGCCGCTGATATGTACGAACCGGGATTTCGGATCCGAAACTCCGGTCTCTGTACGGAGCGCACTCAATTGTTGGTGTTAATCACGTCAGCGGCTGCTCCGTCACATTCCCAACATCGGCAAGCTATTCGGATGACGTGGATGAACCGCTACGGTCCTAGCGTGACCATGGGTTTCCTGGTGGGTACGCCGCAGATGTCCGAAACGGACCCGGTGGCACAACTTCTGGAAGCCGAAGAAAAAGCGCTAAGGATTCGTTTGAATAATGTTAACGTTAAGCATAACGACAAACCGAATGAAAAGGCCAAGTCCAAGTCGTCCGCGGCTACTGCGGATGCTGATGTAAATTCGCGATGGTATCGATTTTCGCGGGATCGAGAACCTCATCTAGGAGAAGGCTTGGACGCTCATTCTATGCGCGGCCTTAATGAGGCGGAAAGAGCAGTGCAGCGAGTGCTCGGTCGGGAACACAGCCGGTACGGTGACTTGGTTCAGTGTCACTCTCGGGATACCTATACCAACTTGACGCTCAAGTCAATAGCCGCACTCGAATGGACTCGCGAATTTTGTCCTTCAGCCCGGTACTTGTTGAAAACAGACGACGACATGTTCATTGACGTTCGTCGGTTGTTGAGATTTATTGACAAGGTGGAAACAGACGCCGCCGTTGCCATAACGGGCGTAACTGGACTTCACCCTATCGATCTAATAAACGAGGACACGAACGAACTATTCAGCGCAGGTGAAGATAAATACGAGTCATCACTCAGTCCCAGTTACGATATTGAATTACCGCCCACCATATGGGGACGATTAGCGCACGGCTGGCGTCCGATTCGGCAACATAACAGCAAATATTACGTTTCCCGTTCGCAATTCGCTGGTCGTGTATATCCCGATTTTTGTACGGGACCTGCTTATTTGATGACCCGGTCAGCAGTGAGTCCGTTATACGAGGGAGCATTAGGCAGAGATTTTTACATGATGGATGAAGATGAAGACGATGAACAGTATGACGATGATAATGAAATCGACAAAAAAAATTTGAATAAAGACTGCGGCGATAGTAATGAAACGTTGGTTAATGCAGATGGTGAAAAACTAGAGGCGGCGGCGGCTATGACTAACATCATAGATACTGGAAAAAATACGGTGCCATACTTGAAATTAGAGGACGTGTACCTGACTGGGGTCGTAGCTGAGCGTCTGACACAACAGGCGACCGAACGACAGGCACGACGGGAACGCAAAGACAAAGAGAAGATTTCTTCGGGCGATGGCAAATATAGTCAAAAGACAAGTGCTGTTAAGACGGATCACAGGCAGCTTCACACTGGAAATAAGAACAAACTCAGGGCAGACGATATTATCGTTAAAGTACGACGCATTCATAGTGATCAATTTGCCAATAAGAAAATCACTGGCCGTGCCTTGGAACGGGCTGTTTGCAGTGGTGTGAGTTCTGGTGATAATAGCGCTGCAGGTGGTAGCGGTGGCTTTAGTTGGTTTCATTGGTATTGGGGTGACACCACAGTAGATAAAGACCCAAAAAAAAAGAAAAAGGACCAAGGGGTCATTTCCTTGCATATGGTCAAGTACTATGAACAATTTGATCTGTGGCGCCGCCTTATGGATGGCCGAACCAAGTGTAAACCTTAACGCTCACTCCCTTTTGAAATCTGTGTACTTGCATTATTATTATTATTTTTTTTTTTATATACCATTGATGAACAACCAAATTTCTATCTGTATAACTTGCACACTCCATGTGCATAATCAGTAAGGTTCATTATATTCTATGTGAATTATTTTCCAGAAGCTGTTTTTAGTATTTATTTTTATATTTGTTTTTGACTATATATTTTCCAAGCTAGGTTTTATACCTTTGTCACTGCGTTGTTTAGTATTTTATTTTTACAATCACTACAACTTGCAATCTACAAGATTAAAATAATTATTAATACTATTGGTATTGATTATAAATATTAATATATTAAAAAATTATAGAACTATTAGTTCAAAGCTAAAAATTGTAACAAAATAATAATAATAATAACAACTATAAATTCATATTTTATATGTATTTAGAAAGTTTTTTTTATGTTATACTTATATAACCTAAAGATGACATAGGTCGAAACTAATAGTTACCATTATTATTTTATTATACTTTTAACTAATAATTATATAATTTCTTAAAATATTAATAATAATCAGAAGATAAATCACTAATGAAAATCAGTGTACAAAAGTTTATCAATCATGGAAATATTTGGCAATTGGTGAAAAAGTCATAGTATTCCAGAATCTGGTGTACATAACATTCATGGGTGATTTACCCTCTAATAATAATAGTATTGGTGATTTAATAAATGGTGGATAGTAACTTTTTACTATTGCTTACCCTATAAATGTTTAATTTATATTATTTGTTATCACATACATACACATATACAGTATACAAACATAGTATTATTAATGTAACAAAATTGTGTTAATCTTATTTTCATGGCAATTACTGTAAGACTTGTCTGGCAGTTCCTTTTTTTTTTTTTGGAAATTGGTTTTTGTTTTTCCTACAAATTTGAGATTCTCTGCAAAGTAATTTACACAAACAACAATGTACAACAACACATTTTTGCCAATTAGTCACTCCTCAAATTTGCTGTTGGCTCTCTATACCAGGAATACAATATTCCATCTCCAGTACTAGAATTTGATGTTGTATTTTTTTTTTTTTACTATATATTTATATATATATTTTTTTGTTTAACAATGAATGTAGTTATCAATTAAAAAAGGATAACCACATGTTAATTCATATTCAGATAGGTACCTAATTATTATTATGGGTCTACCAGTGGCGATAATCAAACAATTTATTAATATAGTAACTAATATGAACATTATTAGTAATAAAATGGATTTTAAGAAAAACTATAGATACATATATGTTGAATTAATTTCTGTGTATATACCTATATTTATTTATTTATACTTAGGTACATACTATGTTGTAATTGTGCTTTTTCTCTTAAGAATTATATAATAATCATAGAAAGAATAAAAATATTATTTTTGTTTTTTAAAAATGAACAAAATACATAATAATCATATTTTAAATAATAGACGGTTGTTTTAGATATATGTGTTAAAATTTAATATTATTATAATTATAGTGACTATAAAAGGATAAAATATATTAATAACCAAGTGTTAGATAAAAAAAAACCTATGATTATGTATGCTAGGCTTACTTTGTATGTATTGCTCATGTATTTGAAAATAAGAAAGCCAAGAGGTGCAGAGTAGATAATTTCCAAGTATTTCTTTTAGTTCTATGTATGTATTGTATCTATGATTATTGTCTTATTATAACACATAAGTAAAAGTATTAAATTGTAATTTGAATAATGAAAATATTTACTGTAACGTATTTTGAATGATCTTTTTTCATACGCCTGTATTGTTACAAAGTTATAAAACACAAATCATTTAAGAGAATTATTTCCAATAATTTGATAATATAAAATTAATTTTCCAGTATTTGATGAATACTAAAAAAAAAAGAAAAGCATGGAGCACTTTATGCAATATACCATATTCTTTCTTACCGATTTGAAATTTAATAACTAATCCAAAAATCAGAAATTACTAAATTCTTTTAAATGATTTTTGATAATATGAATTTAATCAGTCTTTGAAAACAATTTATTTTTATTTGAGTACGATTTTGTGGTTTTATACATTTTTAAAAATTTAATACAAGATTCCTCAGATGTTCATTTTGTGGTGAAAAGAGTTATATTTGACGTTATAATTTATTTTTAAAAGTATTTTAAGTTTAAATTAATGGTAAAATTTGTTAAACATAAAAACAAACAACTTTTTCTGTAATTACGAAAAAATTGACATTAAATTAATTTATTAAAATATGTAAAAAAAAAATTCTAATTCAACTCAGAATTACATTTCATTTGTTATAATTGATTGCTACATAAAGTATATAATATGAATTCTCTTTTATATCTTATATTCTTATAACAGTTAGATCAGTCACAACTTTTTTCTAAAATATTTTTATTATAAACTTACAGTAATGATTTTCTATTAAATTTTAAAACCAAACATAATTTATTTGTTATCAAGGATTGATAAATAATTATTTATTAACCATAAATCAAGACAATTTATACATATATTTTTTTTATGTTACTTGTCATCTAATAGTAAATCTAAAACTTCCTAAATCTAAGAAAATTATTTATTAAAACATTAAATAATAATTAAAATGTTTAATTTAAGTATTATTTTTGTATAAATAAAAATGTATATAATTAATTAAATGACATTGTACTTTAATGGATAATATCATTATACTGTTTAATCATAATTAATAAAGAAACATTTATTTTCAATGATTACACAAATAATTTTTTTTCTTGTTTTTTAAGTTCAATATAATCCTGTAACATATTTGTTTTCATTTGAGCGACTCTACTATCAAAAACTTTTATTGTGGATTCATCAAAATATGTGTTATATTTCTTCCAATGTTTTCTTCTAGTAGGATCTTTTTTGCTATTTTCTGGAGCTAAACTGCACATTAATCCTAAAATTGTTTAATTATGAACATATTAATAATTATGTAGTTATAACTAAATATATAATATATTTATATTCTACAGAATAAAGTTAAATATTAACACAATGTTTTTTGAATTCCACAACTATTAAATTTTAAAAGTACAATGAATCTCAATTTTTTTTTGTTTTTCATTTTCTTTATAAATATGTAAATTCAAACATCCCATATCCTAGGAGTAAGTGTAGGTGTTGATCTGGGCATTAAACAAATTAGATAGAACAAATCCAGTTAGGTTGAGAACCTAACTGGAAAGCTCATACATGGTCCATGAAAAAATTGTTTAATAAGTGAAAAGAAAAATATACTAGTTATATATAATGTAATACATAAATAATAACTGTACATATTACATTTTTCTGTTGTATATTAAATGCTTATAGTTATGTTGATTTATTAATAAAAAGCTCTATAAATGTAAAATAAAGTGTATATATTTTTTTTTGTAATTAAAAAAAAAGCCTAATAACAAGTGTTAAATGGTACATCAAAAATTGCATTATGTGCAAATGGTATGGGGATATGAAAAGGTTGAGGACCCTTGAAGTAGATTAATAGAAAGTAACGTTTTAGGGCTTGAATAATTTAACAAATAATATATTTATTGTAATTTGTTTACCATTATCTTACCTATAATAACACAGATTAAGATAAGTTTTATCACAGGGTACAATGCCAACTACATCAGTCATCAATTTACTACTATTTTCCATTCAATTAAATAACAAAAATAAAAAATAAAACATTATTATAGTAATGGAACTTGTACTGATAGCAGAGCCTTTTGTATATTGCATACATTAAGACCTGCGATCAAACATAAGCTAACAAAACTTGGTGCACTACTCTAAATAATTATTATTGTACAAAATAATATTGAATTGGAATCAAGAAATAATCACCTTACATGTTATTAAGAAGTATTTGACATTTGTAATATAATTTGTATGTTTTCAAACTTATTTTTATAACTTTTTAATTTGAATACATTTATATTTTTGATACTATCTATATTAACATATTTGTTTAACTTCAAACATGTTAGTTAGTTCCGATTACTGGAACAAACCATACAAATTAAAATCCATTTTTATTATTAAAAATAGTTAAAGATATTGTAAATAATTACTAAAAACAGCATTAGCTTATAAGTAAAGACCAAATTTTGCATGAAATGCATGTTACTATTTTCAACATCATATACATGCAGTCAATAAGTGTCCATGAATCAAAACCTAACTGATTGAATATCAAAATTTTATACTGCATATTATTATATTAGTGCACATTCTGAATATTTTTGCATATTTTAACAAAGATACACCTCATAGTCTAATAAGATGTCAAACAAAAACAAAGATTATAGGTATGTTAACATATTAAATATTTTACGTTACAAAGAATATTCGGACACTAAAAATAGGTTAACTAAACTTACATAGTGGTAAAGTGGGTTTACTTGTTTTATCAAGATTATTATTCTTTAGATATAATTTTATCAACAAGATTGATAAAATTTCTTGCTACATTTATACCGACACAATTTATTGTTAGTACAAATTAAATTTAAAAAAAATATGGATACTTTTCATGACATTAACAATTTAATTAATAATGGAATAAGGTTTTTTCAAAAGCTCTGGATAGAATTCAGTTATAAAAAAAAATATTTTGCTGAACAGACCTTTACCATCACAGCCAATAATTACCCACTGGGTTGATTGGCTAGAGTCAGCCTTCTTTTATGCAGATCAATTTGAAGAGCTTAAAAATGTAATTGAAAACTTAAAAGATGAAGCAGAAAGCATTAAAAATTGTAAATCAATTTTTAATAAATTAAATGTACAACATGATCTTGCTTACATTAAAGCAAATTTTTCATGTATCGTTGAAAGCGTCAAAAAGCTTGAAAATTCTAATTTGTCACTTGTAGACTCATTAAACATTTTAAAACAAGTGAAAAATTCCATCAATGAACTTCCTATGAGCGCAAATAGTATAATAATTAAAACAAAATTTAAAAATTTTTTCGATAAAAATAAAGGACTAATGGTTTCAAAAGAAATTTCGAAAATGGGGTGACAGGACTAATTTCAACAATTTGTCTGTTTCAAATTATTCATCGGATGTATTAACCAATTTTAAATATGCACTAATAACTAGTGTTGACACTTTAACAAAGTTTTTCATCTTACAAGTACATCCTTAACCAACCAACCAACTGTTAGTATGTAATTCCTATTGACTGGTTTCCAACTGAACTTTATCGTGGCGATCGGCGACACTACCGGTCCGAGAGCAGTGTATTGGGACAGTTGATTTATTTCATTCACAAACCAGCTCTTGGGTAGTGTATTTCGACTGTCCCGTACAGCAATATGACTAAATTGCATTTTTCGGGAGAAGAACAACATCTGATCGAAATGGCGCAAAGAAATGTTGAGTTGTTTGATCTGTCGCACAACAAATATAAAAAGGCAGAACATAAAGAATGTCTATTTATTAAAATTTCAAAGTATCCTTCACTTTTCCTATTAAGAAAAAGTGTATCAACTTTTTCTCTCTGATCGCATTGTGTTGTAATTAATAAATCATCATCCTCTTGCTCTTCTTCAAAAAGAAGTAACATTATTTTATTATTGTTATTAATAATTGTATTCATACTCATAGTAGTAAATATACAATTTAACTTTAAAACACTAGCCCTCACTGCACAAAAACCACAATGATACTGAATACAGGTACAGAATTTGACGGTTTTCTTTACGTCACCGGAGACTGGTCTCGGCGACCAGTCACGCCTAGGACGCCAGCACGCACCACAACTTTTTTTGTTCATGGAAATTTTAATAAAATTAATAATTAATTATCACTGCAAAATGTAAATAAAATATAAAATTTTAAATAAATTTAAATTATATTATGCATGTTTTGCTTTATTTTCTTGCATATCTTGCCTTTTCCTTTTTTTAGTGAATATTTGCATGCATATTTTACAATTCAAAATGCATACAGATCCGGTCTTTACTTATAACTTATAGGAGTGTGATAATTTATTAAACTAAAGATAAAATAAAATGATAAGAACGCAGTCATTTTTTTATCGAATATTAGTCACACAGTTAATAAAAAGAGCCCTCTATATTTGATCGCAGAATAAATGTGAATAGCTCATCTATTAGCAAAAGGTCTATAGTAATATTATTTGAAGTTAAAAAAAGTCTCAATAATTTGATTTGTCTTGTACAAATAAAGTAATTATATCTGTCACTTAAAAATAAAAGATCTTCAACATTAAACGAGCTTATCCAGGAAAAAAGTTCTAGCTAAGCGCCTGTCTATATTTTAATTTAAATAAATTAAAATAAAAAAAAAGAAAATCTTAGATAAGAGATTAGAAGATTTTAATGTAGTTTTAAGTTAAATTTGTCATAATGAAAATCACACCAATGTTTCAATTTTTAATATAAAAACCAGAATTACCTGCTTTGTGGGCCATAGACACCAACTTTGTTATTTTTTTCTGCTTAATCTTACTAAGACCAGTAATACGTTGAGGTAGCATACATCCATCGGGACGCACAAACTGACTAAGGATGAGTACATCCTGAAACAAAATTTATTTTTCACTATATCATTAATAATTTATAATAAGTACTAACAGTGTGTTTCACGTTCAAATTGAGCCTAGCCAATGGACAGGATTTGCCATCGTTCGGAATGAGATAATTCTCTCTGGGTGACGGTACATTGATGCCTTCAATGATCAACGTATTACCGACTTTGTTGGTTCGAACTAGACAGTAAATAAGATGCGCATCAGTTTAATTAATAACGAAAAACGTATACAGTCAAAACAAAATACACTATCAAATTTAATGTATACTCACTTTCTTTTAATTGTGTTGAAGCCGTAGCATGAAAACAGCTGCTGGGGGTGAACAATTTTAAAGACATTCTGCTCGCCATCCACAAAGAATTCACAAGCGGTATTTTAAACATGTTTAATGTAGTAAATCGTAACTCACCAAAAAGCAGCAGACAAGTTAGCACGTAAAATTGTAATATTATTGTAAATGCCTATCTCACGAATAGTTTTATCTTTTATCTATTCTCTAGTTCTAATCTAATGTCCATGCATTCCACATTTACGCCATGTTTTCATATCTAATTGATAAGATCGTAATATCATGATTAGATTAATTCTCTAACTTCATATCCACTCGGAACCAAACTGTTCGTATGTTTGAACCACGAATTAACATATTAAGATATTTCTTAATTCGTGGTTTGATCTATAGTACACGAGATAAAAAGTAAGCCACAATCGTTACGCGGCAAATATCTAATCTTTCTTCATCAGAGCTTCTTCAACTATCGAATTACATTACATTACCAGTTACCATCTGCCGGTTTTAAAATACGTACCAGCTGTTCTCATTTCTCCCAAATGTAGAACCACTAAAAACAAGAAAAAAGGTCACTGTACTATAGTAAATAATATTGTATTTACGTTTCTTTATTATCAATTACGTCGACCACTCAAAATATTATCATAGCAAAATACCTATGACTCAAATTATTGCGGTAAATTGTAGATATTAGGTACCTAGTTTGACGCTTGTGAATAATTAATATTAAGTAATAACTTCAAAGTATTATAGATATTTCCTTTATCTATACTAAATTACCAACTACTAATTCTACAGTAAGACAAGTATTCAACCGATTGTTGTCTGTTGATAGCCAGTTGATCCTAATCTATTAGCCCGACGATGTTTCCAAATCAGTTCTACGCCAACGATTCGGCAATGAATTACCGCCCACTACAGTCTACAAAATGACTAAGACTATTATACCTATGAGAATATTACAAAATAGTCTATTAAAATGGTGATACACTTTCAAATCACAGTTTTAGGTTTTATGTTTTTCGTATAATCCCGAAGTCATGCTTTATCTAAAGATTATAGCTATACCGTGTTTTGTTCTGTTAGACAATGCCGTCAGGGCGGCTATGGTACACAACGATTTGGATGTCTGTCCAGAACATTTGCCTTACATTAATTTTTCGGAATCTGACCACAACGAGTCTGTAAGTATCCTTATACTTGTGTTTAAACCCTGGTAAAACTCGTTTATCAATGTTACTCGTTTTGTAGCATTGTTGGGGCTATGAAAGTAATTGTGATAAAAGGTACCGCTATTCAGATCCTATATGTCCGGGTTCAGAAACTGGTGGGATGCAAACTAGAAAAGATCAAATCGACATGTTCTTCAATCAAGGAGATTTTGGTTACATAAAACATCAACGAGAAGAAATTTCATACATTTGTGAGCCTTCAAGTCGAGTAATTTACATTATTATGTCAGAACTAATAATAATTATTTAACATTCTAGTAGCTGCAATTTTATTAAATTACATATTTCAAAAGTTACTAAATTTTTAAAGAGAATATTAACATACTATTTGTTTTCCTTCTGACTCGTGTATAACGTAACACATTTGAGTTTAAGAGAACTAAACTTATGTTGTTAATTTTAGTATTAGAGTTAATTGACCTATCATAAAATTCAAAGTTAAAAACATTATCTTTGTGCTTATGTTTTTTTTTAATATTTAAATTTTTAAATGACATATACCTAAGCCCTTTTAAATGTTGACATTATACATATTCATCTCACTTAAAAATAAAAATAAAAAACACCAACTTAAGGATGCAGTTAATGTGCGGCTAAACTTTAAGTTTATTAGGTAAATTAAATTGTAATGGGCGCCACGTCACTCCCTGATAATATATCATATTATATAGCATAAGTAAGGGTCTGCAGTACAGTAATTGACACCTTGGGTCATAATAGTTTAGACTTAAATATTGTACCAGGAAACCACACCATAATGTACATTTGCATGTTCGGAATATTAATATGACATAGACATCAATAGCTCATAAACACCTATACATACATTTACTATTAACAAACCCAGGTACAAGGGGCCAAATGCATGAGGTTATCGCTTGACTATTTAACATGTTATTGCCGAAAAACATAGACTAAGTATATCTAGCTAAGACTGCCTTTTCAGACATGTTTTACCACTATAATCTGCAAGTACCTTCACACCAGATAGACTTGTACTTTAATTAAAAGTGTTAGAATATTTTTCGACTAAATAAATATTCTTATATAAAATAGCTGAGTACAATATTTCTGACTTTGGTCATAAGTATACATGAACTTAAGTTTGAAAGTATGTCTGCAAAAAATTAAAGGTAAATTCACTGTAATACTATAGCTAACAACACAAATTTGTGTTCAGCAGATCCAAATTTGTGTTATGTTGTGTGCAAGATATAAAACAAATAGTGTGCCAATAGTTCTTCTTCTTCTAGACCAAATAGTCTTCTTAAATAATCAAACAACTACATTTTATTATTTTATTATTTGTAGGAGGATTCTTCTTTAGAATGTACAAACCATTTGAGATTTTGTCGAGGTCATAATATAATGATAAATTTCACCGACATAAAGAATAGTAATCGGTCTATTAGATACCATATGGATGTACTAAATTTTGGTCAAATTGGAGGAAAATGCAAGCAAGTGTTACATTTTTAAATAAACTATTTGAACATTGATAAAAAAATATAGTTTTCATTTTCCTATTCAACTTATAATAATCCAAATTTTTACAATGTAAGAATCATTTTGAAAGTATAATTAGTAAAATAATGTAATATTTTAAAATGAAACAAAAAAAATACAATGAAATAAAGACTATTTTAGATTCTGAGCATAGCGAGGGAGCTATTGGTTTTACTAAGATATTTTTTTCTTTATTTTATAAAAACAGACCAGAAAAAATGATTTAATCGAAAAATTACAAGATACCTTTTTTGTTGCTTTTTTGATTGAATTTCTTGCATTATCATTGCCAAAACTTTTGAGCTTTTAAGAAATCTTAATTTTTGGGAGTTTTTTTGATGCAATTCGATTATATATGTATGTAGAGACTTGGAAATTTGGTAATAATACTTATATTGGACTTACCTAGATGTTGTAAAATTTCCAAAATCATTAGATGACTTTTTTTTAATAAGCGTTTTGAAATCAAATTTTAAGAAAAATTGCAAAAAAAAATTATGGCCTTTAAAATTATGTATTACCGAATCGAATCGTCTTTCGTCAAGCAATAATTTATTACTGCTTACAAACATAAATAAAATAACCTTATACATAAGGTTATTTCCTACCTTCTTAACTAACATCCTCAATATCAGATCTTTTTAATAATATATTTCCTTATCAATGTTTTTATTCGAATTTAGATTTTTAATTTTTGTATATATACTAGTACGAAATAATAATGTTTACATCAGAAAAACTTTGTATACATTATAGGTTTCATAAAGAAAAGTTGGATACTCAGTGTGATCATTTAAGTCCATTACAATCTTGGAGTCCAGAATTGAGATTCTTTTCATCAATCAATTATTATCCTGGAAAGTGTGATATAATTATAACTGAGCCTACAGTTATTATGAAAATAGATGCAAGTTAGTAATTCCAATAATAATTATATTATATGATACAGTTTTTATTTTGTTTTTTTTTTTTTTTACATATTTAAGTATATTTTTCCTATTAGCAGTTAATATGTATCATCATTTTTGCGATTTTTTGAATTTATATGCATCTCAGCATGTAAATGCATCAGGAACTAAGATGTTTTCAAAAAACATACATATATTAATATGGGAAACATTTGATTATGAATCTGCATTTGGTGAAACATTCCAAGCATTTACAGTACACCCAATATGGAATTTAAATACTTTTAAAGGAAAAGTTGTTTGTTTCAATAATATCATTCTTCCTTTATTATCGCGTATGATATATGGACTGTATTATAACACACCACTGGTAATTAAATTAATTAATACATTATTGTATCTTTTATGTTTTTAATTTTAACTATATAAATGAGAAAAAATTAGAAGGTATTGGTTTTAGAATAACATTAATAATTTAGTTGGTTAGTTGGTATCCAATTCCATATAATATATTATAGTTTTAAACGTTTAAATTTGTAAACTATTTAATTAAATAAAAACTAATTTCATGTAGGTATAAATGTTGGGTGTAAGTTTTTTTTTTTCTCAGATAGAAGGATGTACACACAGTGGACTATTCAGAGCATTTTCAGAACATGTATTACACCGCTTAAATATTTATCAAGAACCGAAAAGCAACGGGAAAATAAAGATAACATTTTTATCAAGAAATACAAAATATAGAAATGTGATAAATGAGAATGAATTACTTAGTATTCTAAAAAATAATACTGAGTATGAAGTAAGAAAGGTATAATAATTATAGCCTAATTGGATATGTACTATAAAATTGATGAATTAAATAATGTGTATTTATTTGTTTAGGTTGTTTATAGCGAAGAATTTTTGACTTTTAAAGAACAATTGCAAATTACATATAACTCTGACATATTTATTGGAATGCATGGAGCAGGATTAACTCATCTTTTATTCTTACCAAAATGGGCTGTATTATTTGAACTGTAAATATGATATTTGATATTATCAGAGTCTTTCAAATTTTATTTATTTTTTTTAAGTAAGATAATGGGTATCCTGTAACAGGGGCACATATATTTTCAAAATTGTAACAAATAATTTGGAAAACCATGTATTTATTTATATTTTTAACTTGTTTGAATACTTTGTTAATATTAATATTTTATTTTATATTTATTTGCAGATATAATTGTGAAGATATTCATTGTTATAAAGATTTAGCTCGACTGAAAGGTGTAAAATATATGACATGGCAAGATATTAACAAATTATCTATGCATGATAAGGTAAACAAACTTATTAAGTACAATTTAATAATAACTCTTCTACTAAACCTTTAATAGAATAAAATGTTTATAAATAATATTGTGATGCCTGAATTGTATACATTAATATGCCCAAAAATATTAAAAATATGCACTATAATATGCATTGAAAATCAATCATTACCAGTATTTTTCTTAGGAAAAAGTTAAGTTTTTTTTATTTTTTATATGTGTAAATAATATAAAAAAAGGAGAGATAATTGGATCAAAAACTAGGAGAAGAATAAACAAGTATACTAATATTTTTTTTAAATTAAATAATCTAAATTTTACCTCTCATTTAAACATTTAAAAGTAAATTTTTAGATGATTTTTGATAAATCAACCCTTTTATCCACCCTTAAATATATTTTTAAGGATTAAAAATATTTTTAACTTTTTGTTATAAAAAACAACTATTTTTGCTATATTAAGTAATATTAGTTTTTCCTATCAAAACTTTCTTTTTTCTTCTCCTTCATCTTCATCTTAAGTATTTAGGGGTGGCTGCCCTCATCTTGAATTTCCACTTACCCCTCCCCATCTTCTATCTTGCAAGCACATTTTTTTATGAAGAAAACTGGCCCACAGGTATGTACAGGTACACCCATTGAGATAAATAAAAATGTAATTAATTATATTAAAATTGAAACTAAGATAATAGTTTAATACTGAACTTAAAATGTTGTCCTACATGTACTATATATTACTTATATTTATTAGTGAATATAGTAAACAAGGCCCTGTCATAAAAATAGTATTAGAGCTAGTTAAAAATATAAAAATAAATATTACCATATTTGTGTAGATTTTTAATCTATTACCTAATGGTAATTACTTACTTTAATAAGTAAGTAATAAGTATACAAGACAAAATTTAAAAATATTGAAATTAATAACTAATTATATGAATTGTTTACCTTGTAAAATCATATTTATATAAGATGATTGTGATGGAAATATCATATATACATGGACATAGTAGTTGTATTTAATAAGTTCAATTTTACTTACTCGATACTCATTGACAATGACCATACAAACTACTGTAGATGTATTCATCAAGGTAGATCAATTTTTTTTTGATATTATCTTTTAAAATGTAATATTTAAAAAAAGGGGTGATACTGAAGATGAGTGTAACCATTGTTATAGGTGGTTAGTAGGGAAGGTGGAATACATCAAGTTGTTTAATTTATACTTGTAACTAATGATAAATTTTTGATAATAAATGACATTATTTTTATACTATTAAATACAACTTATAATAAATTTTCTATCAAATTTTAAAGCATCTCTGTTAGGTCTAACAATTTATCTATAGAGTACCTATTAAATAAAAATTACCTAAAAAAAACTAACAAAATTAAAATGTCTATGAATTGCTCAGATGTTCTGAAAGTTTTACCATGTATAGAAAAAGTGAATGTAAGTTTTCTGTCAACATTTTAAATCTCAATTTACTGTTCTAGATGCATTATTTAGATCAAGGTGCACATGCCAAATTTACCAATTATTCATTTGATAAAAATGAATTTTTGGCCTTGGTGGAAGAAGCTGTAGTTCATGTTAAAAAACACAAACACAGTTATAGTTCTAAAATACACGATGAACTATGACATTTATGAACATTAATATTATTAACTGGAATATATGTAACTTGCACAGGGTCAGTTGGGAATAAGCACTTTTTTAAAATACTTATAATTAAATCAACATATAGAATATAAATTATTGTATTGATAAAATAACTGTTACTAAATACATTATTAAGCATTAAAAATTCAAACAAATATGCATATCAACTAGGTCTTAGATGAGCAATATAATTATAATAAAGAGTATAAGTTTAAACTGATTTTAAAAATATTTTTTTAAATTTTTATCAATATTTCTATAACATATAATATATTAATTTATATTTATATATGAATTATTTATTTTTTATTTTTTTGTTGCGTTTCCTACAGTTATTTTATCTATTAAGAATTTGTCGATAAACATATTTACTAAAATACTAAAATGCTAAAAATATTTTAAATTAATTAATCAAAAATTGGTTCCTTTTTTTGTTTTTATATTCAAATAAAGAATTGTTTTTTGTTTACCATTGAATAAATTAGGATTGTACTTTATTTTTATATTTGTGATAAAAAAAATCTTATAATTTTGTTTGCTATTCAAATTTAATATTTGCTGGTAGGTAAATTTTTGTATACTCTTAAATTAATTCTTAACCATGCAATTTTTTCTGTGTAGTTTTATATTTTTATATAAATTATCAACCTATTACAGCATATTTTAGAAGTTATATTTTTGTTAATATATATAAAAATAATACCTTTTAATATTGTTACTAATGTTATATTGATAAATATTTGTTATTTGTTTATGCATCAGTTTGATGTACCTTTTTATATTTATATTTTTTTTACTGTAATGTATAACAATTAGTGCTGTATTTGTTTACTGTCAAAAATAAAGATTATTGCACTATATTGGGGATTCTTCTGGACCTAATGATTTCGAATTTTTTACCATTGTTAGGAATCAAATTTGACAATTTTATTTAGATAGTTTAATATTGTAGTACCCATAGTAGTTATCTATTATTTAACTATAGTACCTAATTGGTTATTTATTTTTTTTTAAAGAATATTTATAATATATAAAATAGACAATGAGTGAATGGCTATTCACAAGTCAATAGTCAATATACATACTCTGATCTAATTAAAAGAGTTTGAATTATTTTCAAGATATTGGATAAACTATGTTTATAAGTTATGGGGGAACTTAATCTGACTTCAATAAAAAATACTTTGTTATCAAAAATCAAAATGACAAAACTACAAATTATAATAACAAAAATGTCTATTTTTGACCACATTTTGGATTAATTCTAAAAATTATATTTTTCAAGGTTTATGTACAATAACTATAAAAGTAAGTAGATAGGTAAGTTTTGATTATACCAATGGATTGAATATTGAAAAAGATGGTGAACTACGATTTCTCTCTTAAAATAAAATCTGATAAAATTAATAAAATTCATTCTGCATGGATGGCATTTTCAAATCGCGGTATTTAAAGAATAATGTATAAATAAAGTACAAAGTAGTTGTTATTATATAATATTTATTTTTAAGTTTACTGTTATGTTTTTTTAAGAACATTACCGATACATTTCTTCTTAATAAAGTTTAAACCTAGAAATATTAAAAAAAAAAAAAATTGCAAACAACTTTAAATGGTAGGCAAATTAGTGAAATAACTGTATTTAAGGGTATGGGGACAAATTTTATTTTGTGACCATGAATTTATAGTCTAAAAAGTGTGTAATATGAAAGCTTATACGAAATGCTTTCTATAATACATGTTGGTATTTTATAAATTTGTGATCTATTATATAAAGAGTTTTTAAAATTGAAAATAAGAAAACCAAAAAGCGCCATTTATGGACTCGGTAGTAGATTTTAAGACGGAACGCTTTAGGTGCATCAACCACCAACGAAATAAAATATAAAATCAATCTATACAAATGTATATAATAATTATTTATAATCTATATATTCAGTTTTATTTATAACTCAAATAGTAGAAATTCCAATTTAATAATAATTAATATTTAAAAATTAAATATTGTTAATATCTACTTTGAACATTCTATATTAGAATATAGGTATTATTTTGAGTACCTAACTTGATCACCAAGTTGTTTACATGATCGATTTTTGCCATGCGACAATGATTGAATTGTTAAAATCGACCAAAACTAGATTGCTTTTGGACTTTAATCGAATCGAATAATTAAGTAGTTTGTCGAAAATGACTTTCCACATTCAACTTGCTTTCGATTTCGAGCACTGCGCGCGATCGACCACCCACGGAAATCTCAAGGTTAATAGATAATGATTATTATCTATTAACCTCGTGTAAATCCGCCTTTATGGACATATATTATCTATGTTTACGGACACTGTTATCGGCTCACATTATCAGAAACATATTTACAAACGTGGTTTAAACCAAAAAACAATTATATATGAATTTATTAAATTTATCAATTGATATGATATTTTTCTTATGATGAACGATATCAGAGTGTAAAGCACGTTATTTGTTTATCGCGTTTATGGTCACCCAGTCGACTTTTGAATTAAATATTCAATACTTATGTAAAAAGAGTATAGTAATATTTCTTACACTTTGAATTTATCTTAGTAAGTAGATTATTCATTCATTTTGATATTTTTAAATTGTTTTTATCGTTTATAACCTGTCTGAAATAATTTGCAGATGGTTACGGATAACAAAAAGTTCGATAAAATGTCGAACGAAAGTGAAAATAAAACTACCGGTTTGTATAAAATTGCGGCAAAAATAATTAAAATGGTGAATACTGGAAAGAGCTATAAAACTCAACTTTATCAAGCACAATATCCGGTAAAATATTTTTTTTTCTTATTAATTACTTGTTTCCATTAATTTTATCATCCTACAGTTATTTAATTTTTTTCTTACAGAATAAATTAATATTAAATGCTGTATTGATGAATGTTTTTAAATGGGAACCAGTATTAAATGTATTGGTTGAAAAAACTAATATATTGGAAAGAGAATCTAATATGGATCGCGAATTAGTGTATGTACTAATTACCGAATTGATGTGGTCGAAATTTGGATTAAAAGGAAAAGCTAAAAATGTGTTAGCAATAAAAAAATATAAAGATGAGTTTAAAAAACTCATGAAAGAAAATGAATTGGATAAATTAACTTCTTCCATTCCAATCAAAGGTAAATAAATACATTTATTTGTCAATAGTTAAGTATAATAATACAAATTATAGTACATACAATTACCAATCCAATGTCATTTTGACTTGGAAATTTCTTTGTGCGCCATTTTGATGCAACTATATTTCATCATAATTTTATTATAATCGATAATTATTAATATTGTTTTTTATTATATTTATACTTTTGTGAATACCTGTATACTGTATAATCATTAGTCTATAGCAGCGGTTCTCAACCTTTTTGAGACTATTACCCATAAATTAGATTAGATTAGACATTATCAAATACCTCTCCACCCCTACACACCAAAAAAGAGAAAAAAAACTATTATAATCGTAATACATATATCTTTATCGTACATCAATTACTGATGTAGAATTAATAATAATAGGTATAAAGTGCATAAAATAAAAAAAGAGCAGATACTGGGGACGGATGCAGTCACTGTTGTAGGTGGGAAGTTGGGAAGGTTGAGTACATAAGGTTATTTCATTTATATCTGCAAGCAAAAATAAACTATTGTTGATGAAAGACGATTCCAAGTGCAGTTTGGTAATAAATAATTTGAAGTGCTATAATTTTTTTTTGTGATTTTTGTTTAAATTTGATTTCAAAACACTTATAAAAAAAATTTTTACAAAATATGGTTTCTTGTCGTTTTTTAATTGGAGCCATATTTGTGCTAGAAAAAATAATGAAATTGTGAAAATATCTTATTTTTTCCCTAGTTAATGGTAAATCAAAAAATGACCTATGTATTTACCAAGTAGATAAAATTGAATTTCAGAAAAAGTGCTACACTTATACACTGGAGAAAGTTTTCTAGGATAAAAATGGCCTACAGTATGTATAAAAAATAAAATAAAGTACCATTGTATAAAAATTAAAAAAAGAAAAAAAGTAATTTGATTATTTTGGAAATTTTACCACGTGTATTTATAACCAAATTTCATTAAAAATACTCCCAAAAATTTAAATTCCTTAAAAGCTCAAAAGTTTTGGCAATAATACCTTAAGAAAGTAAATCAAAAAGGCAACAAAAAAAGTGTCTTGTGATTTTCAATTAAATAATTTTTCTGGTAGAAAACGTCAGTGTTTTTATTAAATAATGAAAATGTAAAATTGTACGTTTTTTTACGTTTTTTTCCCACTTAACTGCTTTTATTTAAAAAATGATGTCAGAAATCAAAAATGACCTCTTTAAAGTATATATATATATATATATATATATATATAGACAACTTTTACAAAAGGTGTTACACGTAAAAATCGGAGCAAGTTAACTAGGAGAAAACTAGTCGGTTGGAAACCGCTGGTCTATAGTATTAACAATTTTTTCTAAATTATTACTGGAAATATAATAATAGAAATAAAGTGAACTAAATTAAATAATTAACAATACAACTAAGTAAAAGTAAAACATCATAAAACTGAATGTATTTTATATCCAATTTTTAAGAATATTTTTAAAATTGTAGAGATTTAAATATAATTATAAATGTATTTATTGTATATTGAGGTTTAAAACAAGAAATTATTTTCCATCCATAACTGCTATGAAATAGTCTGTATCCAATCTCCATAAAATACTATTATCATTAGTATTTAAAGTGGAACAATACACAAACTTATTATTAAATTTCCAATTACAATAAATTAAAATTTTCAGAAAAATGTCTTCCCCCCAACACCATGACAAAATCATTTGACCACTAGTGAACTGTTTATCAATTGTAAGACTTGCTTATTTATTTTATATGATATACTCTTTGAATAGGTTGATAAGTTAAGACATTTTAGTACAGTTAGTTAAATTATAGTTCAGATTAAATAAAATATAATTATACTTCTTCAGGTTTAATTCTAAATAATTGTTATTTTACCAATTTTGAACTTCATCCAATGAATAATAACCTCATCAATAAAAAAAAAGACTGACATACTTCCAGAGCTGCCACTTATGCACTATTATTTACTTTATCAACTTTTTTATTTATTTATTTATTTTTATTTAATGATATCATTTGACTATGTTAAAAGTGATTTTAAGTGATAACTTCTGTGACAGACTAGTCTGTAAATAATATCTGTTTTAAATGACTAATAGTAAAATGAAACCTAGAATAAATGGAATGTTGTACACTCAAAAACTTAGTTTTGTAGTATTAAAAAAAAAAAATTTTAATAAATATATTAAAATTAAAAACTTAAAAATAAATAGTTTTAATTCTAGAATATAATTTATTATTTCAAAAAAAAATTTTCATTCACTTTTTTAAACAATTTCTTCATTATAATCACTTTTTACAGCCATGTACTTAGTGCTACTGCTGCACATATAATATTTAATATTTATTATTAAAAAAAGGATGGACATACTTCGCACGTGGGTGCAGCTACTGTTGTAGGTGGGAAATTGGGATGGTAAGATATAAACAGGAAATTAATGTATATCTGTAAGCAACAATCAACGATTGCTAACAAAAAATGATTCTGAGCTGAGTTCAGTTGATAGTTTTGCTCTTTCAACAATATGTATTTTGATAAAATAAAAACGTATTCATAAAACATTTTCTTTAATAATATTTGTTTAAAATTATTCTATTCTCTTGGTTTTTCCCAGTGTTCCCCATTTATTGGAAAAATCAAAAAATTACCTTCTTAAAGTATCTCTCCAATCAGATTTTCTTTCTGAAAAAGTGCTACTCTTATAAATTGGAACAATATTTCTGATAGAAAAGTTGTTTATAGATAAAAAAAGAATAAACAACATTGTAAAACCATAAGCTTCTTCGCTCTACTCAGAATCTAAAATCAATATTCCGGTTATTGAAAAGTAATACAGTATCATAAACAATATATATTTTATTTAATTAATTACTTTTAGCTCTTTTGATTACAATATTAGGTACATTTTTGTATTTATTATACAAAGACATTGAAGTCATATTGGATAAATTTTAAATTTTCTGAACATACATATTTTCTCTGTTCAATAGAAACAATACCTCTTAAGTTGGAACTTTTTCTTAAATTGTAAAAAATTATCTGTATTACCACTTGGATCCAAGTGGCTTTATAGTTATATTAATGTACTCATTGTACTGTTATTCATATTGAAAATAATCTGAAGACAATGTTTTGCAGACTACAAAACTCTGGTTTTTGAGTAAAAGCACATATTATAAAATTAAAAGAAGAAAATATTCCTAAGGGCAAGACAACATGTTTATCTTTTAATTTTTAGTCATTTAAAAACTGATGAATTAGTTTTTATTTTTGAATGTTGTATTCAAGATTATATTAAAAAGAATAATAATTGAAATAATAGGAAAAACACATTGAATTATCTTCTTGTAATTTTATAATAAGTGTTTTTATTTTAAAAACAAAATTAAGCAAGTTCTACACAGTTTACATAAGATAAAAAAATTTTTGCTATATTGCCCATTAGTAGTTGGACTGAAACAAAACATGCTGGTATAAAATCCTCCTAACTGAATTTACATTAGATATGAGATTTATCTAAAAATGTATAACTTGATACTTATCCCTAATAAAAATAATAGATTTTTATTAACACATAGACAGTTGAAGATTGATAGTTATAAATTGAGATTAGCAGTTATAGGAGAAAAATTGACAAAATGTGCACAAAAAAAAAACCCTAAAATATGCATACAAAGTTTACATTCTGTTAGATACTTGTAATAAATTAATACCACTTATATTCTTATCATATATACAAAATTGATTATTAATAATATTTAAACTATTTAAATAATTCATGATTAATATTAGATAATATAAGTTATTTATATTTTACTATATTTATTAAATATGTTCAGTTAACTTTTTACATTGGTAAATTGGTAACTTCAAAAAAGTTATAGGAACTACTTTTAATTTTTACTACTGTTTTATTTAATTTCAGTTTTCAAGCCTCGTTATTTTCGTGTTAATACATTAATGACTACAGTTGAAGATATACTAAAGAAATTATATGAACTTAAATACCAAAAATTGAAAACTCCAAATTCTTATTCAAAATTTTTGGAATTGATCAAGTCTAAACAATTCAAACCAAATACTTTTGTTCAGGATATACATATTAAGGAATTATTTGTTTTTCATCAAAAAGTAAAGTTTTATGAACTTGAAGAATATAATAATGGTTCTCTAATTATTCAAGATAAAGTAAGAATAATTTTTTTGACAATAATTCTAAGACAAATTTATTAGCAAAACAATAACATAAATTAAAAATAATATTTAATACATATATTATTTGTGTTGGTAAACTTCAATTATAATAATAAGTAATAATATATATCAATAAGTATTATTTTTAATACTTATACTTGGATCCTAAATGACTTGTAGCATTTGCATACTTCAATATAATAATTTGTATCAGACATGTCCTGTTTACAAGCGTTTTGTGTAAAAAGTTATTTACAGATGGCACAAGTTTTGTATATTATAATGGGATTCTAGTATCCAGTACCACAAAATATCTAGTCTAAAGAGGCCCTAACAGTGTATTTTAATAAATCTTTATTATATCAAATAATTAAATATACATAGATAGATTTATAATTTATTTACAGTTTTCAGTTTTATTTGATAAAAAATCCATAATATTATTAGCATAACAAGCCGTAAATTATTCATGAGTTCTGCTTTTTCAATATTCTATTTTCAATAATGTGGTGTTTGATAATTATTCTTGCTGAATTCCTCAATTCATTCATTAAATTTTAATTTGTTCGGTTATACCACAATTAGTAATACTTTTTAAAAATAATTAATAATCAAGTACTTATGGAAAACTACTGCTTGTATAATAATATTTTATTATTAATAATTATCTTCTAGTTTGAATTTTAGATTTGGAACTGAGCAAGGGAGCTATTGGTTTACTATAATAGTTTTTTTTTCTGTCTAAACAACTTATCGAAAAGAAAACTTCCTCCAATCAAAAAATGAGGAGACTTTTTTTTTCATTTTAAATCAAGTTAGTGCATTAGAGATGTCATTTTTTGATTTTTCAAGTGGTTTTCTACCAAGTAGATTTAGAGGTTTAAGAATCTGTTCATTATTTACAATCTAAACAAGGTATATTGTAATAAAAACAAAAAAAATGCAATTGTATTTTAAATAGTTCTTTTATACTGTCAAATGTATGAACTTGTGTTAGATAACCAAAGTGACTTTTTATTATCTATTAGACCCTATTGCATACTGATATTTACTTATAAATTATATTTAAACAGACCATGCTGGTTTCTTTGAAAAAGTGATTAGTTTTTCATAATTTATAAATATTTTTGTAATTATTGATTTAAATGGTACCATTATAATAAATAATAAAATACAATATTTGTATTGTTTATTATTTTTTTTTTAAATTAATAATTAAAATTTTTTCAGTACAAATAGTTTTAGTAACGAGTTCTGGAAATGCAGAAAGATTTCATTCCTTGATTACTCTCATTTATGCCACTGGACATACTTTTATTAGTTCTATTAAAATATACTAGGAACACATAATAGGCATTTAATATTTATGAAATTTGAAATTTTTTGTTTTAACTAAAATTAAATTAAAACAAAATTATTAGTTATATTAAAGTGAAAAGTTCTTTAAATTTAAAAATTTACAAATTTATTCACATAATATGCACATTCAATATTATCCTTATAATATTAAAATAAATAATATCATCATATGCATATTTTACATATCTGTTTCGTTGCACAAAAAAAATTAAAAAACTAGAATATGCAACATAATCCCTTGTGTTATGTGTTTAAAAATAACTCAAAGAAAAATTAAATTGACCTTTAAATGGATCTGTAAATTATATCTTTTTTTTATTTTTCAAGTTATTATTGATAGTAATTTTGTATTTCAGGCAAGCTGTTTGGCAGCTTATTTATTAAATCCAGAACCAGAAAGTACTGTATTGGATATGTGTGCTGCTCCTGGAATGAAAACTTCTCATATTGCTTCTATAATGCAAAATAAAGGGTAAGGTGTAATGTTTTATAAGGTATTTAATTTGCCTCATAATATTGTTTTGTTTATACAATTATTTGTTTTATTATTTCAGACCTTATTGAATTTTTCTAAAGAAATTTTTCGATCATTTAAGAATCAATAATAACTGTCCTAGTTTTTTTTTTATATTATAACAATATTAATAATTTTATTCTTTTTTTCTTTGCAGTTGATATTTGTTTAATATAAAGATCCAGAATTTTTTTAAATATTTTTTTGTTAAGTTTTTATAATAATGCAAAGGAATTATATCTTCTTTATATAAATTTGAATATTAATACATACAAATGTAAAACTATGTGAAGATAACTGACAACTTTAGTTAACTAGTTGCTCAGTCTCTTAGTTTCCCCACAAATGCATTTTCTTTTGTGCTAGTAGGGTCTAATAGTGCTTCACTACTCTCCTACCCAAATTTAAGATTGAAAATACTTGATTATTCACTTTTTAAAATATCTATGTTGGTTTAGCTCAATGATGTACCGGAGTAGTATATAAATTATTTTGTAATTTGCACATATTGTTCTTTAAACTAATTGTTCATTTTAGAAATCTTCGAAGTAGAAATTGGATTATTTTTTTGGTTGGTTGGCGCTTTGAAATAAGGGAATTAGTTTTAATTATAATCTTATTAACAAAAGAACAATTTTTGATTTTAATAGTAATTACTATTATAAATGTACCTATAGAAACAAAACATTTGGAAAACTCAATTTTAATTCCTTAAAGTTATTGAAAATAAATGCAGTATACCTGATCCTATTCAGTAAAATTAATTTTTCTGTTTGGCATTCATTTTTTTTTTATAATATTTTTTAGTAAACTCTATGCTGTTGATCGCTGCTTGGATAGATTTAATATATTGGAAAATATGCTACAAAATTATGGTGTTAAAAATGTGGAGACATTTAATATGGATGCTTTAAGTTTTCCATATGTTGATGATGTTAAATACATATTAGTTGATCCCTCATGTTCTGGTTCAGGTAAATGCAATATTTTGTTTTTATTATATTATTATATGTAGTGGAATGTAATTAATTTTAAGGAAAAAGGATTAGGCAACTTATGTGATGGACACATACAAGTTATGTCTATGTGTCAATGTGTCAGAAGTATGGATAAGTCCACTGGGATAAATATCTGGGACATTGGGAGTTTTAACCTTTTCTTTTTTTTTTTTTAACAAAATGTGCTTTGGTGTGGACCATAAAAGTTTAATTTCTCCTAGGCTGTCTTTAATCTACCTACCCAGAAAAATAAAATTTAAAATAATAAAAGAATCACCAAATAATTATTTATTCTTATATTCTTAATAAGGATAAATAAATTTATTACCTTTTGGTGTATAATCAGTTTATTGTCCATAATAAATGTGTGGCACTGACCATGTTTTATTTGGACATATAGTTGTATTTTTACATGTAAATGTTGGAACACTTTTGGGCATATAAACATATATTTTATAATTTATAAACAACTGAAAATCATTAACTAACAGTCTATGAGATAAGCTATTTTAGGTACATTATAGGTATTGATACATTAGGATATTACATAGCAGACTTAAAAATGTATAACCACCAGGGTTACTAATATTTTACAGTTAAACTCCATAACTTTTCAATTTGTATAAGTTTTATTGAATCCAATGTGAACTTAGGACTTTCATTTGCTACGTCCTTGACATTTGATACTATCGCGCTATTCCATTATTATCCATGGTCTCAAATATAGCTAAGTGTTCAAAACCGAAAATAAAATGCTGCTGCAATAAAGAATATGTATCCCTAAATATTTATCTATCCAAAAATTTGTTTGCGAAAATTATGCTTCCGTGGAACTATGTACTTAAAAACTTAGGACTGGAAGAACAGTTTTTCCATATAAGATAAAAGTGATACAGCAGACTTAAACAAATTTTCACCCCATAATGATTTTTAATTTGGCAAGACAAAAGAAAAACCTAGATCATAAACTTTGTTTCTGTATTTCATTCTCCTGCGTACAACATAGATTTGTGTCGGGTGTTGTAGAAGCCCATGTTAATTCAACACTAGTTGACAGCTGCTTTTGTGTTATTAAATCTAATAAAACCAATTGTTACATGGTGATGTTATATCTTACAAAGCATTCAACATAGTTGGTTACAAACATCAAACACATTGATCAGTTATTATCAATTCCGGCTTCACTGCATACAATGTACATTGATAACCACACTTATAACCATCAGCTCAACAAAAATAAATATTATCTAAAAGTATTTCTATAAATCGTAGGGTCCCACAAAGATCTCCTTTATCTTTGACTATCTTCAATTTTTGCCTTTCATCTTGAAACAAATCACAGATCATGGATGTCCTGATATTCATGGGTTTTAAATAACTCCTGAGCTAGAGAAGATTATTGCAATAGTCTTTGCCAATGACAATGTTGTAGTCACCAAGAATAATCTATCTAAATCTTTCTGCATTAATGTACAAAGAGTTTTAGACTGATCCATAACACTGAGTGTCAATATCAGGTGCACTGAGAGATATATGATGGGACCAACACTCAAAATAGAAGAGTAGGCCGTGATCTCATTTTATGTCCCATCTATTAATAGTATTATCAGTATATCAGTGGACAAAGAAAAAAAAAAGAAATTTACAATAGCACATTATGACAGAACCCAAAGAGAAGTTACAGGTTTTGTAGTTTGAAGCCAGAGGAATGGCTTTGTCATTGCTAGTTCTTCAAAGTGATTAGTCATGCAGATGAAGAACTGCAAAAGATATGTCTTTGAGTACTGAAGGGTACATTAGATATTATCATTTATTAATGTCCATCTCTATTTTTTATACATGTATACATATTTTATTTGTGATTATTTATTTATTTACTTATTTCTTTATTTATCTATGTGTATTTGTATTAGTATATTGTGTCACCTAATGGCAACCTATGAATACTTGGCAACTTTAACTTTTATTAAAATAAAATATTATCTCTCTCTATACTAGTGATGCATAAAATATCAAAAAAAATTGTTTGACCTAATATAAATTTAGCTATCAAATATGTTATGAAAAGCCATTGTTTAACCAATGTTAAAAGATCAGTTACAATATCTCAGCGTTGCCAACATATATACATTTTAATAGTATCACTTACACCAGTTGTTAAGTACCTAGTTAAATCTTCGTTTGGACCAAATAAATTTCAGTTAAATTATTTTCATAAATATATATTATAAACAAATATAGTTTTTTATAAGTTACTTTTTCACTTCTCTAGTTTTTCATGGTTTCTTTATGTATACATTTAATAATGCAGGTGATAAATTACATCCTACATCTTGTATCTTTTATGTTCACTCTTTATTATGGCTATTTCTTTTATAGAATATAGTTTATGTATTATTCTTTACTATATTGAAAAGTTTTTCCTAGCTTGCACAAAAAACTTTTAGTTTGTCTATATTTTGTAATTATATTTCCATTATTGTATACTAATTAAATTAATAATCTGTTTCAGGTATTGTTAATAGAGTTAGAAATGATTCAATTGGACAAAATCAAAATTTTCAAATAAGATTAAAAAAATTAGCCAATGTCCATGCTCAGTTACTAAATCATGCATTGAAAAACTATCCAAATTTAGAAAGATTAGTTTATTCCACTTGTTCAGCAAATCCAGAAGAAAATGAAGCAGTGGTTGATGAAGCATTGTCAGTTAATGGAAAATTTAAACTTTTGGATTGTACTAAAATAATTAAAGGATGGAAAAATAAAGGAAGTCCTGGTTATGACTGTTCAGATATGTGTCTTAATGCTGTCCCCAATGTTGATTATACCAATGGATTTTTCATTGCAGTTTTTGTTCGTCGTGATTTTGAAGAGAAAGTCCAACTTAATGTTGAAATTAATTCAGTTGATGGTGATGTAGAAAGTAATGCAGATGATGTTGAAAGTGATTCAATATTGGGTATCAAAACCAATGAAAATCCAAAGATAAACAAACCTGAAGTAACCAAAGTTAAAAAAAGTAAAAATGCTAAAAGAAAAGAAAGGAGGTTAAAACAGTCATCGGGACTTGAAAAATCAGATTTAAAACAATTATCTAAGAAAATTAAGAAATTTAAAAAATCAAAAGATCTTAAACAATTAGATCCAAAGCAATTGATTGAAAAAGTTAAAAAACCAAAAAAGTTAGGTCCTGAACAATCACATTCAAAACAAATACCTGAAAAAATAGTAAAGAAATCAAAAAAAAGTGAAGATCTTGAACAATCAGATTCAAAGCAACTGATCGAAAAAGTTAAGAAACCAAAAAAAATAAAAAGTCTCGAACAATCACATGAAAAAATAAAGAAACCAAAAAAAATTAAAAAAATAGAATAATTATTTGTTATAGTTGAATTGTGTTTATTACTATTATACTAATAAATGATTCAATTATTTTTTATTTGTTTTGCATAGTCTGTTGCAAGTCCTTGTAAGTTTACATCATAGACATTATGTTGATGACCTAGATTAAACAAAGTTTAATCCATGTTCGCATGTAAATAAAATAAAAACATGGTTATACTTTAGTACTTGGTGGAGTCAATAAAGCAAGTTGCTAAATTTTTCTAATAAGTGTAGACATTATTTAAGGCCCATTTACTTGGTGAGAATATTACACTCCGCAGTTGCGGAACAACAATGAGCGGTCTTAAATTTCACACTGAAAACAATGTAAGAAGTGTACGATATGGGCAGTTCCATGTAGGTACTGAACAACAAATGGGGAAAGAATTACTGTTTTTCCAATAGGTAATTTTACTACTTTAAAATTTAATATGAGTATTATTCACACTATTATCTAGCAATAGCAAAGCCCAGGTCAGCTAATATAGATACATTATAAATAAATTCATGACGCACTAACTTTCTTGTTACTGGCATCTTTTCAAACTCTGGTTCAGGTTTACTTATGACCAGTCATTATTGTACATGGTAATTTTTAAAACTAAGTATATTTATTTTTATAAAAATAATCAAACACTTTAATGTTATAAGTTGATATGTTGATCAAGTTAATCGCCCTCGTAGTTCATAGATCAAGACTTGTCTGAAAAGGCGTTCTCGGTGGTCGGTTTATATACTCAGGACCCCCAGCCAGGTGTGCTTACTGCACGCTTTCCAACAATAGGGTCTAGGATAAATGGATTTCAAGCAATTTCTGCCTCGAAGAAGTCCCAGAATATGACTCCAGACTGGTGGGTTCGAGCAGTGTTGCAAAAAGTTAGGGAAGTATGACCTTTGAAGCTGTCGGGTTCTCGAACTGGGTCAGGAATAATCTGATTATGTGCACCTACAGTAGTATTAAGTTAGATATAGGATTACTTTTACTTTGTTTTTAGTTGCCTATATAATGTTAGCATGTCTCGCTTAGGGAAAACGGTATCTTAATTAAGTACCAAGTGACGTAATTTAGAATGTTTCATAGAGGGATATCAAAATAAATTTGTATTTAAACTTGTGGGGGCTTTGCCCCCACAACCCCCTTATCTAACATTTATATCTCAATACATATCAATATAATTATTCTATATTACACGTCATTATACAAATTAACAAATTTATTATAAATTATTTTAATTTTACAATATTATGAACAGATTCCTAGGCTTTTTGACAAATTCATCAAGGATTTCTTTGTTTGAAAATGTAATACCATTATTAATTGCCAACGTTGCTATTAAGTCTTTTCCACAAACAAAATTAAAACATTTTACTTATTAGATATTATGAAAAAGTATTTTATTAAGCACAGGCGCACAGCTATAATAATTACCAACTTTCTGACATACTGTTTCGAACATAAGTTTTTATTCTTTTAAGACTAAAACATTCTTTCTAGCGGGAAACGGGAAGTGTGTATTTTAGTATTTTATTTCATAATACTTTTAAAATAAATTGTATATTAGGATAAATATCGGCATTATACGCATGTAATGCTTCAATTGCGGTTTTTGGAATAATTATTGTTTATTCATTCAAGTTTTGTATTCTGTAATTTCAATTCTACAATTGAATTGTTCCTATCCAAAGTAGGAGAAAAAATTAACATAAACCATTAAAGTTTGAATTTTAATAATATATATTGATACATTAATTTTTTATCTATATATAATGATTGGTTTTAATTTTAAAGAAAATGCATATTCAAATTAAATATACTATAATAATTTAACTTTAAACACACCTTCAAATTTTCAGAATGGGTTGAAAATCTTTCTTCTAGTTGTAAAAAAAAATCCAGTTACTGAACAAACAGCAGTTACATTTTTTAACTGGTGTTTATTTTGCATAATCATGCATAATTTTAGTATGGTGAATAATTTAAAATTTCAATACTTACGTCAGGTCTTGGCTTCTTTTTAAAAAATCCAATAATGTAGGTACTACTAGTAGTAGTTTCTTCTATTTTTTTTGCTCCATTTTTATTTTGGCATGTTAAATTAAAATCAATTATTATTATGTAGTGGGTAGGTACACAAAGTCGTGATAATCAATGTACATTCTGTCGGCACTATTCGTTCTACAAAATGCTGGTTTTACCCATTATCGGATTGTATGTAGTATATTATTGTGTGTAGTGTAGATATTAGGTACTGTAATTAGGTTCCATGTATGGCAGGGCACCCCGCGTTTATTCATAAGTAAGAATGAAAGTGAAACGGACCATTTATTTTGAATGCTTATCATTTACCGAATATTACAGTACGAGTACCCGTACTAATACATCTAAAGATTTTATTTTTTCTTAGTTTTGCAATACTTACCTAATTTATAAGTTTGTATTTGAATTATTTATTGGTATAAGACAATAAATAAATATAGCTCATAGTCCCCATATCCCTTTCCCCGTAATTACGCCCCTGAAATACCTATATTAAATGTAATTTTTAATAATTGATGGCAGCAGTTGGGAAGTATTGTGAAAATATATTCCTCTTTGCTGTTGGTTCAAATACGAAAACAAAAATGAATGTTAAATACCTAATCTTTAAAATATCAGTAGTGCAAACGGAATTTACCAAAAACTCGCTAAGAGAAAAATTGTATTTTAAAATCAAAAACATTGCCTTTAATTAGTTTTTTTAATTATATTTAGATGTTTATCTATTCTATGCACTCGTCACACTTAAGTCTCGTAATTCATAAAATTATGCAACTTGTTGAACCGTAATAAACTAACAACTAATAATGTATTCATTAGTTTAACTAGGTGTCATATAGGTAGGTAGACATACTGTATTGCTGTATTATCTATTTTCAAGGCATTCGAGCCATTAAAATATCAATCACTTATTATCAATACCTATTTTAAAAGTGTATACGTTTCATTGATTTAAATCATTTTTATTATTTGCAGTTACTTTGAAAGATTTTCCTAAAGTAATTTATACCCAAGTAAATTCGCAACCTACATACTTTTGGAATTGACCAAGTCACTTACCTACTTAATGATGGTACATAAATTATGATTTGTAAAATATGTTTGATTGCAACTAAGCTAACATATACACTATAATTTATGTATATTTTTATCTATTAAATAGGAATACAAATTATTTCAAAATAAAAACAAATGTTTAAATCAACATTTGAATTTATATAGTCATCATATTGATTTTTAACTATAATTATTACAAATTAGTTTTAGATCAGTAAAAGTTAATTCAAAACACATTAAATGAAATCAACATGCCAAATGGACATTGTTGCCTAACAAAATCAAAATCAACATCAATGTTTACAATTAAGATTAAACATTGGAAATATAGACGACTCACTTAAATTACCATTTGAAACATTTTTAGAATTGGATGAGTTTGAGCTGAATCTCAAAGAAGACAAGCTTAATAAAAGTAGATTGGTAAATATTTCATTTAACAAAACAGGTAAATGGTAACATTTTATAAATAATTAATATTGTAATAAATGAAAAGATACATAGTTATTTCATTTACTACTTTCTATGATAATAGCAAATAAATATGAAATGCAAATTTTTTAATGATATACTCGTACTTACCTATCCAGGATGAAATTTTTTCAGCAACGGTATCTCTATAGTAGCGATGTTGAAGCAGAACACGAGTAAAACACGGGTGATTTATTGACGGAGAAAAAACATAAGGGAAAAGAGTAATGTACGTTTCGGCGAGAGGAAGGGCTCTGGCGATTATGCTAGTGAATATATAAGGAGAAAAATAGGAGAGTGTGTATTGTAAAATAGTCGTTAATATCATAATATTCAATGTATTATTATCATCAACACATTAAATATTAAATATCAAATATAAATTGATTTAATAACTAAGCTATAAAACTAATATTATAATATTATATCAGTAATATGATATAATATAATAGGCTAATATTAAAATTATGATATTTACCATATTGTGTATATCATTACATGTACCCTGATATTTTGTTTTGCCCTCATAACAATATAAGGGGTTACAATATAAAAAGAAAGAAAAAAAAAGAAGTTCTGGGATAATAGAGACGGGTGCAGTCACTGTTATAGGTAGGTAATTTAATGTATATCTGTAAACAATGATAAACCATTGTTAACAAAAAAACGATTTTGAGCGCAATTCAGTTGATAGTGATGCTTTGTCAACAATATACATGTCATATTATGGTAAAATAATTAGACAAGCATTATATATTTTCTTTAATAATATTTGTTTATTATTGTACCGATTTTCCTGTTTTTTCACATTTCCTGGTAAGACAATCAAAAACTGACCTCTCTAAAGTATTTCCCCGGCTTTCCAATCAGATTTCCTTTTAGAATAAGTGCTATCATTGTAAATCGGAGCAAAATTGGTGGTAGAAAAGTTGTTCACAAGAAAAATGGCTGTAATATTTTTTTCAACTAATACCTATATTTTGTACATTTTCCCGTTTTTTTCGCTTTTTTACATTTGATGAGAAAACTGAGAAAATCGAAAAATGACCTTAAAATATCTCTCCATACCGATTTCCTTTCAGAAAAGACGTTACACTTAAAAATCAAAGCAAGATCTCTGGTAGAAAAGTTGTTTATAGTAAAAAAAAATTAACATCTTTGTAAAACTATAAGCTTCTTCGGTCCAATCAAAATTTAAAATAGTATGATCTGGAAGACAAAAACAATAAGTGCCAAAAATGGAATTCGTGGCAGTCAACTTTCCACCCTGTGGAGGAGAACCCGCATTATTTTTGGGGGGAGTGGGGAGTTGGTATGAGATTTTTCGCTCATTTTGATATAACTATACAGGTAATGACTATTATTATGATATATTTTCAAAAAGTTGTCATTTACAAAAAAATTCCTAATAATCCTGTACTTGAACTTTCCTCTGAATTCTCAAGATAAACTTGCACTTGGCACATCAGCAGTTTTTCAGAAAAAATTTGTTGGCGAAAGTCATATGAAACGTTGCATTCCTCTATACCAAACAAGATTCTATCGAAAAAATGAAAGGAAAAATCTCCTACCTTCCAAAAAAAAGCTCTTCTTCGGGATTTAATATAAAATCGCCCAAATGAAAAAAAAATATTTTATAAAAGCATGGATAACATTAAAACAATGAAGATTATAGACAATATACAAAAACAGATGTGTTTCTTTGAAGATAATCTGGACAAATTTAATATCATTTAAAAGCTGTACAATTTGTGCAAAATCTATATGTATTGTGTTCAATGGCTGATAACATTAGTTTTTCTCAGCTTTTCGCATTAAATATTGCTTTAATTCTATAAAATAAATATGAGTTTATTTCTAGTTTGTAATATATATTATAATAATTAATAATGTATCTTTATATTGCAGTACCTATTATAATAATGTATAGTTTTCAAAATTGTAAGTGGTACATTGCTCCCTTGCACCATAGCACAATCTGCCATTAGTTATGTGTATATACATCTGTATTAATTTAACATACTAAAAACATAAAACTTCAATTATTTATTATTCAATTAATGGAATAGAGAATGTAGCTCCCCTCCCATTGCCCAATATTTCACAAATTGTGTAAAACTGTAATAGCCCTACCTTGAATCAGGGGTAGTCTGACCCTCTAAGTTGGGGGCTTAGCTTTGGGTTAACAAACCAGTCTATTAAAAAAAACATTGTTCAGGATCCAAACAAAATTCTTCAAATTATGGAAACTGGAAATCAAATTTATTTTTGGATACATTTTTATAATTATACTTTATTTAGTACTGGAGCAGGAACAAGGGGTGATGTAAGAAATAGCAAAGTAAAAGTGATTGTGGCTATTCAGGAAACTCAGTGGTAGGAAAAAGATTCTCTGGAATACCATTTTTTATGGAGAATGTGATGGTTGAAGACAATTTGGTCCAGGTTTTAGTTCTATAATACCAGTTGTAATTAAATATCACCTTAATTAATGTTCATGCCCCTACTAATGAGAAATCACAGGAAGAAAAGACGACTTCTATGGTGATATAGAAAGTTTAATAGACATGATACCTAATAATAAGAGTTTGATTATTTTGGGAGACCAATTAATAAAGATTGGAAAAGACATAATATTTAAACCTACCATCAGCAACCATAGTTTACTCGAGATTATAGTCATTAATTAAAAAGGCCATAATTTGATAGACTTTGCATCCAGTAGGTATTTATTGATCAAAAATATGTTTCCCAATAAGAAAATTCATAAGGGAACCAGGGAGTCACCTGATGGAAAATATATAAATCAAATCAATCATGTTAAGCAAGAGGTTTAAAAAACTATTACTGACATGAGGACTAAAATGATTATGATTCAAACCATTATTTAGTTAAGGTGAGTTTTAAAATGAAAGTGTAAAGGAATATAATTTCAGAGCATTCAGTAATAGACAGATATGAAATATCTAAGCTTATAGATGCAAAACTTTGTAGATATTTCAAGAATAAAATAGGTGAACGAAACAGGAACATGAATATTGATAGAACAGATTCAGTAAGAATCTAAGAATAAGAAGTAAACCAACTGGGGATTTGAAAAAAGGAAAAATACCAAATTGGAATCCTCATACAATAAATCAAATATTAAATGTTTTCTGAAAGCCAAGTATTAGAATGAACCAGTCACATATGGTGAGCTGAGGGGAATATAATTGGAAAAGGTATTGATGAATTAACCAACTGGTAAGTGCCCCAGAGGAAGACCTGAAACTATAATAAATAGATATAAGAATGATAGAAGGAAAAACAAACATTGAGTCTTCTACTGATCATGGCATATGGAGGGGTTTAATAGAAGCTGCAAAAGGTCTTAATAACCAGTAAAGCAAAAAATAAAAGAATACATTTGTAAATTTACTATTATATTGAACTTTATATTTTATACAATTAAAACAAATTAAACATAAATACTAAAAAAAAAAAAAAAATCATCAGTATCCACAATTCAATAATTTAATACTAAACCTATTAAATTACACATTTAATACTTAAAAAAACCATTCATAACAATGATTTGTTTAAAAAATTTGAATATACATAAAAAAAAAAAAAATCAAAATCAAGTTTAATACAAATATAATAGGTTATGTAGTTAAATTTAAAATGAAAAACAAATAGTACATTCATAAGTAGTTTTGACTAACATTAATCATTAAAACTTATACAAAATTGAAAATACAACAAAAATGTTCCCATATTAATTATTAATATGTAGTTATTAAAATGAATGTTTATATATATACAAAAATAAGAAAATGGCAAAACTTACTATGTAAATCAATGATGATCAGTATATTTTGTTAAAAAGATATGTTTAACATAAGCCACATGACACATAACTCGTATTGCTAAATTAATTGTATACTTTAATCGGAATACAAGTTGTTCCTCATTTAATAGCATAAAAGCTACACCATCAACTAGCTAAAATAGTAATAATTTAAAATATTAATAAATTTTGCTAAATAATAATTTATATTATAAATTGTATACCCCTGACTTAAGCTCTTTTCTAATAATTTCACAATATACATCATTTGATAGATATTTATAAACATCATCAGGGGACCAATATTTTGGATTTGATGTAACTTGAATATGTTCAAAATCACCTATATCAATTGTGTAATTCTTATAGTATGGACTTTTTCGATAAAAGTTTTCAAAACTAGTTTTCCTAAAAAAATTCAATCAATATTACTATAATAAATATTTAACATTTATTAATTGGGGCATATAGTACATACCAATCTTTAATAAAAGGAAATATATTCTCTTCATCATAATCTACTTTTGTATGACTATATGCTTCATCATCGTCCATGTCTTTAAGATAAACTTTTTTGGCTTCAATTTCTATTAACAGGGCTAATTCATGTTGACTTAAACTCTCTTCCAATGACCTTGCATATTTTTCAAAATTGATTATACACCCCATATAATACTTATACTTATCAACTATATGTTGATTTGACCAATCTAATTCTTCAGCAGCTATATAAACATCATAAACCCATAAAAAATGAATGAATCATTTTTTTAAATCAATAATTAAGAAAAAAAATTATTTATATATATAAAAAAAAAAAAAAACCATACCAACTTTAGCAATTTCCTCATAAATTAATTCATTTCCATACTTTTTAGAACTTGTAGAAATGTCAGTCTCATTGTTTCTTTTCATAGGTTTTACAATTTTTTGCACAGCATTTGTTTCAAACTTTAATTCTGAATTTGTACAAATATGATAAATAATAGTTAGTAAAATTGCTAAACTAATTTAGTTTGTTACTGTATTACATTATTATAAAAGTATGTTGCATGTCTTTTTTTTAAGCTAAGCTAATTTTTATCTACTAAAACAAAAAAAAAACTTGAGTGTGATTATCCAATGAGTCATAAAAAAATTTTAATTACACTAAATATTTCTTCCAATTGTAATTTTTAATGTCATAATTTTTTTTAATTTTTAAATTTACCTATTTTAAAAAAATAATAATTATGAATTTGTCATTCATTGTCAGTTTTTCCCTACTTTAAAGAATTTTAAAATATGACCAATATTGACAATTTTACTAGAAAAACACCCTTGATGTTGAACAGAGCAGAGAGAAAAAAAAAACAGACATAGTCACACAATGAGTGGATCACTATTGTAGATGAGAAGTTGGGAAGATAGAATGTAGAGAGGAATTTACTGTAAGTAAGATACAGGCAATGGTTAACCGTTGCTAAAGAAAAAAGATTCTGAGCAAACCACAATTAATAGTATTGCTTTTTCAACAATATGTCATAATAGTAAAATAAATATATATTTAATATCTACAATCAATTACACAGCAAATATATATGGTTTCATGTAGGTAGTAACAGTAAATATTTTCCATTGAGTACCTGAATAAAAATTACGCACATAACTTGAAAAATTAAAATGTTACCACCTTTAGAAAAGACAAATATAAGTTTTGTGTCCAAATTTCAACAAATTTTAAATTTTAACAAATAGCTCATGTTTTGAAAATTTGTCCTTGTCTAAAAAAGCAAATATAAGTTTTCTATTCAAATTTCAAGCCTCTACAAATAATATATTTCTAGCTGGATTACAACAAAAACTAAAATTGCAAATAATAAAAGTATTATTTTTGTAAATTATTGTATTTTTCTAACGCTTATCCTGAGTTTTACTAGATATTACAAAAACCACTTGGGAAATTAAAAATGACCTCACCTACAAAATTTCCTTTAAAAAAAGTGCCACACTTATATATGGAAGTGCGATTTCCGATAGATATTTTTATATAAGTATAAAAAAAAATAATAATAAACAAATATCATTGTAAAATTAATACATTCTTTGCTACACTCAGAATCTAAAAAAATCATCAAAGTAGACCAATATGTTTCTCACTGCTAAGGATCAAAAATGATAGTAATAAAAAATGGTAAAATAATCTAAAACTATATCATCATTTATACTTTTGGATATAATGATAATACTTACTTTTAGTTTTATTTACAACACACCGAGTACATACAGTTTTTTCAGTTGTCATAAAATATTCACAGACACCAAACAAACGACAAAGAGTAGAACAATATACTTGAGCCATTTTCTTGGATTCCGGCAAAACAAGTTCTTCTTTAAATGTTAAAGGATTACTTGTCTTATTGCTTTGAAAAAATACAATATATACAATTTGTTACTATTTTAGTATCATATTTGTATGATAAAAATAAATACTTACGGGGCTGTAATTACCATGCTAACACCACCAGGTCCATCGAATAATTTTCTTTGTTTTTTTTTTATATTTTTCAACACAGAGAAAGGAACATAATTTATTCTAATAAATATGGCTAGTGCTTCAGATAAAATTTTAGATACAGGACCTGGTCCAATAACATTTGGTATCTTTGCAAGTTTACTTTTCACAAAATGATTTTGATTAGAACAGTTTTTGTTAAAATAAATACTCATTTCATAATAATTTCTATTTAATGTTGTTGTCTGTTCTTTTACTTTTTTTCTTTTTGTAAGGTCAACTTTTTTTTTAGCTTGACTTTGTTTTTTTTCTTCAGTAACTTTTTTTTTAGCTTGGCCCTGTTTTTTTCCTTCAGTAACTTGTTTTTCAGCTTGGTCCTGGTTTTTTTTTTTAGTAACAACTTTTTTATCATTAATAATTGGTTCAGTAACATCATTATTCTCAGTTTTTGAATCAGAATGCATAATGCCACTTTCAATTAATTCATTTAGTAATGACTCTTCAAAATTATCTTCAAAAGTTTGATTATCCCTAAAATAAAGTTAAATTTTTATTTATAATAATAAGTTTTAGATTTTACAAGTTAATAAATAATATTACATTTCGCTATAGTGATAGGGAATATCGCCTTTGAAATAATTTGGATATTTAGTTAAAAATTCTGTATGTGATTCATTAAAATCTGTATCAATATCGGATCCATAATAATGATTTTCATAACTATTACAGTCAGTAAATGGAAGTTTTGGAGTACTTAATAAATATTTGTGTTTATTACACCAACCAATAGGAAAAATATCATCTGAATAAATGGACCGCACATGTAATAATTCTTGATTCCTATATTTAAAAAATGTTTAGTTGATAAATATATTAATAGTTATTTTATTTATAAAATTTAATACCAATTTGTACGATCAAAAGACAAAAAAATCCAATGATCAGCAAATCCTTTGATAGTAGCCACACGGATATGGTCAGGATTTACAGGATCAACAGCTTCAAGAGTCATGCCTGTATGAATGTTGTGTATATTTTTTTTGCATGCATTATCAATTTGAGCTAATTTAGCATGTTTAATCATGACATAATTTATCCAAGAAAATTTTTTGGATGAATCCCAATCAGAAGGAGGTTTTAATAAGAACTTGTGTTTATTCGCCCAACCTAAAATTATATATAAATTTAGGCATATGCATAGATAATACATAGAAAACTAATTTTGAATAGATTATTATTTTAACCTGCATTAAACAAATAAGGGTTTTCCTTAGTTGCCACAAAAGTTATACGTTTCTTTGTATCACTGTCATTGTCCAGTTCAACTTTAAAATAATGATTGTCATATACCTTAACAATCGTAGCGATATAGAAGACCATCAATGAATACGGATTTATTGCTTCTAACTTGTCTCCCACTTTATAACAGTGTTGTTCAGGGAATTTTGGCTAATTTTAAAAATATATAATTATTAAATTATAGATGAATTAAATGTTATTATTAGTTTAGAAGTAACAATGCAGCTGATTTATTATTAGGGCAAGGGAAGTATTATATTTTCATATATTTAAAATTTTTATTTTTACATGCTGTTGGTTGTTAGTTAGGATAAGTTTTAATCAACAAGAAATTCAAATTAAATATTTACTTAGAATTTTAAAAATATATTTAACTTTTAGAGAAATATTGTATAATAAGTTTTATTTAATATCGGTGAAGATTTAAAAGCTCAAAACACAATATATTCTACTAGTATGAAAATAAAGGATTGTTATTACCTAGTTACAATTAATACTGATTTATAATTGTTGTCATCAACAATTATAAGTCAGAATACAATACATTCTAGCAAACAAAGTTATACAAAAAATGAGGATTTAGAAATTTAACATGTACAAGGTAGTTGTGTATCTATTAAAAATATTACTTTGAGAAATACAGTAATAATGAATGTATTGCTAAAATGATAATAATTTTAATAATTTAGTTTACTAGAAATATGTAAGCATTACAGCTATGATTTTGAAAAACAATTTTTTTAGATAAGACTTCAATGTGTGATAATTAGAGCAGACATTTGTATGCTTTTATGTATTTTGATTAAGAAGTCAAAAATAGTTTTTAACAAAATGTGTTTCATGACTTAACAAATCTATAAACAAAATTGTATGTTGCTTAATAAAGAGCGATAGGAAATGGGGTTAACACTAGAATCAATTAGCATGATTTAGTAATAGACAGAAAATATTATGTAGGACAGTTAGATTTTAATGTTTGGACACAAAAAAAAAAAAAAATAGATAGTTTTACTTATTTAGGAATTACTTAAGATTTCATACATTTTAGAGCATAATATATAAAAATTTCATATAGTTTCAGAACATGTATAACTCAACAAATTAAGAATTACAAAACAATGATTTTGTTTAGATTTTGTTAGATTTATACATATCAGCAAGCAAACTGTTCAATTTAGTGCAAGTTTTAGATAAAATATTTTAAATAATACATTTATAAAAAAAATATAAAACATTTTTGTTAGAATTAATTTAAGTGAGAAAACAAAATGTTCAAATTTCTATTTTTAAAATTATATTTTGCTAAGTTTTAGGGCATAACTGCATACATATTCAAAGATTTTTAAGGTATCATTTCCTTTCAATGATAGAAAATAGTCATTTAATTTAAAACATTTAAAAAAAAACATAGTATAAAATTAGTTACTGGTCGGTGCAAATTTTTGTTTGGAACATATGTGTATTTCCAAGTTAAGAATGATGGTCACATCAAAATTGAGCAGACTGACCTAGTTTCAAAGTTACATATAAACCATTGGCTCTTTGAAGTTCAAATTTTATCCAAATATGATGTGTTTTATGTCAAATAATTTAAAATTACTTTTCTAGAGCGTTGTTTGTTATACCTAGTCTAATGATGTTTCATACTAGGTATCAATCCTGAGGTTTCAAATTGTTTTTTGCACTTTTTATTGGTACTCTATATAATAATAGTTATTAAATAAGGTTTTCCTTGCAAAATGCACATACAATTCGGCTATTAGTAAAATACCTATTTATTATTGTTATAAACTAGTTGTGTTTTAAAATGTTATTAATATATGGGGTACCAGTTAAAACATCTAAAATATTTGGAAAAAAGTAAAAAATATCATAGGAAATCAGATTTGAACTAGGGATCTTTAGGATGACACCAGATAGATAAACAATTATATATGGCAATATTTAAATATTTAACATAACAAATATAATAACTGAAATTCAAAAGGCTATAACTTCGAAATTTAAGTTCAATTCTGACTTCACCATCATTCTTAACTTGGCTATGTTCATGTTCAAAAAAAGAAAAACCTTTACTAATTTGTATGGACCAAATAAACAAACAATGTATCAACTTTTAATATATTTTTTAATTCAGTAAGTTCACTGATTCAATTATTATTACTTTATAATAATAATGATATAATAATTTGCAAGTATATTTACCTTTAATACATTTATTAATAAATTAGAATCTATAGATTCTTCAATATTGATATCTACATTCATAACTCTCCATGGAAGACCTAAAAACAATAAATTATGAGTAGAATAAATGCAAATATAATGTATTATAATATAAAAATATACCTTTCTGGTCTGCCCATCCTATAGGAAAAATACGCTCATTTGAATAAAAAAGCCAAAATGGTGTCTCTTCTGGAGGTGATACTCCTAGCATTTTTACAAACAACCTTCCTCCTTTGTTTTTAAGTATCTAAAAAAATAATTTATCTATACTAAGTTCTTACTTCATAGACTGTAAAGTATGTTGTAATAGAAAATTACTAAGAGAGCAAGACTATAAAAATATTAACATTATAAAAACTATATTACTTTTGAAATCCAAACTCCATAAGGATATTCTTTATCTTGAACTTCTAAAAACATTCCAGGCTTGAATATATTATAAATTGGAGCACCTTTCTGAAATAAATATAAGTAATTTTTTACTAATTTAAATTATTAAATTAAAAAATCTAAATCCATTAATATTCCTTTTTTGAATTTAATAGTTTGTTAAAATAAAAATATACATACCATTTGTAAAACAGAATTAGGTACAACATTTTCACAATATTGAATTTTCTTTTTAACATTTTCTAAGTTTATCTGTAGAAATCTATCAGGACAGGGTGGTAGTAGTTTTTTATTATTTTCATTTCCCCAATTTAAAGGATGGATTCGTGACGAATTTAATTCTATCCAAAAATCATGTTCATCATTTTTGTCACCAATATAATGTAAACTAAAATAATATTTTGCTTTTATTTTATTACATTATTATATAAATTTAATAAATAATACTTTATTAAGACTCCCCGGGATAAACACACACTGGCAAACCAATAACCATTCTGGTCTTCATTTTCAATTTCAACAATTGATCCTAAATCTATTCCATTTTGTTCACTTTTACAAACCTATAAATAAAATTATTTTAAAATATTTAAGTATTTTAATTTAAATACTTATATTTTCATATTAAAAATAAATAGCTACTTACATGTGAAAACAAATCTTCAGGTACTTCTTCTAAATTTCTTAATGCAAGATATTTATTCCAATCCAATGGTTCTAGACATTAACAAAAATATAACTGTATAAATTACAAGTAAAAATACAATTATATTTACTAAATTTGAAGTTGAAAGTCATTAATACTTTTAATCAATATTTAAAAGTACATTTAAACTATAAATTAAATTGATGTTAAATATTGTGTACAAAACTTTAAAATTAAAATATATCCACAGATATTACACTTGTATTGTTGTGCTAATAGGTATATTTTTTTCCTGAATGCACCTACTAACATAGTAAATAAAAATGTTACATTTTTTTTTTTAAATTGTATTCTCTATTCTAAATATTATACCCTATTTCATGAGACAAATAAATAAATCAAATATTTTTAAAAATGAATAACTTTATTGGAGATATTTAACATTACAAATTTAATCTAAAAATAAAATAAGAAACAAAATAATATATTTGAAGTCATATTTTTTCTTGAAATGTTGAATATTTAATATTTATGACTGTAAAGATTGGTTTTGGAAATTTAACTTTTATTATTATAAACAATTTCTCTGATTTTCCAGTTTTCTAAAAATAATGACCATTACCGATTTTCAGTTCCAGATTTAAAAGAAACTTAAATGTGGAGAATCATCAATTATTATTGTAACAAGTATTTAACCCTAGAGCACACACATTAAAAATATTCATAGTGTTTTTGATTGTGTATTGAAATATTTCAATTAAAACACGAATAATTAAAATAATATTATTACTTATTAATAAAAATGAAATTTAACTATGATAAATGATAGAAATCATCTTGATGTACTCATCTATGGCAATATTTGTATTAGATCACACATAAGATGTAATATCTGTGAACCAGTGTCAACTAACAACAATCTTGTCAGACACAATGGAAATAAAATAATGATTGATAAACATTTATCGGCCAAAAATGATTAGAAAACACAGTTTAAAAATACCCACATTACATTTTTATAAAATTAAATTGTTTAAAAATGTCACAATATAGTCATGTAGTCTTACAGTCTTTTAGTCCGGTTTTGTATGTATTAAGTAATGAAAGTTGAACTCTTTTATTTTCCAGACATCAGATCGTATACAGTTGGGAGTTGTATCTAATTGTAGTTTATCGCCTAATTAGAAAGTACCTAGGTTGGGTTAGGTAAATATTTTCGAATCAATGAACACAATTTAAAAAAACCAGGTCTTTAGACCGTGAAACATGTGCTCTAGGGTTAAGTAGAGATGATATAATTATTGGGAATTTCATTTTTATAATTACAAATAAAAACTAATTTATCATAATAAAAAATACATAAATAGCCACAAGCCCGCAAATTGTATTCATAATACCTACTTGGATATTACTTGGGTACTACTACCTATCTGCTGTTAATATTTAATAGATATGTTGAATAAAAGTTTATAACTAATAGGTAGTTTTTTTTTTTTTTGTATTTCTTTATTTAAGTTATTTATTTTGTAAATTAATAAATTATTAATGTTACAATAATACAGTAACTACTTTTACACTTAAATTTAAATTTAAGTTATCCCTGAGTAATAATTTATAGTTCTATAGTTAATGCTATAATTCCACAGGTTTTAAAATAGACACATTGGTAATATTTTATAATTATATTCACTTTCATTGGGTATTTTAATTTTTAATATATATATATATATATTTAAATAACCTAACTTATTAAATGATTCTAAGCTAAGTTAATGGTATATTTTAACTTAATTTTTAGTTTAATTTATGTATTCAAAATATCTATTATTAATAAATAATAATACTCATTAATAATATTTAATTTACCAAATTGAAAAAAAAAAATATTTAACTTAACTCAGTTAAAAAATATCTTTAACTTACACAGTCTTGGTTATAAGTGAAGTTGATAGTTTTAAGTACCTATAATTGTTTGTACAAAAGAACAGTGGCTTTCATGAGGATGTGAATCATAGAATCAAGTGTTGTAGGACAAAGTGGAGAGAAATGTCAGGTATTTTATGGGACATGATAATTTCAGTGAGATTTAAAGAGAAGTTTTACACAAGTCTGGTGAGACTATATTAAATGATTTTGGAGTAGGCAATAGACAGAAAAATAGAACAGAGAACGAGTGTGGCAGAGATAAGAATGTTTAAGAATCTAGCCTTGATAGTTTTGGCTAGATAGTTAGATATTAATACTCAACTAGAAAATCATATTATGACTTACCAACAATTGAGTCAACAAAGTTTGAAGTTGAATTCATCATGTGAGTTCGATGTAGGTAGTAAATAATTGAAAATGTCTCCGATCAATATAACAGCTAAGTACCATGCGCGTTTGTATTCATGTCTAAGAACACAATGGGTACTATTAATAATGAGTACTTAACAACGTTATGATAAATTACAAACTGATTTGATAGGTACAGAAATTGTAAACGAAATGTGAAATATATTGTTTATAACACGTCATGTAAATAAAAGGTGTAACAACGTTCTGAATTTCTAAACATTCCACCAGGGTTGCCAGATTCTCAAACAGTTATTCTCGTATTGTAGCTATCAAATTCTCGTACTTACATTAAAATACTAGTATTATCACAGATTATGTTAATATCTTAAATCATATACTATGGATCATGGTTAAATTTAACTATTTAGCCATGCTATTGATAGATCAGGCTATTGATTAAATATTAGTTAAATATAACTAAAGGGAGTTGGGACAAATGCGCATGCTCAACATTTATATAACGCGCAATTGATCGAATTCATGTAATCACGTATGACCTACTACACAGATATCTATATTATAATACATAAGGTATCCGCGTTATCGTGTAAAGCCTAACAATGCATTATCACCACAGATATATATTATAATAATTATATTATATTACATATCTGTGGTTATCACTAATTTCGTGGGTGGTAAAACGTTTTTAATAAGCATTAAGTATTATGTTTATATGGTTTTATGCGTGTGCAGACTTAGTTTACCATTTAGTTGATTTTTATTTCTTAAAAACATAATTATTATTGAATTTTACTTATTGTACTTCATATTATAAATTTAATTATGTCAGTGTCATGCGTTGTGTATGGATGTACACCAGGCATATCAGTCAGATATCAACCTGGCCAGACTATTGATTTTTTTCGGTAAGTTCATTCATTATTATTTATTAGTTATTACTATAGGTTACTTGTATACATAGTTTGAGTATTCGAGAATAATCATTTTAATAAAAATATTTTGAATATTATAGATTTCCTTTGGCCAATGATGATTTAAATAAAAAAAGGATTGCAGCTATAAAAAGGAAGCAGTTTACATCAATCAAATGGAGTCATTTATGCAGTGATCCTTTTGTTGATGAAAACTATCAAGCAAAACTAGATAATACTAGTTTATAATAATATTAATTTCTTCATCATATGCTGCTGATGGTATTGCACTAGATAGCACAGGTTCTGAAAGTGTTTTTGAGATAAGCTGGTTGAAAAATCATTAGTAGATAATGTTATTGAAGAAGAAGATGAAAATGAAAATGTATCTAATTTTCTACCTATTGTTGATAGTTTTGATTTGGTAAAAGATAATATTTTATATTATATTTGCGGATTATCGTTAGAAGTGTCTATAAAAAAAAATTGACATTCAAACTTGTGCCAACAGTATGGTAGAAAATGAATTTGATGATCACAACTATAGTCATAAATATCCCCATTCAATACTAGTAGGATAATAAATAAGTAGGATATGTTTTAGTAATAATCATGGTTTTACAAAGATTTTTATTTTTTTTTGTGGACAACTTTTTTACCACTGTTTTTCTGGTTTTTATGCAATCCAGCATAATAATAGTGATTATATAAATTCACTATCCCGATGTTATATTAATTTTGTATGTATAGGTACCTAGATAAACGCATTATACACAATTAAAGTCAGAAAAACTAATATTGATTAATGAAATTTAAATTTAAATCGAAAATATTTATTTCAATTTCAAGCCTTGGAAAAAATTTTTCATATTTTAGAATTTAGAGAGTGTTAATGGTCCACCTCCATGGGTGTAGCTACAGCCCCCACAGAAACTTTTGTAACACCCTCATGGTGTTTACTTTCAATTTTTACATTTTATTTGAAATTATAGTTTTAAATGTTTTTATAATTTTTCTGAAATTTATAAAGTCTTCAAAATATATCAGAAGTGTAATGTTTATTGACAACACTATTGTACTTACATACATATACCTATTTATTTTTATCATAAACACGTTTATTTATAGACCAACGCCGTATTAATTATTTGGATTTACTCTGTGCAGTATTGTCGTGCATATTGTTATATGATAATATGTCGGACAATAATAATTGTTTGGAACACACACATAATATTTATTTATTTCAGTATTTTTCTGGAAACTGGTGATGATTTAAGTCCAATAAATAGTACAATTAAAATTAATAATTCGTCAATATCGGAAAATGTGCTCAATATTTTTGTAGCAAAACACAAACGTCTATGTTTGATTTAATAATTAAATTTGAATTGTTTTATCTTTTATGTACTGTAAAATAAAATGCCAGGTTAAGAAGAAGTCAAATATAATTTGTTTTTTCTAGAAAATGTGTTCTCTTTCCTTTTAATTCCAGTTAAATGTAAGGAGTTTTCAACAAACATGTTTGTTGAATATTTTGGATGTTTGACGAACATTGGGCCAAACATTTGTAAAATGTTTGTTGGGTATGGACGCAGCTTAAGAATATTGTTGACGATCCCAGTTATAGTAGCATCCAGTGAACGAAGTTTCTCTAAACTTAAATAAATAAAAACTTATTTGCGTTCCTTGCTTACAAATGAGGTTCTCGTCATTAGCAATTTTGTCAGTTAAAAATGATTTAGTCGAAAAAGTAAATTATGAAGACACAATCAAACAGTTTTCTGAATTAACAGCTCGAAAAGTGAAGTTTAAATATTATTAATATTAATTGTAGTTCTAAGTATCAAATTTAAAATTATTTTGACTTTGTTCCTTAATCCCGAGCGGTTATTTTATAAGTAAATTATTTTATAATCATGTAATAAAGTTATGATACAAAATACATAATATTTTTATTTAATCTTACTAAAAACTAAATTTTACTTTAACTTGGTGAGGAAGTGAAGGATGTCAAAATATGGTTTCGCCCAGGGCGTCAATACTCCTAGCGTTGGCTTTGCCTATGCTATAGGCTCTATAGCAACCTAAGTGATCAGGTCTATTTGCATGGAACTGTAAAATATCAGTTACACTTTATTAAACCGGAATGAGGGTGTCATGGTAAAGAGTCTGAATGAAGTGTAAATTGAAATTCGGCATTGGTAACACTTGGTAACAGTTAATGTAAGTATAATGAAGTTTACTTAATGTCTCCAAGAACTTTTTGATAAATTGTTACTATTAAAATTACCCTAAAATAAAATAATAGAAATAAATAATTACAATTATTTTATTATTATCATAAAAAAAGACATCATTCAACGGTTCGCTAAAATGAAAAAGAGACATACCGATCTAACCTTGTAGAAAATGAGAGTTGTAATAAATTTGTTATGACATATTATTTATTTAACATTATTATATAATTAAACCATAATTTATGACAGTTATTTAATACATTTTTTATTAGGCACAAAAACTTGACTTTTGTTTTTTTTTTTTTTTTTTTTAATATAAGAGCACACATATAATAAAAGTAACTTATTCAGAATTTGGACTATTCCAAAAAAATTAATAGCCCTTCCCCTAAGATAAGGTCCAGATACGTGCCTATAGGTATAAGTATAATATGACGTACTGGTTTTTCATTACTCATTATCCATTGGAACTATAAAATAATAGGTACCTACATACATTTTTCAATTTATATTTCTAATATTTTTATTCGGGGATTGAAAAATATAGAATATGTTATACAATATTATACATAGCACCATAATTTATAATTATTAATAGTAAATAGGGTATGAATATGAACTAGGGCTTACGATTTCCTACTGCTGCACGGGTAGATGGGTATTTAAATATTTAAAATTGTTTGATTGTGAAGTACCTATAAGGCTAGCAAATAACATGATAATAATAATATTATTTTTATATTCGGCTGTGGGCCGCGGCCACGGTGTAATTATAAAAGTATAAATAAATAATACCGTCACGCGGCGCCAAGCAGAAATTTATTCTTAACACTGTCACTGTATTTTAATGGAGGGGGCCGCTACAGATTACGACAAGGTTTGAATTTACAGTGCTGTTTGGAGTAGCACGTGTCGGAACAAAATTAACATTTTACGACGTTAAAACATGATTACGCAAAACAAACGAAACGGCATTAAAAAGTGGTTTTAGAGTAAAAACTTCTATTATGGAGAATAATATTTCATATATGATTTAAATTTAAACATGCAAACGCAATATCTTATTATATTGTAATTGAAATAATTATATTTTCACTATATATAGCTAACGGTTTTAATTTATCTTCTTCTAATTCATTATCATTTCTCTTTATTTTAAAATGATTGTGGTTATTTTTGATACTTATTATTGTTGTATCATTAACTTGAAAAATTATATATATTAATAGTATATTAAAAATTATGAAATTTATACAAAATATTAATATATTATAATGTTATCTTTTATGTGCAACATTAACAAATAAACCTGTTCAATAATTGTATCATCTTTATTTAAGAAAGTGACAAGTACTGCCCCGGGCTTTAATCTTAATTTCCTTAAACCAATCTAAAAAAATAAATAAACGTGGTAAATCCAATACATTCTTCGATCATCTCAGAATTCTTTTTTATATTCTAGTTGAACATACCGAAATTTGATTGTTGCCTTCCCCAGAATCCCTCGTGGAAACAATATCAGATGGTTTAAAATGTTTCTCACATACTTTAGAATGCCTGTTTAGTGAAAACCCTTTGACTTTTTTCCAAATAACATGAACATTTTTGGAAATACCAAATTTAGTTTTAGCACTATCGCAGCAACCAGGAACACAACTTTTATTCGACATCATTATTAAAATTAAATAAAAAATGCATAGAAAATAAACTATACGTCAATTTTAAGTAGATATTATTCAATGTAATTTGTAAATTATAATACAAAATATAATGCAATCATTGTAATATTATAATATTAAAATTGGCGGTAAAATGTAAATAATATTGATAAGCTAATAATAATAAAAAATTGTTTACTGTTCGTCTGCTGGAGAATTAATTGTATAGAACAGCTGTTTCTGCTTTGGAAACTTTGTAGGTCGAATCGTAATGCGCAAACTGTTTATCCTAAATCGTGCTCACAAGTGATAATTAATGTTATGAAATAATGACTAATCATGGAATAATATAAATTTTTCCATGATTGCCGCCCTAATACTATATTGACGACAATATATAGTAATAATCAAGGTGTATTTAAATACACCTTGCTGATAATAGTACGAACTATGAAAAATGCAGATACGCAGTCCATTTGTTATTGGGTAGGAAATTGTCAGACTTTATTTTCTGAGATCGTGATCCTTGACGTAAACTTATTTTTTTCCTCCAAAGGTACATACTATATACGCCCATAGTTCTATAAACTTGACCTATATACAGTATAAAATGTATGTCTATGTATACACCAGTTGCAGGTTTTCAATGGTTTCATTATTTAATTTTTCGTTGTAAAAATGATTTTGAATATCAATTTTAAGAAAACGTATTAAATATTTTTTATTTTCTGTTAGATTTAACTAGATTCACTAAACGCGGTGTTAATATATGGACATTTAAAATTAAAATTAAAAACTTTTCCTGTACATTTTTCCAAAGGTAAATAAAATCATACAGTTCGTTTAGAAGTAAGTTTTTACCTACTTATTACAATTATTATATATTTTTAATTTTATTTATTTAGTAAAGTCTATTTCATGCTTCAATAATTTGACAACGATTTCCATTGTAAAAATATATTGAAATCAATAATTTTAACATTTAGTTATATATTATATTATGTTAACTGAAATCAGTGGTATACCTAAATATGTATAGTTAAATTTAGGCAAATTTTTCTAACATAACGTGCTAAAAATTACCAGATTTTTGTATTTCTTGTGTTCCATTAAATTATGAAGAATATTATATATACTTAATTAAGAAAATGTATTTATTGTATCTTGTTAGTTAACAAATAGTAGATTTAATATGAGTAGTTAGAATTTAAAACCTTTCTTTAATTTTTGTTTAATCTAATTTTTTTTTTTGTTGTACACTTGATGTCAATTGTTTTATTTTTGGTTTATAATTAGTAACTTTTAACAAAGTTTGATTCAATCTTTTAAACCAGATTTTTTACAGTATTCTTGCTAAATGCAAGTCCTTTATGTGTTGAATAATTTTGTCTAACTTTTAAAATCTTCAAATAGAAATGGAGCAGTTTTCATTGCAAAAATGTTTTTCTTTCTTTCAATAACATTTGTTAATGCTAAACTTGCATTAACAATATTTGAATTACTACCCACAAACTTCAGTAAAGTAATTGTCTACATATTTTTGCTATTAATTGCTTATAGAATAAATTCTTTTTGTTTTTCTTTGGTTTTATTGAAAAATTAATTATAATGTAATAATAATGTTTAACAGATGATGTTTTGAATATTATTATTGTCAAACATAAAACACATAATTCTTAATCACCTTTTTAACTATATCATATCTTCAATCCATGAATTTTGAAATTCTCTGTTACTACTCTTACTAATAATTTATTCACTACATTTTTTCTTTTTTGTACAGACACATTAAATAATCTACTTATAAAATAATTATGATTAAAACGATTACAAGTCTATGAATCACGAACTCACAAATTGTTAGACATATTCATACATACATCAACTTTAATCATCTAACTTATAGTTGTTATAATATCATCTTACATTTAGTATGTTATATACGTTTTTAGTTAATTAATAAATTAAATGATTATAAAAAGTGTTTATATTGTGGTCTTATTATTAACTATTAAAAATAAAATATTTTAATTTTTAGTACATAAAATGTTATGTTATTGCAGACCACAATACATTTTTGAATAATATATACTCTGGATAAATTTAATTTACAGGCTTCAGAGTACTTAACTTTTGTGGATTTCTATAAATAAAAAATAAAACATGTTTTTATAAACCATTATTACCCAGAATATTTTCAGTAACAAACCAAATTATGAAAAGTTTCAACTACTTTACTGAATACCTTTAGAAATAGTTTTATAGTTATTCGTTTTGTTATTATTTTATTAGGTTAAAATCTTTTATTTTATACAATATAATACATTTAATAGTACTTTTGATTATTTAACACTATTTAATATGTAATTACTAAAATGTAAATTTATTATATGTCTGTATCTAATTCAAAATAATACATTTTAGATTCTGAAAGGAGGAATGTATTAGTTTTAGTATGATGTTTATTATTTTCTTATTTTATACTGTGTACAAAAATTCTACCAGAAATCTTGCTCTGATATGCATATGGACACCATTTCTGAAAGGAGATATTGTCTAGATCAAGGGTTCTCAATCTTTTGAGGTGCCCCCTTTCACACTATTTTATGATGTCACGCCCTTCTCACTACAATATGATTGAATTTTGTGTACTATATATATTATACATCATACCTTTAATGTTGATTATTAGATTAATATAAATGAGAATCAAGAAGTTATTTTAGATTCTGAGTGGAGCCACAAAGCTTACGGTTTTATAAAGATGGTTTTTATTTCATTTTTTTTGCTTACAGATGTACATTCAATTCCCGTCTGTATTCTACATTTCTAACTTCTCATTTACAACAGTGGCTGCACCAACATGCAATGTATGTAGTCTTTTTAAATATTTAATGAATTTATTTGTTAGGAAAACAAAATATTATTATAATTTAAAACTATTAAAACAAATCATATTATGTTCACTTTTTTTAAGTATTAAATTTTAAATTTATTATTATTAAGTATATAATAATAAAAATTAATCAGTGAGTTGATATTGCTTAATTTCAATTGATTTTTTAGTATTTGACGATAACTGTGATAACATGGATTTCAGGTCACATTCCACCAACATTTTTACGCCTCCCCTGGAATTTTGTCACGTCTTCCTAGGGGGGCGCGCCCCCCAGGTTGAGAACAGCTGGTTTAGATGGTACTTTAGGGAGGTTATTTTTTGATTTTCCAGGACGTTTTCATGATACCTGGGAATAACCAGAATAAATCATAAGAAAACTGGGGAAACTTATGAACATAATGTTTTTATTTTTTCAATTTTGTTATTTGTTGAATTTAGTTAAAAATATTTATAGAATTGAAATTTTCATAGAAAACTTATATTTGCCTTTTCTAGAGATTGTAAAATTTTCAAAATATTTTATCTATTTTTGAGCTTTTTAAAAAAAATTTTACTTTTTGTTGAAATTCAATTTTAAATTAACTTAAGAATCTTGAATATTAAAGACTAGTTGACATTCTTAAGTGTTTTTTTATATCTACAAATTCTGTGGGTTTGTTTTTTCTAATTTTTTTCTCAATAATTATTTTCAGTGCTATTGCTTTCCTGATACCCTGCATGTTCTTCCTAAACTCAAACTGATATGATAATTTGTATTTTTTATTTTTTAAAAACAATCAATTAAAATATGTATTAAGAACTTAATAAAATATTATACACATGGGTTATAATATTTATAATTTTTATATATTCTAAAATAAATCAAGTACCAATAACATGATTAAAGTTTATATTAAACTTTTAAATATATTCTTATGTTTGTTTATATATGTATAATATTTTTTTAGTTATTAAGTACTTTTATATATTGAGTCAATCGAATTCATGGTATACTGAATAATTATTTTTATAAATATGTTTAAAATTTAAATTTTGTTATTTTTCAGTTGTTTTAAAATTAATCACATCTGTTGAAAGATTTGAAGAATGTGATTCATAAGATTTGAATGCAATGATTAAATTTTTTTTTTGAAAATAAGTTTATTTATCGATTGATAATTTAAGAACTTCACTATGAACCATCAACATTTTAATGATTTTGACATTGAATTAAATTTTCAAGAAGATGATAATGCCCTTTCCAATAGCCAATTTTTTCCTGCCAAACGTTCAAAAGCAAAATCTCCTACATCATTTTTGGTTTATGAGGTAATAATGTTATTTTTATAACTTCAATCTATAAATGATAAAAACACCTACATTTATATAATCATAAAAAATTATAACACCATAGCATATAAAATTATTAATTTAATTTTCCAATACTTGATTTTATTGTATTTAGTTAGTGTACAGGTAATTTAAAATGTATGTTACAGCCATTTGTTATGTACATATCCAAAATTGAAAACAATACAAAAGTTTTTAATTATGTCCAAACATTTAAAATAATTTGTTATCATCATTTTTGAATCACTCTGTATACAAATAGAATAAAGTTAATAATACTGTAAAGTTTCAATAAGTTGTTTTGTTTAACATATTGAGGTATGTTGAATAATTAAAATAATTAATTTTCATGTAATTTACTAATTTATATAATACATTTTTAAAGAATAATAAAAGAAAATTTTATTTTGCTATGATTATAAATTATATTAATTTAAATAATTATAATATTATACCAAGATAACATGATTAGGTATTTAAATTGGTTATTAACAAGCTGCAATCAGTATTAATAAAACTATTATATTATGGGTCAATAATTACATAAAAAGTCAACATAATCAATTTTTTACAGAATGAGTTTTTACTTTTCTAAAAGTGTTTGTATAATATATAGTAAATATTTTAAGACAACAATTTCGCAATTAAAACACGTTCTCAGAACTAAATAAAAAACTAGTTCCTGGCTGAACAATGCAACCATTTAATGTTTTTCTACCCTATTGCCAAGAAGAATAAAAATGTTTATATTTATGGTTATTTCATTAGAATTATTTTATTCTATATACACCAAGTTGTTACTTGTTACTAAAAAAATATGTTTGTTAAAATATTCTTTATATAAATGTAATTTTATTTTATTTATATTTGTTTTATTTTAATTTAATTTAATTTATATTTGTTTTATTTTAATTTTAGATTTAGGTTATATTGGTTTTACAAGGATGTTTATAATTATTTATTTTATTCAGTAAGCAATTTTTCTTCCTGAAATCTCCTCTAATGTATCAAGTGAAGCACCTCTTCTCAAACGAAATTTTATCTAGTTGATTTTTTAAAAAGGTCATTTTTTGATTTCCTAAGAGATTTTCATAATAATTGGAAATAAAAATTCTTAAAGAAAAACGGACATATATTTAAGATGCGATACGGAAATACCGATTTCATTATTTTTAATTTGTATGATTTATGGTTTCTATCAGAAATCTTGATTTAATCAAAGCATGACAAGGTACCTTTTTTGTTAAATTTGAGATCTAACTGGTTAGTAATGAATTAATTTTTTTGTTACGACTTTACTAATCTCTCCTACTAAATCTTTCCTTACTAATATACAATGTTGACACAACCCATTAGGAAACATAGATTCAGCTTAAGTGGAGTGGTTTGGTGGAATATTGTACTTTTAGACAAACTGACCATATGAGGGCTACCTATATGCCACATCTGTCCTCATCCTTGTAGGGGACAAGTTAGTAAGGCCAATGTAGCTGGAGGATGAATCTCATTTCTGGTATACTTATAGAATGTCCCACAGATAGATCCCACACATAGAACCATGTTACTGTATTATACTTATAACACGTCCACAACGGGAGTGTGAGCCTTTCATGGGAATGTTAACCAGCTGCACAACAACATGCTATTGTTGGAAAGCTCAGAGTATGCATATCTAGTCGGGTGGGGGGTGGTAGAGTAGGGTATAAATACCTAAGAATAGCTTGCTAGAGAAGTCTTAACACTATCAACCGCGAGCATCTTCATACCGGTGTCTTATGAAAATTAAATTAAAAGTGTTTAAATATTTTTAACAATAAATATACTTATATAAAGAATTACTGTGTACAATATTTCTGACTTCGGTCATAAGTAAACTTGAACTTGAATTTGAATTTCTCTCGCAACAGTTTAGATTTTTAAACTAGTTCATTTTTTTAATATGAGTCAAGCCTAAAAATTATTAAAAATCTTATAAATTAAAGTATTTCAAAATATATATAACAGGACTTTGTTCAGAATAGTATTTTGTTAGCAATGGTTTATTTTTGCTTACAAATATAAATTACATTCTCTTCTATATCTTATCTTCCCACCTATTATCTACAACAATGGCTCACCCATTGTGCGAAGTATGTCTGCGGTTTTAGTTTTCAAGTTATTAATTTTAATAATGAAATATATTTCATAATAATAGCATATTTTTGATATTTCATAAATTAAAATTGTATTGATTTGTAAATTATAGGCACCTTTTACCCGAAAAAAACAATTGTTATCTACAATTGTTCATTTAGATAATGGTACAACTGGATATTTAATAACTTTAAATAAAAGAACATGGTCGTGTCATGCTTGTTATCCTTCCAAATTCACATCTTTGACATTTCTGGAAAAACATTTAACCAGCAATAGTCATTTATTAGAAATGGGAAAACCATGTTATCCAGCTGAACATTTTACCAAAAAAAGTTTAGAAAGTAAGAAAAATGTATTATATTTAAATCAAGTTAAATTTATATAATTTTAATATTTATGATATTTTGTATTTATATTGTTCTATAGATGGCCTTTATGTTGGTTTACCACCAATAATATCAGGTGAACCAATTCCACCAGGAACGGAAGATGAAGAGGACAATGTTTTAGCACGTATTCAAGCTACATTAGATACAATTTTCATTCCATTAGTAGGTCTTGAATTTGTTATTGAACTATTACCATCTGAGCGAATGAAAGAATCTAGCTACTTGTGTGCATTATGTGACAAACGAGGTGATCTCCGAACTTTCCCTAACCATTTACGGAGTTTTAATCATGACATGGCTTACTTGGTAAGTACATAGTGATCCAATTATGTGGGTACACTCATTACCTCGAAAAGTATTAATGTATTTTCGAATTTATTTTATAGAACACTTAAGAAACAAGCAGCTCTACAATTTTAAATTATGATATTTTTGTCATTCCTATTTTTGGGGGTAAAACAACTATCTATTTTTGATTTTCAAATGAAAACCTATTCTAAAAATTCGATATGTTGAGGGAGTATTAGTTTAAATGCATTTAAGTGTTGACATTTTTGATTTCTATCAACCCAGTGACAAGATATTTAACTATTAAGTTTGGGTAGTGAACTAGAAGTGGAACATCTAGCGTAGTGATATGGCGTGTTGTAATATAATATTGCTCCATTACTTTCCCTGACCCAAATTTAATAGTAGAATATCTCATTATTTACAAGAGTGTACTTTAATGGATCACCTTATATTTAATTTATAAATAATTATTATTGATTATGAGGAGGGTCAAGGACTTCATGCCCTATAAAACATTTAAAAAATGTATACATTTATGGCCTATAAATTAATTCAATATATAAAAATGTTTATATATGTTTTTAAATATATTTTATTTCTGTATTAAAAATACCTATAAATTTAAATAAATATATTTATAGAAAATACAAATATAAATTTAAATTAAATGAATCTAATGTTTATGATTCATATTTATTAAACATGCAAGTAAATTAATCCCATTCTGAATGAATTGAATGTGTAAAGATTGTGGTCAAGATGACATGGAAAAATACTTAAAAATTTGTTTGACCTTTATTGGCCCCAAAAAAGCTCAAAATTTGAAAATTAAAAATGAATTTAATGTGTGCCAAAAATGGCCAAAACTATATATTTGTGCAGGACATCATACATTAAATTACTCAACAGTTTTGTGGGTTATATTTTATGAGACGTATACAGTTATAAAACAAAACTAAAATAATTACACCATATTATATTTATTTAATTATTTATTAATTTGTTTATCACATTTGTCTGTATTCATCAATTTTATAAATTAAAGTATTCAATTTTACTGCTAGATTAAAGTACCTTGTATTAAAATTATTTAGTTTTTTGTGCCAAATTCAGATACATAAGAATTATTGAAATCGAATAATTTTTCATTGAATTAATGGATAAAAATTAATTTGTGATATTTTTGGTAAAATACGGGGAAAGAGGTTAAAAATTGCATTGTGTAACTAACATTTTTCAAATATTTTCGGACTAACACTAAATAACAGTATTCAGTAAGGACCAATATAATTAGTGTTTGTTTAAATATTCTATAAATATAAATGATTGGATAAAACATATATATATATATATGTGTGAAGAAAATACAAAATAAAAAAATTTCATTAAACCATGTTATGGTATTCATATACCATTTATATTTATCATTGTATGTTATTATGAAACAAATTTCTATATAACTTGAATATGTTTCATTGAAAAACATATGAACTATAAATGATTTACATTATTATCATTTAAATTAAACTTAAAATTGATTTTTTAAAATATTTTATTGTATATTAGAGAAGATGTTTTAAATCATTAACATATGAATTGGACAAATTAAATAAATTGTCTGAAAATGGATTTCAAGATTTAGTCTTTCATATTATTGGAAAAATAGAGGAAAAATATGGCAGAATGAAACCCATAGTTGTTGATGCAAGTCTGTTTGATAAATCTACTGAAAAAATTAAAATTTTAAGAAAAATAAATAATGGAAAACATATAATGTAAGTAAATATATTGTTTTTTACCTTATTTATTTACTGAAAATGGATTAATTTGTTATTGTATTATTATTGAATATTTAAATTTCCATTGGTTTGTTATTATTTATCAGTAATTTTATTTACTTAAAAATAAACCCTTGAATTAACATTTAAATTTTGTATAGTTATGTATAATTTATACATTTAAAAGCTTATACAGTATAAGCCTATTGTAATTAAAATGTTTAGATTATTGTTCTATTATTTAAAATTTAGAGTGTAGTTCATGAATTTATTAATTTTACTATTTTACTATCTTTACTAATCTTGTTCTAATCTTCAATTTCAAAGATAATTCATGGTAGGTATTTCATTTTATTGGTATATTAGGGAAGGTATTTTTTGATTTACTTTATAGATTTATTATTAAGGAGAACCTGAGAAAACAGTAACTGTTATTTTTGATTTAATTTATTGTTGCAATCCAGTTAAAAATTATGATAGGGACATGAAATTTTCACTAAATACTTGTATTAGTACTTTATAGATATGGTCAAATTTCAAAAAGTATTCTATGAGGTTTTTTTTTTTTGTATTCTGAGTATAGCAAAAATGTGTTGTGTCGGTTTTACAAAGATGTTTAATAGTTTTAAATTTTTTTATGCGAATAATTTTTCTACCAGAAAGCTCATTCCAAATATGAAGCATAACATATTGTATAAAAGGAAATGTTCTCTGGGTAGTACATTAGAGAGATCATTCTTTGAAATTCTCATTAATATTCGAGATAATAAAGAAAACATGGTTCTATATGTTAAAAAAGGTTGAAAGATTAAAAATAAAGTTGTTATTAGCAACCGGTTTTTATTTATTTTTGTTATTATTAATGTTTTTTTACTTAAAATTAATATTTTTAAAACAATCATTGTTGTAATAGTTTTACCATAATATGACATATATTGTTGACAAAGCAACTCTATCAACTGAACTCCATTTAGAATTGATTTTTGTTAATAATCGTGTATTGTTGCTTCTAGATACACATTAAATTCCTGTTTGTATCCTACCCTCCTAACTTCCAACCTACAACAGTGGTTATACCCTTGTGTGAAGTATGCCTGTCCTTTTTAATTATTATGTCTATTTAAAATCGTCTAGTTTTTTATTTTTATTTTATGCATTATTATTTGCATATATTGATATAACCAAACATAATTTTAGTATATTATGAAAATAAGTTTTTAAAAAAATTATCTTAATTTAGATTTTAGAAAGAAAAATCATATTAATGATTTAATTATGTATGAACTTATTAATTGATTACATAACCAAATAAACATAAGTGAAAATTGTATACAAATTTAAATTTTTTTATAAATATTCTATCTTTAAAACAGAGAAAGTGCAGAAGATAGATGGATGTTGGATATGGTGAAACTAGAATTTGTAGAAAATCCAACTCTGCTACATGAAAGATGTAAGTAATTTTTTTTATTTAGTATTCTTTTAATATCCTAACATCAAAAAAAAATAAATGTGTTTAACTACCTACCAATTTATTGGTATTTTTTAAATTTGCTATAATATAATTATTAATTATTTATTTTAAGTTCCTTTAAAAAAAATAACTGACAAAAAAAAGCGTGAACATAAAGAATTACAAATTGGTGTTAATGTTGAATCGTAAGTAAAATACTAATAAATAACACTTAACATTTTCAGATAATTTTTATGTTATTTATTAATTAAATTTATGTATATACTAGTTCATTTAATGAAAATCCCAGAATTTTATTTAATAAATCTCAATTACATGCAAAGAATGATAAAGATGAAAGTGTTTCTGATGTAGAATTTGTTGATATTAAACCCAATACAAAATCTAGACGAAAATTGCATGTATCAAGTAATATACTCTATTTATACATGTTTATAAAGTAAACTATTTTATTAGTGATAATATTATTTGTATTTTTTTTTTTAGGAAGACATTCAAGAAATAGAGACCATAGATCACATAGAAAACATCATCGGTCTAGAAGCCCCCGATATCGTCATAAATCACATACCTATTCAAGATCTCCATCTTTTAACTACAATCGTAATCGTAGTAAATATTCTAGTCATCGGTAATTTAGTATTAAATGAAATAAATATAAATATTATTAAACGATTATTTTTTATAATAGAGGCAGGTATGGAAGGAAAGAAAAAGATGATCTATATGGAAGACAAATTAATCCATCATCTTATGTCCATCCTTTACACTCTATATCAGGATATGTTCCCACACCTCTGGATGCACCTAGTAGATCTAGATTTTACTCTCCAAAATTGTGTTCCACTGAATATCAAATACCAAAAGAAAAGTATCTAATTTTTATTGATCTAAAATGTACTCATAAGTTATTTTTACATTATTATTATTATTTTGTTTTTTTTTTTGCAGTATTATAAATAAGAAAATACTAGAATATAATAAAGCTGTAGAAAAAATGAAAATTAAAATGGAGAAGATGTTAAATTATCACAAAATGAATCCTGAAAATCATCCAATGTATTTAGATGAATGGAAAAAGTTTCAGAAGCGAAAATTTAAAGAATTAAAACAAGAAGAAAAAGATCCAAGTACCCATGATTTTAAACCAGAATGGTTTATTTTCTGGAATAAAAAAATACAGGAAATTCACAATGAGAAAATTAATGATAACATCAAAAAATTGAAAAATAAAATAGTATGTGATGTTGATATAGATATTATGGAAATTGATGAAAGTACCTCAGAATCATCTTTTAAAGATTCTTCTTCTTTAAGTAAAATAGGGCATACAGCTGATTTAAAAAATCCATGGAATAATGGTCTAGCATCAGAAGTTATAGAAAAAGGTTCCAAAGCAGTTCACAAAATGTGTGACAAAACTACTAAAGTTGTTGAAGCTATTAATTCTGACTCTGATGATTTAAGTCATGAACTTACTGATCAAAACAAATCTATAGAAAAATTAAAAATTGAAAATCCATTAAGTGTTATTACCGTATTGCAGCAGTTAAGTGTATTAGAAAATCAATTAGGTTTGTTGGGATCTAAAGTAGTTGATTTGTTATTTAAAGGTCTTGTAATGGAAAAAATTAAACCCAAATCATCAATTAAATTACTTAGCCCTGATAATTGTGTGATATTTGAAACAGTGAAAGAAAAACTTAAAGAATTATTGCTAGCTGGTGTTGTAAAAAAAAATTTTGTAAATGCTACTATATTTTCTATTCGCAATATTGAAAAACTAATGCAAATTTCACCTAAGTTTGTTCCTACTACAAGCATGTTGAATTCTTCATCAACATCTACAGATACACCTCTTTCGATTACAATACCTGGTATTGGTATTGTTGATCAAACGGTTATTGTTCAAAAAATAACTCAAGCATATTTAACTCAAGGAAAAGTTATTGTAACACAAGAAGAATTGAAGAATCTTATAAATCCTGTTGTGGATTTGGCTCAGCCTGGAGATAATTCACAAGCAACTAAAAATGTATTAACAAGCATAAATAACAAAGAAGTATTAAAAACTGCTTATGATGAAGTAATTAAGAAGGAAGAAGTTGAAGAGAATAATGTAGATCCATTGACACAGGGTGACATAATTAACTTATTGAAAAACTTCAAGTATTTGACTACTCTTGAACAAAATGGACTAATAACATATTTAAAAGATATAGGGGAAAAAAATCCAGAAGAGGTGAAAAAATTCAGGAAGTATATTTGTATGGAGCCATGTAACTTAAAAGAAGTTACATCTATGTTAGGGTTAGATGAAGATGATGATGATAATTATGAACTTTCAGAAGTTTGTAAGGCTGTAAAGGAAAAAATAGATGAACAGATAAATGAAGATTTTAATGAATTTTGATATTACAAAAGATCAAAAGAAAATATTAAATAGTATATAAAATCTATTTAAAATAAAATTGGATTACAATTTACAACCTAAAAATCCTCAAATTCAAACAACTGATAAATCTACCAATCTTTACAGTCCTTCAACTGAACATTACTATTTTTTAACTCTTCTTTTACTGTTCTTTAGCTCAAAATGTTGTTCCCAAAATTGATCCTACATTAACTACACAAAATCAACCTAATAGTAAGTATAGTAAGTATATTATACATTCCAAGATATATAATAGATACACATAAAGAGCAGCTTAATAAATATAATATAGCTCAAAAACAATCGTCCTATATTTTTTTAAGTTGCTAATTCAATATATTACCCATTAGCCTAATCTCTTTTATTTAGCAATTTCTATGGGTACATTTCCTACTAATTCCAAAAACTGTGTTATTATTCCTTTATATAAAGCAGTATATTTTAATATATAAGTAATTTTAGACATATTGTACTTATACTAACCATGCCTAAAATATGTGATTATATTATAAATATTTGATTTGATTATAAAATTTTTTTTTTTAAAAAACTAATTTGGTTTTTAAGAGGTAAATCAATTAATGACCCTTTATTTCTGTTAAACCCAATTTAGTCATGATAAATTAGGTAGTCATTTCTAGATTCTAGGATTATTCTTAGATATTAAAAAGGTATTTGATTGTGTGAATTATTTTGTTCAAAAAACTTCAATATTGTGGCTTAAGAGGCAAAATAGATGACTTATTAAAACTATATCTATCCAATAGAACTAAAATGATTAAAATTAACAATTCAGTTAATATACCACTTGAAATTATACATGGTGGTTTACAAGGCACTGGCTTTATTCTGTTGATAATATATAATGTATAAAAGGGTCTTTTAAAAATACTGACGTTATTACAGAAATAATCTGTTTTGTTGATCATACAGCTATCTTAGTTTATAGTAATACAATAGAAACATTATGTATAAATTCTAATAATATTATAATTGGTATTAAAAATTTGGTTTGATAACAGTTTACTAGAATTAAATTTAAATAGATTTAAATATATTAACTTAAATATTAATTCTGAAATAATTAGTTCAAACTTAAATGTAGGCACTTATTTGTTGGAACTGTCTATCTAATCATTATAATTTTATTATTCTTAAGAAAACAAATTATGTTAAGTATTTAGGTCTCATTGTTCACAATAAAAACTAAATGTAATTTTCATATAAATAACCTTAAAAATACTGTAACAATATTTGTTTTGATCTTCGTTATATATTTGATATTAATATGAACGTACAATTTATTTATCTTTAGTACAATCTATTATATGTTATAGTATTGTTTTTTGGGGACAAGTTCATTTGTCTCATTTGTGTTCTTTAAATATTACTTTGAATAATGTAGTTAAATTTATATTTAATGTACTTAATATATTTAATCTAGGATTACTAATAATGATTTTGAAAACAATGTCTTTAATTTATTTACTGTTAAATGTTTATGTTATACAAATTTACTGTTATCCTTTTATAAATTATGATTTAACACTGTTGATATTAACCATATATTTTATAATACAGTTACAAATTTAATATTAATTTAAATGTAGTAAATGTATAATATAATGGTATTATACAAATTTTGAATTGAAAAGTAGTTTTTCAATTGTAGTTAAACTATGTAGACTAGTTAAAATTAACATTCATTATTATATTAATGATATAGTTTAAAATTGTTTTTAAATAATTTTGATTCAAATAAAATTAATTTTAAAATTTATATGTATTTAGTATACAATTTTATTAATTAAAACTGAATTCAATTTAAAACCACCCAACACAAGCTATGCATATTGGGAATTTGCAAATCCTTGTACTATATTGTTACGGGCTGGACACAGTCTTTTGACGTGAAGATAAACAGGTGTGTTGAAGTCTATAAATGGGATTTATTAATATTTAAACAAAACACAGTTGACAAATTATAATCATGAGTAAATACATTTACACCGGACCCGGGTCAAGACTTAGTTGTATTTATTAGTTATAAGTACAGTATATAAATGACTGAACGGGTTGGAGTGGAGGTGACATTGCTCCTCCTTCTCGTGCGTCGGTAGTGATGCTGTTATACTCTGCGTTGTCTTGAGCTGACTGAACTCTCTTGGTGGTGATCACGGTCTCCTTACATTTGATGAAGTTACGTATTTTGCTGTATGGGGTATACTTGGTTTGCCGACACGTGAACATGCCACGTACAATTGTTCATAAGAAAAACATGCATTTTCTAAATTCAGACCACAAACACTCAAGGATTGTTCTTGTTATTTGTTAATCATCATGGTGAATGCAAGACGAACCGGAAATTGAATTCGTTTAAACTCAGAGGTCATATCGGTTGGGATCATCGGAATTCTCGCAATGAGAACTTCCTCACCTTTGACATTTCCTTTGAGTATCGTCGCGTGAATCACATTGATCATCAGTTTTCTTATCACCAAATACATTCCATTGCATAGTTTTAGGTGGTTTAGATTTCAAAACATGATGACTACCGAGCCCACATTTAGTTGCAAATTGTGTGATGATAAGCCAGGCACATCCAATGAGTTTAAAAATTCAGTTGGAAAGTTGGTGGTCTTTATTTGTTACACAGTCAATAGATTTAAATGAATGCATAATACCAACGATTTGATTCTGAATTACTTAGATTAAGTCATTCACATTTTTATTCTTAGTCGCTAAAAATTGTTCGCTCACTCAACCATTCGTTATTTTTGTGGTTAGAATTTATCAATGATGTTCGGGAATATTTTGTTGATGAGCTCGTCTTTTGATGAGACATAATTGCAAAAATTCGGAGGAAATGAAATCAATCCTCTCGATTCGTCGACAGGAACACGGCTATTACCGATAGTCAGCAATTGCTTCGAGAAATCTTGAGCAGATGGATTGTTCAGCTATGCAACTTTCATGTTTGTTGACAGCTGAAGTTATATCACATAGCGCCACAGATTTTATGATTTGAGGCAAGTGTTTATTTTATTGGCAGCAGTCGATCTTGGAATGACTGCCATTTTTTGTATTTTAGATTCTGAGTGAATCAAGGAATGAATTAGTTTTACAATGATGTTTATTATTATTATTTTTTATCTTTGAACAAGTTTTTTCGATCTGGACCAGCAGGATATTACTGAATCTGAGGAAATGATTCTAAGAACCTAACAGCACCATCTATGACACCAAGGCTTTACCAGGCTACTGGTCTTTCAGACACTAATTGTGCCACATGCAGCTAGCTTTAGACGCTGGGTGTCTGCATGGTCAGTATAAAGAAGATATGGCTGAACATACAATCTTCGATAGCCCGTACTGGGTCTCATCCCTATTTGGCAGTTAGTGCGTTTGGTCTTGGCTGGACATCACTCTCATCGATTTCTAGGACCTCCTTTTGTGGCCTATTGGACATTCCGTCTCAAGATTTGGATCGCTTCAGGCACAATTAGCTTTCGTCCGATTTCTCCTGCGGCACTTAGTTATTCGCCACTATGGTGAAGGCATTCTCAACTGCAAGGAGCAAGACGAAAAGGCAATGGAGACCGAGGCCAGGGCCAATCAGCTTCTTACCGCCTTTCACTCATAACCAGCCAGACGGAAGGACTCTTAGACTTGGGCTGGGAATTGATTTTATGCGAACTCAGGCTGTGACTATGAACTGATCGTGAATAGGAAGGTAATCTGGGCTTTGAGACCACCAGATCGGAGGTTGACACACACCGGGCTAAGAAAATTTGGCTCCTGGGCGACTTAGTTAAATCAGGCTAAGTCAACAATGCAACAACGTAGAGTTAGGCTAGTTTAAAATTGGTGTCTGTATTTTTAACTACCGGGAGCGCGTGAAAAAAACAAAAATATTTCAACTGAACTGTAATTTATCTGACATATAATTTAATCGTTAAATATTATAGCTGAAACATATTCTATCCGAACCGTATTTTAGCAGACAGCAATTTAACAAATTAATACTTATATCAATAACAAAACCTACAATCAAAACTGCTTCATGAAGACTTGAGTCTTGATAAAGTGGTACGACATTGTCAAGCAGCTGAACAGGCTGAAGTAAATAGAAAATTATTTATTTAAGAAAATAAAAGTAAAGTTGATTTCTTTGAAGTTAAGAAAGCAAATAAGTTCCACTCCACAAGAATATCAAGAGGAAAGAAACTACATCGATAGAAGATAATGGAACAAGACAGCAGACACCATTTAAAGTAGATGCCGAAAGGAGATGGTAACATAAAAACTCATAGATTTAGTTGTAATAAGTGTGGTAGAATACATGGCGTTAATGAATGTCCAGAATTTAATAGAAATTGTAATATATGTGGACATAAAAATCACTTTGCGCTAATATACAGAGATAAAACTAAAAATGGAAAGAAGGTAAATGAACAAGCTAAAACAGTAGAAAATAAAATGAAGTGTGTCTATTTTTATGTACAAATTTGAAATAGATAAAAATAACACATGGACAGATCAAGTGAAAATAAACAAACTTGGCGTAGAAATAAAGTTAGACCCAGGAGCACAGTTAAATGTCATGTCAGTAGAAGTTTATAAAAAATTAGGTCAGTAAAATTAGGAAAAAGTGAAGTAGTCATTAAAACATTTGGACGGTTTACGGTGAAGTCACTAAGTAAAATTTGTGTAGATGTTGAAAATGGTAAATGTAAAGAAAATGTTGTTTGTAAAGTTGTTGATTATAAATGAATGCCTATACTTGGGTTTAAAGATTGTAAGACATTAAAATATAAATTTGATGAAATAGGTCAAGTACAAATAGAAAATGAGAAAGAAAAATTTGTTAAAGAAAATGTTGATACGAGTATATTCAGTGATATAGAAAAATTCCCAAACAAGGATTAAAAAGATGTCTTAGAATAATGGGCCCAGTTGCAGCCACTGATAAAGGTAATTTAATGTATAGCTGTAAGCAATTGCGAAAATATGATTTTGAGTGGAGTTTAGTTGATAGTGATGCTTGGTCAACAATATATATAAAATAATTAAAATACAAGCATTATATATTTTCTTTAATAACATTTGTTTAATATAGTACCCCTTGTACTACGTTTTTTCCGGTTTTTCACATTTACAAGAAAAAATCTCAGGAAAATCAAAAAGTTACCTCCATAAAGTATCTTCCCATTCAAATTTCCTTTTAGAAAAATTGCTATAATTATAAATTAGAGCAAAATTGTAAAAAGATTTGGTAGCAGGACAGAATGAGAGATGATTGATCAGAGTAAAAGAGTGAAAAAGAAATTTATCGATTAGCCAAGGTTAGATAAAAACGATGTAGGTATTTCCATAACGTATACTATACAAAAAATGAAAATAAAAAAGTTACTAACGAATGAATGGTATTCAAGAGATATTATAGAGAGGGTTTCGAGAAACGAAAGCCTGATAGGTTTAGTTAGAGAGGAAGAAGTGTTGTGGGCTTTGAAAGCAATAAAAAAATTAAAAAGCAGTAGGTCCAGATAATGTACTAGTGGAAGTGTGGAAAATGTAATAGCAAGATTGGTAATTTGGTGAATTATCTTAGATGAAAAACTGTGTTATCTAACTTAATCCATCTAGAGAAATAAATACATTTTTTTTTTTCGAAAAATTAAAATAAAACAGAATTTAATACTTTGCACGTTGGTGGATCACTGTTGTAGATGAGAAGTTGGGAAGGTAGTAGAGTGGACATTTATGTAGATATATTTGTACGAAACGAAAATAACCATTACTAACGAAAAAATAATTCTGAGGGGAGTTCAGTTGATAGTGTTGCATTTAAAATAATACGAGTATATTATGTCATATTATGGTAAAATAATTACATGTGCATTAATTTTTTTCTTTAATAATATGTGTTATATTTTCCTGCTTTCCTACGTTTTTTCCCGGTTTTCCCATGTCTTTTTCTGGTTTTTTCCATTTATTGACAAAACTCCCGGGAATATCAAAAAATTGCCTTCAGTCAGAGTTCCTTTCAGAAAAAGTGATAGCATTGTAAATATAAACAAAATTACTGGCACAAAAGTTATTCATAGGAAAAACAAAAAATACAATAATAAACAACATTGTAAAACCAATAAATTCCTCTTATAATAATTATAATTTCCGTCAAAATTGGATATTAAAAAACTCGCAAAATTAAAATGTTTAAAAATAGCTCAAAAATGGCTTAAATGTTTTGAAAATTTGACCACGTCTATAAAATTAAAATAAAAGGTTTCCAACAGAATAATATATATAGATGGTTTATAATGCAATTCATATTTTTATTATACATGTAAAAAAATTCAGTAAAAAAAAAGTACTACATAAAATCCAATTTTGACGAAAATTTGAATTATTACTACCTTTTAAACATGTATAACCGAACTCTGTACAGAATTGGTTTTCGTTAGTAAAGATTAGTTGCGTAATCGATTTTTAAAATAAAAATATAAATTGCATGGTATTATAAATTATTGTCGGTCAATTGTCGTTTCGGTATTTTAGTTGTCGGTCGATTGCCCATCTCCCAAATACACACTACATACATGCACAACAATGATATTTTAAACGATCGGTGTGTACACAATTTTAATTATAATGAACATAAATACACTGATTTCCCAAAATAGTATTGGTATAAGTATGTTACGTGTGGTATATATTATTACCTATTTTTCTAAATAATGTAAATTAGCATGTAATGGATGAATTTATGGGAAAATAGAAGGCGTGATACTATGGTGCATGTTGTTTGCAGATGATATGGTTTTGACAGGATAAATTCTTGAAGAAGTTAGCATTAGGCTTGAGGAATAGAAAATATAACTTGAAGAAAAGGAAGTAAGGTTAAGTAGAAGTAAAATAGAAGTAAAGTTTAGAACATTAGAACTTTATAAGTAAAGTTGGCATTGCTAATGCCAATAAGAGGTGAAGTAATAAGCGTGGTTGAGGGTTTTGAGTAACTAGAATCTTTTGTACAAAAGAACGTATGTTTTAATAAGGATGTGAAACGTGGATTAGGTGTTGTTGGACAAATTGAGGAAAAGCGTCAGGTGTTTTATGTAACAAGATGATGCCAAAATGACTCAAATCTAAGTTCCACAAGAGTTTGATGTGACCGACTATATTTTGTATTATTCAGACTATTGGGTGATAGACAGAAAAATATAACAGAGATTGAGTGCAATGGGTGACGAGAGAAAATATGATAAGGAATGAGTATATAAGAGGTATCTTAAGTGTGGTTTCATTAGTGGACAAAATGAGAGAAAATATAATGAGATGGTTAGATCATGTTTTGAATCCAGAAAAATTAGAAGCAGTGAGAATTGAAATGAAAATGGATATAGGAGAAAAGAGGTGGAGAAGAAGCCTGAAAAAGAGGTGATTGATGTGATTAAGAATGGAATGAGGACAGCAGGTGTAGGCAAGAACAATGTTTGTGGATTGAGTTAAATAGAAATTTAGGACGATAGTGGTCGACCCCAAATAAATGGATTGAAAGTATAGGAGAAGAAGAAGTTTAAACTATCTGTAATATCTTCACCTGTGTGTATTACATTGAAATTTCATAAATATATTAGTTTTGAATTGAAACTTCAAGTTCAAATTTTTTTTTACTAGTAATACACAGTCTATATCTAAAAAGGCACAATAAGTATATGTGATGCAGGTTAGACATAGTATGAAAAATACAAATACAAATTATTCTATTTAAAATATATTGTAATCTTTGATATGAGCAGCCATCCATTAATGACACTTAAAGCTTGAATTTAAAATTTAAGAATTTTAAATATATATATATTTTTATCTATGTTCGAGGATCGTTACTAGGTGTGATTCTCAGTGGGGAAGGAGATAAAGAGGTCATGGCCACATTTACGTTTAAGATGTCTGGGCGAGTTACTAGGAATAGAGAGGACTGTGAGAAAAAAAAAGATAGTTTTAGATTCGAGGATAATCAGTTTGTGAAAACGTTTGTAGTGAAATTTAACTTCCTCGTGGACTATTTTGATTTTAAGGTCAGAGTGAATGGTGTAATTTAAAACATAAGGAGGAGCGTTTACAAGTTCAATTTAAACTAATAATTAATATTCATTTAACAAAATATATAAATTGACGAATGTAGTATATAAATATAACCTTGACAACATACGAGAAAAACTTAATTAATTGGATACCTATTTATTGCACTGAGAAATAAATTATTTAGGTTAACTTTTTAAAAATGGTAGTAAGTATACACTAATATACACATTTGTTTTTATAATAATGTTAAAAATATTTAAAACCGTTTTTCAATGTAACATGTATTAATTTTAGGGTACAACAATAAAAGAAGCGATAGCTAGATGGGAGGAAAAAAATCAAAAACCGATAATAGAAGCTACTAATGTCGGTTTCCAATTTCAATGGCCACCGATTGAAAAAATAGACACTAATTTATCGATTTTAGTAAATTGCGAGTAAGTTAAAAATACAAGCATTTATATACTTATCCTATTTTATTATAATATTAGAAATATTCAATTGCATAAGTATAATAATACAACACAGATTCTTGAATCATATTTAACTAAATAACTATTACAATAATATTATACTGTTGACGTACAACTTTGCAGGTAAAATTTAATTTATATCATATGTATTCTTTTATTATTTAAATATATACTTATTGCAGAAAACTATCACTGAGCACAAATATGATTGAGAAAATAACTAACATTGGAACTTTAAGAAACTTGAAAATATTAGCATTGGGCCGAAATAATATAAAATCGTTTGATGGATTAGAACCGTTGGCCGATACTTTAGAGGAATTGTGGATATCGTATAATATTATAGAAAAAACAAAAGGCATATTGAAAATGCACAATCTGAAAGTGTTACATATGTCAAACAACATGGTCAAAGATTGGGTTGAAGTGGTGAAACTTGGGGAAATGCAAAGTCTTGAAGATTTCTTATTCGTTGGTAAAATAGACATTTATTTAAGGAGGGGAAAGTAACGCGTACTTTTTATAGTCTACCATATGATTGCCCATGATTTATATAGTATACTGTTTTTAATTTGGTTTAAATTTTAGTTTATAATGCAAGTTTAGAATTATTATTACTAGAGATCGGATTTATATTCTCTTAAAATCCTTTAAATATGATGATTTTATGCTATTTAAAATAGGCAATATACTATCTTAATATTCTTTTAAAATACCAGATGTTTTATGTCCTTAAAAGGGCAAAATATTTTTTTAATATTCTGAAAAAAAAAAATTAAAAATAAATTTGAGTTTTCATTTTAAATTAAATTGTAGTATTAATTTGGTTTACAACATTTTAAATTTATTTTACAATCGTAACAGCTCGTTTATTAGAAACCCAGAAGGATATAAGCATAACTCGTTTGTAAAATAAACCGTATTTGTTGATAAATATAATATTATCAAAATGTCGATGTATGCTATACAAATAATAGGATCAAAAATAAAAATATTTATAAAATATTCTCAAAATCTCAAATATGCTTTTTTATGCAAAATACAAGTTTTCCTCTGAATTCTGTGTCATGGAATCGTGAATACATCTTAATCTCATTTAACTGCATACATTAGAAACAATTATGTAAAATTATAAAAATCCGACCTCTAATTATTACTCATGAAATATGCATCTCATATACCTCGGGTACTTAAAACATGTTACATATTATTTAGTTGTTATGAACCATACAATTGGTTTGCTTATGGTCTTATAGAGCTTTTTATTTTAAAATCTAACAAAAAGAATAATATTTGGTCACCAAAAATAAGTCTATTCGAACAAAATCCGAGCTCACAGCAATTAGTGTGTTTTGGCGATGCGATTTTCTGTAAAAAGTTTGCTGCATTATTTCATGTTTGTTTCATTGTTTGTTCATTGGATACAATATCGTTAAAACGGTTTGTTTACCGTACAGTATTTTATCAATAAATAACTATGAACTGATGATAGTAAACGTGTTTTCTAATTGATTCCGAGAACCTGGTTGTCGAAAAGTGCATTTAGTTGTCAAACAATTATTGCAGTAAACAATATCGTCAAAACGGTAAACTAATTACTGGGTTGCTTAAAATTGCACCGCCAAAACACATTTAATACGATTACTTATATAATTGGAAATTGGAAATGTGAATTAAAGATAGTGAATATTGTAAGAAATAAGGTTCTAAACTATGATTTAAAATATTATGGTTACACAACGAGCTTTTAAAAAATACTTATCATGCGGCATACAATATTAATCTAAAAGTTACGTGATATTTTATACTATTAGTACGATTAGTGGGTAAAATGAGAAATTATAAGATGTTAATGCGATTATTGCAAATTTATTAACACGATTTTATGGATGGTATTTAAATTCTAAAGACTAGTAAATTTGATTAAATTACTATCTTAAACTGTGAAACAAGTTTAAGATAGGCTAAATGCGCGATGTAATTTTTATCGATCAGAAAAATGGCGTGCTGTAGTGTATTATATCTGTCAAATTATTATAATTACAAACAGATTATTTTGCATACCTAAGGATGAAATTATAGGGCTTGCGTAGGCTCAAAGGTGTTATTTTTAAATATTAAGGAACCAAAAACGCAAAAAATTTTTAAAAAAAAGGACGGGCATACTTCGTACGTGGGTGTATAAATGTAGTACGTAAATTAGTGTGGTCCTTAACTTATAGGTGTTGAAAATAAATGTCAAATATTTTAATTCACCGGCCCGGAGTTCTGTAAGATACATTGTAAAAACCATTTTTGTACATTTTGGGTATGATAAGTCAACCCCTTCAAGTGTCAAAAAGGGGTTGAATTTAGTAAAAAAGTGGTAGTTTGTGCGTATATTTTAGATACTGAGTGAAGCGAAGAAGTTTATAGTTTTACAAAGATGTTTATTTTTTTTTTTTATCTGTGTGCAACTTTTCTACCCGAAGACTTGCTCGGATCTCTAGGTGTAACAATTTTTCCGAAAGGAAATCGGCATGGGAAGTACTCTAAGGAGGTCATTTTTCGATTTTCTCAAGAGTTCTGATCAAATGCGAGAATCCAAAAATAAAAATGGGAAAATTTACGAAATATAATCTACGATATTTTGTTTTGTGGACAACTTTTCGACCAACAATTTTGCTCCAACTTTTAATGATAGCAATGTTTCTGAAAGGAAATTTCACTGGGGAGGTACTTTAGAGAGGTCGTTTTTCGATTTTTTTAATTTAATGATATTAACTATATATATAAACTTATTAATAATCATATTGACTATCCCGAGCTATTAGCTAAAATCAAATTTAATGCACCTACATTGATTCAACTCTCGTAATAATTTATTATTTCATATCGACAACTACCGCTAGAATTACAGTTACTATAGCCCATTAAACCGTATGTTTATGTTTTGTAATAACCTCATAAATTTTGATATTTTTAATGATCTTTTGCGTTTATTATATTCTTTGCCGACTAAATAATTTATATATATTCTGTAACTATTGCTCTTCTTGAGTGTAAATAAATATATAAATAAATAAAATACAATTTATGTCCGATGAATAGTTTCTACGTTTTGAATTCTACTAATCCGTGTGAAAACCGAAGGTATCGCATAATGTGGTTTTTATTATTCCGTGGATAACACCGGTTTTCACATAGAACATTGAAAATGCAACACTATTAACTGAACTTCACTCAGAATCGTTTTTCGTTAGCAATGGTTAATCGTTGCATACGGATCTAAATTCAATTTTCCCTCTACCTACAAGTTTCTCACCTACAACAGTAGTTACACCCGCGTGTGAAAATACGCGGCTTTTTTAATATAATTCAGTTAATAATATTCGTAGATTTGAAATTTAGACAAAAACTTATGTTTGCTTTTTTTTAAACATGGTACAATTTTTAAAACATTTAGGTCACTTTTGAGCTATTTATATACATTTTAATTTTGCGGGTTTTTTACGTGATTTGTATTTGGTAAGGTACTCTGTGGATAAAATTGTTAGACTAAACAGAAATACTTGAAAATGTGACAGGTTTATTATAAGTTGTACTTAGTGGTGAAAAAAACAATTAATAATTCCTAAATACGGTCCTGATAATATTCAATAGAAACCACCTCAGTATAATTTTTTTTTTTTTCAGGAAACCCTTTATACGATTCTATGGACGATGCGGTTTGGCGTACCGAATGTAGTAAAAAGCTTCCTAAGCTAAAGATACTAGATACGATTCCTATAATTAGGGATTAAACATTTTGAACAGTAACAATTATCCACTTACTTGGTTAGATTAATGATTGTTTAACAATGTAATAAAAATTATCTATTGAACAAAATTTACAAAATATTATTTGTATTATTAGTTAAGTTAGTAAAATATTATATAAAATTTTCTTTATGCACATGCGACTGGATAGTTCGAATTGTAAGTAAAACATTATAGCCATTTAACATAATATAATATTATGTTATGCACGCACTTAATCAAGCTACAAAAAACTTTGTTGTGTTAATAGGTGTCATTGGAATTTGTTGCTGATTATTATAAGTAGAGATGGGCAAGATACTTTAAAATGCGTATTTCGATACTCGATACTTTGTTTTTCAGTACCTAACCTATGTAACGGATATTGCTATAGTACTCGATACTTAGATAAAACGTTTGCTATTTAAACACTATGTTAGTGTCTATAATAAATATTTGATTCTGGAATTAAAATAAAAATATTAGGTAATTACATTTTTCGCGCATGCAGTATCTTAAAAACCGTGGTAAATTGTTTGAAATATCTTTCGAAATTTCAGTGGCTATTTTTGTGTGCATTTAGTATTACAGATGACCCATGGCGTTCCACAGATGTAAGGAAACATTTTTTTTTTTTTTTTTAAATATTTACTATGCAATTAATCCTTGATAAGATACTCATTATCTCGAAAAGTATTTACTTTTTTTTTTTTTAACAACTTATAAAACAACTAGCTCTAAAATGTTACATTGCCGTTATTTTTCGATATTTTTATTGTTGATGGTGCAACTACTATTTTCGATTTTTTCTACGTTTCTAACGTTTTAGTTAAAATATATTGGAATTTTTAATTTACGCCCTGATTAGTGTATACACCGAACTCAAATACATGTATGTGCACCACGGAAAGTCGGAAAAAATAACCACTGCGAAATGTATTTTCCGAAAAGTAAGCGGAGAAAATAATTCGCTTTGCCGTCTTTGGGCGCCTATGAGCAAGATCCTTCAAAATTAGTATCCAGATATTTGTTACTAGATACATTTATTTCAGTATCGCAATACAAAATACTTGATACACACTCAAATAATAAATATGTATGCAATAGACACCTACAGTGTAGCCGTGTAGGTATGTACTGGGTTGTTTACGCTTTCCGGACTTTCTGCAAATTCTGCAATTATCAACCGTCATATTATACTGTAATACACTGAATATTTGTATTGTGCACTCATATTATACACGCAATCCAAACATATTATTCTATACAAACCCAATTTAGTGGCGGTTAAATTATATTGTCACGGGGGGAGGGGGGGAGGGGAGGTTTGAGGATAATTTTGAATAACTATTATTATTTACATAATATTTTTTTTTATAACTAGGAAGATATAATTTAATATAAAAGGTGATTTTTTAGGCATGCTCACCACATTTGTATGGTTAATCTTACGCATAAATTCGAATTCCGGTTTTTGGAATATTTAAGTGCATTAAACGCCGATATTTTTGTTTACTTAGATTTTTCACAATATTTTAGGAATATCCTACGGTGATAATTATACTTGGGTTTTTTAAAATTAGAAATTATATGTTTTGATTCAAATTATCAATTTGATAATTTTTTTTTTTTTTTTGAAAATGTTGACGTACTGTAATTGAAATTTAAACGACATTCTGAGTTAGGTATTCTGCTTTAAATACTAAGGATACTAGTCATTTTTAGGGATTGGATACCAACTGTTTTATGTGTATAGATAATTTTTTATTTGTGAAGTTATTATCATTTAGTACCTATTTAAAGTAGAATATCTCAGACATTTTCCGTTCATATTTCGATTAAAATACTTCAAAATGTTCAGACAAATCATCCGATTGACAATTTCTATTAAAACATATAGGCTCTCATTAGAAAAACCAAAGTTAGTGTTGTCACAGGATATACTATAAGTGTTGTAAAAAATCTAAGTATTAGGATTATATACTAATATAATTATAATCTAAGTATAATTATCGTAAATATTTAATTAATAAATTAGAAATACAATATTGTTTTACCCGCTTACGGTGTTTTTCTCAATCTTTTTTCTTTATTTTTGAGTTACAATAAAATAAAAACTCATGCTAAACCTTTTTTTTTATTCATATCTGATTTTGGAACAAACTGAAAAGTATCCTCTCTAATTCTGTTAGTATCTTTGTCAAAATATCTAACACATATGGAAAATTGTTCAATCCCAGCTACACCCGTTGTTTCATCTACCAATATTGTTAAAACATTTTATCTGATTTATTTGAATAACATTTTTCTTTACAACTGATCTGTTTAATGTATTTATGATTAAGTGGTCGATTTTGGTGGTTAATCGTGATTCATCAAGTTATGTACAGTGTACACGCTTTTTATGACATGAAAATATCTCACTATAAAGATTTCTTAAATCGTTCACGAAACGAAAAAAAACCGGTGTAATGAGAAGTCAAGTCCCGGCTTTACATTATTGTTATGGTAATAGGTATACGAGTATATTTCTTGATGATAAATATGTGTACACCACGGTTTATGATGAATCGTTATCTTTTTAACACATACGTATAACACGGTCAAGGAGGTTACTATACCTGTAGCAGCCCCCCCCCCCTTGACTACGTGCCCGGATAAACTATAATTCGAAAAGCACCGTGGCGTTGTCATTAAAACTGAATGCTTAGAAAACCCAATACTTGTTATTTAGGTAACTAATGTGATAAATATGTCATATCAGCGGCGTACATAGAATTTGTTTATGATGGGAGGGGTGGGGGGTTAACATAAATATAATAAAAAAATATTGTTTATTTTATGAAAATTTGGGGTATATTTTATCTTACGAGAGGGGTTAAAACCCTTTACACTCCTCGGTATTATCATAAGTAGTAAATTGGTTCAAATCGTCCAATATATTGTTATCAATATTATAGCTCTTACCTAAATTATCTTGCATAAATAAAAGGCCATTATCCAAAACCATATATTATATAGTATTTATAGTAATAAATATAAAAATGTCGATATCACATTGACCAAACTATACGTGATTAAGATAAGAAAAATGTATTAATCTTTCTATTGGACATCCATATTTTGTAACTGACACAATTAAACGACTTTTATAAATGTATCACTTTCTTCGGAAAAACTCTCTTCCACGTGGTCCATACTCCACATGGCAAAATTCTATTTTAAAAACGTTTTCAAAATATCTTTTTGAAAACTTAAAATAATTCAATATGATTACCTAATCGTTTGTGTACGTTTAAAAAATATTTCAAGTTTTAAATTCCCGGTGGAGCGACGAAGCTTATGGTTTCACAGAGATGTTTTTCGATTTTTCCCAAGGAGTTTTCTCAATAAATGGGAAAACTGTAGGAAAAACGGGAAAATAGGTACAATGTTAAATAAATATTATTAAAAAAAAAAATGTATAATGCCTATGTAATTATTTTATCATAATAGTACATATAAATATATAATGTTGACAAAGCAGCATTATTTTTATTTATTAAATTCGTGGGTCCGGGGGACGTGCCGCCCACCGATAATGCTAATCGTGAAGTATTCATATTAAAACGCGTATGATGATCCACTATCTATTGAACCGAAAAACGATTCTCATTAAAAAAAAAGGCACAAGTACGAAATACCCCTGAATATCTCTGAAAAAAAAAAAAAAAATTGAATATAAACAAATTTCGTGTTAATAACTCACGTTGTACTGTTAGATATTGCCTACACGTTTCTACAGTAATTCTATGAAACATCATAAAAATCCATGTGCTCTTTTCTGTCTCGAACAGTTTTCATGTTTGAACTTTCTCTGCGTATAGCGGTTTCGTATTATCGGTACGCGCTGTCTACGACCCACTGCAGTTAATCGAATATTAGTCGACTTTTCGGTACATTACTGTAACATACATGTATACGCACGTGAACTTATTCAACTGTATAACACACGTCTATCGAGTTATTTATGCGTGCGTCTACACAATACGATGTATTCGTTACAGTGACCGAAATGTGTACATTCCCTTGTTTTTTGCCGTTATCGGCCCGAGTCCGACCACACGAGCGAGCCACCTTACACAAACGTACAGTAAAGTTATACTTTAAACAAAAATAATATTTTTGCGAGTTGCCTAAACTAGTTAAGTGTATCCAATATCCGCGGCACGAACTAGTGTTGACAAAGCAACATTGTTTTTTTTACAATATACGCTCACAGTTTTTTTTTTTTTTAATTATCATACTTACCTAGATTAGGAATGGGATTATGAAACACAAACGGCATAACGTTTGCAAATTGAACTTATTCGATAACATTGTGCGCGGTACTCACGGTACGTACGGTACTCATTGTTGTGTTTGTACGGGATATCGTTTAGAAACGATTAGTTTACCTATAGCAGTGTGCAGTCGAAAGAAAAATTTGGGTCAATTGCCGCCAGTTTGTAAGTGGGCCGGGTAAAGTACGGAAAACTCTGCGGGCCGAATTTGTTCAATCCGGATTCAAATCGTTTTTCGAAAAGTAAATACCTATTTAGGTAGTTTTTACGGTTTCAGTAAATGATAGATATTAGACGTTGACGGTTTACTGCAGTTAGTTCATATTCGTACGATTTTCCCCCGACCGGGGACGAGCGCTCTCACGGATAAAGTTATAACAGAATTATAACAGAATATCTGTTAAAAGTGGTGGCATTATGTTGTTATTATTACGCGTGTAGATGGCGTTACACACCCTTACGATTCTGTTGCTCGTGTAATTTACTAGCGAGTCCAGTAGGCCTTATTTCCTGACTTGAACAACTTGAAAATAGGCCTTCTCTCTATGCATTGTTTCATGTTTGTACATTTTTGTATTTAAAACTTTTTTAACGAATATCTTTTACCATTTGTATGAATGACACAATAAGATTTTTAAATTCGCGCGTCCGGGGGACGTGTCGCCTATCAATAAAGCTAATCGTGAAGTATTCGTATTAATAAAACACATATGATGATGATCCACTTCGTACTGAAACGGAAAAAGATTCTCATTACAAAAGGCACATGTATAAAATACCAAAAATATGTCTGAAAAAAAAAAAAAATGTAAAAATAAACGAATAACTCGCGTTATACTGTTAGACATTGCCTGCGTGTTTGATGCACACGAATACACAATACATATTCGAAAATGCCTAGGTGGTTCTCCCGGCGTAATTTATCGCGTTACCCATTAGTTATAGAATACTGCACAATTTTTAATTTTAAACTGTCGACACACGGTGTACCGAACTTATTTCGGAGCCGCGTTCGGTCCGCGTTGTAGATTATATTGCCATCTGTATCTCACCCTCTCAACATGTTACGATCGTGGCCCGCCCGCGGTGTGGAGTGATTATTGCGGCTTTTGAAAACCCGTTTCGTCTCTCGTATCGTCTCAACAACAGCCGTTGGCGATTCGCCATAAAACTGCGTGACATCCCAATGCCTTTTATTTTGCACAACCACGCCCGGGTAGGTGTGCCAGACAAATTACATACGTGCAATGGACGTTTATTAGAAATCGTAATTTATTCTCGTTTTATATCAGTTTTTACAATCGATTAGTCAGTCGACGATTAGCTTAAAAAGTATTAATTTTTATGCATACACAGATAACGATAAGGCGCAAATTAATATCTGCATACATATTAGCTTTTGACATTTGATTTTGTATTTTATTTTAAGATTTAATTTTGAATTATACAACTACGGATTGAATCGATCAAATAAATAATACTGCGTTTCGTTCTGAATTTGTGATTTTTATTTTTTTCTTGTGGGGCGGAGGGAGGAGGAGGGGGAGTTATATCTACACTTAAATCTATATTTCACACGAGCACGTGACCCCTTGTAATTTATCTGTTGTTCGTTGTTGTGTTTAAAACGATCACCGACTCTAAGTTTACGCACGTTCATTATGTGACAACAACCAGTGTCAGTCCGGACCGCCCCGGCTACCCGGCGCGGCCGTCGCATGGGGGAATTTGGATATTTTTCAAAATTGAGGGCCTGTAGCCAAAACTCAAGATGGAAAATAATAAAATGTATACACGTTTATACAATTTTAATCATAATATGAAATGTAAATTGAATTGTTAGTTAAAATACATTCATGTATATTCCGTATACATGAAATGTACAACAAAATCAATTATAGTAGTCTAGACTAAGCTATTTTTCATATTTATTTGTACTCTGATCGGAATGAGAAAAACGTATCGTGTGTATAATGTTCGACAATATTGTGAGATATCTCGATTCAATCAAATGGATTCCAAGAGATATCTAGTTAATTCATTGATTAAAGGTCATTTTTCGATTACACCAAACGAATTTCATAGTAATTAAGTAATTAAGAAAAAACCGAAAAAAAAAATAGGTTTTTTTTCTCTTTTTTTTACCATACAATTTTGAAAGCCAAACTACGATCTTTGATTGGCCAATAATATTTGAATCTTTTAATTTACTTATTTATTGAAGAAGACTCGATTGAATGTATAAACAAAGATTAAGTTATAAATATTCTAAGATTTTTCAGTATAATGAACTAAAAGAAAGACAGATCTTTCGCACGATGGATGGGCCACTGTTGTAGGTAAGAAGTTGGGAAGGTAGGATATAGAGGGAAATTAAATTTATATTATATTTGTATGCAATGATAAACCACTGCTAACGAAAAACGATTAGGAGTAAAGTTTCTTTTATAGTTTTATAAATGTGTACGAATTTTTTCTAAGTTTTCCCAATTATTATAAAAACCGCTTGGAAAATCAAAAAATGACTTTCTTAACGTACCGTCGATAGAAAATTTCGTCTCGGGAAAGGCACTACACTTACGAACAAGATATTTCTGGTAGAAAAGCAGTTCACAGATATAAAATGAAAAAAATAAAAATATAAACATCATTATAAAATCATTACACTTTTCGCTACGCTTCGTATGCAAAATACAGTTTTAATTATGTACAGTTAAAGTAGTTAAAATTTGTTATTAATGTTGATTAAAATTGTTTACAATATGGTACAAGTACACAGTGAAGTGTCTACATTAAGTATTATATAAAATATTATGTGTAAAAATGTACAATTTATTGTTAATATATATATGTATACATACTGATGACGCTGTTTATTAAGATTACATTTATTGATATTACGAAAAAGAAGTTAAAAATAACTAATTATTTTTAAATAAAAATAAAATGATTTTATCACTGTGTAACTTTACAAGCAGGTTTTTTTTTAAAGTTAAAATTAAGTTTGTGGGGGTCCAATGCTAATCCATATTATTCCGAAAATTAATCATTAAGTTGGTTAAATTTTTTAAAATTAACTTTTAACCTTATACAGTTATAATTATTAAAACAATAATTAATTTTAATCGTGTTAACTAGTTTTTACAACAAACTTCACAAAAATCAGTTAATGATGTATTCATTTATTTGTCTAGTCTTGCTACTTTGTAACAATAATGAATAAGTGGGGAAAAAATAATATCATTAGGTATTATTATTTTTACGACACGAGACACAATATGATGATAGAGGGGAATGGCGTACTGTAGGAGGGTAGTGATGGGGATTTATTGGGTAAACCGGGTAAATTTATGCTCAATTCAATACATAGCAACAAATTTGATTATACGACTTTTACTGACACTTACTTCAGTGATAATGTTTCCGCACAGGCCGATCTTTCATTCTGCCCGTTACTAGTGAATCGACAAACAAAAAGCAAAATAATTTTTTTCTCAGCTATGACTGGATATTGTATAACAGTGTACAATTTAAATATTACACTATTGTTATAATTAAAAATAGTCACCCACATTTTGAACTGGTAAATAAAATATATAAACGTGGGTAAATACCCAAAATATTTGCCTGTCTTTTATGTCTTTTACCCACTCGCTAGAGTAGTATAGTAGTCGGTTATTACCTATATGTAAATGACACGGGAAAAAAATATGAAATACAAAGTACTTATCTAATATTATACAATATTTTATTGTTGCTTGTCGTTAACGAAATACACAATTGGGTAATTTAAACTAATAAAAAATGAAACAATTATACAGTTTAATATTATACAGGTACCTACGTGAAATAAAATGCCAAACACAGATTTTTGGTGATCCACCGTGATCAAGCAAATGGATAATAATTATAAGCAGTAACAACAACAACAACAACAATAACAATAATAATAATAATAATACTATAACAATAGCTGCCAAGATGTACAAAATTAAAACGATAATAAATAATAAATACAATTTACTGAAAAAAAAAACAAATCGACTGTAGGCAGGTAGTCTAGTGCCGGGCACGTAATCACAACCACGGTTATCTGGATCAATCCGAATGTCGGATTTCCAATCTACATTGATTTGGATTGACCAAAATCCGTATATAATCCGGATCGCAATGACGAATCGATATCGTCGTTTTGGATTATTACGAATTTAAATGCATTGAAACAATTCCGTTCGGCTGTCAATAAATGTTTCATTAAAATTGTCCAAAATAAATATTTTATTCGCTTTTTTCCCCCGCTTCGGATCCGTATCCAGAATGTCGGACTAATCGATCGTAATTATTATTGGGTCCGATGTCCGGATTATGGTTTCAATACGTATCTCGGCCTGTTTGTTTGTTTGTTTTTTTAATTTATTTAAACCGGATTGAATTTTCGCTCGTCACTAGACTAAAATATTATCCCGTATGCCTACCTCATGTCATATGTACATAATATATTATAAATTTAAACTATACAAACGGTTAAAAAAAAACAAATAGTACAATAGGTATAATAATATTATAATAAATAAAGACCGTTGGCCGTTTCCGCGCGTATAATCCCGACGACGGCCGCGGCCCCGTAAAAAAGGATATTAACAGGGGAGGTGTGTCACAAACAACCACCAGACGGATGTCGTGCGATATTCCGGGACTCCGGTATAACAGCGAAGCGCGCGGAAATCCAAAGATCGCGCGGGCGCGCGACGCGTTTTTAGGCCCGCGGTTTATTCTTTCCCCCCCCCCCCCCCCCCCCCCCCC